GCAGCTGTTCTTGCAGCTGGGGCCAAGAAGGAGATTGCATACCTGACAAAATTTGGCCAACCGCTCCACCCCTTTCAACGTCTGCGCCAAGAACTATACAACTATAGGAAAGTATCGCCCTCCGAGCATCTACGCTTTCTAGACAAATACCTGCAGGCTGTGCCTCACATCATACCGAAAGGCGACGCCACTCTTACCCGTCCAACGCTGAGACATCCTGATCTCCAACCCAATAACGTTTTCGTTTCAGACGATCTCAGTATTACTGGCCTGATTGACTGGCAACACTGCGCATTACTCCCACTTTTCCTTCAATGCGGTATTCCAAACAGTCTCCAGAATTACGGCGATAGTATCACGGAGTCGCTCACACCACCTGAACTACCACATAATTTCGATGAATTGAGCGAAAACAAACAGTTCGAGCAAGTCATGCTCTTACGTCGGCGTCAGCTCCACTACTTTTATGTCGCGGCAACGGCTAAACTTAACCCGATGCACTATGACGCCCTGACCCACGGTTTCAGCACGTTGCGACGCAAACTATTTGATCACGCAAGTTCTCCATGGGAAGGCGATAACATTACTCTCAAAGCCGACTTGGTCGAGTTAGGACAAAACTGGCCCAACATCACAGCATCAAATTTAAGCACGAACGACGATGCAAGCCCTCTTTGCCCAATCAGCTTCTCGAAAGATGATGTGAAGGATTGCTTGCACATGAATGCTGCGCAGATCGAGGCAGATGAGCAGCTTCAGGCTTGTAGAGATGCCATTGGCATCGGCCACGAAGGGTGGGTACCTTTGGATCAGTATAACGAAGTAAAGCAACGTGCAAGTAAGCTCAAGGCCGACGCACTTGAGGCAGCTGGGTCCGAGCAGGAGCGGCTAATGCTACACGAGCATTGGATATTCGATGATTTTGATGAAGACGAGTATTCGTGATGTACTCCATCACAAGTGTGAAAGATACTCAAATGATTGCGAAGGCAGGGCAATGCAAAAGTCAGGGTCCATGCGGTGCTGCAACACGGAAATATTGAGACTATACAGGTAGACCAATCAACACTATTGCACTGGCTGCGCAATTCAGGCTAGATTCGACTTTGACAACTGTTCGTGCGATAGCCTCAGTCTCGCTTCGTTCCGCTTTCTGGCTTGTGTACTTTTCTCCACAACAGTCTTGATTGTATGGGCTTTGAGAATGTTTATGTTTTTCGACCCGATACCAAGTGCTGCCGAAAAAACATTGCGCTGGAATAACTTAACAGATATTGTACATTCTGCTGCGGAACCTTCAACCCTTTCGATTGATCATCAAAGAAGGTCCAAATGCTGTCCAAGCAGTTGTGTTACCAATGCTTCTGTCACTGCACTTGATCAAGCTGAGACGATCGGGAATAATCAGTTTCGCCGCATACCCTGGAACAGTCGCAATCTGTTTTTGGTAGCGAGAGCTAGCTTTGGTTTTTTGTGACGGTTTATGGAGTAAAGAGGTTATGTGTACCACGTGTTTTGGTGCAGTGTTCCTTCTTTTTCCAACGAGCACTTTCTACCTCTGTCTGAACGACAGATACGTCATGTAAACAGACCCTAATGGTCCGGTGAGAGGCAATCACAGAACAACACAATATACTGATTTTACTGCTTCGCGCGATTCCCCCCTGACTCACTGTCTTGCGCAGTTACACCTCCATTTGTTGCAACTACTGCATCATTTTTAGATATTACCGGAAATGCTCGAGTTGCTATTGGAGGAAAGGAACCAAGCCATTGAGCCACTCAAGGGCCAACGGCTGAGAGTTAAAGCTTCCTGGCGGGAAGTGCCTCGGAGCAACGTGTACGATCATATCATCACAAGGATTGGTGGAAACAGTTCGATACATGGGTAGATAGTCGTGCCAGAGTACATACTCTCCTCTCAGAAGATGATGGTTGGGTGGATCAGATATCAGGCTTGTTCTGAACTGATCATGCTTGCATGGAGATACTCTCCAAGGAACTGGGTTCATGATGAATATATTTTAAGCGTACACAGTTTCTGTTACGTTGATTGATTGCATCCAGTGAGTTTTTCGAAGTCCATTCATTATGAATTCTATGTTGGAGAGTCACAGTGATGATGGTAAGGATGCGTTGATCTCACTACTTGCAGAAACCCCCACCTGCACCTGATATAATTACACGACTTTGGAATATAAGCAATTGCCTTTATCTCTTGATCAATAGCAGAAAATAAACATGATTGTCTTGAGCTGTAGCGGCGTGGACCGCTGTAGAATATTGATAGCTACGGTAAACCATAACGTAGGACTATCGGGTGGATACAATACTGCGCTGAGTTGCTATCTTGCTAGAAGAAGACGACGATATACCTGACCTAAAACGTTCAAGTCCAGGATAGTCTGATGTGTGCAACCTCAGGCCTACCGACTGACCGATACCGTAACAGAATTGCACATTGTAGAGACACATGCACGTATTTGATCTATTTCTTTTTCAAAGCCTGTAATCACGCTTAGTTCTTCTTGCCCTCCTTGATACCCTTTAAGAACCCATTATAAGCAGGCTTCTTCTGGTAGTTTTCATCCCACAATAGCGCCGCACCCTCGGTAGCGAACACGCCAGGGATCCACGAGTACTTGTCCGAAATACCCCACACAGTCATGCCAACGCATCGCTTTACAGCGATACAGGACCTTGCGATGCGTTCCCAAGCATCAGCCTGAACTTTCAGCTTCTCAGGAGTAGCAGGGGTGTTCATCCGGACGTCGATCTCGGTGTACACGACATCAACGCCTTCGTTGGCAGTAGCCTTCAGCGCGGCTTCCAGTGTGGCTTGGTCAGGTACTGCACCAGGAGCGGTTGGTGTGGACTCGCTAGCGAGGTGAGCCTGGTACCCGACACCATCGATCCTCACACCATAAGACTTGATGAGCTTGACAATTTTCTTTGCGCCCTCAGTCTTCGCACCGTTGTACTCAAGGTTGTAGTCATTGTAGTACAGCTTGGAGCCTTTAGCATACTTAGCCGCGAGCCGGAACGCGATGGGGATGTACGCCTCGCCGATGGTGTCGAGAAATACGCTCTTCCTGTAGGTACCGTCCTCGTTCAAGGCCTCGTTGACGACGTCCCAGCGGGTGCAAGCTGCCTTCCAGCGACCGGCAACGTTCTTGATGTGGTTCTCCATGATGGAGATTAGCGTCTGGTTGTCGAAACCTCCGCTGGAAACCCAATTGGGAAGCTGGCTGTGCCAAACCAGAGTGTGGCAGTGAATCTGCTGGTCGTACTTCTTCGCAAATGTGACGACCGCGTCACCGCCGGCGAAAGTGAAGTTGTTTCGAGACGGCTCCGTAGACTCCCATTTCATGGCGTTCTCAGGGGTGACAGAGTTGAAGTCCTGGTCAATGATCTCGGGCTCAGCAGGCTCATCCCGGATGGTTAGAGCTGTTCCGATGAAGTCGCGGCCTCGATCACGGTATGCCTTGTACAGGCTGGGCTCCTTCGTCTTGGAGTTGGTTCTGCCAGATATCAGTGATGGTCGTCGTACAGAGAATGAACAAACTGACGGGACTGCCAAGACTGAGCTGGCCAATGCCAGAGATGCGACGATGGTCGAGAGATGCATGTTGGTTCCTTGTCGTTACAAAATGCTTGATGTGCAACAGGAGATGTTCCAGCGATGCCCGTGAGCCCTATATACAAGGCACACCGTCAGGCGACACCCATGACGGAAATTCATCGACCAGGTTGGCGGACACGTTTACCCGGCATCAAAAGGTTATCGAAAGGCGAGGCAAAGCTGATCGAAAGATACGCCCGTCTTGGACCGCGGGTGGAAGCGCGGGTGGGGACGACTTCCTTGGCATTTGATGTCGAAATCTCCGTGGCCAACTTTTCCGCGCAGGTTCAATGTCGGCAAGTCGAGGACATGCTTGAGTGCTCACAGATGGTTGTACCATTGATACCATCCTGCGAGGCGCCTGTCGTTCGAACCTGGGCGTGAGCGATCACGAACCTGGTCTACGGATGCGCGTTTCTGGATGAACGAAGTCCTTCAGCCACTGCATGCACCACTGACTACCCCGTGGGGAGTTTACCCCAGCCGAGACACCTTGCAATCTTGGCTCCAGAGCTCTAAGGCTGATAAGGAAGGTGTTCTGAACGGCTCGTGGGACATTAACCTATTAGCCGGGCGATGTTTTCGCGGATCGAGGTAGGCGTTCCTGCACGGGAGCAAATCAACAATGTTTCACGATCATTACCAACTTGTCCTTAGTCATTCATGCTAGAAGTATACATCGGAAGAAGGCACTTACATGAATACTAGCGGCGATTTTGTGGTTTGAGCCATTGCGCGACACTGAAAATGATTGCAGTCGAGCTCGTGGAACCAATCGACATCCTGGAAAAGTCTGCGTCGGACCAGGATCAACAATCACTAGTAGGTCTACGAACAACTGTTGACTGCCATTATGTACTCTTTCTTATGCTTACCAATACATTTCAAATCACATGGCGAAAATGAACTCCGTGCGCTGTCGTGATATGCGTTATTCATGAGCCCCTCACTAAACTCATGTTCTAGCTTGACACGTGTTGCAAACATGTGGGATTTTGATCAAACTTTCTCTCAGCGTTGCTCCTGTCGCTGCCAGTTTGTTCGACTCAAGATTCGACGACCCATTGTGGTTAAGATGGCGGTCAATGAGAGCTCTGAGTGATTGGAGTCGGGAGGCCGTGTTGGTGCAGCTATGAAATGCAGCCTACATGAGAGAGCCGGTTCCGATGATGCTGGTTACATCTCTGGACGCAAAGATCTGAACGTCGTCTTTTGAGAGGATGGCCACGAGTGGTGTGATGGTAACGACTGAGAGGCAACTTGATATGGTAGCCAAGCCTTGCGAAAGGGCGTACATGATGTTGAATGAAGCGGTGTAGTTTCTGTACACTCCTGCTGCTGCAATGATGATGCATGGTGTGGATTGCTGATAGTGGTTTGTTGACGCGAACAAAGCCAGGGCTGAGGAAATAGAGAAGCGTCGAACGACAACCAAGGTGCCCCTTCCTTTTTGAGTAAGGTCTGGTTTTGCTCAGCCCCACTTTTGTTCTGTCACCACACGCTTCCTCAAGCTCTTGGACACAATACCGCCCACGAATTCTCGTATACAGCTGTACTGTCTCGTACTGTCTCACTTGTAAATAGTACATCAGTGCATTGCGATTCCTTTCGTCCCAGGTGAGCTGAATCAAGCGTAACGCAACCTCCCGGCGGACACCTCGTGATCTCACGGCTTCCGCGCAGGTCCTAGATCATGCAGCCGCAAGGACTTAATATCAAAGGCTACGCCTCTGGAGCTACTCTCCAATCTCGAGACGAAGAAACGAGCGCTTATCGCCTGCAGGCCCTGGAGATGAGCTGATCTGCTTGACATGGCGTAGTTAAGCCCTCAGCCGCATACTGGAGCTGCTCGCGCAAGCGACCCAGGTTCACACTCTTCCTCAGACGGCGCATAGATCGTGACCCCGAACATTCAGCCCGCACTCCTGGCCTATAACACGGCTTGCACAATGGCGTGCTCGAGAGCCTTCCGTCTGCTAACTGCATACAACGTACGACGCCGCAGCTGGTTCGATCGACGACTTCAAGCAGATTTTCGTGACATTTATACTGGACAATAGATGGAGGGCCCTCGAATGTAGCCTTGGAGATGCTTGGCCTTCGTGAGTGGCAGCATCCAGGCTTCTAAATCATTCTTTCTAATCACACTTTACCATCCAGAATTCTGCCTTGCCGAAGATGAAGTTTGATGATGAGGAAGTGTTCCTCATCGGTTTGCACATACACTCCCCAGCCGATCACACGTTTGACGGGTTCCGAAGTAAGTCAGGGAAGCATCTTGTTCACGCAAATCGAGAGGGCGAGCCACGCTCTGTAGTTGGAATTCGCATCGACCCCGGCAAGGCTCCATCAGCGTTCCTTAGCAGCTTACCGACGCCGTTCATTGGATTCAACGAGACCACCGCGTCCTCGACTACTTAACTCAATCTTTTCGAGCCATTGCGCGAAGTATCCAAGTTGACTGAGTTCTGGACATACAAGGGCAGCCTAGCAAGTCCGCCCTGCAAAGAAGGCATCTGGTGGTCTGTTGCACGAAGTATCATGTATATGTATCGAGCAGATGCAGCAGATTTTATATGTTAACACGTACAGTGCAGAGTCGAGCAGCAGGCAAGATGTGTTTGTCCCACCGCGATGGTCTGTGTATTGACAAATGTAGGTGTGGCAGCATGGAATCAACGTCTGGCCTTTATTTCAGCAAATCGATTCCTCACTAAGTCTCTGTGTACATGACCGTTTCGGCAGTGTTCTGCAACAGGATCGTGCGAATATGCTGTCGCCGTGCGCAGCATTTATTCTCCAATCAGCCAGTCAAGGTGGCGCGAGTTCTTGATTATAGACTCAATGTCCAATCATGATCATAGCATAACTTAACACTCACTGCTCACTTAATATTAGAAGCTACATCTTCCGTTTCATACGCCAGCACCAGTCATAATTGAAACTCATTCTCGACACCCTGATAGTGGCCGTTGGAGCGTACCGTGTGTGACGAACGGTTCCGAAAGAGCGATTTGGTCCTCGGCTATTACAGATGAGCTGCTCTACGAGCTTTTAGCCGCACGATGGCTGAACATCATATCCCCGGTCGAAAGCCACTTCTGCCGATGCGCAGCTCGACAGCTAGGTCTTTACAGGCAACGGCTGTGATGAGGCTTGGTTCAACGCAACAACCGGGTTACGTTAAAGTTTGTTCCTGTTCCGCTTAAGCTCGGGTCCTGACTACCTGTTGAAAATTAGTGAGGATGGAGGCTTCAACTAGAAGGGTCGGTCAAGTTTGCAGCCAGGCTAACACATTTCGAAGAATTGTAACGGAACTTAAGGATCGAGTCTCACCCCAAACACTGCCACATCCTACGATAATCTCGAATGAGGCAGTTGACATCAATAACATTTCCCAACCTCCAAGTCGTGCCTTGGTCTCTACGATTTAGGTGAGAGTGCTCCGCTCGCACTGGCAAGTCATAAAGTTCGACGAATGGACGAGAGGCCCACGAACAACATGAATTGGATGTTGATAGGACAGCCGTCCTCCACTCGAGCAAAGTAAGTATCAATAACTTTCGACGACTGGTTGTTATGCGCCTGAATAATGCTGTGGCAAGGTTGGTGGTGTATGCACCATAGTCTCCGCACCTCAAAACACTTTTAAGTACTACTAGGGTTGCTTTGTGGGGCACGAATGGTCTTTGAGGCATTGGACATTTGCGCTTGTGCGCGTTTCATTCTCACGGTAATTTCGACTGATCCAAATGGTAAGGTTACAGAGACGCCGCCATCGCCGCAGACGCAGTGCGTGGGGCCCGTCCCGATTTTTCAGGAAGTAATGTGCGCGCCACGGAACGTTCACAACTCCCCTTTGCTCTGCACGATTCTTAGTTAAGATAGAGCGCGACACTTACTTGGTGGCCAGTACATAAGGCAAACTGTCAGCTCTTTCAGTCAATTCCCCTCTCCGCGTCTTCACGATTGAAATGCTGGTACCGCAGAGCCTCACGGCAACCCATGCAAGGCTGACATGAGCTAGGCCGCATAGGGGTCCTGCTGAAAACCACCCTAGCACAGCTCGTGGCGCAGCGCTGCCACACCTGAAGTTCCGTAGCTGCTCCCGGCGAATCATTGAACAGTACGGCAACTCACATGTACGTTTCTATTTCTCGGATTAGCAAATGTAATGACGATTGTGGTGTACACAGTGATCACCCCGATCCCGCTGGCGCAGCCTGTTGCCTTTCTAGGAACCGGCTCCATCATAACAATAGATCTGTGGTAAGCAGGCACCTACTCGGCCCCTACGCCAGGTACCACGAAGATATCATGTGCATTGGCGAAATGACAGCACACCGTACCGCAGCGGGCTGAGACGATATATAGGATACGGAGTCCACCTTACGATCTTGAAATTCGGACTTCATACACATCATTGTCACCAGCTCCGCCTACAGTATCACTGCCGCCTTGTAGGCAACCAACACGCGGAGGACTTGTCACATCTGACTCAGTGCCTAGATTACCACAACCGTATAAGACGAAAGGAGGCTACCCTGAATCACACTGAATAGAAGAACAAGACGTACAACGGAAGCCCAGCGGGATTCGTAACCCAACATGGACATCAGCACAGAGAAGAATCCTCAAGCACCTCTACGGTTGCTCTCATTGGATGGGGGAGGTGTACGAGGACTCTCCTCGTTGATGGTGCTTCGGGACTTGATGCAGAACATAGCACTAGAAGAGAAACGACTTGGGCGGCGGCCGCAAGGGGACCACGAATCATTGAGACCCTGTGATTATTTCGATCTGTGAGTACAGGATCCAACCCTGCAATGTCCCCGTACTGACCAGCTGCTAGCATTGGTGGTACATCAACAGGCGGGATCATCGCGATACTGCTTTCCCGACTGCGGCTCAATTGCGAGCAGTGTATAGACATATATTTGAAGCTGGCGCAGAAGATCTTCAAGAATGATCGATCGTTCAATGCCTTTGGGATAAAAGTACCGACAGGGGCGACACGATTCTCTGGGGCGATTCTTGCCAATGCGATTAAGTCATCGCTGAAAGAGCTCGGATTCGACGAGGATGAGTTGATGTGGGATAAGGCACTCTTTGAAGAGATCGAAGACACGTCCGAACAGAGGAACAATAGCATCTGGGCGGACATGGTTACTGAAAGCCCAGTAGCGGCTACAAAGAGCCATGGGGCAGCTTTTGTATCAACGACGTCCAACGAGAGCGCCTTCTTGCCGAAGCCATTGCCGCCACGTACCGATACGTGGAAATTTCAGTCACGGCAATCCGTACACCGAAAAGCAAACGCAGCCGGATGTCGAGGCTTTGTCCTTACGTCCTTGAAGAACGCACTGGGTCTTCCTAGAATTTTGTCTACTTATGATCCCAATGACCGGACGACGCGCATATGGGAGGCTTTGCGAGCTACTTCTGCAGCTCCCACGTTCTTCGAAGAGATGCAGTTCGGGACCCCTAAAGTGACATATCTTGACGGCGGTGTAGGGTTCAACAACCCCTGTGCCGAAGTCGACTACGCAGCCAAAGCTCTCTGGGAAGGTCGGTCAATTGGCGTCATTGTCTCGGTGGGCACCGGGCTGCAAAGTCTGTCGAGCGTCAAGAAGATGGCAACATGGTTACCGTTTGGTCTCGGCACGGACATTTCGTTGGCCACTGCACTTGCTGGCATGGCGACGTCGACTGCACGGGTGGACAACGAGATGAGACGCATGTATAACAACAGTGATACCAAATACTACCGCTTTGACGTCGATCGGGGGCTCGCAAACATCAGCCTGGAGCAGTGGATGAAAGAAGACGAGATGGCCTCGCTCACAGAGCAGTACATGCAAGATGGGGAGCAGGTGCGCCGGGCGCGAGAATTTGGCGAGATGGTGGCGAAGCTCTCCGCACTGCCGCCAAGATTCGAAATCCCGCCTGCGCACTTCAGGCTCGGTATCAACGGACACGGGCTCCAAGATGACACCTTCCAGCTTGTACAAGTCGACTTCAAGACCGGTATGCTACTCGGCGCCACCACCCACCTTGGAGAGATGCCGATGTCGCAACTCCGCACGGCATCCCCATCAGGCGAAGGCGGGCTCGCGGTCGACGAGAACGGCGGTTTGCGAAAAGTCTACCCTGTGGCCGCAGACCTAGACCGCGATGGGCGATGCGAAGAAGCGGCGGTATATCAGTGTATCAAAGCTGACAACATCTGCATGCGCAACATCAAAACCGGTATCCCGCCGGGACGGTACAAAGTGCAGTTCGTCGTCGCATTCCACGAGGCCACACACGCACCGCCGCACGACTTGGTGTTCAGTGTTGGTCGGCCTTTCGATGCAAGCACGTTCCAGAGTCGCTTTGTAGACGTCAAGATTACGCCAGACATTGCAGCGGTGCTCCTGCACCCTGATGCTGTGCGTGTACGAGTCGGGAAGATGAGGTACGAGGAGAGCAGAGGGAAGGGGTGGGTTGAGGTTGAGGGCGATGTTGATGTTAATGTCGGGTTGGATGGTGCGCTGGGCTTTATTGTGAGCAAGCGTTTCGAAGAAGGGGTGTTTGTTGACGGGTGGAGCTTTGGGGGTCTGCGGCTTGAGCCCGTATATGGAAGTCAGCCCGTGAGTTCGCCAAGGATACTGACTTGACAGAGCCAGCAATAAAGATTGTTAGATAGAGCCTCACTTATATCGAAGGCTTCAAGCTCTTGTTTTCTTCTAAAGGGGTAAAGGGGTCATGGTAGCAACTTCTTGCATAGAGTGACTCAAACTCTTGAAAGTACTCGCAGCTAGTAGACCAACATAAATCTCAGGAGCTTTTTATTAGCAAAAAATAGCCCCAGAGTGTCTGCAAGGTGGACTCAAAGCACCGCGACCGCAAAAAAAGAAATCCTGGAGAATCTGTAATACAGACGATATTGATGAGGACGAGACTCGAACTCGCGCCACTTTCGTGACCAGGAAGCTCTGCTGAGCATTGCTAAGGAGGAACCTTAACCTGGCGCCATAACTGCGAATTTGTTAGGAAGGTGATGGTGAGAACGCAATGTGCTAAACTTACCCAACTCGGCCACCTCACCCTTATCCAGTTGTGTGACTTGATGACTAACAGCTGAACTACATCAAGAATATCCATGATGCAAATAAGCGAGTGACAAATATAATAAGCAGTGTTGGAGTGTCAAAGCTGCTGATGCGTGGTGTTTGTGTGGAGACGAGTAAAATTTGCGTCTCGCCGAGATGGAGCCAGCAACAGAACTATCCACAGCTCTGCTACTACGCACTTCAGTGTTTGAGGGTTACGTGTCGGAATGCGCAACGCCTCCTCTTACAGCCGTTGGGTCTATATGTCCTATATCCATTGCTTCCTTGGGAGATTTTTCGTTTCCGCAACATGGAAGGTCTACACTCTGGTCTTAGTGACCTCCCGTGCGCCTGTTCGCGGTTCCCGACTTCGTTCGTGTGCAGGAATCACGAGGTGACGGTCAACTGCGCCGTTCGCTCCGCTACACACTAGGATGGGCTACGTAGATCGAACCCGCGTACTGGGCGGCTGCATGTCCAGCGCAGCCGGTCCAATTAATCGCCTTTGCAACGGCCTCACCACTGACCCACTGGAAAGTGTCAGCGACGTGAGCAACTTGTGCTGAGAGCCACTTACCGGACAAGCGAAGTCTAGATTGCGGTGGACAAGCGAAACATTGATCCCGTTGTCCAGAAGGAACGCCAGGTCATCTAGCCACGAGTTCCGAGGGTAATCGCCAATGTCTAGGTATGCTGCCGAGGCCTGAGGTGAGTTGCCCGTCTAGTCGAGCGGCACACCGAGACCGGATTGCACCCACTCGCGGTTCGAAAAGCCTTCGTGAGATGGTGGTGAGGAAGGAGGAGGTAACTGCGTGGTTGTATCGTAGTAATCCAGACCAGAGTATTGTGTGTAAGGACTGAGGATATTCAAACGGCAGAAGGTGTCATCAGCCACGCGCAGGTCATTGACCGTTGCATTGATGCCCTGGTTCTCCGCATTTGACTCGGCAGCTGCCTCGCGGCACGTCTCGATAGGTTGGAGACTCCGGTACAGACTCGACCATCGCCCTGTAAGCTGTCCCATGGACAGCCTCAATACCATAATCGTTGCCGCGGAATGCTTGCTGCGGGTGCCATCTTGACACGGTTGGTAGCGCTGGACAGCATGCTGAGCGCAGTCTTGGGACGGTGCCTGCGAGACTCGATGCGGAAGGAGATGTGGAGGCCAAGTCGAGTTGCACCTCGAGGTAGATAAGGTTCCAACGGTGCAAGCGGGGTGACGCTAGCGGGGGAACCGGAGTTAAGCTCCCAAAATTTCCTAACTCGACTTCAGATCGAACTTCTGCTGCCCACAACGAACGCTTGCAACACGATCACGCTTACCCTTGCTGCTGAGCATCAACCCTCGCAAACCGATTGCGCCAGTTCTCTTCACTGTCTTCCTGATACACTCGCTTCGCTTTTCTTCGCAATGATCCGCAAGCAGGCCCGCGAGCGCCGCGACTACCTCTACCGGCGCGCCCTCACCCTGCGCGACGCCGAGCTCGCCAGCAAGCGCGCCGCCCTCAAGGCCTCGCTCGCTTCAGGCAAGCCGCTCACCAAAGACCTCGCCGACGACGAGGCCCTGCGCGCCGACTTCAAGTACGACGAGAGCCGCGCCGACCGCTCTGTCGAGGAGGAGCTGGGCGTGGACGACGAGTACGCGCAGCTGTCGGGCGTCGTGGACCCGCGCATCCTGGTGACGACGTCGCGCGACCCCTCGTCGCGGCTGGGCACCTTCGCCAAGGAGATGCGCCTGCTGCTGCCGACAAGCGTGCGCCTCAACCGCGGCAACTTGATCCTGAACAACCTCGTCGAGAGCGCCAAGAGCAGCGGGCTCAGCGACATCGTCCTGCTGCACGAGCACCGCGGCACCCCGACCGCCCTGACCGTCAGCCACTTCCCCCACGGGCCCACTGCGAGCTTCAGCCTGCACAATGTCGTGCTGCGCGCCGACATCCCCAACAGCGCCCGCGGCACTGTGTCCGAGTCGTATCCGCACCTCATCTTCGAGGGCTTCGAGTCGAAGCTGGGCAAGCGCGTCGTGCAGGTCCTGAAGCATCTGTTCCCGCCGCGCGAGGCCACGGCCAAGATTGGCAACCGCGTCGTCACGTACGTCTCAACACCGCAACACAAGACATTACTGACACATTTAGGTTCAAGAACATCGAGGACACAATCGAGGTCCGCCACCACGTCTTCGTCAAGACAGGGTACCAGTCGGTGGAGCTGGCTGAGGTCGGGCCGCGGATGAGCATGCGCCTGTTCGAGATCCGGGCAGGCACGCTGGACAACAAGGAGGGCGACGTCGAGTGGCATCTGAACCAGTACACAAGAACGGGGCGGAAGAAGGACTACTTGTGATGTGTTGTTGTGCTCGTGACTGAAAGCTGGATATACCCCAATGAAATGACTTTTCCTGGACGCCTGACAATGCAACTCGTCACTAAATTATGCATCAGCAACCTCCTGACTCGACTGTGTACTCTTCAGAATGCCCCGCCTTGCCTTCCCTTTTCCCTTCTCCTTCCTCTTCTCTTCCTCCTCGCTCAGCAGACTGCCCTCCAGCCTCAGCCCCTTGCCCCTCGCCTTCCCATCCGTTCTCCCGTCGAAGTCTAGCAGCCTCACTCGTAAATCTCCAGCGACCTCCCCATCCTCGCTCACCCACACTCCCTCGTCTGTCTGCTGGGTCCTGAACGTCCAAGTCGGGGGCAGGTGCGTCGCGAGGATGGAGATGGGGAATATGTTCATGTAGGAGAGGGTGATGTGCGTCTTGCTCTGGTGCGTGACGCGCCCGGTGATCCACTTGTTGTGCTTGGGGCGCCAGATCAGGAACGTCGCCGTGGCCCAGAGGAACGGGCTGGAATATTCGTCGACATGGCGCAACAGTACCTCCGCTTCTGTGTCTGTGGATTGCGCCTTGGTGGGCGGCAACGACGAGAGAGAGACATCTTCGTATGCGAGGATGATGCCGCGCGCTGGCGGGAAGTAGGAGAGCAGCAGCGGCGAGAAGACGGACGCGCAGAGGGCGGGCAGTGGTGTTGCGAGCGCGGCGGGCGGAAGCGAGACAAATTGCGAGATGCGTTCCTCGTAGAGGAGGCTGTCGTCGTCTGGTATTGGTGACATGATAGTTCGTATGAGTGGATGCCTCTGGCTGTCTCGAGGATTTGCAAGGAGGGTTGCGGGCGCAATGCGGTTTGCGACAGGATGAGGTTGCTGTCAAGTTGAGGAAAAAGTTGTCGGAGCTTCGACCATAAACGCCGACTGTGGGGCCATGGGGCTGTTGGCGTTCGGGCGGTTTGACCTCTGAGGATTGCAGGTAACCTGTTAGGTCCTCAGCGCCTACCTCTACTTCTTCCATAGGTTAGCCTCTAAAAGCTAGTATAATAATACTACCCTATCCTTTTTCATAGCCTCTACTAACGCCTCTAGGACTTCCACTATCTACTTGATTTTTGCTACATCTTTAACTCTTTTTACTATCTCTAAGTGCTTCTCTACTATATTATAGTTATCCTATTAATTAAATACTAGTAGTTTAGTGTATTTTTAAACTTTATATATACTTTTCTGTTATTGTAACGGGGTTACAGTGCCGTGGTAAAGTATACTGTCACGTGTTGGGATGATGGCGCTAGCCTATCGTGACGCTAGCGTGGCACGAGCGAGCGAGCGCATAGATAATCGGCCACACGATAGCCTGAGAACGGTAGCAATTAATCTTATGGTGCGAACTCCCTACTGCTACTGAGCTCGCTGTCACACATACCCTTACAAAAAGTGTAAAGTAAGTGGTGATCCCTTCTTCTTTTTCTGGGATCTGACGTTGCCAGGAGCCAGTCTCTTTTTGTATCTCCTGAGTACTCCTTTTTGTTGAAAGCGTTCAGCGTCTAAGATCATCTATATCATGAAAAGCTGAAGGTTCTTCATCCTCTTGTATTTCTCTCGCAAAGCACGGTGCGTTCGCTGCCTATTGGAGCATCTACGCCGAGTGTACGCTGTCGAGATTTCTTTCCAACTGCTTTCTGGGTAGGCCTCTCTCAGCATAGTGAGTAGCTACTCCTCGTTAAAAGCAGTTAGAGCGCCATAGTTCGTAAGGCACAGAGAGCAAATTTTACCAATGCACTAAGTAAAAGAGGACTTTCCAACACAAAGTGAGAATTGTTCGTGGCCGACATCAGTTCAAGCACCGCCTCCAATGCATTTTGCTTTGACTGACGTTATGATGTGAGGAATCCCAAGTAGGCAACCACAAATGGTATCCCAGGTAGTTAACCACAAATGGTATCCCAGGTAGTCAACCACAAATGGTATCCCAAGTAGTTTCCTTCAAGTTGCCAAACGGTTGACCGAAGTGGTCCTGAGTAGTCATCTGAGTCGAGCTAAGTTCGCAAGCGTTGAAGGGGTTGACCAAATGACTAGGTTGGCAATATCCCTCCACGCTTATAAGAATAATTAATCTAGCTTGTGTGTTGCGATTTCAGGGCAATAACTGGGACCCCCAAAGAGTCACACGGGCTGATTCTTGAAGAAGGAATGAAGAGCTTGGGGTTCATCCCCATTCTAAGAAGCCAAGTCTCAGAAATCTAGCGCTACAGCTGACGGACTGAGCTAAGCGTCTAGCTGTCAGCACGCCTGCAATAAGCGGCAGGTCTGAGCTTTAGCATAACATTTTCTGAAGCGTGATATCATATGTAAGCCACAACAGCTACAGGTCGTTTTGGTGATAGGGATCAGAAATTCGATGCCAGGAGTCAAGCGTTGCCCTTTGCCATTTTGCAGAGCTCTGCAAAACAGAGAGATCAAATTCCGAATTCACCTCCGCACGAAAACACTGCAATGCACGCGCGAATGGTGCTCCCATCTTGCGGCCTGATCTCAGTGCGTTTCAGCACACGGCGCGTCAATAACAGCGACCGCCACTTCATGCACTACGAAGGTATGAGGACGCATGCACCCGTCATCAGCCTCCAATCTGGCGCATGCGATTGACTGTGTCAGCGTTCATTTCGTTTGACACAGTGCAGCTTTGTACTCTCGGGTGCGCTACCGATCACTCTTTTGGCGAGTGTGCTGCTCCATGGACTGACCATACGCGTTGCGAGAAGTTTCGAGAAGCATGCGCCGGCCGGTCAGTCGTGGCGAGATACTAGTAATTGATTCGGTCTCCAAGTCTTTGCAAGCTGTAAAGTCTGAAGTTCCACAATATTGGCTGACATGAGCTGCCTTTGCTTGGCATCTATAGCAATGATGCTGAGCACTATACAGAAAGACGGAGGATACCCCATATACCCCTCACTCAGTCTATCTTGATATCACACATATGTGTTTCGCCTTTTCAGAACAATACGTCAACAGTTTTTCGATTGATCGGACTCAGCTCCACCTGAAACATCATGACTCGTCATGGCATCCGAAAGAAGGCGAGATCTGAGCGTTTTCCCACTGCCATATTGCGGTCGCCACTTCATTGCTCCTTCGCTCTGATCGTTGTCCTCGGACAGCGCATCTACGTGGGTTGACAAAGGTGTCTTCCCAGGCTTCTGAATACTCATCTTCACAAAGTCGCCAGACACTTTCTGAATTGATTGATCACTGAGGTGGCCGCCGAGTTGCTTGATCTGGTCTCCGTATCCACGGTTTTTGCCATGGATCGTCTTTTGACTGTTTGACACCAGAAACTGCACAGCTTCGTTGCCTGTAGCGTGATTGTCGATGACACTTATGTTCTCTTTCAAGCGCTGGTCTGCTTGGAAGCAGAAGTCTCTGCATTTGCGAGCAGTTGTCCACTCTTCGCGCAGGCTTGCAAGATATCTTGTATCCTCTTGTGTCATTGTTGCGCTTGAGTTGGACATCATCCGATCTAGAATATCCTGCATGTGTCTTTCCAACCTCGCAGTCGTTTGTTCCATACTGACTCTACATTCTTGTATGCCATCGCTCGTGATTTTCTCAGGTATGTTGTCTGTGCCCTGGGGAAGATCCTTTGCTGATGAAGACTGGAGCTTTTCGATAAGGTTGGAGAACTCGGCGCAGATCAGGAGGCATTTTTGCGTGCTTGAGCGCTCTTCCTTTATGCTTTGGAGTTCTGTTGTCGCCGAGCTTGACGCGGTGCGCTCCACCAAAGTTTGGAGCTTCTCGTCGATAGTTTCGAGTCGCGCCTCGAGATCGTTGGTTGCAGTCTTAATAAGATTTTTGTAGTCTCCAAGACGCTCCAAAGTAATCGAAGATTTGCGACTGAAGAAGGGGGATTAGTCAAATCTAACGAATGACGTTGGGTGTAGAACTGTGGGACTTACAGCTGCACGTCCGTGAGGGCGATATTGATCGTCGACTTGTACGCTGCTAGTGAATCTTTGAAATCGTCTATGTTGTCCCCCATGTATCTCAACTTGGCCCAGTCCCGGAAACTTTGTCGATCGCCCCCAGATCGTGAGCAGCACTTTTGGAGCTCTTGTAAGAACTCTTCGCAAGCGCTGCCACATCTTCGTAGAGGTAGATCAAGTGCGGGAAGATCCACATCTGTATGTAACCTCATCGTGTCGCTCAACGATTCCAGAACGCTGATAAGTGCTTCTAGCTCTTCAATGAGATCGCGCACTCGTTTGGGATGGGTTTTGAAGCTCTGTATTGTTGTGTAAAGCGTAAGACATGATTTGTGGGCGAAGATGACTAGTGTCAAGACACCAGAAGCAAGGCTTATAGGGTCGGCCATCGCAATAATGCGTGTCGTGATAGATCGACTATACTGGACGACTATACATGGGACCGAGGCTAGGTTAAATATGTTCTTGATCAAATGCATCGCATCGTAAGCGTGCAAATTGCGCTACCGATTGGTCCGCGCCACCGACGAAACAAGCGCTGCTAATCTAGTTTGAGACAGCCGGCGGTTATCTTCACATGCTAAGAACCATTCACCTCTATTGTTCCCCACTAAATCAGGCGCGCGGTTCAGCACATATCCTTTCAGAACTGCGAGTGCGTCAGTCTTCATAAAACCAAAGGTTCAAGAGGACAAGCTTCGATAACGTCGTTGCAAGAGACTCAACTCGCAACATACGTGGATAAGCGCACCCATCCAGAATGTATCTTCCCAGCTCAAGTCTTCGCTCCTTTCTCTGTCAAAGCGCATTTTCTCTGACCAGCCCTGGAGTGAAGAAAAGGAACCCTCGTTCGGTGACGGTATCTCCAGGAAGCGCAATTGTGCTTGCCAACGCTCTGACAACCAACTCAATACTAGATATCACGAGCACGTGACGAATAAGTATTGTGGGTATTGTTACAAAGCTATCAAACAGCGGTTGGTCGATAACGAGCTCAAACAACTATTGGAGAGAATTAGTTCTGTCCCCGTCGCTAACCTTGCAAGGATCCTTACAACCCGGACTTACCATACAGCGTATACTCCATAGGTTCAAGCGACAATCTGCTCTGTGTCAGAACATGATCTCGGGAGCCTGAAGCAAAAAGGGAGTTTGAGATGTCTTAGGAGCATCGGGGCTCCAAAGAGATTGATCGAAATCGACGGGATTGACTAAAATGAGCGAAGACCCGTCAACTGCATGGACTCGTGCCTCTGCGCTTCTTCTTCACCGGCTCTGATGCCACCGATGTTGGTGTTATCGGCGTCTGGAAACGAATCGAAAACTGCGAGTTCACCGAAGTCGACTCGGAGGGCGCGGTTATACTCTCCGACATCATTCTAGATGAGGAGTCTGCGTTCCTCGAATGCAGGGAGCGCTGCTCTGATGGACTCAAGCCGTTCTGTAGTGGCATATGAAACAATTTTCCAAAGAATGAGTCGTGCTTCTTGCACTTCTACCTCTTTTCGTAGCGAAAACTCGAACACAAGCTCCATGTGGTGTACATCTCGGTCCCACCAGTGAACGAAGATATTGCCATTCAGCAGATCGCAGGTGAGGGAGAAGTGACAAGTCTCTGTAGCGCTGGGTTCGCGTCCGTACGCCATGCTGTAGAACTTGTGAAGGTAATTTACAATCACAGCCCCATCGCGAGTAGCTTGATTGTGGGCGTGAGAATGATTTTGATTCGAGTTGGGCATCTTCCACTGAGAGGTAAGGAAAGAGAAATGCATATATTGAGTAAGTTGATACCTTCACGATACATTAGCCAGAGCTTCGATGTTCGTTTCTATACGCACCTGTCAAGAATATCCTCCTCTTCAGATGAGAAAGCAGTCTGGCTGTGCGGTACCGCATTGTCGGCATCGCCACGAGTTATGTATCCAATTGCTGCATCAGGCCTTGGCTGTGACAAATCGCCCCAAGTCTTTGTAATTGTGTCGCTTGAAGCTTGTGGAAGGAACGACCGTGAGAGATTGATCTCGTCTTTTGAATAGATGAGAGGAACCCCCAGCACCCTATCATCCGCTTCCGCTTCTCCTCGAAACAAGAAACAAGGTTCAATCTGCTTTATGCCGCCCCGTTCATTCTGATGAGCCGCGACGCGTCTCTTTTCAGTGACCTTCTTTGCGTTTGGCGACGGCGCCGACGTGCGAGGCTTGCGAATGACGTTGGCAATGTGCTGCTCTAGCTCGGCAGGATAAGGGCAGTCGTTGTCGATGATGATTTTGTACGCTCGGAGCTTATTACGGTTTTCCAGGTTCGATCGACTTGGGCACGGTGTTCGAGAAGACGACATAGCCGCTGAAGGCAGCTGATGATCAGGGAGCCGAACACTCTCACGGGTGAGCGGCAGGGTTGCCTAGTAGGCCGAGCAGGCGTGGAGATGGAACAGCGCGTCGCTTCGAAAGCGAGAGCTGAGCTGCGCAAGTGCGCGGAGCTTTCAGAAAAGGTATGCTTCCTCACCATAGGCAATTGACTACGTGGTCAAAAACGACACGGTGCCACCTCATTGGTCAGCAGTGTATACACGTCGCGTACGCGGGCAGCGCTCCAACTCTTCCAACATCAAGATGCTGCTGTCAACTACTTCTGACAGGAGTTCCCTCGTCATTCTCTGCTCTTGCTATGGCAGACACTCATTGGGCGGATGCACCACGAGCGGTGCTCAGTTAGGGCGACATCACACCGATTGGCTCAAGCTTTCTCAGATCACGAAGGACACATTGCTAACACGACTGCAGCGGAAGCGATGTTATGACGGCGTGGGCCGCTGTGGTATACTGATAGCTACGGTAAACAATACGTAGGACTATCGGGTCGATGGAAGACTGCGCTGAGTTTGAGAGTAAGCCCGAGCTATATTTTCCGGCGGACGATGGGAACATGACTGGAACGATCGTGTAGATGAGTTCATAAGTTATACCCGTATCGAAACTAACACGCTTGAATGGATATGCTTCTTAGGGGACTGTGATCGTGACTTACACATTTTTAATATCCAAAATGTAAACGTTGTGTTGTTAAAATGCACGAAAGTGATTTTCTTGAAGCCTTAATGTCCCGTAACTTGTTACACTTTATTCAAGAGTCGAAGCTGGATGTGCATAGTCGTCGTAGGAATGCTAACTTTGCACTAGCTTGCCAGCTGTTGAACAGCTATGTACGTGGATACTGATTATAGGCAGTGCTCTCTGCAGCTCAAGTTACGAACAGAACGAAGACATTGTTGTCCTGAGAAAGAAATTGGAGCCAATCCTCTAAGGTCTTTATGATTATTATGAAATTATGGTAGATTTTCACATGCCCGAGACACTGGAATACTAAGGTCTTCCATTACGCAGACTGTGGTAATGCGCCTCACAGGACCTTCTGACCTCTTAGGAAAGCGCTTGCATATCCAGACCGATCCATGTTCTCCTTGTCCCTGTATGCAAGTAGACGGAAACTGTCTGACACTTTCCATGGCTCACGCGTACGCCGAGGACTGGTTTCAGCGACACTATGCTTTCGAATAGTCCGGCGCGGTGAGTGTCCCCTCTTGCCAGAAGCATGGCTGTAAAGCTGATGCTGCGGAGGCTCTGCCGTCAACATCTCACGAGGCTGGTCGTAGGGCGAAGTCAACTCAACTTCACTACTCCCGCCTTCCTTAGATTCGGTTCCAACGTTGCTGTCTGCACATCCCTTCGATTTGTAACACACTCTCGTCATATACTGATTAATGCTCGGTCTCGACGCGGCCTTTCTCATTTGAGACGGCTTTTTGGCAGTGCCGTGATCCTGTAGGCTCATATAGCTCGGAGAGTCACTGCTCCTGTAGTCGATGTCACCCTGCCATTCATCAATCCCAGAGATAGTTCTGAGGCAGTCACTGCCCAGAGACGGGGTAGATGGCTCATCACATTTCGCGACCTTGTATACTGACGTAGAAGTCGACAAGTTCTCGCTGTTCCTCGATCTTAGTATCCTTCTCCTTCATCTGTCTTCCCAGTTCCGCCACCCTTTCTCTTATCCTTTTTGATCACTTCGCCCCTCGTGGCCAGCTGCTGGGCTTGGGCTGAATATCCACGCTCTAGCTCCTCATTCTGATGCTTCAACTGGTTTACCTGCCTCTTCAGCCCAGCTGTCTCGTTCCACGCATCATTCGCATGTATGGACTGCTCGGCAGCGTTTCATCGCGCCTCTTGCTCCTGTGCTTCTATAGAGTCGCGCTGTTCGTTCACAGCATACCGATGCACATTAGTAGGGAAAGTATCAAGGACAGTTTGCTGCCAGCTCTGATTTGACATCGACAACCGCAGGAGGAATAGACGCGGAGCCAGAGGCAGAGTAGGAAAGAAGACATCGTAAGGGTTAGCAAGGACGACCTGGCAGTAGGACAGACATAAGCTGTCCTGAGTATTAGCAACAACGGACCACACGAAGCAGACAGTAGTAGAGGCAGATGTTAGAATGAGCCAGGTGCAAGCATAAGCAAGGTCTAACAATGACAGAGTTGGTTGCAAACGAGAAGAGTGAATAGTGTGTTCTTGTTACGAACAGAAGGCAGGAGGCAAAGAAGGCTGGGTCAATGAGAAGAGAGGGAACGGGGCACAACAGAGGAAAGCCTATACATATACCCGAACGAGGGTGAGACCCGGTGAGGAAGTCGCGACGGAGGGAAGGCACGACCGCACACCGATGGACCAGCCAGATGAACGCTCGAACGTCATCTCCGGTATTGAAGCTACGCCACAGATCTGGTGTCAAGTCTTGACATGTTCCTGTGCCTCATACTGTGTTTGCGGCCTGTCTCACGTTAGAAGTCCCAATCCTGCGTTAGAACCAGTCAGATAACCTATATACTATTTTTAACTCGAGCTTGCTCTCTTCCCGCTCCTTCCTGCTCCTTCCTGCCAGCCTAAACAGCGGGTTGTTTGATTCTCCTAGGCGTTGTGATATGCATTCGATGCTGCGAGCTTCAACATCCCGGAACTACCAACGCCCTTCTTCAAGCGAGCACCGCGCTTCTTTGCAATGATGAAGGTCCGAACGTTTTGGGAGCCCCTCATCACAGCAAGCTGTGCGAAAGGCAACAGAGATCGAACGGTAAGCACCCTTCTGTTGAAATCACGACAATGGCCACGCTTACTGCCAATCCTGGAAGAAGTATGTTAACGAGCTCTTTGAACTCGTTTGAATCTCTTTACTTTCCGTCGTTCCAACTCTATACCACTCAACGCCAGAGGCTGCAGTCCAGGCCGCAGATTTGCCAACGCCTGAATTGCATCTGCTCGTCATCAAACTTGATCGTTGTTCGTTAAATCCAACTGTAGAATATTTCGCACACTCCGTTTGCATTACCTCCTGCCCTTCTCGGCCTCTTTGCGCATCAGCTTCGTCGACGCCCGCTGGAGCGCAGTCTTGATTTCACCCTTCTTGAACGTCGAGAGATCGTAGTAGTTGGGCGAGATATCCTATCATCGTTAGCAAAATCTAGAGATTTCCACAATACACTTACCAGAAGCCACTCCGGCCGGACGCTGGTCACGGTGCGGATGTAGTTCTTGGTTGTGAGGACAAACTCGTTGTACACGACCCATTCGCTGTCCTCGGCCAGCACCGTGCTAGGATGCAGCAGCACGGTCTGCTCGTCCTTGACGGTCGTGTACTGCTTCCCGTTGCCGTCGCGCTTGGCGACCTGCATGAAGAAGCCGGCGACGAGAGCGCGCTGGATGTTCTCGTAGTACTTCTTGTTCTCAAAGGGCGTGGACATGAGCTCGAGCTCGGAGCGCTCCATTATGCGCTTGAGCTGCAGGCGCACATTGTCTGCCTGCTGCAGTGCGCGATACGAGAGGAAGTGGTCGTGGCACCACTGCTTTGGGTTCGCCTGCGCCTCCTCACCCTTGAATGCGTGGTACACGTTGAGCATGGTGAGGTGGTCGCCCTTGGGGTGTGCAAACAGCTCCTTCATCTCGTCGGCGCGCTTGCGGTTGCTTGCTGGGCGAACGAAGATCTGGGGCACGGAGAGAAGCGCGGTCAAGGACAAGATCTCGTTCGAGCAGTAGAACTCGGGCGATGTGATCAGCATGACAGCCAGCGCAGGGTCAAGCGGGAACTCAGAAGCAAGCCGGCCCAGGGTTGTCAGTTCACCCTCGTCGTCCAGACATGCGAGGTAGTTGAGCTCCTCGAGTGCGCGCATGAGCGTTTCGGGCGCAGGCGGGTCCATCAGGTCGAAGTGTACCAAATCGTCCACGCCCAGCTTCTTCAGCTCGAGAACTGTGCTCGCCAGGTTAGAGCGCAGGATCTCTGGGTAAGTCTGCTCGATCAACTCCTTCTTGAACGCGGACTCGGTGTACAGACGGAAGCACTTTCCAGGCCGTGTACGACCGGCACGACCAGCGCGCTGCTGGGCCGAGGCCTTTGAGATGGGCGAAACGAGAAGCGACTCGACACGGATGCGGGGGTTGTAGACCTTTTGCTTGCTGAAGCCAGGATCGACGACGTACACAATGCCATCGATGGTGAGCGACGTTTCGGCGATGTTAGTGGAGACAATGACCTTGCGGCCAGGACGTCCGCCGGGGGTCAACGGTGCCGGTGCCGCGCTGAAGATCTTCTGCTGCTGCGCGGGAGGGAGCGTTCCGTAGAGCGGGTACACGACGAGCGGCCCTGCGCCTCCTTCCCGCGTCAGATCCTGGGCCTCGAGGCTGATTTTCCTGCAAGCGTCCTCGATCTCCTCCTCACCGGTCAAGAACAGCAGCACATCGCCCTCGGGCTCGGTGGCGTGGATCTGGAGCACCGTGCGCAGCGCAGCCTCGACGTAGTCGCGCTCGGGCGCAGGCGTATAGAAGACCTCGACCGGGTGCGTGCGACCGGGCACCGCCAGCAGCGGGGCGTTGTGGAAGTACTTCTGGAACTTGGTGGCGTCGAGGGTGGCGCTCATGATGATGAGCTTCAGGTCCTTGCGGCGCAGGACGACCTCCTTCAGCAGGCCCATCAGGATATCCGTGGCCAGGGTGCGCTCGTGGGCCTCGTCGAGGATGATGGTGCTGTAGCGCGACAGGTTGTTGTCGTGCATGGCCTCGCGCAGCAGCATACCGTCGGTCATGTACTTCATGATGGTGTTGGGGCCCGTCTTGTCGTCGAAGCGGATCGTGTAGCCGACCTCCTCGCCGAGCGTGACGTCCATCTCGTCGGCGACACGCTGCGCGACCGACATGGCGGCGACTCGGCGCGGCTGCGTACAGGCGACCATCTGGCCGCTCTGCTGGGGGAGGTCGTCGTAGAGGACGAACTGCGGGATCTGCGTCGTCTTTCCGGAACCCGTCTCTCCGACGAAGACGAGGATCTGCGACTCCTGGTACAGCTTGAGGAACTCGTTGCGCTGCTGGTGGACCGGCAGGTCGCGGCGCGTCTTGAGGATGCTCATGTACTTGCTCGACAGCGGCCGGCCGGTGAAGGGGTTGTTGGGCCCGTCCTCCGCGGCCTCGGCCTGCTTCGACGTGGTAGCATGGCGCCTGAAGCCTGCGAGGGCGTCCTCGCTCTTGACCGTCGAGTCGTTCCAGTGGCTGAGGTACGGGTTGCTCTCGCGCTTGGCGGCGCTGGTCGAGTCTTCGGTCTTGACGCGCTTGGTGTCGCGGTGCCCGTCGTCGGATTCGCGCTTGACCGTCATGGTGTGCTGGCGTGCAGTACCGAGTTGCAGTGAGGTACTGTTGGCGGGTACGGAGATGCCAGCGGGCGAGCACAGAGACGGCGATTTGCATCTACTTTTTTTGACCGCCGCGCCCACCGCTTGCCAACTGGGCTAGCGTCGTGCGTAAAATGCTGCACGACGCCCTGACACCGGGCTCTTCTCCCTGACACCGGGCTCTTCTCCCTGAAAGCAACAAACATGTAGGAGGAGCTGGCTGGCGTGCCTCAAGATACAGTACCAAAAGCAACCAATGGGAGCAACAAAACACTGCAACGCACTCCAACCGTGCGGTTGCTGAGTATGTTGCGGCAGGACACTGCCCCACTAGAGGCCTCTGAAGAAAAGAGAACGTCTAGACGTCAGGAGCGTCCCATGGATCTGACTATGGCCCAACACAGTGTTTTGAGGGGATCCTGATTGCGATTACTGCGATTTGGTTGCAGTTCCGTAGCGGAGCCATGGTGAACATTCACCCCGTTGTGCCTCATTCTGCCTCATGTGCCTCACCGTGCCTCACCGTGCCTCATTGTGCCCCATCGTGCCTCATTGTGCCTCATTGTGCCTCAGGTGCGCGGTGTGCGCTACCCCACCAAAACTCTGGGTCGTGTGCAAAGAATGCTAACGCGCAAATGTAACACACAACGCTCCCTGTGGTCGCCAGACCGAGGCTCGTTCTGCTGCCGCTCACTGGCACAGCATTTCCACCGCGCTCTCCCCTGCGCTGCGACATACCACCCACGATGAGCGCCGGCTACGCAGACGACATGGACTCGCTGCCCGTCTTCTACATCGGCCAGCACGAGAGCAAGCGCGCGCTGGACGTGTCGGCCGAGCTCGTGCACCACGCGCAGGACCTGGGCGTATGCGTTGCTCCTCCCTCCAGCGGCGCCATGAGCTGACAGGCGCAGTATGACATGCTCTCGAGCCCCATTACCAACGACCACTTCCACACCCGCGTCCTCGGCCTGCTGCGTTCCTACACCCACGCCGCCTCGAGCGCTGCCCAGCCGCTGCCGCTCCCGCTCATCGCCGCCCTCGAGAGCCTCGACACCCCGCTGGGCCCGGCCGAGACCATCAGCCAGCTGGTCACGTACTCGAGCTCGTGGATCGACCTCTCCTCCCCGGACCCCGTCATCGCGCACCTCTCGCGCCAGGTGCTGCACCTCGAGGTCGCCTATGCATCCTTCTGCGGCGCCGTCAACATGGTCGTGCCTGGCCCGCGCCTCTCCCACGGCCAGAATGGCGTGGCACAGTATGCACGCGCACTCAAGGAGGCCATGTCCACCGGCGCATACGTCCAGTTCCACATCCTCATGCCTGTGGACGGCACCAAGACTGCAGTCGACGACCAGGAAGAGCTGGGCGACCTCAAGCGCTTCGCGAGGCCCGAGTTTGGCGCACAGCAGAACAGCAGCACAGATGTCTGGAGCTCGTGGGAGGCTTGGAACACGATCAGGTCGATCTGCAAGTACCACTCCAGACTGTCACTCGCTCTCGAGCTGCCACGCAAGCTGCCCTCCCTGGCGATACAGGCGCGCTGGTTCTCTGAGCCTGTCCGTCTCGTCACCATACCCTCTGCGTCCTTCCTCGTCAACGCCCGGGGATCGTTCGTGCTGTCCAAAGCACACCAATGGTTCCTCTTCCGCTTCGCGCGTCTGCGCTCGTCTCCGTGGCTGTTGCTGTCAGACATTGGCCCGCTGCCGGGCATCGATGACCCCGACATGATCATGTCCTACTCGACCGGCCATCTGTCACCTTCGACCGCCGAGGACGCTGATCCGTCCGCTGAGCCCACGCCCGCCGAGGCAGCGCAGCTGAAGAAGAAAGCTGCGAAGGTCAGTAGCAGCGGCAGCGGCGGCAGCGGCGGCGGCAGCAGCAGCAGCGACCCGACGCCGCACCTCAGCTACCTGCGCTACCTCCAGCGCAACCAGCCCCCGAAGAGCCAGATCGAGCGGTTCGGCGGAGGATTCCAGGACTATCTGCAGAGTCCGTTGCAGCCTCTGTCCGACAACCTCGAGTCCATCACCTACGAAGTCTTCGAGAAGGACCCCATCAAGTATGCCTGGTACGAACGTGCGACTGCGCAAGCCTTGAAGGATTGGCACAGCCAGAAAAAGTCCACCAGCTCGGACAACGGTGCCGTAGTTGTTGCTGTGGTTGGTTCAGGTCGCGGTCCGCTCGTCACGCGGGCATTGAATGCCAGCGCCAGCAGCGGCGTGCCTGTCAAGGTCTACGCAATCGAGAAGAATCCCAACGCCTATGTCCTGCTGCAGCGACGCAACATGGACACCTGGGGTGGCCGGGTTACTGTAGTCAAGACAGACATGCGCGCCTGGAAAGGACCATCGCAGCCAGACGGCACGTTCGGCAAGGTGGACATCTTGATCAGCGAGCTGCTGGGTAGCTTTGCCGACAACGAGCTGTCTCCCGAGTGTCTCGACGGCGTCCAGCATGTCCTCAACACTGAGCACGGCATTTCGATACCATCCAGCTACACGGCGCATTTCACACCACTCGCGACGCCGAAGCTCTGGGCAGACATCCACGGCCGCAGCACCAGCGTTGACCCCAATGCTTTTGATATTCCGTGGGTTGTTATGCTTTCGCAGTTTGACTACCTTTCCACCACCACCACGGCCGAGACCAGCGCCTCCCAGCAACTGACCAACGGCACTAAGATGAACCATTTCAACCTGGAGGCCCCTCTTGCGCCCATCGTCCGCACGGCCTGGGAGTTCTCGCATCCCCTGCCACCCAGCGTACTCACGCAGTCAGCCTTGCGTAGGGGCGGATCTGCAGTGGGTGGTGGAGGTGGCTTCATTGGCGGCGATGGTGCCAACGAGCACAACTACCGAGACTGCAGGATCTCCTTCCCCATCCGCGAACAGGGCGTGTGCCACGGTCTCGGCGGTTACTTCGAGACGGTGCTTTACAGCGGCTCTGAAGGGCCTGTCGAGCTGTCAACAAATCCGGTGACAATGGACGCCAAATCTAAGGACATGATTTCTTGGTTCCCCATATTCTTCCCGCTGAAGGTACGTTCGCGTCTGTTCTTCTACTGATGCAGAGCTAATCGTATACACAGACACCCATGCATTTGCCCGCGGGCTCCGAGGTCGAGGTCAGCATGTGGCGCCAGACAGACGATCGGAAGGTGTGGTACGAGTGGCTTGTCGAGAGTTTCATGACGGTCAACGGGCAGAGGATCGGGCTTGGCGTATCTGACTTGCACTCGAGCAAGAGCAGTGGATGCTTGATGTAGACATGACAGAATACCCAAAAGTTGTCCCACCCTGCAATCATATTCTGAAAGTGCAAGTTTGGCTGTGATTGCCCGCAACAATATGTCCAGCTTCGTGCAGATGATCTCGGTGATGGCGTCGTGCTCGCACCTCCGAAACCTCCGCACCGAGGTCATAGCTCCTCCAGCTTCCCCCACGCTAGTCGCACTACCTCGACTTCATCTTTCTTCCATAACTTCCTCATCGCGAAGGCTCTTCAAATTCAATCATAACAATGCCACCCTTCTGGACAATTGGCTGCCTGTACGGCGCCTCCAGCGTGATGCTTGGCGCATTCGGCGCGCACGGCCTCAAAAAGAGAATCGCAGACCCAGCTCGCATCGGTACGAAGAGATCCAGCCATGCCGTCGCATATCTAATCGGATTTCCAGCAAACTGGGGAACCGCAGCGCAGTACCAGCTCATTCACTCGGCAGTCCTGACGTTTGCATCTGTCGCGGCACCGCAAAATACGGTTGCTATGGGCTTGCTTACTGCAGGCATGACGATGTTCTCTGGAAGCCTGTATCTGCTTGTATTGGATCCGCAGAGGTTTGGGAAGTACCTGGGGCCGGTCACACCGATCGGTGGTCTCTGCCTCATTGGGGGCTGGGTGGCACTGGCGGTTACGAAGAGGCCTGTTTTGCCCAAGTTCAAGTAGGCGTGTACAAGATAGGCATCCAATACGCCTGGAGGAACAGTTTTGAACGAGTGTTGAAGGCGTTCAGGCGACTCTATAGCTGGTCTGTACTCTGATGAGCTACGGAAGATTACGACGGCCCGCGCTGTTGTCGTACAAGTTTGGGCTTGCGTTAATAGGCCTCCAGGCCGCATGCTCCATAACAGCAGGACAAGATCAGATGTTAACTTGGGTTGGCAGGCAATCTGTACATGTGTACGATGAGAGATGTAAGGAATAGGCTCAGTGACAACGCTGCTTCGAATTATTCATTACTGCTGGCGCTTCCTATACTAACGCAATGCCAGTCAGATCTCCAAGCTCTGGAAACAGCACTTTCTTTTCCCGCGACGCAAGATCAACCTCGTAGACGCCGCCCGCCAGGTCACTGACATACGCCTTTCTCTCCTCCTTATCGATCGCCAAACCAATCGCTTCGTGGAGCCTCGTTGCCAGTATTTCCACCGCGCCAACCTTTTCACCTCCAACAAACGCGCGATTCAGCGAATTGCCTCTCGGTGGGTCACCGCGGTCCGTCCAGTACAATACATGGCTCTCCTCGTCGAGCTCGAGATCGATGGGCTCAGGAAGACTATCAAACAGCAGCTTCTTCGACGCCTCAGCATCATCAACTCTCGCCCGGAATATCCTGCCCTCAAATCCCTTCGACAGACCCTTCTGACTCCAGTACACCTCTCCCCTTGCAACATCGACGGCGACACCAACGCACCAGTTCCGATTATCGTCTCCATCGCCCTTTGCCGCATCGCCAGTATCAACCAGAACCTCCGGCTTTGCAGGCAGCGTGTCGACGCAAGCGCGCATCACTTTCATGCCCTCCCTGTCACACCAGTAGATCCATTTCCGCCCCGCGTCCTCGGCAAAGATGATTTGTTTCGGTGTCCAGACGCCCACGCTCCCTTGCTCGACGACGACTTGCTGGTCCGATCCGTCGAGATTTGCGCGTATGATGCTGCCGCTGTTTGTGCTGAGCGAGCTGCCCATCTGCGTCACGTACATTTGGCCAGAGGCGTGGTCGATTGTTATCCCGTCGGGTAGTGTGGACATGTTGGAGATGACATCATGGGCATCGGTGCCGGATGTGGTGGTCGAGATGATGCGGCCGCCTGAGAAGTTGGGGGATGAGAGGGCGCAGTCGAGGATGAAGAGGCGTTTGGAGGGGGGCAACTGGGGAAGGATTTGGATGGATGGCATCTTCTTGAGCTGAATTGCGACCTGTCAACGATCTGTGGAGGCTTATGTTCAAGCGTATAGTGTCGGAGCGCTGAGTATATATCACGACTGAAACAGCTACAGTGTTGGATTGCGTCAGTCGGGTATCGCTCGGGCCTGATGCATATTTGCAAGGTCTTCCGGCGAGGCCATCGACACCGGTCGAGCAGCCACGTCGGTGGAAAAGAGCACTGTTACGCGCGAGGTTGTGGTCAAGCTCGGCCGAGGCAGCTCGGTGGAATTATCAGACGGCGCTAGGAACAGAGCCGCACTCGGGGAAAACGGCCTTGCAGCTGCACACGCGAGACAGGTTGTTCCTTGCAGACAGCAGGAAAATCGCCGATTGGTCGACTGGATCAAGTCTTTTTGAGGACAACTGAGCACCAAATGCTAATGAGATGCAGACTCGAATTGCCATCAGTACGCATCATCAGAGGCGGGCTATTGCTACGATCGAAGTGAAGCATGTATTGGCGGGTATCTGTTCTACTCTTGTGGCTGCCCCTTCCTTGCCTCTGCATACCCGTCCCACTCCTTCCTCAAGTTCAGTAACCGCACCAACTCGGAATCTCTCTGCGTAACCAGGTCATCAAACTTCCTCTCTCTGACGGCATCCATGGTGCTCTCCACCCACTTCTTCTTCAGCGCATCGTCGAGCACCGGGTCTTCCCTGGCCCACCACGTCGTCACTGGCTGAAGCAAATGATCTGCCATGTGCTGCGCGCCATGTTCGCCACCAGCCAGGTGGAAGAGCGTGTTTGGGCCCATGATGCCCCATCTCAGACCTGGTCCGTACGCCATGGCATCCTCAATGTCGGAGATACTGCATGTGTCGTTTTGCAGCATGGACAGCATCTCGCGCATCAGTGCCGCCTGCAGCCGGTTGGCGATGTGCCCCATAACCTCCTTTTTCACATGTACGGCTTTCTTCCCCATGGCATTGTAAAATACCATCGTTCTGTCGATGGTGTCCTGCGATGTCTGTTGCCCGCCGACAACTTCGACGAGGGGAATCAGATGTGGGGGGTTGAATGGGTGGCCGACGATCACTCTCTCAGGATTTGATGAGGCTGACATGCCATCCTGTATCGAGCTGCACGTGAGGCCGCTGGAGGATGTCGCGAGGATCACATCAGGTCTGACCAGGCCCGCCATCTCTTCAAACATCTTCTGCTTGAGCTCCAGTCTCTCAGGTCCATTCTCTTGCACAAAGTCTGCGTGTTTCAGTGCTTCTTTCAAGTCGTTTGTGAAAATGATGCTGTCGGTGGACGCGAAAGGACTTTTCTGCAGGCCGAGAGACTTGAGTACAGGAAGAGCATTCGCAACTAGCTTTCGTAAGCTCGTCTCAGCCGCGGCGTTGATGTCGAAGGCCGTAACAGTCAGGCCTTGTGAAAGGAACAGTGCTGCCCACGATGCGCCGATTGAGCCGCAACCGATGATTGAGATGTGTTGGATGGGGAGAGTAGTAGAGTGAGGCATTGTGGAAACTGCGGATGCAAATGCGAAGTCGAAAGTTAGGAAGGTCCAGAATGACTGGGAGAGCGGCACACGCAACGGGAGACAACACATATAACAACAGAAGCCACATTTGGCAAGCAGTACACTCAGCCGCGACACACGCCTTCGCACGACACGAGCACCTGCATCTCCATACGACTGGAACGGTGATAGCTCGGACAATACATCATCATGTCGATCTGATCACCGTTCCACCGGTTCGGGCCGAGTCGAAAACTTCGACCCTAGAACACCACCTTCGAAAAGCAGTGACGAGTCAGAACGTACAACTAAGATGAGACAATACAAGCAAGGTAGGTATTTCGAGGTCGTCGGTGAACATCGGCAAACCCTGTCCACGGTACAGGGCTGCGTGGATGCTCCACATCACTCGATCTTGACCGACATTGCAGAGACATCGTACGAATGCAAGGTAGTATTCGTGTCCGAAACATGCCTGCTTCAGTCATGTGGTTACTAGCGATTGGCAAGGTTGATCGATAAGGCAATGAGCGTCGGAGAAGCCGTCATGTAAGTATGCTGTTGCCATATAAGAAGTGCTTGGTTACTTCTAGCACAAACATCTTGAATCATCACAGCTGCACCAGTATTGCACTACACCAGGGTCATCACAGGAACCACCATGGCTTCACAAGACCGCGTCACAGATGTCTACGGTCCAGGAACATACACTGATAAAGCATTCGTCCCGGTCCCCGAGGACACTTCTCGCATCTTTCGACTCATCGCTTCACAAACACCAGGCTTCACGCAGGATGAGGCCATTCTTTCGAAAGTCAAGTTTACGGGTGAAGACTACCCCGTCATTCCCGGGCCCATCAAAGCTACCTCAGTAGCTGCAGCTTTGCATGCCATGTGCGGTGTCATCGCAGATGAGATCCTCACTTTGAGAGGTTTGAAGGACGACAACCGGAAAATCACCGTCAACACTACACATAGCGCAATATGGTTTGGTTGTGTGGCGACAGCCTATCTAAACGGCGACGATGTCCTCAGTATGGCAGCGCAAAAGAAGCTGGGCGACATCCTGCAAGACTGGGAACAAGGCTGGACGGATACACCCCTCAAGTATCGCGCGACTGCACTATATCCCACAAAAAATCCCGAGACATGGTACTCGTTCCACGGTAGCATGAACGCCAAACCGGTCCTTGAGAGCATTGGCATCAACCCTAACGCGAACGTGTCCACCAACGAGGAGGCTGCAAATCTCATTGCCGAACACACGAAGAAATACAGTCCGGAAGAGCTCGAGATGAACAACCTTCTCAACGGCTTCTGTGGTTCGATCTGCTTCACACCAGAACAGTGGAGAAATTCCACCATGGGCAAGTCCCTGGCCGCCCACCCATTGGTGAATGTCAAAAAGCAGACCCACGCCGTGCCCACACCACCCATCGCATTTCCCCCTCTAAATCCTCATGACCCTCGCCCCCTGGCTGGAATCAAAGTTGTAGAACTCACTCGCGTCATCGCCGGACCCGAAATCGGCACAATCCTCGCCTCCTTCGGCGCCGACGTAATTCGCCTCAACGCTCCGTTCCTGCCGGATATCAATATTATGCAGTTGTCTCTCAATGCCGGGAAACGCACGTCCACCGTCGATCTGCGCAATGCCTCCGACCGCCAGCATTTGGACGCGCTTCTCGCAGACGCCGACGTGTTCATCCAAGGCTTCCGTCCGGGCAAGATGAAGAAGTTCGGTCTCGGTGTAGAAGAGCTCCTCGAGATGGCCGGCAAGCGCGGCAAAGGCATTGTTTACGTCTCCGAGAACTGCTACGGGCCTGACGGGTACTACAAAGAGCGACCGGGGTGGCAGCAGATTGGGGACGCAGCAGCGGGATCTGCGTACGTGACTGGTCGGGCTCTCGAGATCACACAGGGACTGCAGAAGCATGAGGCTGTGCTCCCCAGCTTGCCCATCTCGGATATGTCGACTGGTGTGCTTGGGGCTGTCGGCGCGATGCTGGCGCTGAGGGAGCGGGCGACGAAGGGCGGGAGCTGGGAAGTTCTTGCCAGTCTTACGGGGGTGAATGCATACGCGCTGAGAGAAGATGTTGGATTGTACCCGCTGCAGACGGTGAAGGAGTGTCAAGAAAGATTCCAGTGGGGCGAGATGAGAGGAAGTCATCACGTGCTCGATCTGCTTGTCACAGTCTGGAAGGGCTGGAAAAAGGTTCTTGGACACTACTTGGAAGAACAGAGTGGTTGGTATCAGAGTTTTGAAGGCAGTGCTTTCGGCGGGAAGAAGCTGAGCGTGCTGAAGCCGGTACCACAAATCGAGGGTGCAGAGGGTGCGAGATGGTTGACGCCCAGTGTTCCGTATGGGGCGGAGAAACTGGAGGGTATGTCGTGGTTGTAATGAGTAGTTGATAACAACATACGTATTGGCTTTTACCTACAGCGAATAGCAAGTACAATGCACGCAATGAAGAATAAACTCGAGAATATTGGTGTCAGTCAGAATTGACTCGGCGGACAGGCAAGTAGCAGCGACCATATCTTGTCGTTTACCGGGTACGTCAGATCCTCTCCAAGTACGTTTTCAGCGGACTTTGTCACAGGATGATCTATCTTACCTGCAATTTTCCACGATTGATTCTCAGTTGCCTTATATTTCCTTGCAGTACCCATCAACCACCCAAAATGCTCTTCTTCCACTCCGTTTCTGGATGCGCTGCCGTCTTGATCATGACGCTTGTCTCTTTTACGGGTGCGATTCCCTTCGAAGTTGTTGCGGTATCGATTGGTCCGCACACAGTCTGACTATACCCTTGACAGATTACCTAGTCTAGTGTGTTACTGGTCAGGTATATAGTCGTCATCTCCCAGCTAGATAGCAACTCAGCGCAGTATTCCATCGACCCGATAGTCCTACGTTGTCGTTCACCGTAGCTATCAGTATTCTACAACGGCCCACGCCGCCACAACTGATACCACTTTATTCCTCCACCTCTCAGATCAAGATTGGCAGTTGGACCAGCACCAACATATTTCCAAGACTTGTGCTTGTCCACCCGGCAGTCCTCCTCACTGAAGGTGACACAGAGACAGCCTATACCAATGTTTATGGACTCGGCTTTCCTCTTGGTATTATGAGTTGTAAAATATCACGACCCCCTATCTTTGGGACCTAACAGGACTTAGCGCGGGGTCTGTCAAGAGTATAGATATATATGGGGGCTCCTCACGTGCTAGACCCTGAACCACACCTTCACAGCCACTCACAGTGCCTGCACACAACCAACCCCACATCATCGCTATCATCGCTACCATTATCCCACCTACTATCAGATTCAGCTCGTTCATGCGATTAGATTGGTGTCAAGGTTGTTGTACTAAAGGCATGTGGGACTTCAGCCACTACAAAGTATCGTGCCTTTGTTGGTAGTACGACTGGAGACTGATGCTTTTGGCAGTCCGCGCAAGGGGGCACCCTTTTTCCATGAGGCTGAAACCGCCCTCTGTGTTCGCTTACAGTGCGTGCCTGCACTGAGCCTCGAAACACTCTGATTTCTTGCTGCACAGCGAATACCGTCTTGTGGTACTAGTGTAGTGTAATTTCTTAGCCGACTTTGGTCTCAGCTTATTCCACTGGTACTGCTGCACCCTCAACAGCCTATGTTCAGGCGATGGTTTCCATTTCCGCTTCTGTCCCAGCTTCCGTCCCATATGTACGGAGCCGAAATTTCGAATCTTTGGAGACTGACAGCACTACGCATTGGCGTGATGCGTATCCTGCCATTGAAATCGCTGGTAGAGCAAGACCGAGCAATCATTGGTTCAAAAATGTGGAAGATTTAACCACCTCCCAAGCTTATGCATCGTCTCAAGTTGAAGACGTCTTCTGCAAAAGTGAAGGTAGCCTCTGAAGCGTCCGTTTGCCGTTTTAGCCCCACTCTCTATTGTAGTCTTCAACCGCCATGGCCTCTGTACGAATCTCCCTTTCTACCCTCTCACGTACCTTATTGGATACGTGTCAACCGCCAGACATGAAGCTTTTCATGCTCGTGGCGGCCTTCCTCCTGGCGCTGGCCAGCGCTCGAGTCGCTCAACCTTGGGTTGGCGACTACAATGTCACCGTTGCAGCTGACGAGTACCCTCTGTATCTGCCCTACCCTTTCGCCACGGACGACTTCTACAACACTTGTAAATGCAAGGGCGAGAACTTCTGGAAGGCCATGCATTCCTCAAGTGCAGACGCCGGCAAGCTCTTCAAGCCGGTCCGCGACTCTGCTGAGAGCACCTTCACCGACATTTGTAGGGACAAGTACTCCCGTATCCACGTATGCGTATTAGCTGACATGCCCCTGCAGCCGCCTTGACCACATGGTCATGGAAGGATTCAACAGTTCCTGCGAACAGCTACCAGTTCGACAAGGCGTGGGGTATTGATCACGTTCTGCGCGCCATCGGTGTTTCCGACAAGGCGAAGAAAGATGGAGGCAGCGTTCAGATCGTCAAGATCACTCACGGTGATGGCGATGCCAACGGTGGCGGCTACGGTCCAACCCCATACAACAGTCAGCAACAGTACACAGTTGACGGCCAGACCTACCGCGTGACAGGCAGCAAGTACGCTTTCGGTTTCGACCCGAGCGGAGTCCTCCTAGCAATGGACCGCAAGTCACCCCAGTATGCGGGCAGCCAGCGCAACCCCAAGGTCCAGGGTGATGGTCTGCCAGACCTCCAGTCTTTCTCTGATGTCGCTTGGCTGAAGTGGAAGGCGACCTCAGGCAGGGCGCCCTCGTCCATGCGCTACTTCGTGTCGGTCTCCATCACGAACCTCGAGACTAGGGGCGTCATCTCAAAAGTACTTGACAAAGCCGCGTATAGGGAAATCCCGGCTTGGCCTGGATACGACGTCGACGCCAACACAGAACAAGGCGCAGCTCTGCTTGGTAAGTGAAGACTTAGAATGATGTGTGCAGCTTCCGATAGCCACGTGTTCCCGAAGACCTCCAGCCTCCATTATAGGAGGTCGAAATGCTGGAGAACATTCACTGACTGCCACCAGGGACACCCAACGCCCTCGCGTTCAGCTACTTTCTCATCCAGCACAAGAGTTCACTCGGAAATCTTAAGATCTCAAAGATTACCGTGTTCAAAAACAGCATGAAGTTCGCGGATCCCTGTATGCTTTTTCATGTGGAGAAGGTCGCGGAGGAGGACATGGCGAATGTAGCGCGGTCTCGGTTGTAGACCAGCTCAGCTATTTGTAGCCAAAAGCATGACGGACTAGATTAGGAACGTCTAATTTTGATGGGTTCTGTAGATAGCCAGCTTATATAATGGCGCCTAGTGTGCCTCAAAATACATCTTCGCGGAAGATGTGACTTTACGTCCCAGTGCTCCTGCCCAATCATGTCAGCCCTCGGACACATTTGGCTCATGCCATATCAGCCATGTTCCGTGTTTTACAGGAGTGTACAAGTGAAGGCGGATGGCTCCACAGCTGCTTTCACCTGTGTTCCGCACACGTATTTTTTAGCTTGCCGCCTGCAATTTCTCCCTCTTGCACTCGACTCATCTCAACCAGCCACCATGAATATCAGCAATGCTGGTGCTGGCTTTCGTTATCAACAGAGTCCAGTCGCGACTCCCAGGTTCACACGCCAACGGCAGTATTCGGGTCTCGGACTACTTCAGGAACTACTCGTCTTCGACCGCCGCTCTTGATGCCACCAAAAATGTCACTACATTCGTGGGTGGCCTTCCCCTCTGGTGCCTCCACGACCAGCCCCGAAGCCGTCGGGCGAGCCATTTCTATCTTTCTATGCCAGCACAAGTGATGATGTATGGGAAAAGGCCAAGTGCAAGGACGCCAACTTCGTGTGAGCAATGCGTGGCTCTGATTGAGAAGCCGGCCAAGTCTTCAAGCCACCGCGTGAGTCTGCTGCCACAGCGTTTGAAACCCTTGAATATGGTATGGTTGCCGGACCCAAATTTCACTCGTACGTACACCCAGGGACCATGATATCTCGGACAATTGTGATGACCAAGGCGGCTCGATCCAATGTCTAGCATTCGTCCACGGCTATGCGGAGATAGATGAAGACGGCAATGAGAATTCTGACGATCAGCAGATCTACGAGGCAGATAGCAAGACGTTTCGCCAGACAGGTGCGCACTACGGTCTCGGCCTCGAGCCGACCAGAAGAGATCAGTCACATATCCATGAATTGCGCTTGTATGCTTACTCCATGACCAGTCATTATTGCGGTGGACTGAGACTCGCCTCAGTCTGCCGGCAAGAAACGCGAGCCTGCCGTGGAGGGTGACAAGTTGCCCGCTATCTGTGCATGTTCCAATATAGTTTGGCTCTATTGGAAGGAGTCTAGTACGGCCACTGGCAATTTTAAGAACCTGAGCTACTTCTTGTCGTTGTTGATCACCAATGAGGAAACTCAGGCTATCGTCTCGCGCGCCATACGAAACACTGTTCCTGAAGCACAGAGCTTTCCCGCCTGGGGAGGATACGAATTTGACACCGATACTCCCGAGGGACAGGCAATTCTGGATGAGTCTTCTCTCTGATAGGGACAAGAAGTACTGACCAATGACCATCTCAGGCACACCCAATGCTCAAGCATTCAGCTATTTTCTTTTGCAGCACAAGGCAACCCTTGGCAATATATACATCTCCCGAGCTCGTGTCTTCCGCGAGAACAGAAAGAGGCCTGGGCCGAACTTGCTCCTCGTTGTGGAGCCGGTGCCAGCAGGTGCTGATCTAGACAAGCCGGACGATCAGCAAACTGTGGATATACTAAGCTTTTCGCGAAATTTGCTCGCTGAAACGTTGCTGCTGGTACAGTGGACGCCGCTGCTGTGGGCCCAGCAAACCTTCCGCCTACCCAGCGGCTCATAGTACCACCTACCCCATGGCCGGGCCAGGAAGATGGGTTCCTCTACCTCTATCCGAACACCTTGGACACGGAGTGGGAAAATGCAAGGTGCAGGAGTTCAGACTTTTGTGCGTGCGATGCGTAGCTCTGACAGCGAAGCTGGCAAGATCTTCAAGCCGCCACGTGATACAGCTGCTGGCCTGTTCGACGAAACACACCTCGGTAAGACCCCTCCCTGCCCATTACCAGCGATGCTGCTAACATAGGGCAGATGATCTGGAGACCCGAGGCTGAGAGGTACAACAACTGGGAGGCCGAAGCATGCGCCTTTGGGGAGTCGACCAAATTCTCCGGGGCATGGGCGCAACAAACATGACGAACGATAAGGGAGGCGATATCAGATTGATCTCCCTTGTACACGGGGTTCCAAAGCCGGGTGAGGACGCGCGGCTCACCATCGACATGCAAAGTTACTAAGTCGACGGAAAGTTGTACCGCTATACCGGTGCTCACTATGCCTTTGGACTTGCGGAGGAGAATGGAGGTAAGCGAATAGACAAGTGCGGTGCACTCGTCTCGTGCTAATTAACTCCACAGTCGTCATTGCGATGGACAGACTCTCGCCGCAAGAAGCAGGAAAGGATCGAAAGCCAGTAGTAGAAGGCGTCGACGAACTGCCTTGATCCGTGCATTTTCTGATATGGCATAGATATCTTGGGAGGTTTTGACATCGGATAATCCAAAAGAGAGCAACTATTTCTTATCGCTCTCGATCACGAACGAGCAGACTCAGCTCATTCTATCGCGCGCCATTCGAGAGGTCTTTCTTGGAGCCTAGGGCTTTCCAGCATGGGGCCGTTACGAATTCGATACTAGTACACCCCAGGGACAAGCAATTCTAGGTCAGTGGTTGGCGACAATTCGAGCAAGGGACGGACTGACGATTGACAGGCACTCCAAACGCCCAAGCTTTTCAGCTACTTTCTTCCGGCATAAGAAGGACCTTGGTAACTTGTACATCTCAAAAAGTTTGAGTGTTCCGCGACCGTCGAGGAACGACTTCACATGCTAATTTGCTCATGGTCGTCGAACCTATACCCACGGTGGGAGGCGAGGAGCCAGAGGCTACTGTCTTCACGACGCACTCTTGACGGTATGATCTGCTTTTGGCTCGGATTAGAGGAGGTATTACAAGTCTTGGACATAGCATAGATGTTGTCATTAGTGTTGAAATACATTAGTACGGGCGAAATTCATTTAAAAGTACCCATCCATCTCTTCCAGGTCTCGCGATGCTGTGGCGGTATCATAGTCTTCGCGCAATATCTCCAATACTTGTGCTACCCAAAAAGTTAGCATTCCGGCAAAACAGACAACTACAATACCTACTCAACGGTCGAACATAAAGGGTTTTCGTAATGTTTTGATGTCATTACTTGTTCTCGTAGCAATTGTACCAGGCTGGCTTTGGCTCTGCGAAAAGTGGTTCCCGCCACCGATCGGTCGGTGCTGTGTATTCAGGGACTGAAACGTTCTCTGAACAATCCTCAGCAAGCCTAAATCTGATTAGTAGTCCATCATTGAGTCTGATATAGATACGAACGAGTAGAAGCGACAGGTACAGCCCCCGTACAGCGTATACGCGAAGGCATCCTGATAAGCACCGATCGTCTCGTTGTAGTAGAACGGCTCGCAGTGTCCAAGGGCAAATATCCCAGCTACTACGCTGCTGTTCCAACGTGTGCGTACGTAGCCGCAGTTGTACGGATCCGCCGACATGCTGAGATTGTCGACAGGTGCTGACTGCGTGATATGCACTGCCGACAGAAGGGCAGTGAGTAAAGAAGTTGCGAGCATGGTAGAAAGATCGGTGAAAGTAATTACGATGAGGAGATAGTCGGGTATTTCTGAAAGATCGATGTAGGGAGCTCAGCTTCGAACAATCCGAAGCCGAATTTATAGGACTTGCTGGTGTTCTTGAGGCTCAGGCCGCCGCGGTAGTTTGAGTCGTATCGACACTGCAGTGGTTCCTACTGGACATCGAAATGCGTGCGGTGTGCAATGGAACAGTCCCGGTATCCACTCAGCATGCGTTCATGCATGCCGACTGTGGAAGGCGTGCGACCGAGCTGTCAAAATGCACGATCCCGATGGCAACGTGGTTATTTGTACGTTGTGAACTTCTTGATGGGGTCGCCGAGCGTATTACAGCCCAAGTATCTTCGCCCTCATGATGCAGGGACCGGGATTATCGTCCCACTGACATCAGGCAAAATGGTGAGCAACATAAAGTACGATATCGGAACAGCCGACAAACCCACGTCGTCATGTCCATGAGGCCATGATAGAGAACGATGACCGATCGCCTGATGTGTGGGTGGTACGGACCGCAAAGGCGATCATTGCGAATGAGATGTCCCAACTGCGTTGGTGTTATGGAAAAGGCATGTTTTTCTTTACCGCAAGATACAGATGAGCGAGTGATTGGCTGTGACAAGCGGTGAGTAAACATCGACTTGGATGTGTGACTGTAACTGTATGACGCCGTCCACGACACAGCCTCTTGTAGCAGTGGCACGAAGCTACAGTCACGGCCGTAGACTAGGACACCGCCCTTCCCACGGCAAAGGGGGCAGATTTGGAGTCATCCGTCATGTTGTTGCAGGATATGCCCAGAATGTGGGCACAGTTGGCTCGACGAGCAATGTGCTGGCCGAGCTACAACCTATAGGTTGCAGTCACTGTAACCGGAAGGGAGGAATTCGCGTGCCCCTCGGGTCGAGGCTCAATTATCGATTAGAAGTAATTCCGAAAATTAGCATTAAACGCTCGAGCGAACACATGATCATAGTGTAGTGATGAGCTATGAGTTATGTATGAGTTATGGGTTATGAATGATAAACAGTGGATGAAGGAAGCGGTGATGTAGTCGTTGGCCCACTTATTTTAGCTCAAGAACGCGCGACGCGTTGAAAGAGTAACTCGACTACAGCGCACCAACTAACAATCCCCCAACATGAGCAGGGCCAGCATCGAGCAAGCTTTGACTGGGTTGGTCCCCACGCTCAATGGGCCACTTCCTCCCGAGCTGATTGACGTTGCCCTGTCTCTTCTGGCACGCTCACGCAGCGTTGCCCATTCGCTGAAGCCGGACGAGGAGATAGCGCGTCCGTACGCATGTGCGCAGCTGGCTTGCGAGAGGTAGAAGCTTGCATTCTGCTGATGATAGTCGATGTCTGACAAATTTGATGTAGACTCAAGAAACGCCTCAATCTACCCTCAATAGCATCTCGCCCGCCATGTCCACCACGAGTGTACAAAAAGCTATACAACTACCTCGCCAGCGCCCTGCCTGACTCGTCGACCCCCCGCGAGCCACAAACACCACAAAAGAACCCAACATCCGCGTCGGCCTCTACAAAGACTACGCCGAAAATGCCCATGAGCGCCAGGAAGACACCGCAGACTGCTCAGAAGACCGACACTGGGGCAGGAGAACCGCCAGCATGGGTTATGCCCTGCATTCGTGTGCTCGTTAAGAAGTTCTCGTATCCACTCGCTGCACCTCACGTCTACACCGGCATCGAGTCAATCCTGCCAATCATGGCGCGCATGTCCGCCACAACTGCTGAGACGCCCAGCAAGCGACCGCGGCGAGCTGCGAACGTACCACAGGCTCCTATGGTAGCCGTTCCAGAGACCAAGATCTTTGGCTTGGTCGTTGTGGTGTTCCTCTACGCTTTGACAAGGATGATGAACCAGGACGTCACGCCCGAGCAGTACGACGAACGCCGCAACATGGCTATCCGCACTCTCCTTCAGCTGCCAGCTGCCAAAGATGTTGCGTATGATGAGCTGTCGCCAGAGACAGAAGAGTTGATGACTGTGGCACAGCAGGAAGGGTGGTTGCAGATGGAGTGGTTCTTGAACATCTCTCCTCCCAAAGACACAGACAAGATGGAAGGCATCGAGACGGCGGACGAGAGCACACTACAGTCGACAGCAAGCACATCTCCGGGTCTCAGAAGTGGTGGCAGCGACTATATTGGCATCGGCACCATGGTGCAAGATGCCACCGACTACTTGGGCGAACGTCAACGGCAAGATTACAGGACTTGGAAGGCAAAGATCATGGCTCGCATTGAAGAGATTGAGGCAGGTGCATGAAAGGTCACTCGTCTCTACCGAAGCCATGTGCGGCAAAGAATCAGGAATGGCATTGACCACGCTTTTAGACTACGCCTTGGCCGTCGTGGGCTGCTGTTTGAAGTACCTGCTAGGAACAAAGGGCATCTTGGTCACCACCGCCTTCCTCTTCTTTCCGCGCACGACAACCTGGACTTCAGTCCCGGCCTTGTGCAGACCATCCTTGATGTACCCCATGGAGATGTTCTTCTTCAGCGTGGGCGATGGGCAGCCGGAGGTGATGTTGCCGATCTTCTCGCCAGACTCGCTGACAATCTCAGCGCCTTCGCGAGCAGGCGAGCCCTCGACGATAAGGCCAATGCGGCGTCGCGACACGCCGCCGCCCTCAGACTTCTTCTTCAGCTGCTGTAGGATAACGGAGTCTCCGTGGAAGCCGCCCTTTGCGCGGCGGTCTTTGCCGATGATCCAGGACAGCGCTGCTTCCACCGGGGTCGTGGTATCGTCCAGATCATGGCCGTAGAGACACATGCCAGCTTCGAGACGGAGGGTGTCGCGCGCGCCGAGGCCGGCAAAGCGCAGCTCGTCCTTCGCATTGTCGAGGAGGAACTGAGTGACGGCTTCGGTGGCAGAGGACGGGATACTGATCTCGAAGCCATCCTCTCCAGTGTACCCTGCACGGCTCACCAGCACTTCGACATGGGTGCCCTTGATTGTCGCTGGGGTGCACTGACCGAAGTACAGCGACTTGAGCGTCACGGTTGACTCGTCGGCGAGGACGCGAGAAAGAATGTCGGCAGCCAGGGGGCCTTGGAGAGCGACCAAGCCCTGTCCATCGAGGACGTTCCACTCCACGGTCTGGTCGGGGTGCTGTTTCTTCCACGACTCCAGTTGTTCAGACAGGTAGGTCTTGTCCTTCTCTCGGCAGCCAGCGTTGGTGACGACGTAGAACCTGTCTGGCAGGCGCGCAATGACGGTGTCGTCGACGATGCCTCCAGTCTCAGGGTGCAGTAGGACGGAGAGGGTCGAATGGTTCACAGGCAGGGTGGAGAGGGAGGATGGAGTGATGCTCTCGAGGAACGCTTCGGCGCCGGAGCCGGAGAAGTGGTGCTGTACCCTAGGCATTCGTTAGGACGACAACTGCTGGAAGTCTGATACCCTCGCTCTTACATGTGTCCCACGTCGAACAGACTGGCCTTCTCACGGGTCCAGTTGTGCGAGTCGATAATGCTCAGGTCGCTGTACTGTACGGGCATCTCGTAGCCGCCAAAGGGCACGAACTTGGCGCCATACTTGCTGTGAAGCTCATACAGACCTGTTCTTGCCGGCTTCTCTCCAGCGGCTTCAGACGAGGCATAGCGAACAAGCTGCAGCAGCTGCCGTGTCTCGAGCTTGCGGGGTCCCGCAGCTTGACCAGCTATGGTTCGTGTGGTGTACTGCAGCCTCTGAGCATTTCCAGGCCTCAAAGCGCGCGTCCAAAAGGCATTGGCAGCCGGCCGCAGCTCCGCAACAACTCTCTTCGAGGCCATTTTCGAAGGATGGAGGAGGAATGGTCTCCAGCGGTTCCCCGACGGCCATTCATGAACGCGGCAATTCACGGCGCGCTGATATACGGCGCGCTGATATACGGCGCGCGGACAGACCAGTGACGCAGCGCGACTGGCTGCTAGGCTGGCAAGCTAGTCCAAGCTCGCCCGCCCACCAAAGCAGGCTGGATGCTGCAACCACATACGGCAAGACATCCCATACCGCCCGTCACCACATTGCGCACTCCCGCCCACGACGCCTCCGGCCACCACCATGTCGAAGGGCACAAAGTACCTGCTGGTGTCGCTCCCGACGTCCGTCTCGCCCAGCAACCATGCCGAAGAAGCGCTGACGGCCCTGCGCTCGACGGTCACCAATGACGTTGGGTCCACCTACTCGTTCGCGATCCCCGAATTCAAGATTGGCACCCTCGACGCGCTGGTGCAGCAGGCCGACGACCTCGCGAAGCTCGAGAGTGCCTGCCACGCTGTCGTAGGCAAGGTGGGCGACAGCCTGCGGACCATCCTGGACGGCGACGAGGACAAGGTGCAGCAGCAGAAGACGATCAACGACAAGCCCGTAGACCAGTACCTGCGGACGTTCCAGTGGAACAGAGTCAAGTACCGCGCAGACAAGCCCATCGCAGACCTGATCGACCTGTTGCAGAAGGAGATACAAGGCATCGACAACGACGTCAAGGCCAAGTTCAGCCAGTACAACCAGACCAAGTCCGCCCTCGCCGCTGCAGAACGCAAGAAGACAGGGAACCTGGCAACCAAGTCACTCGTGTCGGTAGTCAACCCCAATTCGTTAATCCGCGACTCGGAGTACCTCGACACCCACCTCATCGCCGTTCCCAACGTGACCGTCAAGGAGTTCTACAAGTCGTACGAAGAGCTCACTCCTATGGTCGTCCCCCGCTCTGCCAACCAGCTGGCAAAGGACGACGAGTTCACACTGTTCGCCGTCACAACGTTCAAGAAGTACTCGACCGAGTTCGTGCACAAGTGCAGAGAGAAGCGGTGGACACCCAGAGACTACAAGTACAAGGAGGGCGGGAAAGAAGAGGAGGCGAAGGAGGCAGACCAGCTCACCCGAGATGCACAGAAGCAGTGGGGCGAGGCTTTGAGACTGGGGCGGACAGGATACAGTGAGGGCGCCATGATCTGGATCCACGTGCTAGCGTTACGGGTCTTTGTCGAGACAGTGCTGCGCTACGGTCTGCCGCTCGATTTTGTCTGCGGCCTCATCCAGGTATGTATAGATGATTGAAATCTGTTTTGAAGAGCACAGTACTGATCCACTCAGACGGACGCCAAGTCGGCAAAGAAGGCAAAGACAAATCTCGACGCAAACTACTCGTACCTAGGTGGCAACGCCTTCGGACGCGACAACAAGGGCCGCGTCAAGAAGGACGACTCGGCTCTGACAGCTGAGATGCAATCATCTGGGCACGTCGGTGACCAGGAGTACACCGCGTACGTATACTACGAGTTCGAGATTGTATAGGACGGAAGGTATCAAACAGAAGCACATCAGGTGCATGCATAGAACATGAGCGAGCAACATCACACATTCTAAAGCCGAGTCTGAGAACTTTGATTCCGCAATGCATAGTTGTTTTCAATGGTGCAGGTGGGACATGGCATGTGAAGCTGTATCGATAAGAATCTTGGCGTGTGCGCTAGACCTCTCCGCAAAAAAAAGTTCCTTTCGCAGCCAGAAGCACTCTCACCAGCAGAACGCCACAATGCCGTCCACACACAATGCAGAGAAGCCTTGGGACACCGACGATATTGACAAGTGGAAGGTACGCGCAAACACGGAGCGCTTCAAAAGGTTATATTTGCTGAACTGTGCCCAGATTGAGCCCTTCAAACCCGAGGACAACACCGCCGGTCCCTTCACCGAGGAGTCGAGTTTCTCCACACTTTTCCCCAAATATCGCGAACAATATCTCAAGGGCTCCTGGAAGTTTATCGAGTCGGCGCTGAAGAAACATGGCATTACCGCTACGCTCAACTTGGTCGAGGGCTCCATGACGGTTGCGACAACGCGAAAGACATACGATCCGGCTGCGATCCTGAGTGCGCGCGATCTTATCAAGCTTCTTGCGCGCAGTGTGCCTGCTCCGCAGGCGGTCAAAATCCTTGAAGACGACGTGGCTATGGACATTATCAAGATCAGGAATCTGGTGGGTAACAAGGACCGCTTTGTCAAGAGGCGGCAGCGCATTTTGGGGCCTAACGGCTCTACGCTCAAGGCGCTCGAGTTACTCACAGAGTGCTACCTGCTGGTACAAGGAAACACAGTCGCGGCCATGGGCCCTTACAAAGGCCTGAAGACAATACGGCGCATCATCGAGGACACGATGCACAACATCCACCCCATCTACGCCATCAAGGAGCTCATGATCAAGAAGGAGCTCGCCAAGGACCCCGAACTTGTCAACGAGAGCTGGGACCGCTTCCTGCCCAACTTCAAGAAGCGCTCGCTCAGCAAGCGGAGAGTGCCCCACAAGGTCACCGACAAGACCAAGAAGACATACACACCGTTCCCGCCGGCGCAGGAGAAGAGCAAGGTGGACTTGCAGATCGAGAGCGGAGAATACTTCCTGGGCAAACAGGCAAAGGAGCGCAAGGCTCGGGAAGACCGCGACGCAAAGATGAAGGAAAAGATGGAGGACAAGCGGAAAGAGAGACTAGCCGAGTACGTTGCGCCAGAAGAGGATGGCGAGAAAAAAAAGAAGAAGCGGAAGCACGAAGAGGGGGAGGAGAAGAAAGAGAAGAAGAAGAAGAGAAGCTCAAAGGGAGAGGCAGAAGAAGTATCGTAGCGGGACACGCCACTTCAACCACGGTCGCAGCGATGACGATAGACAGCGGTCGGCAGCTGCGGAAAAAGCATCTGGATTCAGGTGCAGATGGTGTTCTTAGCTTCAGAACGACTTTTGCCATGGTCAGCGCGTACACGACTCTTCGGCGAGATCAGTCAGCATTTATCGGTGTTCAGGATAGTTACAAGGTTCAATACCCATTGCATTTCCTCTTCAACCGTAAGGCAGTTTTTGGATATTGAGGTGCTAGTCGCCACATTGGCGCACTAGCTTGGCTAACCCGGTCCAGACGACTCACGTCTCAGACGGCTTTTGCTCCGGTACCCCAGGCGTTCATCATTTCCGATGTCGACGATGCTTATCTGGACGTCACATTTTCCCCTGTTATCTGGATGTCACTTTTTCCCCTGCAGGACCCTGCATCTCACCTGTCACGATCGTCATGTTTTCTCTTTCGCTATCTTCCGTCCTCCTGACTGCGCTTTCATACACGGTTCATACAACATGTGCATACACTGTTTTAGACAACCAATGCTGGCCAGAAACCACACTGCAGACCACTACGCTCCAGTCACATAGGACTTCTACACCTTTCAGGATCGTCGAAATCGTGAACTCCATCACTACTGATTTCAGACCTCCAGTATTCTTCCACCTTCCCTGGCCCTGGTCCTACCCGCCGCTGTGTACCTCTCCCCTTCCTAGCATACAATCTAGCCTGTGCATCTATACCAGCACAACCTTTGCCTCTGGCCGCGGCATCTCAGTCGTCACTACCCCAAAACTAGCTGTCCATCTCGCTTCCCTTCCTGCCTTTACAGACCCTTCCTTGCTCGAGACCGACAAAACCAACGAACCCAGCGGCTCATGGTTCACATCCAGCATCCCCGATAAGGGTATTGGAACCCTCGCTCTGCACGATCTAGCACCGCAAACACAAATCCTGCGCTACACACCCGCATTCCTAGCCTATCTAGAGGCTGACCTCACCACCCTGGACCGCGAATCCCTCTGGCAGACGGCAATCGATCGCCTACCCAGCGCAACGCGCCTCTCCTTCCTTAGTCTAATGTACATCTACGGCGATCCGCGCGTGCGCACACAAGACATCACCAAAGCCAACACCTTCCAGTTCTCCATCGCCGGCACCAACCACCTCGCCATCTTCCCTGAGACAAGCCGCCTCAATCATGACTGTGCGCCCAACAGCCAATACGTGCTGGATCCGGAGCTGCTGACGCATACGGTGCGCGTTATGCGGCGTATCCCCAAGGGCGAGGAGATCACCATCGCGTATACGAGCCCGCTCGAGCAGGCGGCAGACAGGCAGGCGCGGTTGGTTGATGGCTTCCACTTCGAGTGTCGGTGTAGGAGATGCGTGGATGGGGCGCGCTCAGATGCAGTGCTCAATCGGATTAATGAATTGCAGGGGCAGCTGAATGATTGGAGTGCCGCGTCGCGGGCGGGTCCGGAGATGGCCGAGGAGTTGGTGCAGATGTATGTCCAGGAGGGGTTGGAGGGATTCTTAGATGTTCCGTTTGGGTTTGCGGCGTTGGCATGTAATGCGGTGGGGACAGTGGAGGAGGCGAGGGTATGGGCTGCAAAGGCTAGGAGCGCGGTGCTGATGAAGGATGGGAAGGGTGCGGATGCGCTGAGGATTTGGAATAGCTTGTTGAGTGATGCTGAGGGGCATTGGAGCTTCAGGCGGCGGCTTTGAGGCATAGATCTGACGGGGATGTTTCTCGATCAGACTAGACATTTTCTCCAGCTTCAGCTGGGGTACTATAACCGGCTTCTGAGCGAGAAGAGCTGCAACACTGATTGGCTAGCAGATTGACGCTAAAGTTGTGGTCATCACGTGAGGGGTGTGAAAGAAGGAAAGGCAAGGGGGTCCACGGGAGTCTCCCCTGTGAAGGAAAGAGCAACTGCTATGCGTAATTAAAGTCGAAGAAAGAGCGCGTAACACGAGGATAGCAGTGAGCAATTAGACGTAGCCTAGAGGCGGTGACAGTAAGGAGCTTGACAATAAAGGACCGCAGAAGCAACTCGAAGGTCTCTCACAGGTTTGGGCCTACTGCGTCCTCTTGCTCATAATCTCTGCATACGTGCAGCAGCAGCGGCAGCAGCAGCTAAAGATGGGCACCATCCGGGGCCTGTTGACATCCCAACAGATCTGCGTTGTGTTTTGCGAAACATAAGTTCGAGTCCACACATGTTGTATGCTACAACTCGTCAACTTCAGCAAGGCCTGCACCATGAACTCGGCAGATATTGTCTGATCCTGCATGATGCTTGGGGTAGGTTCATTATCCCAATACTTCCTTCTACGCTTTATACTTCTGATCGTGGAAGCCCGCCAGCACCTCAACCTGATGCCTGCAGTGATGCTGGCGACGAGAGTCCATCGATCCTTATCCCCACTCTAGAAATCATGTGGTCTTTCCTGACGCTCTGCACATCGTCGGCCACAAGCGTCCCGCAGCTATATGCTATCCGGTTCCTGGTAGGACTCTGTGAGGATGGTTACTCCTGTTGAACCAACGCTGGGTGCAAAGATGAGATGAAATTGGATGAAGGCTGCCTATCTATAGGCAGTAGAGAGCAAAGGTGCTTGTTGATCTTAGACAAAAAGCAAGACAACAAAGAGACAAGCTATTTGAACATGGGATGGAAGCTGCTGGACGAAACCAACAACCTCCTCCATGATGATTGTGAGTGCCGACATTTTTAGATGCAGTCCTGACGCAATGCAGTACCTTGTGTCAAGCTGGTATACCAAAGGAGAACGGTGGGAACGAGTCGCTTTATTTTACTGCATGGCAGCGCTTGCCGGCATGTTTAGCAATATCCGCAGGCCGGTGCGTACTCTGGCCTACCTTGTCTTCCGACAGAAAGTCAATGGCCACTGTGTATCAAAGGAACGTCTGGCCTACGGGCCAGGTTGCCATTGGTGTGGTTGTACAGCTTGCTGCTGGCATGATCTCGGATCCGCCTCTGCTGAAAGGACGTCGATGGCGGTCATCATTGTCATGCAAGCAGGGACTTTGGTTGGCGTCAGCATACTGGCCGCTTGGAACGTCTCCGATCGAGTCAAGTACTTTGCGTAATACATCTCGTACTTCCCAGCAGGCGTGTCAGGGCCGTACTGTGTGTGATACTCCAACCTCACACCGCACGATTACGAGATGCGCGGTTTTGGGATTGCTGCGTCAGACATGTTCAGCTACATCAACGTGATCTGGTACACGATTGCAGTCTGGAGAACGGTTGATGCACCAAGATTTCACGCTGGCTTCACGGCAGCCGCAATCTTCGGAGCTGCGATGATATCGTTGCCGTCTTTCTGCAGTTCCTCCACAAAAGAGATGACCGGAAGAGGACATCGGAGAACAACGCTGTGGAGGATGTTGAGACACCCGGGGAGACGCATCAGAGGGCAAGTTTAGCAGAAGCAGCGACTGCATCAGTCAAGAACGGCGTGAGACTTCAGAAGTGAGGTTGTTGGTGTTGCTGAGACCAGATGTTGTATTCAGCGGAGGGCCGCTCTTTCGAAGCACGTTCTTGGCAATCTCACTCCACGTGAAACGCGACTTTTCAAGGCACTTCTTCCTACAATCTGCATCTGACCTCAAAAACATCGCGAACCTTTGTAAATCTGTAGTGAACGCATCCATGAATTATCTGCAACGAAAACTATACTAGATTAAGTTAAACGGTTTTAGCAGCGGAGTTAAGAGGTAAGGATAGCCTCCGGCGAAGCAAAAGTCCGCCATCAACCATGTCGAGGACAGCGGTTTTGCACGCGAGGCTGCCGACATGTCCTGGAAATCTTCGGTTTCGGGCTCGAGTTGAGTGTCAAGATTTTGTATGATATCAGGAAGTGCGTCGCGGCAAAGAGAAGACCAGCAGCGACACACGCGAGCAATTGTGATATCATCACTTTGCCCCACCAACACGACAAACATTCATAACCAAGCATCTGTAACCTTCATTCGACATGCCTGAACTTATAGGAAAGCAAGTGGGCGAAGTAGGCTATGGCCTCATGGGTACGTCTCCCGTCTGTCACATGTGCACATTGAAGACGACATACTAACACATCACAGGCCTGACATGGCGCCAAAGCCCGCCGCCAAAAGAGCAGAGCTTCGAGACTATGCGCACAGCGCTGTCTCTTGGCGCGAACAACTGGAACGGCGGCGAGCTGTACGGGCCCCCTGATGCCAACTCTCTGCAACTGCTCAATGCGTACTTTACAAAGTACCCCGAGGACGCGGAGAAGGTTGTGCTTTCCATGAAGGGCGGCTTGTTGCCAGGCCAGATGAAGCCTGATGGCAGTCAGAAGAACGTGCAGCGCAGCATCGATGAATGTCTGAAGTGGCTCGATGGCAAGAAAAGCCTCGACCTCTTCGAATGTATGTCTAGCGGCGAGGTTGCTCTGCTGAAGTAGTCTCTAACTATAGTTCACAGGCGCACGGGTTGATCCGAATACGCCGATCGAGGACACGATCGGGTACATCGCGGAGTACGTCAAGGCTGGCAAGCTCGGCGGCATCAGCCTGTCCGAGGTGGGCGCAAACTCGATCCGCAAAGCAGCTGGCGTGCACAAGATCTCCGCCGTCGAAGTTGAGTTCTCGCTCTTCTGTGCCGACATTCTCGAAAACGGCGTCGCAAAGGCATGTGCGGAGCTTGATATCCCAATCGTTGCGTACTCGCCTCTCGGACGCGGTTTTTTGGTAAGCACAACCTATGCATGCAACGCTAGCCTCACTCACCATATCTCAGACCGGCAAGTACAAGCGACACAGCGATCTGGAGCCCGACTCGATGCTGCGCCACATGCCGCGCTTCCAGCCAGACGTGTTCGACGAGAACATCAAGCTGGTGCACGCAGTCGAAGGCATTGCACAGAAGAAGGGCGTCACGCCTGCACAGATTGCATTGGGGTGGGTGTTGTACCAGAGCGGCAAAGAGGGGATGCCCACCATCATCCCCATCCCGGGGGCTACGACATCGGCGAGGGTCAAGGAGAACATGAAGCCGGCGAGGCTCGATGAGTCGGACATGAAGGAACTCGCAGAGATTCTGGACAAGTTCCCCATCGTCGGCGACAGGTACCGCAAGGAAGCGATGGCGCTGACCTGGGCCTGAAGGTGCCTACATGCCTGACTGAACAGGCTCGTCAGCAATTGTGTGCGAGAGGATGCAAGCATTTAGGCGAAGGCGTTGTCGCAGATCAGAAGAATAGTAGTGTATAGAGTAATCCGCATTCGGCCGAGCTGTGAGGCCTGGCCGTTGGAATTGCAGAACTCTTTGGAATCATCATTGTGAGGGATGGGGCGGGGTACTGTAGCTTACCGTGTGCGTGTTGTGAGGGGATGTGTTGTGAGGGGATGTGTTGTGGGGTGGGGTGGGGTGGGGTGGGGTGGGGTGGGATGTTGTGTTGTGAGGTGTTGTGAGGTGTGAGGTGTAGTGTGGTGTTGTGTGGTGTTGTGTGGTGTTGGACAGAGAGACCAAAGTTTGCGAGTGCGAGCGAGACGAGGCCTGGTCCGAGCATAACTAGCTGCATCCGTCGACGGCTGCTGTGCCCAGCGCATCTCCACCACCACCACCACCACCACCGCGCGCTGCTCCTCCACGCCACTCTGCGCCCGCTGCCCGCCATGGATTCGCCGGCCTCAGATTTGTCCGACTATGCGTCAGCAGGGGCCCTGCCGAGTCTTTCTACATGTTACTGACTGTCCTCAGCTCTGACGACTTCCCCGACGAGGTCAAGGGCCGCCGCCTCAGCATGGAGCCCACGCCGGGCACACACGAGCGGCCCAGCAAGCGTCTGCGCCTGAACAACCGCGCGCCGTCGTCGCCGCCCGCTGCGCACGCGAACCCCCCGCCGCCGCTAGAAGACCTGGGCGACCTCAGCGAAGACACAGATGGCAGCGTGCCTGCGTCGCCGAACCACCACCCGGGCATGTCGCAGGATGACGACTTCGGCCAGGACCAGGTCACGGCGTGCAAGTGGGAGGGCTGCGAGGCCGGCGACCTGGAGAACATGGACAACCTGGTCGAGCACCTGCACGACGACCACATCGGCACGCGCCAGAAGAAGTACAGCTGCGAGTGGAGCGACTGCACCCGCAAGGGCATCCCACATGCGAGCGGCTATGCGCTGCGAGCCCACATGCGCAGCCACACGAGGGAGAAGCCCTTCTACTGCACTCTGCCCGGTATGCTCCCCTCTCTGGCCTTTTTGGCCCTTGCCAGCACAAGCTAACAATGCCCAGAATGCGATCGCTCCTTCACCCGCTCGGACGCCCTCGCAAAGCACATGCGCACCGTCCACGAAACCGAAGCGCTCCGGCCCTCCGACCCCGTCCCCAAACACCACTCCTCCAATCCCTCCAACAAGTTCCAGCGCATCAGGCTCGTCCTCTCCAACGAAGCCAAGCGGCCCTCGGACTCCAAAGGCAGCACGCCCGCCTCGCCCTCGTCACTGCACCCCCCAGCCGCATCCTCACTCCATCTGGCCCACGCCCCAGACGCAGACCACAGCCACAACAACATCACATACATCCAGGACCTCGCCTCTCCAGGGGCGCCCACCATGGTCCAGTTCCCGCCAGACATATCCTTCACGCCCGCCGAGCTGTCGCTCCCCGCCAACGCTCTGTTCCACTCCTTACGGCGAACGCTCCAGCTCGCGACCGAAGAAGGCGAGGCGCTGCGCCAGGAAGCCGACGCGCTCGAGAAGCAGCGCAAGGCTGAGTGGGACGCCAAGGAAGTGCTCTTTGAGAACTACATGGAGTTCCAAATTGCGAAGACAAGGCGGGACAGGCTCGAGCAGGGGCTGGGGGACGGGCTGGAGGGGCTGGATGCTGCCGAGTGCGATGTTGGGCCGAGCAGGAGGTTGGAGGTCGAGGCCAGGGACGGGAGGTTACCGTGGTGGAGGGAAGAAGGGTGGGCGAAGAGACTTGCAGAGGCCAGAAATGGCGGACAAGAGCCTGTGGGAAGGCCGGGGCGTGATGTTGTGCGGGCCGAGGAGCCTGTAGTGTGAGGGTTCATGGATTCGTGCCGCTGTTTGAGACAGGAGTCGTAAGCACTGGAACAGGAGTTTAGGCGCTATTCTTGATGCTGGAGACAAAGCGGAATATCGATGCATCAACAGGGAAATGATAGTTTAGAGATACCAATTCATTCAACGACCTTCTAGTATTGTACATGCCCGCTTTGATTCAATGCTAATATGCATTGCACTCCTTCCTTAATACCCTCAAGCCCTCAATCAATCACGCTGGGATATACTGTCAATTGCTCCAGGACCGATGTTTGCGGCCTGCAGATCCACACCATTCGCAGTCCTCAAGTCGTTGTTCAAGCTTCGAAATGCGTTAGCGAGCCCTCTATCTGGCCTTCCTCTTGTCGGCCTCGCTGTTCTTGAAAGGGAACCCACTTGTCCTCTTGTCTGCGCCCGTCTTCCGGCTGATCTTGCCGTTGCTGCTCGCAAACAGGACGCACCACAACGCGACGACAGCAAGGAATCCTGAGCCGAAGCTGCCCAAGCTGAATGAAGTCACACCTGTCTCAGTCCACAGACCGTAGCAGTAGAAGGCGTAGGTGGCGTGGAAAAGGGCGGTGATTGTAAGGGTGGGGAGAGCGTAGGGGGCTTTGGGATCGGTGTTCTCTGTGGAGACGCCTGTGTGTGTTAGCCAAGATCGAGGGCGGTATTACTGGGAAGAACGAACCTTCTGCCAGACTACTTGAAAGCGGCACGGAGCCCGTAAGAAGGACGGTAAGAATGCCCAGTGTGAGGAGGGTGAAGCCGAGTGTGCGGGAGAAGTAGACTTCAAGAGCTGCAGGCCGGTTAATCTTGACGATGCGTGAAGAATTGCTCGCGGTTGTCCGTACTTGTAGCTTCGCGGACTTCTGGGGAGAGCAGCGCAACAATCATCGTAGGACTGGTGATGAGAGGCGCAGCCTGTGTTGCTGTGATGCTGTTAGTTCGTTACGAGAGGATTTTGGGTTTCTGAAGCTTACCCAACCAGGCGGCAGTGCCGTAGCTGTAGAAGTAGTAAACCTGTGCAAACTCATCAGCTCAATCCCCACGTAATGATTTTGTGAGAACACATACATCCATGCTGGTAGCTTTGTTGAGTTCGATGAAGTGTCTTTGATAATTGAGGGGTTCAAAAGATATGCAGAGCAGTTTAGTGCTGTTGAGAGGTGGTGCTGTTGAAAGAGAAAGGTTGTCGTAGCTTTGAAGTGTGGAATGTGCCTGGCGGGTTCGGAGCAAGGACCTACGTACGTCATGGTGATCTGCCGTTCGATCCGGCATCACACTAACCGAAACGGGAGCAGCGCGTTCGGCTCGCAAAGTGCGGCAGGCGTGGTTGTGACCTTGGAAATGCAAATAAGATGTGAGGTAGATGTGACGATAATTACAAAAGGATGGGTTTCAAAGGTTGATTCGTCTCACATGCTCGAGTGTGCTTAGCGGGCATGCTTCAAACCCGATCTCGAACGCTGCAGTGGACCCAAACCCTGGATCCGCTGTGAAAATCATGGGGAAATGGCTGTGCTCTAGAGGAATTCGATGGGCTCCAAAATGGGCCCCTAACAACTACTACCGATCTTTCTTGACACTTCCAGCCCCATCAAGGTCCCTCAGGACGGCCTTCACAGGCCAGACGAACCCTTCTTCAACACGGTCCGTCTGGCCTTCTACAATGGTAACGAGGTACTCTGTCAGAGCCATGCCAATATAAGCGCCAATGCCTGTGAATATATGCCACCAGCCATGCAGCTCGAAAAGGAAGCCCCAAGGAAGTCCAACGTAGTGCTTGACTTTGGTGACGTAACTGCAGAGGTGAAAATCGATGCTCCAGAGGAAGTAGCCAAAAAGAAAGTTCGCTGGCATTGGTTAGCGACGGCGTGGCTGAATGACAGTTTCCTCACTCACCGATACCAAATGATGCCAACTGTCCCATGCGCTTCTTATGTTCTTCGTTTTTGACTCTTTCGCGGATCAGCTTTCGCGTCTTTCTTACTACCATGATGACCATGATTGCGAAGACAATCTCGTGCACGTAGATTTCATCGGCCACAACATGGTAGGTCGAGACGGGGATCAACACGCCAAGAATGGCGAGAGTATAGTTCCTTCGTTGAGCGGGCGTGGACTCAAAGCAGAGCAGCTGGTGGAGCAATGCACCGACAGCGAGGAACATGGAAAGGTCGTCACCTGGTGTCGAGTCAGCAGCATTCTCCATTTGTGATACGGCGGCCGATATGGAGATGGAGACGGGCATGGTTACACGTCGAGTCGCCAGGCTTTTCCGGTCGAAGAGGAGCTTCACACTCTCGACGTGTCGAGGGTGATCATTGAAAGCACATCATCCTGATACCGCCAGTCCGTTGCGTCGCTTTTGAGAGCAGGTACGAAGCTGAGCCCAAGTAAAATGCAGATCAACTTACCCATCTGGCTGTGATACTTGAGCGTGGCATGAAACCACATCGAAAGCAGTCCAACACCGATAAGACCCCAGTACGGAAAAGCTAGAGTAGACCAGAGCCCTCCATCTTTGCGCGGTTGTACCCTGCGGAGACCGTGGACACCGTAGATGACTGCGGAAGGTAAGCTGCGATGCTCATGTAGCAGTGGGAGGACTTGGGCGGTACCATAAATGGAATTCGTGATTGTGTTGACGAATTCACCGATGTAAGGCGTGATGGTGTAGTCCTGTGCAAAATAAGCTCAATGCACGAGATCTGTTGTATTTGGAGACGGACTTCTTCACAAAAGCTACAAGAGATTGGTGAGTCAGCTTATGTACAGCGATATGTCTCGGCGCAGGACAGGTACCGTGCTGATCGCAAACTTACTTGTGATTCGAATTGGGTGCACCCCAGGCGCCTGTGCCGGGCGACAACGGATAAGGCCAACGGAATTGCATGCTGTCAACGCTTAACAAGTTGCAGAATATTGCTGCAGAGAGGTGTTGGTGATAGCCTCCAGGAACTTTCGGTCGGCGTTTTGTGAAGCTCAACACGCTTTGACCAGCCCTCCACGTGGCGCGCTAGACTAAGGAACATTGCTATTTACATGTGATGGTATCTGCAGTCCCCACGTACTCTGATGTAGTCTACTAAGCTCGACAGTATGCTTAACCCTGATGCTATTGTAGGTTTTTTTTTGAAGTTCAAGCAGAGCTTGACTTCTGGTCTTTACTGAAGTGAACAACTATACAGTAGAGGTAGACAGTCGTTCATGGAGCGTACCGACCAAGCTTGGGGATGTACAGCCTTCAGTTTCCTTGTGCTGTGACTGTCTTCTAGAGACTCGGAGCACACAGTCTTTGGGCACGCAAAAACATGATCCAGCTGGATAGCATCTCCATCGTTAGTCAGAGATTCTAAAGGAACATGAGAGCAAAAAAGGGTCTTGCCGCGACTCGAACGCGGGGCCTCTCGCACGTTTACTTAGGTACCCTAAGCGAGAATCATACCACTAGCTGGTTGATTGTTAGGAGGAGTTGTGACTGTTGAGTTAAATAACTTACACCACAAGACCAGATTCTGGATGGGAGTTTGATGAATTTTGTAAAATATATTATCACGATTATCAAACCCCGCGCAATGCCTTAGAATACTTGGGTGAGAGTGGTCCATTGACAAAACCTTCGATAGTGGGGTCTCCAGTGACCGAGGCGATGTTTGGCCGAACATGTAAGGTGACACATGTACAAAGGCGGTCAACCACAAGCTGGAGAGTGTCATTTCCTTGTTCGAAGTTGGTTTGTGTACCATGACGTGGAGACTTGTTCACGGCACCATCCGGATCGTTCACCAATTCACAGCCAAGAATCAACATTTCGAGGTGCCCACAGCACACGAACAGGGCAAGATCTGTCATGGCTCTGTTCTGATTTGCTTCCGGCTTGCTTCCGGCCTGCTGTGTCCAAGGATCGAATGATGACAGTAGTCATGGAGCGCAGCTCATCGAAAGGTCGCAGACTACGAGCCCTGCTAAACAAACAACGATGGTTGTGAAGCAATTCAAGGAGCCTCAGTCTCCGATCTCGCGTCATCACCTGAATGTAAGCTTCCTGCACTGCGGCACGGCCAGCATGCCTTGCTTTGAGCCCCCGATGGCAATCCTTCTGATGTCTGCCAAGTATGAAGAAATCAGGCTCGAAGCCATTCGCCTTCATCAGGCTTGACGACGTCTGGTGTGTACCCGTGTCTCTCCGTAAAACTTCGTGTTGCTTTTGTTACAGTCGGCGTTTGCGCCGATGCCAAGCTGTGAATCCAAATCTCAGTGCATTTCACACCAAGGGTTCAATCCTTGACAGCCTGGCACTCCTGGCTATGTCATGACATAATTGTGGGTCATTAAGATGTTAGTCCGTGCGCACGATGCGGCTCTTTCGACTTTACTCCCAGTCCACTTTGCGCGTTTTGGAATGCGTTTCTTCATCTTCACAGCAGAACAGCGATTGGAGACACAAACATCGGCGCAAAGAGCGAGCGGAAGCCCGAATCCTTCTAGAAGACGATGCAGCGTTGCAGATCCAGTGTAACATCGTAAGGAGGAGTGCATGCCGCCGCATCGTGATTTGTGCAGCGAGCCAAGAGCCGTTTCATAGCTTCGGCAAGTGCGCCACTGACGCTGCAGGTGCGGGTGAGGAGGCTCCACAAAACTTTAACGAAGGAGTCGGGCTTGGCTCCATCATCTCCAACCACCCCAGATAACAATCCCCAGACGTTTTTGCGCCAATATATGATAGCGCCAAGCTCAATCCGCCCACCTCTACCCCGAAAACTGACAAACACCGCGTGTAAAACAGATGACTTTCGGCATGCTGTCTTTAACTGATCGGCGGAGCAGATGCACTCTAGGGACTCGCACAACGCGGCGCGCCCACTGGGGCCCCATCTCCAGGCGGGGAAAAAGCGATGTGTACTGAATGCATTTGGTATCGTCCCAAGTCTTTATATTAGATGCGTCCTGCGACGTGACAGGTCGACCGAATTCCTTTCGACACCAGATTGAAGCTCTCCAGAGCCTCCGTTGTCCACCATGTTCGAGAAGCTCCCCAAGATCTATAATGTCTACTTCCTGGCGTGCGTCGCCACGATGGGTGGTATGCTCTTCGGTTTCGATATTTCCTCGATGAGTGCTATCATCGGAACCGATCAGTATCTGTATGCTTCATCCAGGCATTGTTCTATAAGATGTCTCCACTGACATTTTGCAGCGAATACTTCGATAACCCAGCTGGTATTGCCCAAGGTGTCATCGGTGCCGCACTTGCTCTTGGTTCTGTCATTGGTTCTCTATTTGCTGGTCCCCTCTCGGACTACCTTGGTCGCCGCGATGCCCTTCTCTTCTCGTGTATCTTCTGGCTCATCGGAACAGCCATCCAGACAGCCACCACCGGCCGCAACATGCTAATCGGTGGTCGCGTCCTTAATGGCATCACTGTCGGTATCACATCATCACAAGTACCTGTGTACCTTGCAGAAGTCGCGAAGCACTCTCAGCGTGGAACCATCATCATCATCCAGCAATTGGCCATTGAATGGGGTATTTTGATCATGTACTTCATCGGGTACGGCTGCTCTTTCGTCGCTGGAGAGGATTCATTCCGGACAGCTTGGTCTATCCAGTTTGTTCCTTGCGTGTTCTTCATGATCGGTCTTCCCTTCCTCCCTGAATCTCCTCGCTGGCTCGCCATGAAGGACCGCACCGAACAAGCCATTCGTACTCTTGCAAACATTCAAGCCGGAGGAGACCTCAACGATCCTTATGTCATCGCCCAATACGAGGAAATTGTCACTGTTCTCGCCGCTGAGCGCGCCGCTCTCAAGGGATGGAGGAAGTTTGTGTACAACGGCATGTGGCGCCGCACTCTTGCTGGTTTTTCTGTCCAGGCCTGGCAGCAGCTTTCTGGCGCCAACGTTATGACATGTGTGTTCTCAAAAACCCACAGCGAGGTGCTACTATTGCAAACAGTGAAAGCTGACATAACACAGACTATGTCGTTTACATCTTCTACATGGCCGATCTTTCGGGCAACGTCAATCTGGTCGCTGGTGGAGTGCAGTACGCTCTGTTCATCATCTTCTCCTCGATCATGTTCTTCTTCGTTGACAAGATAGGCCGAAGAACGCTGTTGATCTACGGTGCCTTGGCTATGGCTTTCTGCCACTTTGTCGTTGGTGGTGTATTGGGAGTGCACGGTGTGGACGTCCCTGAGGGTGTCAATGGCGATGCCAACATTCTGATCCGGGTTACTGGTTCGCCCGCCTACACGGTCATCGCCTTCTCCTATCTTCTCATCATCGTCTATGCTCTCACCCTCGCTCCCATTTGCTGGATTTACGCTGCCGAAGTTTGGTCCCTCGAGACTCGTGCCACTGGTATGGGCATCGCGGCCATTGGTAATTGGCTGGTACGTCACAAATGCACCTCCTTTGCGCGTATCAACACACTGACGCGGAACAGTTCAACTTCGCCATCGGTCTTTTCATCCCTCCTGCCTTCCGCAACATCAAATACGGCCTTTTCCTGCTTTTCGGAGCCTTCTGCGTCCTGGGGGCAACCCAGTTCTGGTTCACTTATCCTGAGACTTGCGGCAAGACTATCGAGGAAATCGAAGTTCTCTTCAGCAATGAGGGTCCTCAAGCCTGGAAGACCAGGAAGGGATCGGAGCGTCTCCAGCACGAAATCGAGGATGTTGCCACGGCTCAGGCTAAGGGCGAGGCTCGTGCCAGCATTGACGCAGTCATCTCCAAGGAGAGCGCTCACCACACTGAGAAGGCTGATGTTGTTTGAAGTGCGTGTGATTCATGCGTAGGAAGACAGCTCACTAATGTTCAGTTCATCGAACAAGAGTCAACGAAGATACCCTTTCATTTCCATCTGCATCAACAATTGGCCTGTTACTTCCCTATTTAAGAGTTCGTGTTTCAAGACCAACTATGTCACAGTTTCTCTAAACAGCTTGTCCTGCTAGTTCCTATCCCTTCAGACACCGCCTTCGCATACAACTCTCAATCCCCCATCAAAACGCATACCCACGCCTGATCTTCCAGCACTACTTCCTCTCCCATTGCTTGGACAGAGTCCTCTGTTTCCCCTCGCGCCTCTTCTCATATTTCATCAGTTTCTTCCATTCCGCTCTCTTGGCTCTCTTGTCCTCATGCACTAGCATCCGCTCTTCCCGCTCCGCCCTTTTCTCCGCCTTTTGCATCTCACGTTCATACTTTCTTCCGTCTCTGGGTTCGTAGTGACTCCATTTCCCGTCAGAAGACTTTTTCTCAGATGACTTTGTGTCGGAAGACTCTCCGTCAGAAAGCTCCGCGTCAGAAGTATTGGACGGCTCCAGAGTGCTGGTATAGGTACGGCTTGAACGAGCGTTGCGTGCGCCATGAGTGGCCGTATCTTGTTTTCAGCGGGAGCGTGTAGCAATGCCGGAAGATATGAGCGATGTGTCGTATGCGGCCCGTTTTGCGGCATCGCGTACGGGACCCTACGCGATGTTGATGCGTTGCATTTTGCTTGTGGTGTTGGTGCTGGGGTTCTTGTCTGGATGGTGTTGGAGGATGAGACTGTGATAGCATATCTTGATCTTGGAAGCTGTTTCTGTGGGGAGGATGCCAAGAACAGCGTTGTGGTCGCGAGCTGGGGGTTTGAAAGGCATTACATTAATTGTTGTATGGGGTATGTGAGCCTTTGGAGTTGACTTGGAGAAAGCAGATTTGTGCAAAGTGTGGATTTTGAGAAGTGGAGGGGAACTCTTGACGTTCTTCTCTGTCGAGGGGTGAAGTCAGTCGTATAAAATGCATCGCTGATGAGTGGGAATATACGTAGTCACCCTTTGCTGCACACCAAGCGAACCAAGATATTCTAGCGGCCACATGCAATACATTCTCGCGAAATACAACTACGATCTACCGAACATTTTGTGTTCCTATGGAATGGTCTTGTCGCTTTGGATTGCAGTGAACAGCTCCTGAAATAACCAGAGACACAGCGAGTTTCTACAAAGTACGGGAGATAACCAGCTGGATGCTGCTTTCGTTTTGTCGCCTTACACGCATAGAAAGAACTACGCTTGGTCCTTCATACACAAGACGACACCCAATAGACTCTGAAGACTTCCAGGCTCGGCTGTGCAATCTTACTCATCAGCACCCTCGTCTTCAACCAACACAAGCCACTCACAGCCCTCCGGAAGCCTGCCAAAATGCCACTCGGCCCCTCTCCTTCACGGCTTCCAGAACAGCCATCGGCTCAGCATGATCAGTCCAAAACCCGGTCTCCGCACAACACATACTTCCATCCCCTTTTACGTCCCCCAAAAGGACTCCGTTCAGTTTGGCACCTCTGACGTACTCAACCGGAGATACGCTCATGACATCTCTGGCCTGCTCCCGTGCGATATTTAGATTCACGTCTTCAAATCCCTTCCCAAAAGCACGAAACGCAGCGAGAATGACGCGGGATGAGAAAACAGAATCCCAAACGCTGCGTCATTCTCACGCTTCAAATATCTTAGCATCTACACAGCTCAATTAGTCAATCAATCAGAAGAAATCAATTAAGAGCTTGAAACCGCTACCACTGTAGCTATCCCCTGCCGCCGGGATTCAGGACGGACACACAACTGCGTAATCCAGCAAATTTGCCGTCCGTTGCAGGTCTAGCGCGTTGCGAATGCGTGGCCGGCGAGTTTGTCACCGTGTAGGCAGCGGACCATGACGCTGTGCGTGCCGGGAGCAAGGGATTGCTGACAGAGGCGAGCTGCAGACATCTCGACCCGGATGTCCTGGGAATAATATCAGTACCTCGACACACGCGACGAGCGAGATGCTACATAGATCTGGAGAAGGAACAAGAAATCTTACCGGGCTTGCAGAACTTCGCCGTCTTGCCTGCAGCTTGTCGACCCCAAACTCCATACGCTGAAGGAAAAAGCTCAGCAGCTTCGGCCAGCATCTCGTCCGAGACTTCGGCTGCGTGGAATTTTTCGAACGTGATGGAGGATGAGGAAGGAAAGCATGCCGCAAGAATTGTGCTCTGGAACTTGGGTTGGGGAACCATAATTCTAGCCAGCAGTTGTCATGGTTCAGCTGGGCGAGTCCAGGGCTGCTCTGCACCACAAGTCTTACGCAGCGATCAAAGAGCTGACGTTAATAAACAGGATGCTCTGCCATCAGATTTCCATTCAAATACAATTGTTCGCATGTACCAACGGTCGGCGATCACAGTGCATGTCAACACATCTCAAACGTATTCGATCAAGCCAAGCTCATCAGCCGGCAATTGTCACTATGTACCAGTTCCAAACACTACTCGGACTCTGGCTGTCGATACCGTTCACACAGCCAACAGTGTGAACTCCAGCGCTAATGCAACAACGCCAATTATGCCATCCCATCCGAGTGTGGGGTATACGTATACGTAAGGAAAGGCCCCTCTAATAACAATGAAGGACGGTGTATGTACATTACAACAATACGGAAAGTACAAATTTTAAGGTTCGGAAAAACTGTTTTGGCGCGAGAGGCCGCAGCCGGGAAAGAATGGCCCGTCTTCATCTGAAGCAGGCAGTGGCGAGAGCGGCCACACGCACATGGCTGTCGTGCTCTGTGTCGAGGAGCGACGGCAGGTGAACGAAAGACGGCGTGCAATATCACCTGCTTGGTCATCTGCATTAGCTGAGATCCACAAACAAGCGGACGGAAGAGGATGAATCTGCAGAGGCCTAGCCGTAGTTGGAGTTATGCCTACTGCTGCTTGCACTCAGGCTCCCCGTCTCCGTGCTTGGCGTCTGCGGCTCGAGACTGAGCTGTGCGCGCAGCGTCATGATCCATTCGTGTTGGAGCAGTTCAACGGCGCTGGCACGCTTGTTCGGATCGCGGTCGAAACACTTCATCAAGAAATCAATGCCCTGCTCGCTGAGCTGGTCGCGTGTGGGAAGCTGTGGTGGATCTCCCTGCGCAATGTGGTACATGATGGCCCACTCGTTGTCCATGGATGCCCATGGACGGCGGCCGGTTGCCATTTCGAGAATGACACAGCCCAGAGACCAGATGTCGACAGCGCCGTGGCGGCCAGTGCTACCGCCCTTGATGACTTCAGGAGACATGTACATTGGCGTGCCGGTCATGGAGCCTTGATTGCCGCGGCGCGTGGTATTGTCAACGGCAAGGGTCCTACCCTGGCGGGCGATGAGCTTGGCAGCGCCAAAATCGACGAACTTGATGACACCATTGTGGTCGAGGAGGATATCTACAGACGTTAGTCAAGTACATGGACACAGGAGGAAAATGCCTACTTTCGGGCTTGATGTCACGGTGGACGACCCTTGCTTCGTGGAGATATGCAAGGCCCTCCAACATCTGCAGCGCGTATACCATAATTACAGTCTCGTCCTCAATACGGCCGTGCTCGAGCAGGCCAGCGAGAGACCCACCAGAGCAGTATTCCATGAAGATGTAAACCTTGTCTCTATGGGGCTCGATACCGTAGTACGAGACGATGTTGGGGTGGTCAAGCACCTGCAGTACGCCCATCTCGTCCTTGATCTGCGCAACAATAGTGGGAATGAGCTGGGGATCCTGGAGGCGGATCTCCTTGACAGCCATGAGGTGACCAGAGTCAAGGTTCATAGCAGCATAGACGGAACCAAATGTACCTCCACCCACGAACTGGCCCTGCTGCCATCGGAGGGTGACGTTGGTTGCTGAAGACGACAGGTAGGTGAGTGCGCGATCGGCCTCATTAGAATCTTCGAGCACTCTGCCCAGAGCCTGCCGTTCAGCCTCCTTCTCTTTTCTGAACGCGTCGATCTCTTCGAGTTTCAGCATCCACTGCGCCTGCGTCATCTCGATCGACTCTTCGTCGTCCTTGGAGTTCTTTGGATCCAGAAGGCTCTTGCCGGCGATGGCGTTGAGTCGCTGCCTCTCGGCTTGTGCAGCAATGGTCGATCTTGCACCCATGATGTCAAAATGCGAGATTAAGACGGACATGCAACCTGCTACCTTTGCGCGCAGCTTCGTGTACTCCTCGTCGCTGATGGAAAGGATGTTCTGGCCACGAGTCATCATCATGGCGAACTCCAGCGCCACGACGGCCCACCGGAAAGTCTTTCGATCCGAGGCGACGCAGTCATCGCAGATGAAGCTGACCCAATCCAGCGCCAGCCTAGTCAGTTTTATGTTGTTCATGGCCCGACGGTTGTAGTCCATGTACAGCACGGAACGCTGACCGAATTCCGTCGCGAAAGCAAAACAAGTCTGAATGAGGTCCTGGCAATCGAGACCAACAGTCTGCTTGCGCACAATCTCGACACTGTCCATGATAGTGTTTGACAGCTTGTACGCCGTCTTCTTGATCTTCTGCAGCTCAGAGTTGACACGGGGCAGGTTGGCCCTTTGATCAATGAGCGTGTTCAGGTCCATGCCGATGGCCTGGAGGAAAGAAGCGTTGGCATTGGCAAGGCGTTGCTGAGAGCCATCTGCGACCAGCCGTAACCTCCCCGGCTTCAGATCAAGGTGCGGTTCGTGAATGTTGCCAGACATCTTCTTGCCAGACCAGTAAAGTGCATGTTCCGGCCTGATGATCAAGACATACGGGTTCGTTGGATCTTCGGGGCCTTCCTCAGCGTGGTAGCAGGTGGTGAGCAGGGACTGAATGTCCTTGGGACGGTTCTCCAGCGTGGGCGATGCAATGATGTAGACACCCGTGTTGTTGGCGCCAGTAGTCTCGACAAGGAAGTGCCCGTTGATGATCAGCGACTCGTACAAATCACTCAGTTGCTCGTCGTCGAGGTCAATGTGGTTGATGTTGTACTCGGTACAGTTCTCGAATCGCTGCGTCAGGATCCTCGAGAAACGGAACAGCTTACGTTGGCGGACACGGACAGAGTCGAGGATTTGTTTGTACCGTTTCTCCATCTCAGCGCCGGTGAGTTCGTCCGGGCGGCGCTGCAGCTCTCGCTCGAAGTGGGCGCTCAGGCGAGTGAGCGACTTGGACGTGAGGATACTAAACTGCTCAGCAGTCTCGACATCGCCACCTTGGAGTTGTCTGCCGAGCCTGTTGCAGAAGTCCCACTCCTGCTCCAGGATCTCAGCCTCCTTGAACGTGTTCTTGTTAGCAGCCAGCTTCCCGTTGAGCATCCTGAAGTAGAACTTCAACGCGTCGAGTACAACGTTGTCGAAGTTCTCCTCGATGCATGGAGGAAGGTCCCAGCCTGGCTCGGGCCGCGAGATGACCAGGTAGCTCTCCTTGACCTGTCCTGCCATGCGCAGCAAGATCTGGAACTGCGCAATCATCTGCTCGGCCATCATGACGCCCTGCTGCGAAGGGTCCTTGATCTTCTTGGCGTAAGATAGCCGGACGCGGATGATCTCCTGGAGCAGGCGCGAGGGGAAGTTGATGAGGGTGAGAAGCTCCTCGATGTACGGCGGCAAATGGCGCTCGGCAAAGCTCTCGGCGTTGGTGATCAGGGTGCTCTTGGCCTTCTGGATGACATTCTCGAGCGGGATGAGCAGGTTGGTCTCGCCCTGCAGCGACTTGAGACCGTCCTCCTTGAGTATGCGGTCGATGAACGAAGACTCGTCGGTCAGATGGTGGTCGTGCGACGAGCGCGGCCGCGGCTTGGTGAAGTCGAGCTCCTCGTTGCCGACCCACATCTTCAGAATGGCCATCTCGGTGTTGATGAGGACGGTGGTGTTGTCCCAGGCAATGACGGCGTCGCAGGCAGCCTTGTAGGCCTCGGAAGCGGCGCGGGGATAGGCGGCCTCGAGAGCCTGGCGCGTAGGGTAGACGCTCTCGATCTTCTCGATCTTCTTGACCACGTCCTGGACCTGCTGCTGGGGCGTCTGCCCGGCCTCGGCGGCGCCCTCGACCTCGAAGGAGATGATGCTCTCGAGCAGGCCCTTGATCTTGCCGCGGGCGTCGTCGACGATGCGGCGCTGGGCCTGCAGCGAGCGGCCGCAGACTCGCGCGCGGATGCCCATCCAGATCTCGGCCTTGAGGGTGCTGTCGCCCTGCTGCTCGGTGCTGCCGATCAGCCGCTTCTTCTCCTGCTTGACGACGTCGCCGGTGAGCACGCTGGCCAGCATCGAGTGCCACTCGAGCCGCTCGCGGTTCTCGGGGATCTTGAGCTCCTCGATGGACGGCTGCATGTCGTCGTTGCCGTAGTACAGCAGCGTCTCCTGGTCGTACGGGTCGTTCTCGGCGTACTCGGCCGTCGACGGCGACTCTTCGTCCGTCTCGCTGTCGGTGCTGTAGCCCAGGCTCGGGGTGCGCATGGCCGAGTCGAAGGCGTAGTCATCCTGCTCGTTCTCCTGCCGGATGCGCTGCACGTACGCCTTCTCCTGCGCGCGGTAGTCGGCGTTGGGGTTGCGCCGCGAGCGCGTGGCCGAGCTGTTGCGCCCGCGGTGCGAGGCGGTGCTGTTGAGCGAGAACTGCTGCGGGTGGCGGGCCGGGTTGTATGCATTCGAGGGCGTCCTGACGGCGCCCGGGCGAGGCGGGCGTGCAGCGGTGCTGCTGCCAGCGGCGAGCTGGCTGTGGGCGGCTGGCGGCGGCAGGTCGGCCGTCATGATGCGGATGTTGCGAGTGCCCTGGGGGCTCTGCGTGCTGTAGCTGTAGGGCAGCGGAGGCACCTCGTCGGCCGCACTGCTCATGGGCTGCACGGGCGGCGCAAATTGATACTGGCCCTCGTCCATGGGCAGGCCGCCAAGACCGCGGTTGTGGACATTTCCCGTGGCGGCATCGCGCACGTAGTCGGAGTCGGAGGAGCCCTCAGTTGAGCTCGAGCTCATGCGCTCCGGCGGCGCGGGCGCGTTGACCACGACAGGCGGCTCGCTCATCGTGTGCTCTGCAGGCAGCAGCGGGTTGTTGCGAGCGACGTTGAAGTGCACGCCCCGTCCAGCCATGGTGCAGACGCCCTTTGTAGCGGGTTGGCGCCCGCGGACTGTCTCCAAGGCCAGAGCTGACCAGCGCGGCGAATCGAGTGCAGCGATCGCGATGTGGCGCAGCGAGTCCGGTTTCCACGACTCTCAATCCGAACGGCCTTCAGGTTCAGCAGCTTTGCAGGCTGAGTGGCAGACAGAGCGTGTGCAACTGATGCCACAGTGGTAGGCGCTGCGCTCTCTAGCGTCTGCACGCACTGCCGGTGCCTTTCAGCGCCGTGAAGTTGCCTCTCTTGCTGTTTGGGCCAACTGTGGCGAATGGCGAATGGCGAATGGCAAACGGCGCGCTAGGCCGCGTCGGGAAGCTTCCAGCGTACCTCCGCGACCTGTCCTTGCACCGCACTGAACGCAGCTCTAAGGGTCTCATGATCGCCGCAAGGATGCCCTTCTACACTTGTTTTGAGCCCCTTTCTCAGCAGGTCTGGAGCTCCAACACGTCCATCTCACGGAAATTGCAAGAAAGAATCTTCATGTGAGGCCCTCGAGGCTCCGGTTTGGCGGTTCGCAGCTGCCGCGATGCGTGATGGAACCTTGCGCGCGAGTGCATCGACCGCAACGGTTCTCTTGGCTGCGTGCAGGTGCGAGCGTGCTTAGACTGTCCTTGTGGAGCTGAGCTAACGGTCTGCCTCTGTTTTGACGCTAGGACACAACAGATTTCCGACATCTGGGATTCTTACTTCGCAAGATGGGACAGGAATGGTATGGTAGCCGGAATAAAGACAGAAGAAGGTCATAGTGAACAACACTTGCAACATTTTACGCAGGGCATTTGGGTCAGTACGCTAATCGCAGCAGTCAAAGACACAAATTAAATCTCTATCCGTTCCCTCAAATATCCTTCCTGGCGCTCTTACTTTTGTGCCTAATTCTCTTGCCGAACTTGTACAGCAAGAACGGAATCGGAATGAACGCAATACCCAGGAAGCCCAGCAAGCTGCTCGCCCAGTTGATGCCCAAGCGCACGTACATGGCATTGGCGAACAGCGGGAACCCAGATCCAAAGGCGCTCCTCATGAGATCGTTGCCGGCGAGCACGCTGGCCACGTTGTCGGGGTAGGCGTCGCTAAGGTAGGGGAGGACGGCGTTGAAGAGCGTGAAGGCTGCCATGCCGAAGAAACTGGTTCCGATGATTCTGAAGAACTGTTAGCAGTTGTGGATATACGGGAAAGGGACCTAATACGGGACAATCCAGTGTACCTCTGATCGAGACGACCAGCCGAACCAGAAAAGGCAAATAGGAACACACCAACAGCCGACCATCGCAGGAATCAAGCGCTTCTCGGGCGCAATGTTGCCATTCTCGTCAAATTGCTTCTCCTGGTAGAGGTACAGCCAGGTAAAGAGAATGCTAGCTGCGATCAGCGTACCGACCAGGATACCAAGGAAAGCAACGCCTTCAAGTCCGAGGTTGAAGCCGTAAATCTCAGTAAACACGAGCGGGAACGACTCGAACCAGATGTACAGCAGACCGTAGATGAGCGCGATGTAGAGGTTGAGCAAGAATACAATCGGCTCCTGGAAGTTAAGAGTGATGGGCTTGAGCAGAGACATCTGCACAACATCCATAGGCTTCATCTCTGCAGATATCATGTCTGGCTCGCAGGTGAGTTTGTCGTTGCCGGTCAGCTTGCGGAGACGCTTTGTGCGGCGGTGCAGAATGTTTGGCGAGCTAGTCTCCGGCAGAAAGAAGAACAGGAAGATGAGACAGAAAGAGGACAGCCACAACAGCTCCCAGATCGTCCACTTCCAGCCCTTGACAACACCAGAGCCACCAGACATGACTGCAAATCCGCCAATGAGAGGTCCGAGGACGGGTCCGCATACAGCTCCAATACCCCAGACAGCAAGACCGTAGGCCTGCTTCTGCGGCCGGTACATGTCGGCGATGGTAGCACCTCCGGTAGCCAGAGCCGGAGACCCGAAGAAGCCAGTCAGGAATCGGAACGCGAGAAGCATGCCAAAGTTGACCGAGTAGATGGTCGGGAGCTGGAAGCAGCAGAAAATGAACAGTGTGCCAATGTACACCCACAACCGCCCTATCTGGGGGATCTCACTCAGCGGCGACCAGATGATGGGCCCAAGGCCGTATCCAGCAACGTAGAGAGTCAGGCCCAAGGTAGCCGGAACCTGGGCGACGCCGAAGCCAGCCATGACATCCATGAGACCGGGCGTGTAGATGGCAGAACCAATGTATACGGAGAAGGTGAGGAAACAGATCTCGAAGGTGACGAAGAATCGCTTTGCACGACTCCAGTTGCGCGGGTTCTACACATGTCAGTGTTGTCGTTGTATCTGAGAAGATTGCCATACTTGTGGATCATCCGGCCCAAACCAGTCAATGACATGCTGGTCCTTGCCTTTCTCTTGATCTATCTTGACACCGCTCGCATAATTGTATTCCTCGCCAATTTCTGTCCGCGAGCTTTCCGAGCCTTCGCGATCTCTCACACCGCGCGCTTGCCGCAATTCCTCGACCTCCTCCTCAGGCGGCGAAGTATTGCCGTGGTGTGCGACATAGCCGGACTTCTCCTGGTTGACATATTTCTTCCAGAGATTTGGATCCTTCTCTTCAGGATACTGGAAGTACTTGTTGCGCGTAACAAGGCGCACGATATGCCCAAACGGCGAGTCGCGAATGAGGTCGGCCACCATGACCAGATCGTTGGCGAAAATTTGAGATGCGAAAAGTTACACGTTCACAGCGCAGCGAGCACAAATTTACTTTGTAAACATCCAAATACTGACATCATACTCAGACAATTTCTGGCCGACGACAACAGAAGCTACCGTTTTGGGCTGCTCGGACGTCCAGGCGTAGCCCAGACTAACGCTGGAAACAAGCGCACCAAGAGCGGTAGTAAGCTCTCTGGGGCTGAAAAAGCTTAGCCTGGCACATCTTTTCCTCATGGGTGTGATGAGTTTTTCTCGAATCAGCATCATTTGCAGTCATCGAGAAGTCGATGACGGTGCGGCTCGGCACGATCGGCGCTAGCGCGTAGAGAGATCTGACGTCGACGAGAAGAGAGCGCTGCATACTCGGCTTGTTCGGCAGGTTGAAAAAGCGAGCGAATAGTATCGTGGCAGGGGTTGATAATTCTGCGACGGCCCCTTTGTTACGGTTTGTTGAGAGTGCATTTGTAAGGCTGATGGCTGTGTGGTTGACTCGTTGTCAGCGTGTCTAGGCCATGACGTCGATGGTGCTTGAGGAAACGCTGTGCTACGTCAGAAGCACGAGATTTTGAGAGTATTGTTTGTGGTGTTGACGGTGTAGCGAGGCTCGCAGTGTTGGTGATACGAAGGGAAGAGTAAAAACATGTACGCAGAAGTTGGATGGTCAACCCAAGCAAAACGATGTGATCATGCCGACTGGATAGTCCACGCACGCGTACAATGGTAAGGGTGAGGTCACAGATCATTGCAGTATTTATCGCCCTCGTGTGTACTTTGAATGTTGTGAAGAATACGACTTTTAGGTCCACGATGTACCGTCTATCTGACATGGAGTCTCCTGACATGACTCAAGAAAAGATGGAATTCGTTCGCTCATTCGGTGTATCGTTTCCTTCTCGTTACCTCCAATCTTCGCAGCTTATTTCCCCTCACGCATGCTGCGGAAGAAGTCCATGACACCGGTGAAGACAACGAGCAGGATACCACCACCGGGACCCAATCTCAGCACCTTGGGTGTGAAGCCCTTGTAAAGAGCACCGAAGCCTTCCTCACGGAAAACTGTACCCAGAGCGGGGAACGCCCAGTTGTACTTGGGCACTGTGCCTACGACCTTGGAAGAGTTCTGAATGCGCGACTTGACAACGTCCATTGGGGTGTTGAGGATCGTACCGACTGTACCACCGACGGCACCAGACAACAGATCGTTGGTGATCTGGCCCTTCTTGTCCTTTGCTGCAGGCAGAAGCGCGCGGACCTGGAAGATGCAGCCGAAGTACCCCGCGTTCCAGAGGATGTGGCGCCACATAGTGGACTCAAGACCTTGGTAGAGTGTGAGAGGGCCCTCCTGCTTGATGATCTTGGTGACACAGTCCATCATGCCGTTGTACTTGTGGGCCTGGGCCTTGTCCTGAAGACGAATCTTGACGAGCTCGAAGGGGACGACGACAAACGCTTCGGTTGCACCAGCAGTCGCTCCGGTCAGAATGGATAGGGACTGGTTCATCTTGGCCTGGCCAAACAGGTTGCGGTAGAAGGCTCCCCAGGAGTCGTTGGCAGCAAACTTGGTGGCCCTGTCCCATGTCAACTTGAGGTTCAGAAGTGGGGGCTGATTGTGGTGCGCAGACTCACCTCTTGGGAGCCTCCATGAGGATGGGCGCGCTGATACCGCGGTACAGCCTCGAGGCGCTGCTAGATGTCAGTACAGCCGATTGTAGTGCGCCGAGGGCTCCGCCTACCCTTCGTTCTTCACGATCTTGCGGAAGCAGTCCAGCATGCCGTTGTAGGCATCCTCACCGGTTGCCTTTCCGGTCTGAAGTTGTCTATATAGTATTAGAAGGCTTCGTTGCGTGGTCGGTCGTGTGCTCGCTCACATCCTGGTCTTGACGACGTCCAGCGGGTACCTAAAGTCAACATTAGCGATTGCTTTTTGCGTTTCTAGTTTACAGCGAGCACTCACATGATCAGGATCTATGCGTACATGCTCCATTAGCATACTGCGCACAACAAGAGGCATACTCTCTTATCGCGTGCGCACTCACTTCTGACACGCCAGCCACGGCACCTGCGCGTTGTCAGCAATTGTTTGGCTCATGATGACACTCGAGAAGCCCATGGGGCATAACCCTGAGCTCCCAAAGCGCAATTGCGCGCCCTGCACCGTCTCGCACGAAGATACTGGAATATCCACGGTGAGTCGGCGCATCGGAGCTCCACCGAAATTCGGAATTGAGACTTACCAGCCGCGAACTGGTAGATGAACGGCAGAGGCTTCGCATCGGCGGACGACATGTTGCTGGCGACAACGAAGAGAGAGGGTAGGAGGAAGAGTGGAGGGTGAGAGCAAGGAACGGCGGGCGGGTGTGTGAACGAGTCGGACAAGATCTGGGGAAAGCAGCGTGGGATGGATCGCCCAATAAGTTGAAGCTCTCCGGCCGCGTCTGTGCGACAAGCTCGACAATCGATAACGTTGTGCCGATGACAGATGGACTTCCCGTTGTCCGACTCACAGCCTTATGTACAGCGCAGCAAGGTTCTCACAGTCTTCTTTCGAGATTCGCGTGCAGTTGATCTCTACATTCGCAATGTCTGGTTGACTGCACCTGTCGCGACGCAGGTCCAGGTCGGCTGTCCAACCAGAAGACGCCGACATCGCGCCCGTGCATAGCCGTGTGCAAACTTATCTCACTAATCAGCCGCTCCGGTAATATTACCAGCTTGGCCAATCAGCCAAAGGCAGGGCGAAACTCTGCTAAACGTCAGAGGGTAAACAGACTAGTCCTAGCTTTGCAGGCGTTTTAATCCACTTTAGTAAGGAACTCTCCTTCAAGTTGAAATAAATCGCTGATACGGGAAGCTCCTGTACGATCCGCTGCAGCCGACTTGTGGGACAACCAGGCTTGCTCTCCCCAAGCGAGGAAGCAGAGAGAGCACGCAACACCTGATCTTCCGCTCTATAGATCAGGGGGAGCAACAGAGCACCATGCACAACGAACGCATTCATTCAAGTATATAGTAAGTAGAAACACTGCCCTTATGGCATTGTGTTCAACCTCGTCAGTCGACTTAGTATTGGAATCTCAAACCAGCTCTCGAGCTAGATGAATGTCACCACGTCCTACTCATTACCACCCAGTCGCCATGGTCTTTGACTAGACGACTACGAACTCCCTGTTTCCCAAAACCGTACTCATCTCCGAGAGCCAATCGAATATTGCTTACGGACTTTGTCTAAAGTACGACTTTCAACACATACTTTAGCCCTCGAAAACAGCTTTCTTAGGTAATTCCTAGCAGAGGAAGTAGATCTTTAGTAGTCTCAGTAGGGTGCAACTCTAATATCTGTGCCCCTCTTTGCTGTTAAAGGTGATTCCTTACAAGCTAGGCTAAAATCATGCTCTTACATCCAAGCCTCACCGAACTTTGAACTATTCTTTCCTCAGACGCTCCACTGACGCTGCGCCCCGCCGCTGAGTAAGCAGCTTTTAATTGGCCAGCTTGTCAAAATTACTGGAGCGCCTGATTTATGAGATGAGTGCAAACCACACAAACTGCACGCAGGGCTGGGCGTGTACGCAGTCCCGTCGCGTCGCGTCGCGTCGCGTCCTGTTGCCGCAGCTCAGCTCCACTCGGCGCTAGCGCTCGACTGCATGCTCATCTCATGTCAACACGCCAAAAGTCCTTCTTTGACCAGGACCCCAGGGCGAAGGTGCGTCGTCCGCTGCTGACTCGCACCCCCTCACGCTCACTCACTCACTCACACCGTCTTTCCAGCAGTTCAGAGGCCAATGGACCCGCCCACGCAACGCTCCGCCCCACCAGCATAGCGACAGGGCCCCTCTGGCGCGACACGTCGTGACCGGCCCGCCTATCATGCCCTCGATCCAGGCGCGCACAAAGCTGAGGGCCTTCCAGCTCGACGACACGCTGCCCCTCGACCCCGAGAAGGAGAACCGGCCTGCGGTGGATCAGACCTCGGCGACGAAGGAGACTCCAAAGACGTCCAAGGTCGTCAAGGACATCGAGGACGCCTTCGAGACCCCCCGGCTGCCGCAGAGCAAGTCCTTCCCGCCGCCATCGACGCCTGCCGCTCGCCTGCCGCTCGCCGATCTGGTGGGCAACACCGACGACACGACTAGACATGCGGCGCTCGCAGCCCTCTCGCCAGAGGAGCAGCTGTACTGGCGCGGCTCACAGCCCGCCAATACCCCTGTGCCCCGGAAGAACAGGAAGCGTGCCCACAGCTCCTCGCCTGCAGGACCATCGCAGGACGAGCCGAGGCCGAGTGTGCGGAAGGCAGGGCTTGCAACACCTCAGGCGGATCCTGCGACGGAGCTCTGGTCGCGCTACACAAGCAAGAAGACCCCGACCGTGACCAAGAAGAGCGTGGCGTTTGCACATCTCATTAACGAATCGTCGCCTCGATCCGCTGCTGCTGCCGGCAGTATCAGCGGGCTGCGACGCTGGGCAAGCTGTGGCGTCGAGTTCCCTGCGTCGACGAGCAAGAGACGGAAAAAACACGGCGTCTTCCAGGGCGATCAAGAGGGCGATGCTGAGGATGTTTTCGCCGCTGCCCCCAGTTCTGACAGCGTGATGCAAGGGAAGGCATCGACAACGAACCTCGCCAGCATCGTCCAGCGGATGAAGCAGTCCATCTCGACCTCGCAGGAACAGCCGCCGTCCAGCTCGTCTCCGCTCCCTGAAACCGGACAGCCCCCGATCGCCTTCCCGGATTCTCCTCTCAAAAGGCACTCTCCCGTGGCGATTGAAGAAGAGACTTCGGACACCCTGCAAGCGGAGAACTGCATAGTCGCCGTCAACCATGTCCTCGAGGATCAAGGCCTTCCAGAAGGATGCGATGAGCCACCGCTGGTGGAGGAGCAACTGCAATCTTCGGCCTCGTCTGATGATTTTGGCGAGGTCGATTTCGATACCGACATGGCCGATGCTGCGAATGCGGGGACCCTCGAAACTGAGACATCAGCGCAATCGCAAATGCAACCTTCGCTACCAGTAGGGCCCGTACCACCACTCGTTGCAGCACCCTTGGCTCCCGCTGATAGCGAGGATGAGTTTGGGATAGAAGACGACGACGATGTGTTTGCTGCAGACCTAGAGCAGGTAGCGTCCTTCTTTGACGAACGGCCGCTGGAGTCGCCAGTACGGCTTGAGGCACCACCTGAGGTACCGCTCGAGGCTGTTGATGCTGTGCCGGTCATTGATCTGGTCAACGATGACTCTGATGACTTTGGGGATGACATAGACCCCGATGAGTTCGCTGCAGCAGAAGTTGCAGCCACTCAGACGCCCGCGACGAACACTGTATGTAGAATACGTACTATCTATAATGAGACTGTATAACTAAGTTTGTAAGAGTCAACAGGACGCTCGAGCTATCCAACGATATCTCATCAAGCAAGTGGTTGAAGGCTCGTACCTTGTCGACAGAGGTCAGCAAAGACCTGAAAAGGTGCGTAGTGACATGGCGCCGAATGCTAGCTCCATCGTTGCTAACACAACTGCAGATCCTGCTGGTCGATGACGAGCAGACAAAATTACTGAAAACCATTTCCCTACGGCAAGCCTGGTACGACACACCCTGTACGATAGGCGCATATGTCCACGTTATCGGGTCGTTTTCATCGGACGGACATTGTGTTATCGATGACCATCACAACATGCTGGTCCTGCATCCAGACCACTTAATATCAGCTACTGTCGTTGCCGACTCCTACGGGTGTCTAAGACGAGCAGTGTTGCAGGACCGCATCAAGGCCACGAGCAGGGCCAACGCGCCAATGCTATACGGCACACTATTACACGAGCTCTTCCAAGAAGCCTTGAAAGTGAATCAATGGGATACGGACTTTCTGCTTTCAACCACTGATAAGCTGCTTCCAAGCAAGTTCGAGACTATCCTTGAGATCAATTCGACCTGCGACGAGGTCAAGGAGCACATGACCAGCAAGTTGCCCGAGATGCAGGCCTGGGCTAAGATCTTCATCCGGGCCAAGCCTTGCGTTGACGCAGTTGTGCAGCATCGCAACGGACCTCAGTCGATCATGAGCATCAACAAACTCCTCGATGTTGAAGAGCATGTCTGGTCGCCGATGTATGGACTAAAGGGAAACATTGATGCAACAGTGCAAGTGACTATGCAAGACGACCAGGGCGAGCGCACTCTGACTGTTCCCTTCGAAGTCAAAACTGGGAAGAACTCGTCCAACAGTGCACACTCTGTCCAGACAGCTCTGTATAATTTGCTGCTCTCCAATCGATACGGTATGTTTATGCATGCGTTCTTTTGATCTGGCTAACACCAACAGATATTGATGTTGCATACGGAATGCTGTACTACCTCGAAACATCAGCCATCATCCGTATTCCCGCTGTTCGGAACGAAATCATACATATGCTTATCCAGCGTAACGAACTAGCCTGCTACGTGCGGGATCGCATTGATTTGCCGCCGATGCTCAGAGAAGACTTCAAATGCGGCAACTGCTATGCTCAAGAGTCATGCTTCCTTTACAACAAACTAGTCGAAGACGGCGACGGCGAGCGACTGAATACGAAGGCCAAGCAGAAGTACGATGACCTCGTCAGATCGCTCAAGCCTGCAGACCGAGACTTCCTGAAGAAGTGGGATACGTTGCTCACCAAAGAGGAGGCGGACATGATGAAGTTTCGAAGAGAACTGTGGACGATGTTGAGCACCGAGCGTGAGAAGCTAGGACGATGTTTCTCGAATGTCGTGCTGGAGCCTGGTTCGGGACACGAAGAGAAGATGGGCCAGAAGATCAACCGCTACAGCTACACTTTCGTTAAACAGCAACCCGTGCCTGGCTTCTCGTTTACCGAGTCCCAGCTCACTGTCGGGGAACCTGTGGTAGTGTCGGATGAGCAAGGCCATTTCGCACTGGCGAACGGTTATGTTACAAATGTTCGAAAGCGGCGAATCACTGTTGCTGTGGACAGACGCCTGCACAACTCTCGCACAAAGCTCCCGGGCTTCGATCCTCAGAACAACCAGACTTTTGCCGGCATCATGGAGGTGACCAAGGAAGGTGAGGCGCCACCTGAGTACGAGATGGACAATGAACCGTTGTTGTATCGGTTGGATAAAGATGAGTTCAGCAACGGTATGGCTGCGGCGCGCAACAACCTAATCCAGATCATGGACGACAACGTCTACAAGGCCCGGGACTTTCGTGCGTTGATTGTAGATGGCCGGGCTCCCGCATTCAATCCTGTCCCGAACGCTATCGACCTACCACAGTCGTCACAGATGTCCATGAACTCGGATCAGAAGGCTGCCGTGGCCAAGGTCATGTCTGCCAAGGACTATGCCCTTGTGTTGGGTATGCCTGGCACGGGCAAAACAACTACGATCGCCCACATCATCCGGACCCTAGTCGCGAAGGGCAAGAGCGTTCTCCTTACCTCTTACACTCACACCGCGGTCGACAACATCCTGCTCAAGATCCGCGACGACAAGATCGGCATCCTCCGCCTAGGAGCATCGGCGAAAATCCATCCCGAAGTTCGCGGGTTCGCGACCTTGGCTGCAGAGCCCAAGGACAGTGTTGAGGAGCTGGAGAAGTCATGGATGGAGCCGCCCGTCGTGGCTACCACCTGCCTTACCATCAACCATCCAATCTTCAGTCGTCGCATTTTCGACTATTGCATTGTTGACGAAGCTTCTCAGATCACGCTACCCGTCTGCCTGGGACCGATCCGCATGTCGCAGAAGTTCATCCTGGTCGGCGATCACTACCAGCTGCCTCCACTGGTGCAGAACAAAGAGGCCATGGAGGGCGGTCTGGATGTCTCGCTCTTCAAGCTTCTGTGCGAGGCACATCCGCAAGCTGTCGTCAGTCTGGAGCATCAGTACCGCATGTGCGCCGAGGTCATGCTTCTGTCAAACACCTTCATCTACTCCGGTCGTCTAAAGTGCGGCACGCCTAGCGTCGCCACTCGTAGGCTCGCGTTACCCAAGCCCTCCGGCCTCCACACACACCACCGGCAGACACTTGCGCCTCGCTCAACCGCGGTCGCCACTTGTCCTGGCCCTGGATCCCCCAACTGCTGGCTATCCCACTCTCTGTCGCCCGACCAACCAGTTGTGTTCATCAACACAGACCCCATCTCCACCTCTCTCGAATCTCAGTCCGGCTCCCGCACCATCAACACGCTCGAAGCCCGGCTCATCACACATCTCACAATCTCGCTCCTCAGCCTCGGCGTGTCCCCCTCCGAAATCGGCATCATAGCTTTCTACCGCTCGCAACTTGCTCTTCTACGCACCAGTCTCTCCGCACGCACACAAACGCAGTCCTCAGAGCTCGCCGCACCTGTCGCAACCGCAGCGTCCGCGGTTGAGTTGCACACAGCGGACAAGTTCCAAGGCCGCGACAAAGAAGTCGTTCTCGTGTCGTGCGTGCGCAGCAATGATGTCGGCAGCGTGGGCGATTTGCTCAAGGACCGACGCAGGGTCAACGTCGCGCTCACGCGTGCGCGGAGTAAGCTTGTTATCTTGGGGAGCGAGAAGACGCTCTCTGGCAACGAGTTGCTGCGCAACATGGTCGGACTGTGCCGGGAGAAAGGGTGGGTTCTCGACTTACAGAGCGATATGGTGGACAGTCATGCTTTTGACGAGGGGTTCAGTCAAACGGGCAGGATGCCGGCAGGGACCAGTCCGACGCGGCAGTCAAGGGCGGCAGGTGCGACGGTGAGCCCGAGTGCCAGTCCGAGTAAGAAGAGGAATGCTCTGGGCGGTATTACGGGTTCGTCCCATGGCGCCAATGCGAGGAGTCCGAAGAAGAGGAATGTTAGGGAGAAGGTGCCTGAGAAGGTGTTTCTGGCGGGTAAGAGGGGTGTGCTTGATAGGAGAGCGGTGTTACAGAATGTCTACGAGGATGCTTTATGAGCGATAAGGTGACGATGGTCATGTATGGCGTTGGCTATGAACGCAGTTGTGTTGTTCAGTCGAGTTCATGTTGTTGGATTAGCGCGGAGTATGGCTTGACTTTGGGTATCGGTGAATAAGGTCAATGAAATTTATGAGGTCGATTATTCGACGGGTCAGTATGAAGCATTGCATCAGACGCCATTCTGTTTTGAAGAAGACAGCACCGTCGGTCACTCAGCATGACTGCAGCGGCATATGCGCGACAACAGCATGTTGCAATCGTCCTTCTGTGTAGTCTGGGCTGCTTATCACCGATGTGCCAACATTTAACGTTGGTCGACAAGCATACTGCGGAAACACAGCACACTCAGACTTCACACACGCACGGAAAGCACTGTATCTGGAAATAGACAGAAACGAACGTGTGTTGCAAGACTTTTGTATATCAACATCGCGCAGAAACCACCATGCTCACCCCCAAGTGCGTGCTACATGCAGCTCACACTCCTACGACCCCTCGACATTGATTATCTGGCGTGAGATGTGAAATTTCCGGTGAGTTTGTGTAGACGTGAGACTGAAAATGAGTAAATGGTGAACGTGTTGTAGCCGTTGCACTACCCCATTTGGGAATGACGGATGATCAGGGCCCGCATCGGTGCACGGCCGGACGTCACTACTCCACAACGACCCCAAGATAGGACGCCACTTGAGCATGGAGTTTTGCTTCTCCACGGAGTCGGCAGACGCGTCCAAGCTTAAAACTGAGTTGATCTAGAATGCGACTTTCGCCATGGAACGTGCCATCACCCGCGCTATGGAGTGGGTCACGTGACAGTCTTCTCCGTTTCCTTTCCTCCACAATAAGGACTCAAGTGAGGATTCAAGGCAGACGTCAATGCTCTGTTGCTTGATGAAATCAACGGTCGAGCGCATCAATACATCCTTGGTCCTCTCCTATGCTTGTTTACGGAGCAGCTAGCTGTTTGCTGGAGCATTCTTTTTGTTGAAAAATTTGCTACAGACCCAAGATGCCCCGCTGCATCTGCTTTCATGCGAGCGTTGACCGCCGCAGCGTCTCTTCCATGAGATCGGTCCCTCTGATTTACCTCCTTGCAACCCCTTGAACGCTGTTGTCTTCGATGGCAGCCCGCTCAAGTGAGCTCTGCAAACCCATCTCAATTCCGGATGTTGCAGGATGTATCCGAGTTCGGGCAATCGACCGTGACTCAATAACTGCTAGGCATATACTCCATCATGTGCCTCAATGAGTCTCAATCACATATGAGAGGTTGACGATATTTGTGCCCTTAAATATGGATTCGTGGGTGTAAGGAATGATGGTCTGAGTGTGCCGTCTGTGAAAGAACTCTGCGCAGCATGTTCGGCATTTCTTACCTTGCCTCTACTACGGCTGTAAGATATCAATCCCACGGTTATGGAAGAACAAGAAGAACAATCGGACGATTGTATCCTGTAGCTGTTCAAGGATATACAACATTTCGGAACAGTAGGCCAAGTATACTACACAGGAAGGCTAATCGCTGAAGATGGCAAAACAAGAACATGACGAACCGCCTCCTACTTGCTCAAGATCGTCTCTTTAATGTGATTGAGTGCGCTGCCAGCCCTCAACCACTTGAGTTGCCGCTCGCTATAACTGTGGTTCAGCTTCGCCTCCCACACTCTACCCTCTTTCGTCTGTACTCTCAGACCAACCTGCTTCCCAGGCTGCATCTCACCCTCCTCAACCCCGACAAGTGTGACACGATCACCTAGCACGATCTTGTCGTAGTCCACGGGGTCAGCAAACGTCAACGGCAGCATACCCTGCTTCTTGAGGTTCGTCTCGTGTATTCGTGCGAACGAGCGCGCGACAATCGCAACGCCGCCCAGGTAGCGTGGTTCAAGAGCGGCGTGTTCGCGCGACGAGCCTTCGCCGTAATTCCAGTCACCGACGATGCACCACTTGACATTCCTGTCCCGCAGATCGCGCGCAACCTCGTGTATGACGCCAGTAGTCGAGTTGAGCGGATGGACAGTGTGGCCTAGCAATTTGGAGTCACCAGAGGGCAGGAAGGCATTGGAAGCAGCCAGAAGCATGTTGTTGCTGATGTGTTCTAGATGTCCCCGGTACTTGTACCAGGGCCCAGCTGGAGAGATGTGGTCGGTTGTGCACTTGCCGGCTACTTTTATCAAGATGGGCATGTCTTGTACCGAGTCGGCTTCCCATGACTTGAAAGGCTGCAGTAGTTGTAGGCGGTCGGATTGTGGGTCAATGTTGACCGAAAGATGTGCTGCATTTTTCACGGGCGCTTGATAGAGATTGTCGCCAATCGTGAACGCGATAGGCAATTCTACACTGGTGGGAGGACTGAAACGTAATTGTGATGTTGAGCCATCCACAGCAATCGAGTCGCTGATGGGATTGAAGTCGATGCGACCCGCATAAGCGAACGCGGTCACCATCTCGGGTGATGTGACAAAGGAACAAGTCTCAGGGTTGCTGTCGTGACGCCCGACAAAATTGCGATTGAAGCTCGAGACCACGGTGTTCCGCTCGCGGCCCTTGACATCCACATCTGTGCGATCCCACTGGCCAACACACGGACCGCAGGTGTTGCTCAGGATCACGGCGCCTGCATCTCGCAGTGATTGGAGTATGCCCTCCGCTTCCGCCGTAGCACGAATATCTTCGCTCCCTGGCGACACCATGAAAGGGGTCCTGACTCGTGGCAAACCGGCTGCTTTGGCTTGACTGACAAGCTGCGAAGTCTTGTACAGATCCTCGTATGAGCTGTTGGTACAGCTTCCGACCATCGCGTGGCTGACATTGACAGGCCAATTGCTGTTGTGAACAGCTTCCTTCAGCTGGGAGAGCGGGTGTGATAGATCCGGCGTAAACGGTCCGTTAACATGAGGTTCAAGTGTGTCGAGATCGATCTCAATAATATCGTCGTAATGGTGTTCGGAGCCTTCATCGGCCGTGAGGAGTACGTCCTTGTACCTGTTTGCCTCTTGTGCAATGTTCTCGCGCTTAGTAGCAGAAAGATACCGGCCCATAGAGTCCGAGTACGGCAAGATGCATGAGGTTGATCCGATCTCAGCTGACATGTTGCAAACAGTGGCCATAGCTGTCGCCCCGAGACTGGCGCAGCCTGGGCCAAAGAACTCAATGACCTTCCCTTTCCCACCAGAAACAGTCAGGATGCCGGCTAGCTTGCAAATGATATCTTTGGTCGATGCCCAGCCGTTCAATTTGCCGGTCAGTCGCACTCCCACAACTTCGGGGCACCTATGACCATCAGTGATTGGCAAATACGGCGTCGCTGCGGAGGCCACTCACATCAGCTCCCAAGGCATTCCAGCCATTGCGTCCACTGCATCAGAACCACCAACACCGATACCCAGCATGCCCATGCCCCCCGCATTTGGTGTGTGAGAATCAGTCCCGATTATCAGTCCACCGGGGAAGGCATAGTTCTCGAAGATAGTTGTGTGAATAATTCCGGCTGCGGTATGATCAGCCTCGAGAGGGTTGAACCTGGCTGTAATTAAACTCACCGCCTGGCTTCCACCACCCGATTCCGTACTTCTTGGCCGCGCTGCTCAGAAATGCGTATACTTCTTGGTGCTCGATTCTGCCTCTTTTCAAGTCTTCTTCTGCGCCATTCCGGGACACAACAAGATGATCGCTATGTACGGTGGTTGGAATCTGGACTTTTGGCAGGCCTGCGCTGATGAACTGCAGCAGCGCCATGGTCGCTGTTGCATCGTGACAAGCCACCCGGTCAGGTCGCAGATGCAGAAGAGTCTCCCCGCGCCGAATCTCGTCGAGATTCCATGCGTGGTCCGGGCTTGTGTATAGATGGCTGTATAAGATCTTCTCTGTCAGAGTCAAGGGCCGCTGTGATCCATACTTGACTGCCTCCAGTTGTGATATCTGGCGATCGTAGTCCAGAGGGCTGTCCGGATTCAGAGGGCTTATTGGCACCCGAGACGCAAATGTTGCGAGGCTACGAGTCGAAAGCGATCTTTTGCACAATATACGTCGTAAGCGTGTTGACCTAGTCGTGCAGTAAGATGCGAGGGTCATCGTGGTGGGAAGAATAGCGCGCAGAACAGCCAGGTGCGAACAAACGCGTAGGACGCGACATCTTTGAGAAGAAGTAGCACCATTCGGCGCAAGATCGCAGGAACCAAACGCGATGGTCGGCAATGCGAAAAGGTGCGTGTTGATTCGCCACCGGATTGCTCCTTGATAGGGTGGAGTGCTCCGTGAGCTAGAATGTCACGTGCTGAACCTTCAAGTGCTTCGAAATCTTGAAGAAACGCACATGATGCACGCGCTTGTGACGCGACAGTTAAAGGTTTTAGCTTTGATTGTTGCCCAATGTTGCTAAACAAACGAAGCCACCGACACCCTTTCAGATCATGTCGCCTGCCAGTTCCATTGTCAAGCAGCCAGTGCTAGCCGCACTAAAGCGATTCACTACGTGTGGTGTAGGTTCTCCCTGATATGAAACGAACTTCAGATGTAATCAAAAATCCCATTGACATCCTCAGATCGGCGACGCGTTGGTGCGACTCAACGTGCGCCATGGGGGCTACCTCAGCGGGCTGAAGATGTTCTCCCCTACCGAAGGGGCTGGCACATCAAAGATCATTGGTCCGGCCTATACTGTAATATGGTCCCAGCGAATGACAAGGTATCTCCGTGGCCTTCCAAACATTTCGCCGATGCAATACCGCCGCACAGTGTGGTGTTTGTGTCCCAACCGAAAGGCTACATCAGCGCGTGCTGGGGCGGCCTCATGAGCACGCGCGCGCAAGAAGCTGGTGCTGCAGGCATAGTAATTGATGGGCGCTTCTGAGACATCAACGAGCATCGCGAACTAGGTGTCGGTCTTTTCGCCCACGGCACGAGCATCCTTGGCTCACATACTTTTACACGATCGTCCTAACTCAATGTGCCAGCCTCCTTCAGCCAGGAAGGCGCGGAAGGCGAGACTGTGAAGATAAACCTGGGCGATATCATCATGGGCGATGCTGATGGTGTGGTAGCAATTCCACCGCATTTAGCGGAAGAATGCGTGAAGCTTTGTGTTTCGAGGTGGAACATTGACGAAGCGACAAGACAGTGTATAACAGATGGCGAAGATATCGGACCAAACATCAACAGGCTCCGTCAGTAGATACATACTAGAATGGGTTCCATGCTGTATCGTTGTTCAAGAACTCGGTTATGAAAGCCTCCACAGTAGCGTCGGGAGCTTCTTGCATCGTGCCAAACGTCGTATTTGGGTAAGTTGAGACATCATGCGCGAATGTATGATCACTGAAAGCCGTCCAGTCGGAACTGGTCATATCGAAGGTTGCTGGCGGAAAGTTCAAGGATTCCTCGTGTCCATGTGTGATCGTGTGTGGGTGATCTTCCGCGACCAGACCTTCTGGTAGATGATAGATCTGTTGATCCTGCAAGACAACCCGTCCTGTATCATTGCGTCCGAACTTCGGCTGTGACCCATTCGCAGACCCATATTGCTGGGGTTGCTCGTGGTGTAGCTGATCAAGTTTGCGTGCAAGAGCGTCCATGGCCCTGCTAAAACTCTCCTTTCCCTTTTTGACCGATGGCCAAAATTCGCCGCCAACGCTCAGCAGGTTGGTACAAGTTCTCAGGTCTCGCATAGCCGCAGATGTTGGGATCGTGCGTCGAACAAGACTGGAGGACCAAAGGCAGTAAATCATTGTCGCACCAGACGAAAAGATGCCCTGAACACTCCTCCAACTCTGAAAGTAACTGTCGAGCTGATAAAGATGGTTGTATATATTGAGTCTTTTAGCAGCACATCTGTAGCATGTTAAAATAGACTGCTCCGAAGGTTGAGGGATAGCCTGCGAAGGCTGGTGCAAGAGGACCATTACTGCATAGTACTGACTCGTAAGCTTGAGCTTGTACTTTTCCTGCTCCAGCCGCTCTTCATCATCATACTGCGAGGAGCCGGTGATGTTATTCAGCATATTGCGCCAATCTTCAAGTTTTTGACCGATGATAGCTTGCGATGATTGTTCGTCGCTTGGCCAGACGTACGCACTGACTCGAGACGGCAAGTGGTAGAACAAGAGCTTGATCTCTGATATAATCGGATCCAGTTTGAACCGATGAATAGCAAAAGCAGCGCCACCGATTGGCGACACAGCTGGTGAGAATAGGTGGTCACTAATATTTGTTGTGTCGGCTTGGATATCCGCCAAAGTAGGCAATTGTAGATCAAAAGTCTCGTCGCGAATGCCAAGGGGCCGCCCTTGTATAGATGCAATGGATCTAAATTACTATATCAGCAGCTTCCTTACCACAGTGGGGAAAGAAATCATGAATGTGGACTTACCTGTCTAGATGATAAACACTGAAGAAGAGCAGCTTGCGAGTGAGTATGGCCGTACGGGATAGACCACGGTCGTTGCTGATACTGCGGTGAAGGCCAAGATCCACACAGTGTGCCATAGACACGTACGTCAGCGTCCATACATTGAGCTCGGTCGGACTGAGCAGACTGTGCACTGCCAACAGCAAAGTGGCCTGCAGACTTGCAAGTGATGTGGTCGAAAAGCAATGTTGGTCTGCAGTCATTGCAACTCGATAAAACTGATTTGGCGCGAAGTCATATGCTCGTTGACGTGTGCGAACTGTTGCTGCAAGCGTGAAGACCATGAATGCGTGGAACGTCGCCGTGAACACAGTTATCGGCGTGCAGTCAACGTTTCTCGATCTTTCGTATTCGCCGTTATAGGCGAAAGGTCGCACTGAGGCCGCCCATCCATTGTGACCTATCTCGACAGTAGCGTCGGCTGTTGCGCACTGATACAAGGCATCAACAGCTGAGAGCAGAGAATCTGGATGCAAGAACGGATGATCGACGTGGACATTGCGGAAATATACCTCCAATAGCAAGCGAGCATCATCTTCCGCTGGTAAGCTCTTCCTCAGCGTGTCGTACAGCAGACGACAAGACTCCTTCAGACGCTTAGTATGCGCATAAGACCCGAACTTCGTAGAGCTGTGGATCAAAGACAGACCGGGAGATTTGTTGCTACCAGCCCCAACGGCCGCATCAGGAGAACCTGCGCCAATGAGTCTTGTGAATAGACGGCCTGAAGAACTGCCCAGATAGTGCGTTTGCCTGGAGTCAGAGTTCAAAGTCAAAAGTCCTAGGTCAAGAGCTACCGAGCGTGCCTCGTCTGCAAAAGCATCGGGACCTGCAGGGTCGGTTACGGATTCGCGACTACGTTTGCCTAGAGTATGGCAAGATTCAGGGGATGATGCAGCGTTTGAGGAGTTGATGTCGCGCGCGCTAGGAGATGGAGCTGTCTGGTTGCTGATAGCCCCGGCTGCATCAAGGAAGCTGAAGTCGACTCGAGGGCCATCCTCAAACCTGAAGTCGGGGGACAAGGACCTGATGTGCTGTTCAAGCCATTCGATACGGGCTTTGGCATTTGCCGCGAAGTCTCTGGGTATCGAGAGACTGTTGTTGCGACCGTCGACATCGATGCAGGCCTCAGCGGCCTTCTGACAGTTTCCGCAAGCAGGGATGCCTCCATCGCACTGCATTTGTTGAGTACGACCTTCAAGGAAGGCAGGTTGGCTCTCACCACTCACCTTGATCCTCTTTGTGCGACATCGGCGACACGCAATACGGACCTTTGCGCTCATCACAGATTCCAGCGTCACTTCATTGCAATGCGAAGTGAAGCAGTGGCTAGTTGATCAGCGGGACGACACCACAGAGCCAAGGCGCTAAATTATAGCAGCGCGAGAGGTCCGGGGTCAACGCCGATCGCACTCCTCTCACTCGACATTATCATCATCAGCGTTATCATCAACAGTAACAACAACATTGCTTCGATCACACTGACTCCTGGGTAGCATATAAATCCGGCTGCAATATTCTAGCGATAAGCACTGACAACCAGGCTCTAGATGCCTTTGAGAACAAACACGTCTTACAGTATTTCTAAAAAGCGTTGTAGTCTTCTAAAGCTTTAAAAGTCGTAAAGCGCCTTTGAATTACCACTGACTGACTCCCTCAGTTTTGACGGATCCGGCCTTGTAACCGACTGTTTCTGCTACCTGAGAGGATGGTTTCATCACTAACTCTATGCAGTCATCTTTCGCCACGGTTCTAAAGCTACAGTCTTAGCCAACAGTACCACTTGTTCGTACACGGTAAAAGAAATCGCTCCCGAGACCTACGTTTGCTGTCAGTCTGGTATCAACCTCATGAATGCGGCTTCAGCTACTTACACTAAGTCGAACGAGGCGCGGCGTCGTTCCTCTCCATAACGTTAACACACCACCACGCTGCACAAGTTTTCTAGCACAGTCCCATGAGCCTGTATACATGCCATAACCCTGGCGGCTCTGTAACTGCGTTTTCAGATTGTCGAATGGCATGGTGCAGTATACGGTGATAACACCGGCCAATGCGCCAGCAACAGCGCTGGTCGGGCCGCCAACGATATCCTGCAAAGAAGCTGACAAGCAGTTGTAGCTAGTAAAGCGCACCATGGCATTGCTCGATTGCTTCAACGTTACTGGCCAGACTCCCCTGTAAAAGTTCAAGGGACCTTCGTTTCTCAGTATATCATGGATAGCTTGCGTCGATGATCGATACGTATGCGCCCCCGCACGGTCTTCTATCAACCGCGTCTTCAAATTTTCTCCTGGTGTCAAGACCAACACACTCTCGGCCACACCTGCGCATATACCTGCCAACATGTTGCCGCTCACGGTCGTGTTTCCTGAGACATCCCTTGGCATGTAGTCGCGTGCGAAATTGAAGGTGAGAAAACGAACACCGGATTTGGATGCATTGGAGATGCAGAACGCCGCACCTCCTGTGTATAGCCGACCGATGCCGTGATTTCGAATGGTGGAGGTAAGGGTTTGGATTGGCGATTGGGATCTCGCATGTCCACTGAGAAGTTGCTGTCGCGTCTTTACAAATTCTGTGGGATACTGGGCGATGTTAAAAGTCTTCAATATCGCAAGGTAGCTCTCACTGACTGTGACTAATGATTCCACTCCTCCTGCGGTAGCGCCAGCCAGCAAAGATTGACAAGGCGTCACGTTGGAAAGTTTCGAGCTCATCTTGAGGATGCGGGCTCACAGTTGGTGCTGACGAACTCGAGAGGCATTGATCTGCTTGTGCGATCCTGAAGCCTCCCAAGGTCAGCTTGCTGTTCCCGGTCTCTCGGGACAAGCTCCTAACATCTCATTCATCTTCGTTACGCTCCGAAGTGCGGGATCATGGTATCCTCTCTGACTCGGCCCTCAAGCCAAGTTTCGCTCCGCCCCGCCTTTCACTGTGCACGCCCCTGTGGGTCCGGGGAAGTCCATGAGGGGAGAACAAACAGGCATGGAGTGCTCCGGACGAGCGAGTTATGCCTAGTTGAGCCTAGCTTCCCTTGCAGCATCGTCGAGATAGTCTACACTTGGAAGCTTGCAAGTCAAGTCCAGAGCTCATTCTCGATATTTTCGTGTATCGAACAGTACAAGCACTATGTCTGTACGGGTTCAAACTCGTGTCATTACTACAGACCCGTCGGCGGTGAAGCATATCAAGGTCACTGGTAGCGACTCCGCTCAAACTCAGGAGCACGCAGCAGCGCTGTTCCCAAATGGCGGCTGGGACACTCATCACCACATCTTCGATCCCGAACGATTCCCATACGCAGTCGATCGGCACCTCACACCACCAGCTGCGTCAGTCCAGCAATTCATCGACTTCAAAGCCCGTTTGGGTTTTACGAACTCTGTCCTTACTCATGGTCTCTCATACGGCGACGATTGCACGTCTTTGAAGACATTCGTGCCCGAACTGGATCGCAGCAAGACAAGTGCCATTGCTGTTATTGACCCACGCACTGTCAAGCCATCGGAACTGGAGTCTATGCACAATGCCGGTATTCGTGGTATTCGCGTCAACCTCTATAAGTACGGAGCGATGCACGACCTGGAGCTACAAAAGGTGGCACTTTGCGAGCATGCTGCCGTTCTGAAAGAGTACTGTTCAGGCTGGAGCATGGCATTCACCCACATTCACCCAGAGTTTTGGAACGACCTGATTCCCGTTGTCCGGGAAATTGCCGATGCCGGAATCCCGCTTGTCACGGATCACTTCGCACTGCTCAAAGCAGCCTCGATGTTGCCTGACGAGCACAAGGCGAACGTACTAGCACAGCCCGGATTGGAAGCGATCTGTTCTTTGGTTCGTTCTGGAGCTCTGTATGTTAAGATAAGTGCTCCCTACCGTGTCAGTGAACTGGCTCCTGGCTACAGCGACTTACAACCAATTGTTCGAGCCTTGGTAGATGCCAACGCTGGGATGATATTGTGGGGATCTGACTGGCCACACACGCCGAGAATGAAGGTTAGAAGCCGAGAAGAAGCGCTTCGGGACACGCAATTTCTGCAGGTTGATGATGAAGGGTGGCTGAGAACCCTGAAAGGTTGGTTGAGTGAGCATGAGTGGGACATGATCATGGTCCAAAATCCAAGTAGACTGTACAGTAGTCGATAAATGCTATCGAAATGTTATTTACAATGTTTCGCGGTATCACCAGGTGCACGAAAGTAATAAGATTAGTGATGGAGAAGTATGATCATTTATAGCAATGGGCAAGGTGTTACCACAGGAACAAGCCGCAAGACTGGCTGTACAGACTTGAAACCATGTCATCTCAAGGCACGTTCCACGATGTCTCGGACTACGGCGCATGAAGGTTCGCCACGATATCATAACATGCATTGAAGATGACAGCGAGTGTACGAGCCACTACCATATGATTAGTGCTGTGGTTCTTCGCTTTTGTGAAGTCTAAGCACACTGCAATTCGCAACATCTAAATTCGGGCCAATCACCAATCTCGAGCCAATGGCTCCTTGATGTTACCAACATGCCAGACGCCGCCCCGTCCTACAATCCACATCTCATGCTCACCGAAGGCTACGCTGACAGCAAGGTTCTCGCCACCACCGACTCTGATAGTACCGAGAGTTAAGCCACTGGTGGGATCGATCACATCTACTCCATCTCCCGCACCTGCAAACAGATAACCGTTCTTACTGGCCCGAATACCGTCGTAGAAGTAGCTGATAGGGTTATTCAGAAACCTCGGATTGGCAAGTACACCTCCATGTGGAGTGTCATAGGCGAACAATGCGCGATTTCCGTATGGGTTCTTGAGAGATTTAGGCTTGAACTCTGAGACTCCTGTGTCTGATATGTAGACTGTGTGGGTGTTGGGGTTCGACGAGGACCGGGCTACGGCGATGCCATTTGCGTTGCCGGTGGTGATATGGACTGGCTTCGGACGCATTGTGGTGCCGTTGACAAAATACACAGTGGGGTTCGTTGGGTAGTAGAAATCTATCAAGTCTCGGCCCTGTTACCATTGTTAGCCGATGTATCAATATCTACAAGTGTTTGGTCAGACATACATAAGCGCTCTTCGAGTCAGTGAGCCAAAAGTTCCCGTCACTGTCGATGTCCAAGTCGTTGAACCCCAGGAATGTCTGACCGTAGTAGTTGTTTAATATCGTTTTTTTCTTCCAGGTCTTTGGATCGATCTTGACTAATTGTCCGGTCTCCTTATCCTCGTATCCGTCTGTCACGACATACATATTCTCCCCGTAGATAACGCATCCATGAGCATTGTATGTGGGTGGATCCGTCTGCAGCTTTTGGAGCCTATTGTTGCGTGTATTCAACATATACTGCCAGTTATGCGTGCCATTAACTCCACCCGGTGGGCCCCACTCGACGAAGAATAAGTTGCCTGTCGTAGGGTTGTAGCAAGGTGCTTCGTGTGACTGGTATGCCAGATGTTGGACATGCTCGACTTTTGCGTCCGGTCCAATGATGTCGAAGAAGCGTGGATCATAGGCGATGAAATCCGTTTCGTTCAAGTAAGCAAATCTGGAGTGACAATCTTAGCAAGGATGCATCATAATTTGTGGGACACGAACGCTTGAGCAATGCCATCATCAGAGACTTCGCTTTTGTGTGGAGCATCAAACACCGATCGATTGAATGAGCCCGGGATTACAGCAACAGACGGCGAATCGTAAGAGACCCAGGCCCAGTTCGACGTATTGGTCTGAAACCTAGCAGGCAGCTCGTGAAGGAACTCAGATGCAAACAAGCTTTTTCCAAAAAGAACGGCGGGCAGCACAAGAACGTTGCGCATGATCTCAGAAGCTTGTGCTTGTATACCAGATTTAGTTGACTTTCAATTGCTAGTGAAAGGAGCTTCCTCGGACTTACTGGCGTCCAACTCTACTTATACATCGCTTTGCTCTACGGCATCCTGACCTATTGACCTGCCGCTTCTGCAGATACCTTGTTTCATTGATCCGTCTCCTGAGCGCTCATGACTTGGAGGCTGCCCAATATCAGTTCATCCGGGGCTGCGGACTGCATTCGACAACATGGTGCGGGGAAGACGCTCGCTCAATCGCGTGATTCTCGTCAGTAGCGACCCCCAGGCCGAAGCCGCAGGGCCTGAGAGGTTCGGTGTACTCCAGGTATTTGCTGTGACCTAGACTCGTAGCGGCTGATGGAGTTGTGCTTGAAGGGTCCAGCGGGTCCCGGAGCATTCCTCAGCCAATCACGCTTTCTCTATTTAATCGCGCCTTCTCCGACGCACCACTCATGTCGAGTCCGGCCCACCAGCTTCTGGTTTGACTTCTTCGCTGGAGCGCTCCGACAACCTCACTTTGTCGAGAATCCCCGCATTGCATGTGCTTGGCTATGGGGACCCCAGATTTGAAGCTGGTGGCGTATCCAAGTCCGGTCCTATATAACGATAAGGGATCAACATGTAATTTTGCATCGCAGGTCTCTCGAAGTCAACGAAGACGCTGCAGATCCTTCCATCTTTATATAACAGTTGGCACATACACATTTACACGATGGCAGGTTCGATGAAGCTTGAAAATTCGAGCCTACACGAGGTGGAGATGAAGGCAGGCAACGACAAAGTTGAGCAACTACAAGACTATGATGGGGACACAAGGGCGATGGAGAAGCGACTTGTCCGCAAGTTGGACATGTCGCTAATGCCTGTTGTCTGGGTCCTGTACTTCTTCAACTACATGGACCGAAACAACATTGCGTAAGTGCCAGCGTTGTGGAGTTCTCGAGCACCTGTACTGACTGATTACAGCCAAGCAAAGCTAGACTCGTTTGAGAAAGATCTAGGACTCGTTGGCAACCAGTTCAACGTCGCTGTATGTACCACCTATGTTCTGGCACTCCTTATAGCTCACCATGACAAGGTCTCTATCCTCAACGTCGGTTATGTTTTGTTCCAGTTGCCTTCCAACATGATCCTCACCAAAGTTCGACCTTCCCTGTATATCCCTGCTTGCGCCATGATTTGGTCCTGCGTATCTGCGGCGACTTCGGGTGTACATAACTACTCGGGCCTCATCGCTGTACGATTCTTCCTGGGTATCGTCGAAGCCCCTTTCTGGCCTGGAGCATTCTACATGCTGAGCTCTTGGTATACCAGAAAGGAGCTTGCCCTGAGGACTGCTGTACTGTACAGTGGACTGGTCCTAGCTACGGCCTTCTCTGGTCTGATAGCCGCCGGTGTATTTGCTGGACTTGAGGGTAAAGCTGGACTAGCTGGGTGGCAGGTAAGCTTTGGCGGTCTTTGACACCTCCTGGGTATGTAGCTTAACTTGCTCAGTGGCTTTTTATCATCGAAGGTGCCGCAACATTCGCCTGCGCTCTGGGGTCGATGTTCATTCTGCCCGATTTTCCCGGCAGTAAGACTGGTGGTGGAAAGTGGCTGTTCACTGAAGAAGAGCAGAAGCTCGCTATCGAGAGAATCCTGAGAGACAGGGTATCCGCGCCCGAGGCTGATGAGAGCATCATGCATGGTCTCAAGCTTGCGGTGACCGATTACCGAACTTGGGTCTTCGTGAGTCAAAATAGTCTTTCGCGTTTGCATACATACTGACTTGTGATACAGTCGCTTATGCTCTGTGCCAATCATTCCGCTTATGGGTTCAACAACTTTTTTCCCACTATCGTCAAGGGATTTGGACTCGGCTCTCGTACCATCACACTTGTTTGCACGGCACCGCCCTACCTCATCGGTACCCTAATTTCCTTCGCAATTGCATTCTCTAGTGATCGCAACAAGGAGCGTGGTTTCCACATCTCCATCCCCCTGTGTGTTGCGGCCGCTGGGTTCATCATCACCGTTGCCACGCTCAACGTTCCGGCCCGCTACTTCGCCTCCTTCCTCTACATTGGCGGTTGTTTTGGCTCGAATGCAATTGTCTATACATGGGCAGCGAGCACCCTGAATTCCACACCTGCAAAGAGAGCTTGCGGAACAGCGATCGTCAATATCATGAGCCAGATGGGCAACATCTACTCGCCCTATTTCTTCCGCCCACAGGATGCGCCTCGCTATATTCCAGCTATGCTGCTAATGATGGGATTCTCCATCGTCAGCATCTGCACCTGTATCTTCATGAAGACATCGCTGAGGCGGGCGAACAGGAAATTGTTGAAGCAGGAAGAGGAAACCGGTATCAAAGCGACTCTGTTCCCGTTGTAGGATTCAATGGGTGCAATCGAGGGAAGGGTTGTTACGATTCATGATTTCAAGCATTTTGGTGGTGGAAATAGGCTCATAGCGCCTTCCGTAGTAGTGGATATAGCCTCGGCTGCAGTAACCGAACGTAGCGACTTCTTGCGAGCACCATCATCGACCTCCAGCTTCGTTCATCAAACCGTCCATCGCAATACAGATGTCGCTATAGTTCGTCGCTCCTTCGCAGCCTGATCATCATTTGCTGCTGCTCCCCTCTTTCTTCTTTCTTGACTTTCAATACGCGTAACATGACACCTCACTCGCAAGAAGGCGCGCCTCTGCTCGTCGCGAACGCGCTTCAAGATATCTCATCAAAAGTCTCAACCCAGTTCGCGCTCAAGATAGCAGCGGCAATGTACTCATTCGCCACACTCGGGCTCTTCAACTCATCCATCGGCGCATTGCTTCCCTTGATCTCATCCCACTACGACTTATCTGATCTATACGTCTCTCTAGTCTTCGTCGTTGGCCCACTAGGCTACATAGTCGCCGCCCAAATGAGCTCGTTGATCCACCACCACTTTGGTCGGTTCGGGATCGCGCTCATCGGCTCGGTGCTGCAGATCATCGCAGCAGGACTGCTATCTCTGCATCCTCATTTTGAACTCATACTCGTTGGATTTGCGGTACAAGGACTGGGGGAAGGTCTACTCGATGGAAGCTGGTGTGCGTGGGCTGGTAGTATGGAGAGAGCGAGTACAATGTCTGGACTGTTGCATGGGAGTTTCTCCGCTGGGGCGGCGGCCGCTCCCATTTTGGTTACGCTTATGACTACGAATGGATATGCTTGGTTTGAATGGTATTATGTACTGGTGAGTTTGACTGAATCCAGGTCGACGACTCAAAGCTGATGGTCACTCCAGGGCGCTCTTTCAATCATTGACGCTGTAGCCCTATGTGCTGCATTCTGGAGCGAAACAGCATCAGTGTATCGTCAGACGCATCAGTCCGAAGAAACTGAGAACAAAGCCCACTCCAAGGTAATGCTCAAGCTTCCCGCCACGTGGTGGTGTGCCGCATACTTTCTTGCAGACGTGGGTGTCGAGACCGCAATCTCAGGATGGGTCGTCTCGTTCATGCTTCGCAGTCGCTCTGCAACTCCCTATCTCGCAGGTCTCTCGTCGTCAGGCTTTTGGGCTGGCATGGCTGTTGGCAGACTTGTCTTGGGACCATTGACCGACAAAATCGGCGTACGCAAAGCGACCGCGCTATACTTCGCCAGTGCCATATTGATCGAGGCCTTGTTTGCGTTACTGCCATATGCAATCGTCTCGGCCGTTCTGATGGTAGCCCTGGGTTTCCTCATGGGGCCGTTATTCCCGTCTGGCATCATAGTCTTGACTCAATTACTGCCAAAGGAACTACATGTAGCTGCAGTCTCCTTTGTCGCTTCACTAGGCCAAGTAGGTGGGGCGTTGTTACCCTTCGGCATTGGCGCTGTCGTCGAAGGGCTTGGAATTCAAGTCTTTCGTTACGCAATTTTGGTACAGTCAATACTGGCAATGCTGCTTTGGGTAGCTTTTGCGAAACTTCGGCCGGCAGTATCTACATTGAGCGAACCTCGGCGTACGAGGGTTGAGGAAAGACTGAACAATGCGTAAACACAAATCAAGATTTGCATCATAATTGGGCGGCACCAAGGGTTGCTTTGGTCTCGGCTCAAGCTACACGATCACGACCTCAACTCAGCGCCCCTCATGTAGGAGTCCTAGGCACACTCTCAAGCGTGAGTGCCAGCATGTGAGTCCCCTCAGCGCAGTAAGTAGCAGGGATGTAGTCCATAGCGTCCAGATCAGTACCTGCAGTGTTTGAGTGACTGGATGTTTCAAGAGGTCACTCACCATACTATAAGATGCGTATAATCCATTGTCTCTGAGGTATCTATGCTGTTAGCTACAAGAAACTTTGAGCATTTCCCACACCACTCGCGGTGCTTTCCTGCATTATTAGGAAGAGCGAAGCTTGTCTTCCATTGATCGAGAGCCTGTAACAGGCTTGTTGAGCATAGTTGTCTTTGAGAAATGCTCCGTTCTGATCGCATGTTCGAACACAGTTTGCCATGTCCAGACATGCTCGATTGATCCTGCGGGAGTCAAACCCCTGCACGTATGTAGAACGGAGATGAGCTCGTGCATCAGGCCACAAACCACACAAACACATTTTCACATTTAGGAACCAAGAAAGGGGGCTGCGACAGTTCGTCATCCGATTGGATCCTGGATGATGCGTCGTGAACATGCGGGCCTGTGCTCCAAGCAATGTGCGCGACTTTATAGTCAATAAATTTCACACATCTCAGTAGCTGTCGTGCTGCCGAACGCTTATGACTGATTGATGCCGACACTGAAGAGAATTCGAAGGTATGGTTGTAGTATTATTCGGAACTTTCGTGTTCGCTCATACATCCGCAACCTTGTACCCTCCAACAAGCAAATTTGTGTAAATCCTCAGTGGATCGTACTTGGTGCGAATCAACTTGAGCTTTCGGAGATTCGCAGCTGGATAGCTTTGGAAGACGCGCTGTCCCTTGCCAGCATCGTCCATGTAGAGGTATGTAGCGCTGTAAGGCTTCTGAGCCAGAAGAGCATTGATGTCTGCGGTTATCGCATCCGCAGCAGCCTGGACCGCGCCGTCATCAGAAGCGTTTGAACATGTCCAGTTCTCGACCATCCAGAAGAAAGGTGCCTTTAGAACGTCAATGCCCTGAGGATTGCCTCCACTGTCAACGCTTCTTTGGAGGAAGGATTTGGTCACCGGCTGAAAGGTGATAGAAGCCTGCAGGCCAGTGATGCCTGCTAGCCTTGATGACACTTCTGAAACAAAGGTACCATGAATCTCTTGAGCAGCATCTGTCCACCACAGACGACAGGGTTCGAAATGCTTGGCGCAAGCCATTGGGTTGCAAAGTATCTGTCGCAGCGATGTAGTCGACTAGCGGTTGCAATGCATAGGAGTCAACAACAGGCGGCAGTTGAGGCGCCGTGACGTTCTCGAAGGCCGTCAGGCTATCCCTCAGCGAAAATAGAACTACCTCATCTATTCAACAGATGCCACCGCCCAGAAGCAGGCCGGATACGCCTACGTGATCAACACGGCCTCCAACTGCTGCAAGGTTCGATGGTGCCCAAATACGAATAGATATCCCCCCATTGGTCGCCTGGCCCGACTGAGACCGTAGAATTGTCGGACCCAAGCGCCAGAGCGGTGAGATTGGACATTGATAGCAGTATGCCCGTACTGTCGATGCCATTGTAGCCTGGAATTGGCATGTGACCTCCGCATCGAACAGCGAGCTTTGATAGTGCCAGTGTCATCGTTGTGATTGCCAGAGACAATTGGGGTGTGGTACCCAAACTACGTATCTGATAGCATGCAAGAACCTTCGTAGGAGTGAAAATGCTGGCTGTTCATTGATGGCGAAAGGCCTATGATTCGTGCTGGACTGCGGCTGTTTAGCGCGGCGCTAACATGGAAGGCGTATCCCTGAATCACGTCTTTGACAAAAACCTTGTCCGCGTGTCAAGGTCGGTCTTGCTGAGTAAGAGGCCTTGGTCTGATTGCATTCTTTGGGGTAATTTGGATCTTTTCTGTTGTATTACACACATCAGAGGTAGTCAGGAAGAGCTGACCGTGATTTCGGTGACTTTACTGTAGACACCTTTCCATTCGATAACTTCCTCGATGATGTATCACTCGACTGAGAATCTAATCAATCGATGCCGTCAAGTATCCGGAGATGTCGAACGGCACTCGTCCCTCCTTTGACCTTCATTGGACAGCGCTCAAGGCCACGCCGGATCCACAAGTCTTCTGAAGCAGGCTACATACTTCATACCGTTATTCCTCGTGACCTTCTTTCCCTCCTCGGTCTCACTTCTCATCAACCTGACGCACTCGTCCATGCCCTCCCCATCCTTTCCCTCTCCTTCCTCGAAGACCTTCTCTACCCTCTCAAAGCTGGGATGCTTCTCAAAATGGCCCTTCATCCACTCATGCAGGTCCTGCACATCAGTAATCGTGTATACGATCGCCCCCGGCTTGAGCACGTACGCATACTCTGAGTTCAGTGTGTAGGACACGATGCGGGCCTTGTGCTTGCGCTGCTTGAAGTGTGGATCTGGGAAGCAAAGGAAGATCTTGGTGAGCTGCGCTTTCTGGAAGAAGTTGGGGAGGAACTTCATCGTATTTGCGCGGATGCAGGACGCGTTTTGGTAGGCGCCAGTTGCGGCATTCTGCACACGCAGAGCGCGCACTTTCTCTTGCACATACTCTGTGACTGAGGTTCTGATCTCCAGGCCTAGATTTCAGTCAGTGCGGCTTCTAGAGTTCTAGAGGCATTGCGCAGGTATTGATGTAATGGTTGCTGGTGAGGGCGGAGCAACGCACCAAGCATTAACGTGTCTGGGAAATTCGGTGCGAGTGCAAACAACAGGCCTCCAAAGCCGCAGCCAATGTCGGCAATCTCGACATTCTTTGTGAGTGCTTTGACTGCTGTACTCTTCTCTTCCTCATCATTATCATGTGACCTGGATGTTGTCTGCTCCTTATCCTCGACTGCATAAGTGGGGTATAAGCTTGCCCAGTCCATGTCCGCAGGGCTTTTGGGACTATATACGTTTAGTAAAGTATCCAAAATCATGGTAAGGCGTTAGTTACTATGTCAGAGAGTGATCTGAGAACGGGTTGGCGTGAGCGCGTTGCCGATAGAATTTCTTCTTTGGCAGCGCGGCGTCATTTTCAATAAGAGTCTTCTTGTACTCTTCGCGCTTTTGACGCTTCGCTGGCTCGCCGGGCATGGTGTCTGTTTTGCGCTTGCTCATGGAAGTTGTGCAGATCTGCAGGTTGGTGCTGAGAGAAGTTTGGTGTGGGAGGCGAGAGTGTATTGGCTGGTTGACTCGAAGCGAGGCTGAAGTGGAGTCAAGCTTTTCCGTTAGCCTCACCTTCCATGGTTCGCTCGTTTTGCGGAGACACGAACCCACAGATGGGTGAAACAAAGATGACGTAGTGTGCAACATTCTGACTTGAGTAGTTGCCGACCACAACGTGTCGGACTCAGATCGATTTAGGATGGAGTCCACGCCCTTCAATCGCGCACTGCGTAAAGACCGGTGAGGTGTAAAGTTTGATACACAAAAATCAAGTCAAGCCCAAACACGCTGCGCCCAAATGCTAATCCCACAAAGTATGCCAAATCGTGCAATCATAATCAACAGAATTCATAGGCGCCCTGGCACCCGTGGTCTTCAATGTGCTCCAGCTGAAGCTTCTGAAATCTGGGATTGGTTAGTGCAAGAACTGTGGACAAATCAGGGCTTACTCACTTCTCGCTCTTAGCATGAAAGTAGATGCCTTCAATGCTGCCCGAGACCTGGTTGAAGGAAATGTAGTAGAAGCCCTCAAAACTAGCTCCGCTGATCGTCTTGACTCTGTGGTCTGGCACCAAAAAGTACTCTTTCCAGCGCATGAATAGATGTTCTTTCTGCATCCAGTCCTTGGATACGATTTCTGACCGCGACGAATGTTTCGAAAGTGGTTTGTATGCTGGAAATCGCGCCCAATGCTGCCGGTCGACCTTCTCGTTCGAGCCCCACTCGGGATGTTGCGTGACGAAGGTGTATTTGTTTCCAATGATTTCACTTTCGAAGTACGTAGTCAGACTGGGATGATCATCGGTCAAACCTGTTGACGCATTAGCTCTCTCTTCTTTGCACTGCCCAGAACGCAACAGGACATGCGCACCTTGGATGCGCAGATATCCGCACATGAACGACTCGCGCATATCAACATGTTTGATCTCGACATCCACTTCGTACTGCTGACGGTCGGAGGTCTGGCTGCCCTTGAAACGGCTGCCCGGGCGGAGGAGTGAGGAGGATGAATTGGGGAGGAACTGCGTCGCTGGTCAGCAACCACCAGATAGCGCAATGTTTATCTTTCGTGTTTGATGCAAGCACATACTCGGTGAGCAGGAAACGGAGCAGCAAGATGACTTGGGTTATATCGAATGGGTGCCGGCGCATTCGCAGAGAGCGGCGACGCTTGGGATGCGCGCTGATCTTCGGGGCCGTCATCGGTCGCCGTCATTGGTGTTGGAATGTCTCTGTTTGGTGTTTCTATGCTTGCGCTCGATGGCTTGCTATGTGTCTCGGTTGGCGACTGTTCGCGCGTGCCATGTGGCGGCGGTGTAGGCTGTTGCTGCATTGGCGGGCGTTGTGCAGAGTCAACATCGTGGCTGGCGCTGCTGTCGCGGCTATCACTCAGTACGTGATGAGCAGTCGAAGTACGTGTATCTTCGGGTGGACATGTTGCGCGCTCGTGCTCCGCTGGCGACACGACATCATCGGGCGTCGGCATAGTCCGGTCGAGAGGAAGCCAGGGTCACAGCAAGAAGTTATTGATTACACATGGGTCGGAGTGAAGTAAATGAAGGCAGAACGGTCGGAATTAGGATAATGGTAGGCTTGTGGAGGGTTGAGGTCTGCTTCTACGAATGATGGAATCGGGCGCTCAGACGGATGAGTCGAGTGGATACGGGCGACGGCTTGCATTTCGCGGGGAACTAGTCTAATTTCACGTGGGGGCGACAGGCACAGCAGTCTACAGGCCGCAGATCACACGATCACAGTCGCTGTTTGTTCAGGTCGTGGAGGACGCAGACAGGCTAACTGTTTGTGTCGAGCAATTTGTTTCAAATTTGCTGATTGATCGTGGACTGATCAACGAGTTCAGAGTCCTTTTCCACCTCGAATATTCAATGCACGTTTCCTGCTACCACATGGCTCCGTGAACCCTTTTGTGGACTGACAGCCCCCACATACTCCAGGCGCCTGACCCTACAATGAGCTGGGTCTGAATGCATTTGTGATTCATACGCGTCGAGGAACGTCCACCGAAAAGACACAACTTGGCGCCTCCAATATAACACTCGCATGTCTAGATGGGTTTGATCTATGCGCAGTGAGCATCGTACCGCCTACAACTAAGAGGGTGCCGTACCTTGAAGTGCAGGGAAATTAACGAAAAGACCAGAGCCTTCAGGTCTTGAACGAGGTAGTAGAAGACGCGAAGCCCTTCCGGGTCGGACGAATCTTGTACATCTTGCAGAGATCCGATTTTGGCAGTCTGTCCACGTTAGAACTTGTCGCAGTATTGGATAGTGAACATACCTCAAATGAGATGTGCTCGCTACCCAGCCTTATTTCGAGCTCTTGACGGCCGTCTTTGTTCTTCTGTGGCCACTTTGTGTCATCTTCCCTGTGCATAGTTAGTCGTTTGCTTCTGTACACGCAGAATGTGAACATACTTCAAGATCTCGCTTTCCTTGACGATGCGCTTGATCTCAGCGACTAGAGCATCGCTCACGCACACTGAAAACTTTTAGCTGAAGCATCGTGGACAAGGGCAGAGCTTCGTACTCTCTTTTCGGATGAGGGAGTCATTGCGGTAGTTGGAGTTGTTGGCATACCGTGCAGATGCACTGCGACCATCTCCCAACACCCGGAAGTCGAACTCTGGATACTTGTCAGCGCTATCGCTCAGCTCTTGGCGAAACTTCATTTACCCAGAAACTCGTGTCCGAATCGCCCTTGGTGACCGGAGCTGCACAGTTGTTAGCACCAAACCTGTGCACCTGACAGCCGCACCACTCACTAGTATCTCAGGTAGAACGGTTCGCTGCTCATCGTGGTAGCTCGCGTGCAAACAGACGCGCAGGTCAGACTTTCAGCGAGATGGTTGATATTTGAATCCTGCAATGTCCTGCCCTGAGGTTCACGATCTTCGGCGGCGTGAGGACCCCTGCTCCTTGTTGTTTTGGCGAGCGGCTGCCAAGCGTCCTAGTTCCACTTTCTCGAGCAGACACCTGGACAGTGTACGCGGTCCTTGAAGCAGCGCAACTGTCTAGTCGAGCAAGCCACCTTTGCGCGCAGGGCAATTCGATCTCTTCGCCATATACACGCAAGCTGCAGCTTCACCGGACCCGACATACCACCCACGGCCGAGTTCGCAACCGATACACGTAGCATCCCACCTTCTACGGCCACCCAAGGGCACCGCGACCTGACGGTGCACGAACATCCACCGCCATTGCTGCTGGCAATAGACACCGCATACGTACATAGTAGCGGGCACAGCTAGTCCGGCAAAATGGCGACGTTTCTCGAGAATGCGTACAGTCTGGTACGAAGGGAACACCTGGCAGCACAGCGGTGGAGCTCCAGAGAGCTGACGGACAACCACAGGTGCACCAGGACAATGCAGCCGACGTACCCTCCGAGAACGAGCTCAAGACAGCCTTGGAGAAGGGCAGCGACGAGCAGAAGATCGAGACAATGGTGCGTCTTCAACACTGCGCATGCCCCGCGGCGGTGCAGGAGCATAGTTAACAACCAAACAGAAGAAGATCCTGGCTATCATGCTCAACGGCGACCCAAAGACGGGCCTGCTCATGCACATAATACGATTCGTCATGCCCAGCAAGTCGAAACCGCTCAAGAAGCTCATGTACTTCTTCTTCGAGGTATGCCCGAAGCATGATGCCCAGGGCAAGCTGCGGCAGGAGTGGATTCTTGTTTGGTGCGTAGATAGTCTGGAACTGCTGCACAGAGACATGCTGACCGCAGAAGTAACGCTATTCGATTCGATCTGCAGGCGCCGAACGAATACGTCCGAGGAAACACACTGCGCTTTGTGTAGGTCCCTCAACGCTCCGTACATGGACTTTGCTAACAAGGTCTGCAGCACAAAGTTACGAGACGCAGAGCTTGTAGAGCCGCTGCTACGTACGCCGCCATCCCTCTCTTGTCGCCGTGACCTTGCTAACCCACCGCCCAGAACCTGTCCGCCAATGTCTCACCCACCGACACGCATACGTCCGCAAAAACGCTACCTTCGCCATCGCATCTATCTTCACTCACCTTCCTGAGCTCATGCCCGATGCGCCCGATCTACTTACCACATTCCTTGACGACGAGAACGACCCAACCTGCAAGCGCAATGCTTTCGCCGCTCTCACATCGATTAGCCACGACAAGGCTCTCGAATATCTGAGTACCGTCTTCGATGCAATCCCGAACCACGAAGAGCTTTTGCTCCTTGCTGAGCTCGAGTTCATCCGCCGAGATGCCGCTATCAACCCAGGCAACAAGGCCAAATACCTGCGCCTGATCTTCGATCTTCTCGAGTCCCAGGTGTCGACCGTCGTCTACGAGGCCGCGCACGCCCTGACGACACTCACAAGTAACCCTGTAGCTGTCAAGGCTGCTGCAGGGAAGTTCGTGGAGCTGGCCGTTAAGGAGCCTGACAACAATGTCAAGCTCATCGTGCTGGAGCGCGTCAACCAATTGAGGGACAAGAATGAGGGTGTTCTGGACGACCTGACCATGGAGATTCTCCGCGTCCTGTCGAGCACCGATCTCGATGTGCGCAAGAAGGCTCTGCACATTGCCATGGAGATGATCTCCAGCAGGAACGTCGAAGAGGTGGTGCTGCTCCTGAAGAAGGAGTTGATGAAGACCGTTGATGAGCAGTACGACAAGAATTCCGAGTACAGGTCCATCCTCATATCCGCCATTCACCAGGCTGCCATCAAGTTCCCAGAAGTCGCCGCAAGTGTCGTTGGTTCGCTCATGGACTTTATCTCCGACGTCAGCAGCAACGCATCGGCCGTTGATGTTATCTCTTTCGTCAAGGAGGTCGTCGAGCGCTTCCCAGATCTCCGCCCATCCATCATCGAGCGCCTCGTCTCGACCCTTGGCGAGGTTCGCGCAGGAAAGGTCTACCGAGGTGTTCTTTGGATCGTTGGTGAGTATGCGCTCGAGGTCAAGGATATCCAAGATGCATGGAAGGGCATCCGATCATCTCTGGGCGAGATACCTATCCTTGCCTCTGAACAAAGACTACTGGACGACGCGTCAGAAGGCAAGGACGGCGATGACCAGGTCAACGGACACACTAAGGCCGTGGCTCCGACAGGTTCGCGAAAGGTTCTGGCTGACGGCACGTATGCGACCGAAAGTGCACTCACATCTTCGGCTGCCGCCAAGGCGAAGCTGGACGCTGTCAAGAACTCGCAAAAACCTCCTCTGCGTCAGCTTGTACTCGATGGCGACTACTACCTCGCTACCGTCCTCTCGAGCACGCTCACCAAGCTTGTCATGCGATACTCAGAACTCTCGCAGAACGCTGCACGGACAAACGCTCTGCGCGCGGAGGCTATGCTCATCATGATCTCGATTATCCGCGTTGGGCAGTCTCAATTTGTCAAGACTCTTATTGACGAGGACTCTGTCGACCGTATCATGTCATGTGTACGATCGCTATCAGAGTTCTCGCAGAAGAAGGAGCTCGAGAGAGTGTTCTTGGAAGACACACGAAAGTCTTTCGCGACTATGGTTCAGACAGAAGAGAAGAAGCGTGCAGCGAAGGAGGCCTCAGAGAGGATGAAGTCGGCTGTCAATGTTGACGACTCCTTCAGCATTCGTCAGCTCAAGAAGAAGGATGCTGACGGTAACGACGAGATCGAGCAAGATTTGGAGAGGGCCACAGGAGGCGACACCGCAACTGAAGATCTCTCATCGAAACTCAGCCGCGTGGTCCAACTCACCGGTTTCTCGGATCCTGTCTACGCCGAAGCCTATGTCAAGGTACGTTCGACTGTGGCAAAACGGGCTGTTTGTACTGACTGCTATAGGTCCATCAATTCGACATTGTACTTGATGTACTCCTTGTCAACCAAACGACCGAGACACTACAGAATCTCACAGTCGAGTTTGCAACTCTCGGTGATCTCAAGGTTGTCGAGCGACCACCAACGCAGAACGTTGGCCCACACGACTTTATCAACCTGCAGTCTACTATCAAGGTTTCTTCGACCGACACCGGCGTCATCTTCGGCAATGTGCTATACGAAGGCGAGAAGGGCGTCGATTCCAACGTGGTCATCTTGAACGATGTGCACGTTGACATCATGGACTACATCAAGCCTGCACAGTGCACAGAGACACAGTTCCGGACGATGTGGACCGAATTCGAGTGGGAGAACAAGGTCAACATCAACTCCAAGGCCAAGACGTTGCGCGAGTTCCTTAAGCAGTTGATGGCTTGCACGAACATGAGTTGCTTGACACCAGAAGCATCGATGAAGGGTGACTGTCAGTTCTTGTCTGCCAACTTGTATGCCAGGAGTGTGTTTGGTAAGTCAACTTCTCTGGTCTTGCAAATGTTTCACACGCTAACTCTATGCAGGCGAGGATGCTCTGGCCAATTTGAGTATAGAGAAGGAGGGTGACAACGGCCCAATCACTGGATTCGTTCGTATCCGCAGTCGATCGCAAGGGTTAGCGTTGAGCTTGGGGTCGCTGAAAGGATTGAACAAGGTTGGTGTTGCTTGAGCGGGCTGTTGATCGGGTATGATTATGATAATGCGGTGCGCCAGCAAAAGTTTGGGCGCAGGAAGTTAGAACTGTCAAGCATTGCTCGTCGCATGTTGGCGTATGTAGTCAAAGACACAAGTCACTACGAAGTACACAGCATTGAGTCTACCAATTGCGATTCTCGATCTCCGCGGACTCAGATTCCGTGCCGTGCACTCGCACACCACGTGCATGCTGTACCATTTCCTAGCTCGGTACGCGAATACAGACAGACGCCACAGCGTCACCTGCGGGAATACCGGACATCCTGGTCCCAGCCTCCAGGATGTCGGCAGCTGTTCATACCTAGCATGTGCGGAGATGGTCACCGTTGATTGGCCAATCCGCGGAAGTTGTGCTGCGCAATCCCATGTAGACATGCAGCTTTAGGGTAAGCTTGTTAAGCCTCAATGAAGCTTGCGTGCACCATGGTAAGCTCACCAGCGATATCGTGGACTGCATGCGGCTATAAAATGAGCTGTTGCACCCATGAAGCTGGGCAAAAGCTTGCCGAAGCTTGGCCTTACGGACCATCACTCCAAAATGTATTACCGATCTGCTACACATGCAGCTGCCGTGCTCGCGTTTGCTGCGCTTGCTGAGGCAGCTCCTACAACAGTCCAGGCGTCGTCGAATGCTGGCTCGCCCACCTCTGATGTGTATCCTCCGTCTGGCAGTACGTTTGTTTCACTAGTACTTGAATCGACGATTACTGACTTGCGCAACTACAGCTGTAGTCAACTCTTCGATTTTCCCGCCAGAATCTGTTGTTGGCTTTCCGGGTCCAACACCCACTGGAGCCGAGCCGAATGCCATTCAGACAGCTCCGTCGTACCCCTACAACGACAACAAGGCCAACTCCTTTCCCCTCATTGCACCGCAACCCCACGGCAATGACGTCGAGTCCAAGTTCGACATAAGCCGGTACTGGGGCAATTTGTCGCCATGGTACTCTCTCCGCTCTGCGGACTACGGCCTACCTGATGCAGACCCTCTTGTACCTGAGGGCTGCGACATCACCCAGGTCTTGTTGCTGTACAGACACGGTGCTCGCTACCCTACAAGCGGTGCTGCACCGGGCACATTTGCCCAGAAGGTGGTCAATGCAACAAAGGCAGGCGGTCTTGCTTTCTCAGGCGAGCTGTCCTTCCTGAGTGACTGGACGTACAAGCTCGGCGCTGAGCTTCTTACACCTTTTGGACGCAGCCAGAACTTCTTGCTTGGTGTCGAGTACAGGCAGTTGTACGGACACTTGCTCAACAACTTCACCGCCGCGGGCAAGCTGCCTGTGTTCCGGACGCAGAGTCAGGACCGCATGGTCAAGACGGCTGAGAATTTTGCTGCTGGATTTTTTGGCGTACCCGAGTACATGAGCGAGGTCAACATCGAGATTCTGGTCGAGACACCGGGTGTGAACAACTCGGGAGCTCCTTATGAGGTCTGCTTGAACTCGAATGTGGCCAGCAAGGGAAGCATTGGAAGTACTGTTGCTGCGAAGTTCGCCGCCGATGCTTGTAAGTCATTCGCAGATTAAGCCGCTCGTAAACATGCACGCTGACCTTCCATGACAGTCAATGCCACCATCGCCCGCCTTCAATCTCAGGCCAAGGGCATCAACTTCACGTCAACCGACGCCATCGCCATGCTGCAGCTGTGCTCATACGAGACCCACGCTCTCGGCTACTCTGCCTTCTGCAATCTCTTCAGCGAGGTACCACTCCCTTCCACCCTCATCCCAATCCACTAACCCCCTCCAGGAAGACTTCCTTAACTACGAATACTACTACGACCTCTCCTTCTACTACAACAACGGCCCCGGCTCGCCCGTCGCCGCCGCGCAAGGAAAGGGGTATTTGGACGAATACATTGCGCGCTTCACGGGCAAGTACCCGTCCGCCAACTCAGCGCTGAACGAGACCTTCGACAACACAACGACGTACTTCCCGCTGCAACAGTCCATCTACGCCGACGCCACGCACGAAGTCGTCGTTCTCGATGCGTTGACAGCGTTCAACCTGACTGCGCTGTTCGACGGCCCGCCGCTGAGTCCGAACGGCAACCAGCACTCTAACTCCTTCGTGGCGAGCAGACTCGTGCCGTTCGCGACGCACTTCACTACACAGGTGTTGGAGTGCAAGGCTAAGAGCCCGAGCAAGCAGATCAGATTCATTGTGTATGTCCCCTCCCTCTCCTCTCGTTCTTTCATGCAGCCAGCTGACTTTCGTAGCAATGACGCCGTGGTTCCGATTAACGGGTCTCACCCGGGATGTCCGGCCGATAAGGATGGACTCTGCTCGTTTGACAACGTGGTCAGCGTGCTGCAGAAGAGGAGCGCCGAGATTGATTACAACTATGATTGTTTGGGTAACTACACGGCAAGCCCGGGAGTGAACTACAACGGCAGGGCGCCGAAGTCGTAGGCGTCTCAGGGGATAACAAGATGAGTGGTAATGATGTAATAGTTTGGAAATGCAAAAGACATATTTACGAGCGGAAAGCGTGTGTGTGATGTCGCACCGAGAATCGTGAAGGCCAAAGATGGGAAGAATGGAACGACGTGTTACTGGCAAAAGGAAAGTAGACCTCCATTCGCTGGGGCATATGATAGAAGGCAAAAAAAGATGGATAGCTGAGACTGGTTTCGATCCAGTGTCCTCCGGGTTATGAGCCCGGCGCGCTTCCGCTGCGCCACTCAGCTTGTGAATCACATCTTTTGATGAAAGACTTTCGTTTTAAGCTATTTATATAATATTTGAAAATTTGATGAACAGAATTTAGCCATCATGAATATCGTCGACCTGTTGCGTGAACCTGAACACTATCAAGGTGTGATGGTGGAATGTGAATGAAAATTTTGCAAGTGAGTCATAATGGTGCAACTCCAACATCATACCTCCACACCAATGTAGATCCAATGAACGACGACGAAAGATGAACAGCAAAGTGAACGACAACCATAGGTCAAACAAGAAAAGATAGCAATCAATTGTAACGAGCCTGGTTAAAGCAGAGTACTGCATCTTACCAGCTCCGAGCAGCCACTTGGCACTTTTGAAGGACTCAACACCACCACAAGCGAGCTTCAAGTACAGTCAATAAGCTGCCAAGCTGTGCTAAAAAATCTCCAATTGCACGCAGAATCCGAATGATTAACAAATAAGAAAGACCCTCTGACAAAGAAAAGGGCTAGTTTTGGCCTTCCCTGTTCAGTCCTGCGTTTTGCCAAGTGGCAGCTTGGAGCTGATAAGATGCAGTAAATAGATTGCAGGGCTTGATGGAATGCGACTTCAACGACACTCAGCTTCGGTGGTATCTTCGATCTATAACAAGCAAATAAGACAGATACTAAAGAAACGGGTGACGTACACCTTCAACCTACACACCCCTCGCCTCACACAAATGCCCGCTCTTGCTCAACACCGTGCCCAGCCCCCGATGCACCTCGACCTGAAACCCCTCAAACGGGACTCGCTCACCATCAATGCTGATGTACCCGTCGTCCTGCATCTTCGGGATAATGCGATAGGCCTCGATTTTCTGGTAGTCGACGCCGTCCATGTCGAAGAACGTGTGGTTTTCCACGGCCATGAGCATCTTGATGGCTGTCATGCGCGGGATGTCGCCCCGGATGCGAACCAGGTCGAGACAGCCGTCATTGGGGAGCGAGGCGGGGAAGAAGTTCGCGTCAGGCGACATATAAGCTATGTTGCCGCAGTAGAAGTTGCCGAGTTTGTCGTGCGGAATAAGTTCCCAGCTCGCGGGGAGCGGGTCGTTGACTGTGCCGTATTGGAGGGCTGGGAGTCCGGTGTCTGCCGTTGGGACCGGGCGGGAGTCGTGTGTGGGAGGGGGCTTGGAGGCTTCAGCGCGGTAGGCTTCGCGGACGGCGGGCTTGTTGTCGTGGACGGTTTTGACGGCGATGTCGGCGGGGTAGATGGTTTGGGTCAGCAGGCGTACGAGGAAGCCCCAGGTGAAGCGCGCGCTGCCCATCCAGCGCAGATGCTCGGTCGCAAGATCGGTTTCAGCGACGATGCCGACGGACTGCGAGAGGAAAGAGAGGGTGCGGCGGTCGCCTTGTGTTATCGAGGCGAGATCGAGAGGCGTGCGCAGGCCCTTGACGACGGCGAGCGCTGCCAGACTCGGGCTGTCTGAGCCGTTGAAGTTGAGACTCAACGCATTTCCAGAACCGCCGGGCAACTGCGCGACTGCAACCTTCGCCAGTGCTCTCGCAGCATCCTCTCGCTTCCCAAGCCCGTTCCAGACCTCGTGTGGGATGCCATCGCCAGAGCAGCATGCTACAACATCGTACGCCTCGATGTCTAGATTCTGCGCAATCTCCACGCCGTGTCCCTGATGCTGTGTCTTCTCCACGTCGAGTGTGCAGCGCGCCGCGGCAAGAATGGGCGCAATCGATTTATGGTACATCTTGACCGCGCCGCCTTGTCCACCGAAGGGGTTCAGCAGCACCTTCATGCGCTTCTGTCGCTGCGATGCGCCGTATGCGCGGTCGAGCAGCTTCTCGATCCATGCCTCGGCCAGCCGGCTGTCCAGCTTGTCGAGTTTGTAGCTGACGATGGCTGGGCGCACAGCTTTGGGCGAGACAGAGTGGGCGTACTGGATGGTGATGTCGCCGTTGTCTGAATGCTCGGCCCAGAGTACGTTGTAGAAGGGGATCGAACGAGTCGACTTGCTCTTGCCGGATAGAGACAGGCCGCAGCAGCTGGCGCCCTTGCTGTCCTGCAGCTCTTCATCTGGGAGGATTAGAATACAAGCACATACGACTGGCAAATGTACACACCCAAGACAACCAGCGAGTCTGTTCCCAGCGTCAACGAGGCATTGCGTCCGACAGCGAGCGTGTCCGGGACGCTGGGTGCATCGACAGGCTGCTGGTTCTGTGGAGCGAGCGAAGGGTCTCTGAAGGGATCGTCGTGGCCTCCAGTTGCAGCCATGGTTATGAAAAGCGAACGTGGAGCGCCCTCAGCATACTGGAGACGCAAATAAAGGAGCGACGTGAGATCAAACGATGTAAGCTGTCACAGGTTCGCGCTCGCATACGGCATGCCAACGGCCGCGGCAGGCGGATGTCTGCGGGCTCTAGTGCATTATGGAAGATGAAGCTGATTGGGTGGCGCATTATATACCAACCTCTGGGTCACATCAACTCTGCGAGCAAGCTGCATTATGGTCACCATATGGTAGACATATGTGTCCTGGCAAAGGCACGAGCCTACTCCAACGCCACTGCGAGTGTCGGTGCAGGTCGTCCAAGGCAGCAAGAGCGAGGCTAAGACAGGAGGCAGTTCATCTAGGACAGTCAGCGGATGCACGGCTATGACACGGAGCACTTACAGCAGCATAGTCACCCTGACCGCAGTATAAACACTCAACAATGAACGCAATGCTCATAAACTGTGAGGTGCGTGGGGAGCTGTCGATGCTCTGGACGATATCAAGGTCAGTAGTACCAGACTCGCAGCGTCGGTACAGGCTGTGGCGGTTCCAGGTTGTTGTTGAAAGAGCGAGGTTGAGGCCAAAGTGCACTGGGCTGGGCTGGTCAGCAGGTCGTGGAAGTCACGCCCAGGTCAGTGGCAACGACGAACAGCAAGAGCACCTAGAGGCAGTCAGCACGTTGCAAGGCCATCGTCACCCGCCGCGAACCCCATCACCCAAACCCATCCATAGTGCCCTTGGACGACTTTGCATCACTGCGCGGCCTGCTAGAAGAATCAATACACTCGCATTTTAACTACCCGAGCACTTCGGGAGCAAACTTCCTCCGATACATACATTCAAGAAGTCGGCTCCAGAGGTGAGGCAGACCGAGCGCACGAGGACCTCCAGCGACGTCTGGCCACATGAGGAGCTCTAGAAGCAATCGGAAAAGTTGAATGAAAGATAGGTATTGGTTTGAAGCAATATCACTAACAACCCGGTGGCAGTAGCCTAAAGTCACCAGTCCATAGTAAATTTGTAACCCTGCCCTTGTCACAGTTCGAGGGATCTCAAGACTAAATAAACAACAGTATGTCATACTGTCAGATATGTGAAATTGGCAAACGCACAAATTTATCCAATTTCTGCGCCCGGTCCTCTCAGCCAAAATGCTGACTGAACGCGTCGCTACCTTCAACACAGAAAAACTTCGCTCTGCTCCGCGATCGTAGTCCATGCATCGATATGAATTTTCCCAATACCAATCCGCTCGACCACTCCCCTGCTGTCAGGTTTGGAGAGTAGCGGAAAGTTTACAGTTGGCCACCAAGCATTTGTGTAGAAGGAGTTGCTGTCGAAGTATATCTCGTTATTAGACAGGGCTTCTCATACTGCGGGCTGTTCTACAGCGTCCAGTGGCGAAAAGCCTCAGAAGTAGCATCCCAACTCGGTTCATGCATGGCATCACTTGAATATGTCGATTGAGAAAGACCTAGAAACTTGTGAGTTCGATTTCGTAGCAGCGTTGAAAGTCGTCCGTCGATCTGAACCGTACCGACCCATCTTTGGTTGTTGTCGAAGACGGCAACGTCGCATAACTGATAATCTCCTCTCTTGCATCTTTTCTCTGCAATCCGTAGAGCAGAGAGCCCAGGAAAGCCGTGATCGGCGTTTCACTTGCAGCAGCTATGATCGTAAGGGCAGCGTTGTGATAAATTTGGTCCATGGCTTCCACATGTTTTTCGAGGTCTTCCGGATCATCCTGAATAATACATGGCGCATCAACCCAGAGGTAACGTTGGTCGAGCAGCTTTACAGTTGCTGTTGCAATTACGATGGTGTGCGCAGGTTGCCCATCCCAAGTATCGAGGTGGCCGGGACGATACACGCGTTCCATGTGCTGGTTTGCAGCTTTCAATCTTTGATCTGAGCCCTACTGGTAGCTCAGCGCGATATAATTTGTTCCTAATGGTAATGGAACAACACGCGCTGGTTCTACATCGACAACACGCAATACCGTTCCCAGAAGTTCGAATTCCTGGCTGTGAGGTGGGTTACGTGCTTTGTAACAAGCCCCAAGCCATCTTCGTACAAGGCTCCAATCAATACTGTCCGGTGCGAGAGCTCTGCCTAGATGACAACTGTCACCTTCGTCCGTAATCTCTAGAGCGAACAAGGCAATCTTCTCGCTCTGTACTACCCACTCATCTCCAGGCATGGGGTCAAAAGGTCCTGGAGAAGGGATCTTGATGTGTAAATAGTGCGGAAGGATAACCGGTTCATGAGTAGCAGACCAGTCAATAACTATAGGCTTGCGATGAAAGTTCAGGCCAGCGTCACTTCCCTCGTAGTTCAGTGCCAGAACATATTGAATCTATTGGAAACTTCGCCGTGCCATCAAAATTTGTTTGAGAAGCTTACGCAGCTTGCAGTCAGGTCCGTCCCAGATCTCTTGTAAGCTACCTAGCACGTGGTCGGAGATCGCGGGGCTTTCGGTTAAACTTGCGGGATCTCCCAGTATGGCTGCGTGAGGCAGCTCCTGGCATCGACTGTAGAGGCTATTAGACATTCGCGCAGTTGCAGGGACCGAGAGGTATGGGCCAACAGGGGGGTATTGTGTAAGAGTCAAATCGAGTTCTCAGCTAGCAGTATACATCGCATTCGGCCGTCGCAGAGATGCACCCACTGTCTTGGTGCCATACTGCTGCCTTGTTCGTGGTGATGGTTACAGGTCGTCGGCCAGCGAGGCTCACTTCGGGAACCGGGAGTCGTGACCCGGCGTGACCCCCACGCTCACACTCTTCTCAACATAAGCTTCACCCACGTGAAGTGGAAATGACAGTGTAATCTACAACACCACGCCCAATGCAAGCCGTCTCGCAAGGGTATATATCGCATAGATTGCGCCAAAAATAGCCAAACCCCAACGCCACTAATGCTGAACGCTCAAAGTACCAGCTCTGCAGGTAGAGCCAGAAACGGTAATACCGAACGAAAGAAGCTGAGTTCAGACGCTACCGGGACACAAGAACCCTGTCGACGGCATCAGACGCAAGTTGAGACACTTCCTCAATGCCGCCCTTGACATCAACAATCTCGACGTCCTTGAGCTGCTTCACCTCGAGCTCATCGGGCTCCTCGAGCGCTGCGAATTGGCTTTCAACCATGCTGTCCTTCATGTAGTGGCCTTGCCTGCCGCGGACGCGGGCGAGGAGAGTCTCCTTGTCAGCACGGAGGTATACGAAGTGCACGTTGGCGTCCGGCTCCTCATCGTACAGCCTGGCGGTTCGGATGACATCGCGGTACTTCTTCTTCAGAGCGCTACAGGTGATGACAACGCCCTTTGCTCCTTTCTTGAGGTCCTGGAGAGCCTGGTCGCGCAGGAGGATCAGCCAGTCCCAACGGTCCTCGTCGTTTAGGGGAATGCCGGCTGCCATCTTGTCGATGTTGGCTTTTGGGTGGTACTGAAAAATGTCAGTACAAACGATATACAAAATCACGAAAAGACGATTCATACCTCATCGCCCTCAATGTACTCGAAACCGTAACGGTTGCTGAGAACCTTGGCAATGGTGCTCTTTCCGCATCCTGCAGGACCGGTGACGATGAGAATGTGGTGACGGTGAGGGATGGCCACCTCGGTGGTCTTGCATAGGTTTGCGGACGAAGTGGACGGTGAGCCAGCAGTGGATGCTGGAGGAGTAGGCAGCGACGCGTAGTGTACGGATGCGGAGTGCGTTTGCTCGATAGTTTGCAACATGATTGATATTTGTTGAGACAAGCGAATGGGTTCGCTGGCAGACAGGCGCTAGTACGTGAACCAAGTCGGGTTTCCAATATTGGAGAGATGGGGTCGAGCCGGGGAATATATAGTATTGAGAGTGGGTGTAACGCAGACTATATTGGGCACTGGTAAGCAGGAACGGCAAGTTTCAACTTGTGCTGGGGCAGGGCGCATTATAAAACGTGGGTGCACGTCTGGAAATTCCTCCCGCGCCCATGACGGCAAGGGTGGGATCAGAGTTTGGGAGCACAGTTGTGGGAGCCAAGACTTGATGTCACTACGAATAGCATCGCGTGCGAATCAGCGGGCGCTCTGCGACCTCTGCTTGGGCCAGCCTTGGGATAGAGGCAGGCGGATGTAACTGCCCGCAAACTGGCCTCCCTGGCCATACCGGAAGCGACGAAAGAAAGGGAGTTTCGTCCTCATCGGCGTTTGAAAGTTTGGGCGTGCCGCTGCGCGTGGGATGATGCAGTGGCGAATGGAGACCCCGCAAACCTTGGTATGCACCCCGGTCATCGTCAGGTACTGGTGCATCTTACATGTTCGGTACAGCTCTGCCAACGCAGCACTCGGCTCGGCAGCGCTGGGCCGTGAACTGTGCTGGATAGAACATCAGCAGCGCCGCAAATCAGCCCAAGAGTGACCAGCTGAGCACATCGCTGACAGGCAGCGAAGGGGAGGAGGTGTTGGATAATAGCGCGTGGGGGTCACGAGAGGCGCTGAAGTCTTTTCCGGACCGGCGAGGGTCGAGCCTTGAACAGCAACGGGTCGTGTGGGCGGTACGCCAGGAGACAGCACACTGGAAACCTTCCAGATGCGCTAGAGCAGCGCCATTCTCCGAAGTGCACATCCCGAGGCTGCGTCGAGTCGCTCACCGCTCGACAATAATGTTCGTTGCTGCAATGCTCTGCATGTCTCTAGAGGTACTGACAGCTTGTTGTTCACCTTCGTGACTGCCCGCGTGACGATTCTGAGACGCGGTAAGATGACGTAGAAGCAAGGCAGCCAGGAACAAGGGCGAGATGCAGACAAAGCTGTGATGATGCAACTATCGGAGGCTGCGGAGAGCTTCTTGCACGTGACTTTTTAACGTGAATGTGGACAAGCGCGGATCAGCAGCTGCCATTCCGAGGAGCTACGCAACAGCATTGCGACTGCGCCGACCACCGACGAGACACTGACAGCTGCATCGCACTCCAAGAACGCACCAGGGTAACCGTAGCGCCGTCCCCGCCATGTCCTACTTCTTCTCCACCCCGGTCGACATCGACATCGTCCTCGAGGACCTGGACGACCGCTCTGCCGTCGACGTCAAGCTCGATAAGAATCGCAAAGAGAAGGTGCCATTGTACCTCGATGGCGAGTCTGTCAAGGGACAGGTCACAGTCAGGCCCAAGGATGGAAAGCGTTTGGAGCACACAGGCATCAAAGTGCAGTTTATTGGGACAATTGGTGGGTAGGCCCATTCCAAAGCTGGTGCCTGGAAGGCTGGCAGTTGACAAGGTTGCAATGCTGATACAATATGGCGCAGAGATGTTCTTCGATCGCGGAAACCACCATGAATTCCTTTCCCTCGGCCAGGAGCTTGCAGCGCCGGGCGAGCTCCAACATCCTCAGACTTTCGACTTCAACTTCAAGAACGTCGAGAAGCAATACGAGTCATATAATGGCATCAATGTGAAGCTGCGGTACTTTGTTCGCGTGACAGTATCGCGCCGAATGGCGGATGTGATCAGGGAGAAGGACCTGTGGGTGTACTCTTACCGGATACCGCCTGAGACGAACAGCTCCATCAAGATGGACGTTGGTATTGAGGACTGTCTGCACATTGAGTTTGAATACTCCAAGTCGAAATACCACCTGAAGGATGTCATCGTTGGCAGGATATACTTCCTTCTGGTGCGGTTAAAGATCAAACACATGGAGTTGTCGATCATAAGGCGAGAAACAACAGGGGCAGCACCAAACCAGTACAACGAGAGCGAGACACTAGTCCGATTCGAGATCATGGATGGTTCACCATCAAGAGGTACGGTCCAGATGTTGTGGCGTATGCGTAGTACTGACGAGACTGCAGGAGAGACAATCCCAATCAGGCTGTTCCTCGGCGGTTTCGACCTCACGCCCACTTTCCGAGAGGTCAACAAGAAGTACTCAACTCGATACTATTTGAGCTTAGTGCTCATCGACGAAGGTGTGTGTCTCCTGATAGCGTTCTGTATGCCTGACTAACTTGCTCCAAGATGCTCGAAGATATTTTAAGCAGTCTGAGATCGTACTGTTCAGGCAAGCGCCGGAAGGCTTGACGTTGGCGCAAGAGCAGAACAAGCTGATGGCAGTACCTTGAGCACATTCGTCAACCACTTGTTGCAGCCGTCAGTACCGAGAACCAGTACATGTTCTGGACAACTCCATAGCGTCGAGATGCCCGCATACCTCAGAGAGTGCATGGACACAACAGACTGCGGGAACGGAGACAGCTGAAAGCTTCCCCGCATTTTGAGATACAACATCCCTGGACATGTAAATACCACTTCAATAATGATACCAATACCAAAATGGCAATCCGGCGAATCTGGCAATTCTCACCGATATCATCCCACGTGTCCAAGCGCCTTCACGCTAACAAAGTTGGTCTGCATCGGGGCTGTCGGCCCAGCACACTACGCTTCGGACTTCTTTGGTCGACACGACTTGCTGTCGGGAAGGACTTGCTTCGGCAGTCGGGCAGCCGTCGCCGTTGAGTCGAGCTTGCCCACAACTCAGGAAATTCTTTGGCGTGCAGCACCAAGAGAGGTTTAACTTGAAGGTGTTACATCGACCTCTTCTGCACAAGTACGCAAATTCAGAAATTATCTCAGGCCTGTAAAATCGTTGAATTCATCCACACGACTCAGTTGCGACACAAAGCTGCAGCATCCTGACACTGACAGGCCGCTGAAGTGAGTCAATTCCACAATGATCGCGACAAGAGCTGAGTGGTCGGCCATCTGTGTAAGTTCGCCACTGCATCTGAGAATGCTATGTTCCCTCATCGAATTCCCGTTACATCCAACGCCGTTTATTGAGGCTCTTTTCGGTTCTGCTAGCCGGTGCCAAGTATCGTGAGTTGCTCACGACCGTTCACGAACTTGAAATCCTCGGGAAACCCGCAATAAGAGCATGGATACCTGCTCAGCCCTTGTAGAAGGTGCTTTACCAAGGGTCATGCTCACACCATAATGCGTCATTCCGAGGCGGCCCCACACTGTGGGTGCGCTGCTGAAGTTGCCTTGCTGATGATGGATGCTTGGTGATCAACATTGCGATCTGCAGCAGTCCCTGCACCCTGACAACGCAGCCATCGAGACGAGTTTTTATGAATGGAGCAGTCGCATTCTACAGCCTATTGCAGTCAGAAAAGATGGAGCAGGAAGACAGAAAAGCCAACTCTTTCGTTCTTGGGAGTCGTAGTGCGACTTTGACCGAGAAGTGGAAACTGAGGTTTCGTGCGATGACGTCGCACATGCAATTCTTTCACTTTCCCATGTTTGAGTCGCAACTTTCCCATCTATATTTGAACAATCAAGCTCCCACCGTCGAAGATCGGACAAATCGACCGCAGACTTTTCAGCATGATAGAATCCCATCCCAACACGTCCGGTATGTTCCCTGCATCGATCGAGCATGCAGCACACGTACTCCACTAGCCCCTCCTAGTGACCGCATCAAACATTGGAGCCTTATCTCTGATACTGACTGAATATTCTGCAGAGCCACAGGCTTACTTCGACCAACAACCCAATAGCCAGTCTCAAAGACCGCCCCCTCAACCGTTCTCTCAAGGCGCAGATACCGGAGCCAGCATTGGGAGAATCAGTACATCTGGCCTTGAAACACCATACAGTTTGCGACCAGCAACCAACCACAATAACACAAGACCGTCCACCATGGAACGAAGTGAAACCAACCAAACAGCGGAGACGAGTGATACCCAGAGGCTCGAGAAGAAGCAGCAACAGCTAGTTGACGTAGAGAATGAGTACTTCAAGCTTAACCCCTGGTACAACCAGCAAAAAGACAAGCCAGTCTTTGGCCTTGGTCAACCTCTACCACACACGATGCGCCGTGGCATGTGGTGGGGTAAAAATGAGCTCAGAAAGAAGATGGAGGAACTGCAGGCAGAAGAGCAAGACTTGCAGAAAGGAATCGAGGCACGTGATGGATTAGACATGGTGAAGGAGAAAGGTGAGTTCTGACGCACCTTGATGTCGACCATTACTGACTGATGTAACAGAATCTGGAAATGACTCGGGGGGCTCACAAACTCCTCTGAGACAAGGAAAATCCTCGCAGCCCTTCAGTGCAGATTACCAATCCTACAGTCAAGGTCGTATGCCAAATGTGCGCCGACCAACGTCCAACACTCACTCCATGGCCGGCAGGCAGCGCAATGATGACTCGGCTTCAGAACGCGCGCCAATCAACGAACATGGCCTTAATGATGCTGATCAGCGAAACAACGGAAGGAACAACTTCGGTCTTCAGGACGGTCTCCATCCACTCCAGGAACTCGACACCAGCGAAACAACGCAGACGCAGAAAGAGGACAAGGAGACCAAGAAGCGTGAGCATGAAGAGCAGCAAGAGTACTACAACCAGTACCGCAACCCAATTGCGAGGTTTCGCGCACAATACCCTCAGGCACCAGCCGAGTTCCTTGCTGTAAGAGTACCAGAAGCGTGAGATTTAACATAGCTGACCTCTCCAGACATTCGTCTACCTGTTTCTTGGAATTGCAGCCAACTTGTCCGTCGCAACCTCATCCGAAACCACAGGCAACTTCGAGACACAGGCTTGGGCGTGGGGCTTCGCCGTAACGGTAGGCATCTACTTGAGCGGTGGCGTTTCTGGTGGCCACCTTAGTCCCTGCATCACTCTTGCACTCTCGATCTTCCGTGGTTTCCCATGGCGACTGGCAATCGTATACATCTGCATGCAGATGCTTGCTGGCCTGGCTGCAGGAGGTTTAGCATACGGGTATGTCTCTGTGCCGACTCTTTCTTCATGCGATACTGACTTCAAACAGGCTGTACTATGATGCGATAAACGCCATGGACCCACAACATACGCTCGACGTAACAGGCAAAGCTCTTTTCCCCAAGGGCCCGGCCTTCACAGCGACAACGGCCTTCTTCAATGATTTTGTCTTCATGGCTGTTTACACCTGCATCGCCTTCGCTCTCGGAGACGACCAGAACTCACCCCCTGGTCAAGGTATGACGGCCTTGATCTTTGGTTTCATGGGTTACCTCCTGATGGTCTCGCTTGGCTACAACACCGGACTCGGAATTTCGCCTGCGCGTGACCTGGGTCCCAGGCTGGTTGGCTTGTGGGCGGGTTACGATTCGTTCAGTGATGCGTACTGGGCTTACGGTCCGTTCGGCGCGGCCACGAGTGGTGCCATATTCGGAGGGTTCATCTACGATCTGTTCGTCTTCGTGGGTGGAGAGTCGCCGGTGAACTACAGGTGGCCGGAGAAAGGTGACATCAAGTGGAAGTTTAACGAGAAGAAAGAGGAGGTGAAAGACAAGATTCACAACGTGGCTTAGAGCGCGTTGAGTGATGAAGAAATTTGGCTTCTTTTGCAAGTGTCTCTCGTGGATAAAGTGGTGTTTAATTGATGCCGGAAATAGGGATGAACCTCCCCGCATCCGATCGGGAACTAGGCGCATCTCATTTCGTCATCCCTTCCAGCGACTCCACTAGTTCTCACTAACCATCCGCTAGACTTGACTTCTCGCGGGGCTGATAGATGATTCCAGAACACTTGGAATCGTAAAGCCACCATGTCTACTAAGGGGACCATACGTCGTTCACAGTGTTAGGGCAGACTTCAACCTTGTACCTCATCTTATGTCACTTTCTTCGCACTGACAATGCGCCGGCGATAGCTTCAAGTACAGCTCAGGGGACCAGCAGTCTGAACAGTACTGCAAAGCAATTGGCGCTCTCGACATGTCATCAGGAGGGGATTCGTTACCAAAGCGTGCTCCGGAGAAGCAGGAAGAGCAAGGCAACAATGCACCTGCAGTCGGCATAAGGGGGCGAGTCAAGCACGTTACCTGGGCATGGTTCCTGTCGACAATGTCAACAGGAGGACTCTCGATCGCACTGGCAGAGACGCCACATAAATTCCACGGTATGCGCCAGTGCAGAGTACTGCGAGAGGAATGACTGACTTGTGCGCAGGACTTTACACCATCGGCCTCATCATCTTCCTCTTCGACCTCTGTCTGTTCACACTTCTGTGTGTCTGCATGCTGGCGCGAGCCGTGCTACACTTCCACCACTTCAAGAAATCGTTCACCCACCCAGCAGAGTCCTACTTTCTAGGCTCATTCTACCTCAGCATAAGCGTTATCATAGGTTCAGTTCAACTCTACGGCGTCACATATGGCCCCGGCTACCCGTGGCTCATCTCCACCATCAATGTCCTGTACTGGATATACGCAGCTGTCTCACTTCTCAACTCACTCCTCCAGTACTACGTCCTCCTTGCATACAGCGCAGTCCGTCCGGTCCCCTTCCTCCCAAGCGCGTTCTTGGTGGGCTACTCGGCGATGCTGACAGGGACGATATCCTCGCTCATCGCAGGACACCAGCCTCCAGGTCGAGCAACTGCGATCATCATATCCGGATGCGCATATCAAGGCTTTGGGTGGATCATATCGCTCATATGCACCGCGTTTGTCATCAAGAACCTCATGGAGAACGGTCTGCCACCAGCGCATCTGCGTCCAGGCTTATTCATACCAGTAGGTGCAGGAGCATACACCATAGTAGCCCTGATTGGGCAGGCAAATGCCATACCAGAGACGTACGGATACTTCGCTGCTCACCCCGCGGCCAAGAGCATATTGCAGACGATTGCACTGTTCGGCGGCATCTTCCTGTGGCTGTTTTCCTTCTGGATATTTGCAATCGCAGTCATGGTGAATGCCAGTGTAATGGGCAAAATGCCGTTTGCGCTTACGTGGTGGGCTTTCATCTTCCCAAATGTTGGGTTCACTTTGTCCACGGTCATGGTTGGAAGAGAATTGGGAAGCGAAGTGATACTGTGGGTGGGCAGTGTAATGACGGCGCTTCTGGTTGCCATTTGGTGGGTCGCGTTCGTTGGCTGCGTGCGAGCAGTGTGGTTGAAGCGCATCGTTTGGCCAGGGAAGGATGAAGACAAGGATCGATAGCATGGCAAGGACATATGTCGAGCGACTCACAATCCCATCGTGGCGAAAGGTCAGTCTCCCCAGGCTTACGACAGGGCCATTACGAATTGTGTCTGGAAGAAAGCTTGATCTGGCAAGGGAAGTCGCCATTGGTGCACCCAGGAGATTGAGAGTGGGCGACTCTGGAACCAAACCTTGGATCGGGTCTGCACAACAGTCCCAATTCACAGACTTCAGACAATCATACGATGGTGATCGAAACTCATTTTCGACCCTAGTGATCGCTGGTGCTGCGGTGGAACAAACGATTGCTGCACATCCAACGTTGGTGTCGTTCGACTCGCACAGATTCTTGGTGGCACTCTGTCAAGTATTGTGAGCCAAGCAACAAGGAGTGCAACGAGTTTGAGTTCGGCAGCAAGCTCGCGTGCAGCATCAACAGGATCATCGACTTCGCCAGCATCTGCAGGTGCCTCATCAACGCCGACATCTACGGGCGCAGCTTCTGGATCAAAACCATCCACCTCTTCATCCTCCGACTTTGGCTCGAAGCTCCCCAGCGGTGACATAGCTGGGATCGCCATGGTGCGCTGGCAGGCGTGGCCTTACTTGCAGCTGCCATCTTCTTTGCTCGCCGGACAGCAATGTGGAAGAAGAAGGCATCAGCCGCCCCCGAGACAGGTGTAGCTCCACCATACACATAGCACACTAATGGATACGGGTCTGCAATGGCATACGATGCGCCTGCGAGCGACAAGTATGCGCACGCCCATCAAGGAGAGATGTATGGGAGCGCTCCGGCACATGAGCTTCCTGGAGGGGCGATGGGTAGTGAGTTGCCAGGGACTGCCCCGAAGAAGTGAGTCGAGATGAAAACTGATTCAAAGACGTTACATTGATGAGACTGGGGAAAGATGGGTGTAGATAAAGAATGAATGGATCGTCTATGGGCGTGAGACTTCACCTTGACGCCGAACGTCCAACTCCAAGCAACTATCACCATCAATGCCACAAACGAAGTTTCGACAAAATCTTGAGATGTCGCTTTGCTCCAGTGAATTATCGGGTCCGTAAGACGGCGGGTTGTAGTGTTGTACGAGGCCAACCGAGCATAATCTGGGGTCGTACATTACCCCGGAAGTCCACCACCCCCCACCTTCGGGACCACTTTTTCGATGCTACATATCCACAACCATCGACCTCAAGATGTCTCTCAATAGTAATCACACACAGAGACAACATCAACTCCATCATGCACATCCTCGGCCTCGCCAACGGCAGCATAGGCGGTAACTCAACCATCCTGCTCAAAGCCGCGCTGCAATCCGCCAAAACCTCTCACCCCTCGACAACAACATCCTGGATCCACATCCCCTCGCTCTCCTACCCGCCAAACGCCGGTCCCCTCAGCCACGCCCAAGATGTATCCATGGGCGCCAATGCAGGGAACAACGTCGACGGCTCCTCGGCCAGCCTCAACACTGTAATCGACGACCGCAGAGCGCTGTACGAATCTATCATGGACGCCGACGCCCTGATCTTCAGTACGGCGGTGTACTCGCACCAGGCCGCGGGGTGGTTGAAAGCTGTGCTAGACAAAGTGCTAGGGCCGTACACGGACCCAGCGTTTGCGTCGCGCATACTGGCGGGCCAGAAGAACGGCGAGGCGAACTTCTTAGCCATGAGCGTCGACGAGCGCATTCTGAAGCCGCGCGTTTGCGGCTTCTTGGCGGTTGGCGGGAGCACGACGCCCGACCAGTTCACCATGGCGCTGCCCACCCTGCATCTGCTCGCGTACGGCCTGCACGTCAAAGTCGTTGATCAGGAGGTCATGATGGGGTGTGCGAACCCGGGGGCTGTGCTGCACGCGCGCGATGGCGGTGTGATGCGCAGAGCTGAGGAACTGGGAAGGAGAGTGGCGAGCCAGATGGGAAAGGGGTTCGACGAGGCGGCGTATCTGGGGCCAAAGGTTGAGGGCGCGTGTCCGCAGTGTCATTTGGCCAAGTATGATTTCTTTGGCGGCGAAGAGATGAGGGTGGGATGTGTGGTTTGTGGGAATACGGGGAGGTTTGTTGTGCAGGGAGGGAAGGTGGAAGTGCAATGGGATGAGGAGAGCGATTATTGTTGTATTACGTGGAGGGGGAAGGAGAAGCATATCGATGATATATTCAAGAACGGGAGTGCCGAGTGGAAAGGGCTGCAGGAGAGTAAGGAGAAGTTGCAGGAGTGGAGGGACTTGGATCTTGGGAGGTTGCAATTGCCGTCGGAACAGCAAGCCAAGGTTGTGAGCACGTTGGCTCAGATGCGATTATAAAGTGTGCAGCTATGATATGGCAGCAACGAACTTTGAAGCGCTATGCAAGAAGCAAGTGTACGTGTTGACTGACACTGTCAACTTACGAAGCAGTAACAAGCACATAGCTCGTTATGGCGTCCATCCTCTCCTTCGTCAACTTCAAGCCAACCTTGAGCAGCTCTCTCGCGACATCCTGGTGCTCCTCCTCTAGCTTCTTGAACTTCTCCCTTGTCAGCAACCATGCCACACTATCATTCTCTACCGCCACAGTCCCGGTACGATCTGTCTCGCTGAAGAACGGTAGCTCGCCGCAGGTTGTGCCGGGAAGAATGACTTCGAAGAAGCTGCCCTGATCAAGCTCATACTCTGCGCGAAACCGGCCCTTCTCCAAGATGTAGAAGCCGTCTGGATCATCGCCTCTTGAATAGAGAAGCGAACCAGCGGCAAGCTCGCGGCGCGAGAAGTATGGCGCAACGGCATGCCAGAAGTCCTCATTCTGGGGCGATACGTCCTCGAAGGTCTGGAGGATGATCTTGAGAGGCTGCGCGAAGTTCTTCCAGCGCGAGGGTACGACTTGGGCAGAGGGCGCGGATTCGGTGTGACTGGAGGAGGCCGGGAAGGAGAGGGTGTCGGAATTGGAGTTCTGAGAGGACTCGCGCATAGTGGAGCGAGCGGCCATGAGGCGTGCGCCGCGGCGAGGCGAGGCGAAGTCGGGATTGAGTGAACTGGGTCCGAAGGAGGATGCCGGCGAGCCGCCAGAGAATATAGGTTCGGCGTTGAGGTCCTTCGCGCCGTTGATGGACATCGGTGGAGTAATTTGGCGCCTCTTAACATGCGTGCTGCAATGTCTGTGGAACACCTCGAGAAGCTCGTTTTCGCAGGACTCGAGCGCGGTGTTCAAATCCTCGAACACCTGAGGAGGGGGTGGAGTCTCCTCATCCTCCGCTTCGTCCAGCAAGCCGACGCTCTGGAGAGACTTTCCTACGTCGTTTCCAAAAGACACGCCAGAGAGGATCATCTTGACGTTCTTACCCCCGAGGATACGGTTGATGCGCTGGAAGCCTTCGCAGCCCGAGAAATCTACGGCGGTGACATGTGTGAAATCGACAACGATGAAGCTCACTGGTTGTTCTTCGAAGTTGTCATCGTCGATCAGCGACCGCAAATTGTCTTCGACGGAGACAATGGTTCCAAAGAAGAGGAAGCCGCCTAGCTTGACGACCCGAATCTGGCCTCGGACCTTGTTCAGGTAGCGGCAATCCGCTCGAGGGCGTCGCACAGTCGACTCTGCAACAATGCCGCTATAAGAGCCGCGGATAGCTGGATGACGAGAGCTCTGGACAACGTAGCTCACGCAGGCGAGTACAATACCAACAAAGATACCTACAACGAAGTCATGGATACCCATAATCAAGACGATGGCTACAATGGTGAGGTACTCAAGCTTGTGACACTTGCCGAACGTGTCCCACAGAGCTTCTTTCATGAGGTCAATGCCAAGCAGGAAGATAAGTGCGCCGACGAGGCAGATGGGGATGTAGCCGATCATGGCTGGGCCGGCGATCCAGACGGCAACTGTCGCAAGGGCAAGCAGAGAACCTGCAACACGGCTGTCGCCGCCGTTCGCGATAAACATCACGCTGTTGGCATAGACCAAGTAGTTCTACGATGGACGTCAGCCATACCCTCAATGCGTGGGTTCATGGGACATACCTGAATGCTACCAACAAACCCAGACAGTGTGTTGGAGATGCCGTGAGCAATCAGCTCCCGGTTGACATCGAGATTGTCTTCTTTCACTGCAGCGCCCAAGGCTGGCACATTAATGGGTACGTGGATGATACCGAAGAACGAAAGAGCAAACATAGTCGGTATGCAGCTAGCCAGCGCTGATACATCGATAAGCCAGAATTCTGGACAGTCGTTAGCAAAAGATTGGCTTCTGGTTCCTGGGATGCCACTCACTGAAGTAAGAATAGAAGCGGTAGAACTTGACGCCCGCCTCAGGCTGCTCAAAGATCCAGCCTGCATTGCGGGCGTCCTCCAAATCAACGTGAAAGATGCCCTTCACCAAGACATAGAATGTAGCGAAGATGAGAACGAAGAAGGCTGGCAGAACAAACGGGCTCTTGACCATCCGCTGCATAAGCATGATTGAAATGGCAAGAACAAGCGGGATGGTCCACAAGTACCAGGTATCGGCTGAGAAAAGCTTTTGCAAAGTAGCCAGATCGTAGTTCAGGTTACCCTCGATGCGGGCAGAGACCTCGATACCGGTGGCGAACAGGAAGAACCCGACGCCTCCAATACAGCCAATGAGGATGTGACGGGGAAAGAAGCTGACCAAGGTGCCGAGCCTGAAGCCACCCAATGCTAGGAAGATTAGACCAGTAAGAATAGAGCTCAGACAGTAGGAGGTGATGGTAGTGGCCATGATAGCTTCAGGCGACTCGCCCTCCATGCGCTCCATGATGGAGTATGCCATCTTGTGGAAGAAGGGAACGACTTCGATCATCTCGGAACCAACACCACCCTTGAAGGTGGACAGGCCTAGGGAGTAGCATAGCTGCGACACTATACAACTGACAAAGAAGATGGAGATACCGTCCGGACCAGTTTGGCTGAAGATGGGAGCTCCTAGGGGAAACAGGATGTAGCCGTATGAAAGCGCGTCCAGGATGTTCAGAAGCAGTCCAAGGAAAACGGCCGTCAATGTCTGCGCACTGCTCAGCGCACCAGCCAGGAGCGCGTCCTTTGTGTAGGTGTTTGGGTTGGTAAGAGTCCGGCGCAATCCGAGAACGTGCTCGCGGCCTGTTGCAAAAGACTCCTTGACACGCAGAGGGAGGCTCTTGGCCGGCGAACGGCTCCTGCTCTTGCTCTTGCTCTTGCTCTTGTCCTTGCTCTTCTGCTGTTGTGGCTGTGAGCCAGCACGCGGAAGCCTTGGCGTGGGAAGCAGCGGTGTTCGCTCAGTGTCCTGTACAACGACGTCTGGCACTCCGGATGCGGTAGATGCCTTGCGCCCTGTGTCCTGCCACGGATGCAGTTTGGGGCTGAAGAAGCTCTGGTCTGCGCTCTGTGGTCCTCCAAGCACCGTCACTGGCGTCTCCACCTCGCTATCTTCGTCGATGGTGTCCTCCCTGGTGGAGTCAATAGATGCTCTGCCATCGTTGTACTCGGAGAGTGGTCGTAGTCCGGTTGTATCGGGCTCTGCAAAGCTGTGGCGGTGCGGCCGGTCCTGGTACTCTTCCGAGTCTAGAGCATACGATGCTAGCTGGGAGCTCCTCTCGCGCACACCCTGCGACGAGTACTGTGGGGTCTCTGTGGAGCCATGAGATGTTTGATGTGCAAACGAGCGTATGGGATTACGCGAGAACGACTGGGACAGGGTAGCAGATGCGTTCGACTGCGCTCTTATGCGTCGCGCTCGGCTGTGTGTTTGCGATTCGATGTCGGTGTTGTGCTGGTCCTGGATGAACTCGGCGTCGTTGACGTTGTCGCCTGTGAAGGGAAGCTGCTGCTCGGCGGACTGGCTGCTCCAGTCGCGGTGCGGGAAAAGCCGGGCGGGCATGGCGGCGAGGGAAAGAGAGCAGAGATGTAACTATGATGCTGTCGCCGGCATTCCAGTACTAGTGGGACAGCTCAAATAGCCGCGCGCTGGGTAGCTGGGACGGCAGTACGGGCAATGCAGTGGACGGATCCGGCTCCGGATGAACTGCGCACGCAGCGTCGCGTTCGGTGGTTCAGGGCAGCGGCTGCAGTGAGGAGAAGAGGGGCGAGCGCGCAGAGACAAACCTGTGAGGGAACATGTTCGGTGCCTTTTAGATAGCGCCGGACAAAGAGCGTGCTAGGACTGAGCTGTGTGTGCACAGGCTGTTGATATGAAAGATTTTGTGCCTGGAACCTCCACCGTTGGCACCAACGTCATTGCTTGGAACATGCCTGTTGATGCTGTCTCTCTTTTAACCTCGAACTATGCGACCACATCTCAACATGGCAATGAGAATGACAATGAGAATGAGAACGAGAACGACAATGAGAATGACAATGACGATTGATGTCTGGCTTTGTGAATGCATCAATCTTTCGCTATCGTGGCGCCAGGTGTCATCGTCGACTGTTGTTAGGTTCACCAGCCCGGGTTTCACGGCGCCTGCATCCTGCTTTAGCGAGCAGCATCCCCTGCAGCTCGCTGGCCCCTCCAACGCGTTCGTACTGCGCGGAAAGAGCCGCACATCCTGGCGCGCCGATGCTCGCAGTGTGCGTCGCTTGTCAAGCGATGTAGGCTGTTCGAGAGGTTCGACGAGGCCGCAGGAATGTGTGCGGTTGGCTGCATTCAAAATGAACAAGCATTCGGAAAGCACTCAAACGGCTCTGCAGCTGTCAAATTCCTGAACCGACTCGGTGCGGGCCGGACTTCAGTCGCGCTTCGTTCAACCAGTGGAGTACAGCGGATACAGCGGATTTCCCCGACACCACACGAGATGCTTGTCCTGGTGCGAAGCTGGAACCAGTGTACTATGGTATCCGGCAAAAGTAGTGTACATGGCCAATGCACAGCAGGGGTGTTGCCTCCGGAGATTGAAGTAGACTAATCTCCATTCAGTCTTTTGTTACATACAAATCTCAGTACTTTGTGTGACCTCCTTCAGCATCAATTACTGCCTGGCAACGAGCTTGCATACTCTCAATGAGGCTCTGAAGGAGCTCAGGGGTAATTGACTCCCAGGCCTCCTGTACAATACTTCTGAGTTGGTCAGGAGTACGTTGCTTACCACCAGGCAAGTCTGGGTGGTGTAGCTCTATATAGTCCTTCATCTTATTCCACACTGCCTCAATAGGGTTGAGATCAGGGGAGAATGCAGGCCAGAAGATGGGATGAATACCTCTCTCAGAAAGCTCCTCCCTCGTCAGGATTGCTGAGTGGGCTGGGGCCTGGTCTTGCATGAACTGTAGGTGAGGATTCATACGTAACCAGCCATCAACAAGAGGAACTATCCTTTCACAATACCTCTCCTTGTTGATACTCTTCCACTCCTTCTCCCAAAACAGATGTGGCCCCTTTGTATCCCCTGAAAAGCAACCCCAGAACATCCATCCTGCCTTCTTGCGCACCTTATCAACGATACAGGTGTCATTAAGCTCCTCTCCAGGTAACCTTGTTACCCACTTCCTCCTATGCCGGCCCCCAGTTACCCAGGTCTCATCACTCCACAGTATGCTCCACCACTGCTCTAAGGTCCAGCCAACATGCTGCTTAGCCCACTCTAAGCGGATCTTCTTATTATCTTCAGTAAGCGGTGGCTTAGCAAGAGCTATACAGCGTGTATAGCCTTTGCTGCGTAGAGCGTAACGCACTGAGTACTCTGTTGCTCCCCAGTGATCAAAGGTCTTAGCAAGGGCCAGGTAACTCATCTGTTGGGTGGCTCGGGATTGACAGACAAAGCAGATCAGCTCATCAACCTGCTCATGGGTGAGCTTGGGTGGCCGGCCTGATCTCTTCTTAGGTGTGACTTGGTTACAGGCAATTGCATAGCCAACTTGTCGTCGAGTAAAACCAAGGTGGCTAACAATAAAGGATTGGCTGTGGCCAGCATCTGACAAGGTTTGAACCTTCAGGCGCTCATCGCGTGAGAGATACCGGTGATGGGGTGTTGATGGCGGTGACATAATGAGGGTGATGATAGATGACACGTTGATGAAGCAGTAGACAGGAGATATCTTGGTTCAATACAAATTAGATAGTATTTGCAGTATTCTTGGTCAATAGGGCCATTCCACTTACCCGAGGCAACACCCCTGCTGTGCATTGGCCATGTACACTACTTTTGCCGGATACCATAGTAGACTCACAGAGCTTTAAAGTTTGTCATCCTGCACCTTCTCCGCAAAGCCTCCTCTCAGAACGTTACTCGACTCGACATACATGGGCTGAGATCAGCCCAACGGTTGTCTTGAACGGCGTGTGGCCTCGTACATTGCCTGGCAGTCGTTGCGTTTGGACAGCTGCATCCGTGGCCCCGTCTTCACATGGGCTTCTATCGAAACTTGAATCATACCTCAGTAAGCATCCGGGACAGCCCCATCAAGAGTCAAACGAGCTTCCATCGAGCAGTATCGACGAGAGTATACCGTGTATGTCGGCTTTGTGGAAAATCGTCGAGGTTGAGTGATTTGACATGAGTAACTTCGAGGTTCTGGTTCGATGAACATGTGGAGAAGCTTCGCCTCTAGAGCGCTGTCATGTCCCCTGTCTAATGTATGTTGCCCTGTATATCTATACCCTTCTCATCGTAGTTGCCCTCTATATCTATACCCTTCTCTATCGTAGATGCCCACTGGAAAGTCGACCTACAGCTTGGGAAAGCGAACCCTCAGGAACTGGTTCGGCCAAGCGACATCAACACCCAGCTGCCATGCTACCTTCAATACCCACTCCGGCTCGCGCATGAACTGTCGAGCCACCAGGACGACATCCGCTTGAGGCTCGTCGCCGTTCCTAGGCTCTGTCATGCCGACTGCCGCGCGAGCTTCTTTTGCGATCTCGGCATCTCCAGCCTGCTGAGCAACAGCACCGCCCTCTTCGACAATGTCTCGCGCCTGCTCAGCCTCGGTGATCAAACCGACCGCGCCGATGAACAGCTTGCCACCCTCCTTCTTGACCTCTTCTCTGATGCGCGAGGCGATCCGGGTCTGGTAATCCTTGGCGTCGAAGGGATTCAGCTTCTGCTGCGGATGGTTGCCACCACTGCTCACATCGAGCAAGTCGATTCCAAGCCCAGCAACGATCTTGGCTAAACGGATTGAGCTCTCAACATCCCAGCTGCCGTACTTTTGGCCCAGATCCGTCTCCTCCATCCACTCCGTCGAACTGATACGCAGGTACAAGGGCATCGACTCGGGAATGACAGCGCGGATAGCCTGGATGATCTCAAGCAACAACCTCGTCCTGTTCTCGAAAGAACCACCATACCTATCCGTCCTGCGATTCGTAATCGGCGACAGAAACTGATGGATCAGATACCCATGCGCGCCATGAATCTCAATAACATCCACACCCGCCTTAACACTCCTCTCCGCCGCACTGGCCCAGTCCCTCACCAACTCCTCAATCTCCTTCTCACTCAGCGCCCTCGGCGCCCAATACCCGCCCGCCTCATCATCAAGCTTCTTCTCATCCCACGTCCACTCCTCGCCGCCCATGGGCCCGACAACGTCCTCCGGCCAACCCCCCGCAGCCTCACTCGCGCGCACGCTAACCTTTCTCTTCCCGCCACTCGTGCGCTGCGCCCCCGCAATCCAGGGCGCACATGTACTCGCCTTCCTGCCTGCATGAGCGAGTTGGATCGCACTCAGCGCTCCCTGGCTCTTGATGAAATCGCTGACTCTGCGTAGCGCAGGGATCTGCGCGTCGCTCCAGAGGCCGGGGCAGTTGGGCGATATGCGTCCGTTGGGTTGCACGCCTGTTGCTTCGACCATGACTAGACCTGCGCCCTTGAGCGCATAGTGGCCCAAGGTTGCGATGTGGTAGTCGGTTAGTGCGCCGGTTGCGGGGCCGTGAGATGCGGTGGAGTACTGGCACATGGGCGCCACGAGGATGCGGTTGCGGAGGGTTGTGCCGCGGATTGTTAGCGGTTGGAAGAGCTTGGGAACAGGTTTAGAGTCGGCGGGTGTGCCTGGGGAGATGATGTGCTGAGGCGTGAAGTATTCGAGGCCGGTTACGCCGATGTTGAGTTCTGGTGCTGGTGCCATCTTGCGTTTGTCCACCTTGTGAGCTACTGTTGATAGCCTAGTGGTGGAGATGTAGCGGATTCTTGTGAGATCGGAACGGTACCAAGTTTAATCTTGAATAGACGTCCGGGAGTTTTGCACAAGAAGTTCGGTGAAGAGTGTGTAGTCTTTGAGGCTTGTCGACTTTTGTACACGCAATTGCACGATGTTGTTGATTTGTAAGGTGGCAGGATGGGAAGGTGAATATCTCCACTATTGCCGAGGTTCGCCGGCAGCCTGCCGTGGACTAATCAGCCTTGCATTCGATACGGTCGAACGAGAACTTCCACGGAAAATGGTTTCCATGGAAGACATCGTCGGGATGTCGAGTGTGTCATGAGATGTGCTTGGTGCTAAAGAAGGCTTCTATACTTGTGTCAGTAAATCAGCGATCATGTTCCTGGCTCATCCCCATTCTCTTCAAACACCCTCGATTGTAGCTTCCAATGCGTCCTTACGGGGACCAGGGTAATGTTTAACATATCATCATTCATGTACTAGGCTGTTAAAGTATCGCCTACTGCTTCTTACTCTCAGCCCCCTCCTTCTGCATTCCCTCACACCCGACCAGGTTCCCGGCCGCCTGCTCGACGCCTCCGTAGCCCTGACTAGTGTCTCTGTTCTCGCTGGCGGCCTTCATCGCGTCGATGGCTTGGTTCTTGTCCTGCTCGCCCGATGTCGCCCAGGCTTGGTTGCCTGTTACTGATCCAATGGTCGCCTAAGAACTATTAGTAGATGCTCAGAGGCAAGAGGGTTGGCCATGGATGTATATGGGGATGAGGGAATGAAGGGGGAGGGAGGCAAACCTCAGCAGCGCCCTTGACGTATTGTGCGTGGCCGGCGATGAGGCCGGGGTTCTCCATGTTGTTGCTACCGTTGGGTTGGGCGGACATGTTTGATGTATGTGTGAAGTATGAATTTGGTGTTTGTGGTAAGTAGGTCTTGGTCGAAACTTGAATCGTTGGTTGTAGATGTGGTATGTACCTGGTGTTGCTGGGTGAGGTTGGGCATATGAAGGCGACTTAGAGTCCCCTACGTCATCGCGGCTACATACATCACTAGACTACACGTAGGTCACGAGGCTACGCGATTAGCGCATCTGAACCCTGGGGCGCCATGAATGGATGGTGCTCGTTCGATTGTAATGTAAATCTGACAGTGTGAGGTAGTGCTGGATTGCAGTTGAGGGTGGCCATGACCTGATCAACCAGTACACGATAGCTCACAGCCTACACAGCTGTTTGACTGGTCCATACATACCCCTACGCTCTACATGGTACATGCGAATGGCTAGTAAGTTGAAGGGAACACAGCAATCCTCCCGCCATCCGTAATCTGGCTTACACCATTCATATACGCTCCAGCTTTGCCAACCATAAACAGCACCAACCCGGCCATATCATTCACACTCCCCGCTCTCCCCTGCGGAATCTGATTCGTCCCATACACAACCGGATTCGAGCTCGTCATCTCACTCGGATACGGTCCCGGGCAGACAGTGTTACTCCTGACCCCCCACTCAGCCAGGAACGTCGCCATGATCTTGCTGATGTGTGCAGTCGCGGCTTTCGTTGCATTGTAAGCCAGGCCCGCACTAATCCAGCGCATGTACGATGCCACAGAAGCGACGGTGATGATATGCGCCATGCGGTCATCGTCCTCATCTACGCCTATCTCCTTCAGCTTGGATGTATCGCGCTGTCTCGCGTTACCTGTGCCCTGGACGCGGCCAGGCGCCCAGCCACGACGCGTGTTCGCGGCCTCGAGCAGCGGGAGGAAGAGGGCAGACACGCCGACGACAGCTTTTGTGTTGATCTCGAAGGCCTGGCTCCACTCGTTGCCGTCCATGCCCAGAATCATGGCGTCGCGGACGGCCTCGATGGATTTAGCATCGTGAATGGGCTGCCCTGATTTCGGGCCTAGAACGCCCGCGTTGTTGATCAGGACGTCCACGTAGCCTACTTCCTTCTCGATTTGTGCGACAGCTTGCTTGATCGACTCGAGGTCTGTCACGTCTGCGGAGATGGCGGAGAGGACAGAGGAGGATTTCGGCGCTGAGGGCGAGGACTCGAGTTTGGCAATTGCATCGTCGAGGACATTCTTGCGGCGGCCGATGATGTAGATCTTGGAGGCACCGTTTTGGTGCAGTGCTGCAGCGATGGCGAGGCCGATGCCTTGGCGATGACGTTAGTGTGTTGATGACGGGGGAGGGGTAGCTTTGAAGCCTTGAAACTTTGAAGCCTTGAAACTTTGAAGCCTTGAAACTTTGAAGCTTGAGCTTGGGGACGCACCCGATCCGCCGCCGGTAATGACCACGACCAGGCCCTTGGCCGAGAAGAGAGAGGTAGGGTTGATTTGCGATAGAACGTCCATTGTGTAATAGTGCTTGGCTTGGCTTCGACAACGCTTTATGAAGGATCGCCGGAGTACACGGAATGGATTGCCGATTTTGGTGCTTACAGATCCGGACCAATGATGGCGTCACTACTGTGTATTGAGCCGCGACAATACGCTCGAACTCGGTAGATCGAGGAAGACGTTAGGAGTGAATGTCCAATTGTGTAAGTTGGCATTGATGGGGTATCTTATGCGAATGGTGGCTGTCCTCGTGCCATCCCATTCCTCGCCGACCAGTTCGTCTGGTTGTTTTGCCTACGTTGGCCATTCACCAATACTTCCAGTCCCTCCTGACAAGCCTGTACAGCGCCTTCCTCCGTGCACTCGGCAATGGCTTCTGCGCGTTCCCTCTTCAAACGACTCGATCTTTGGCACCTCGACTCCTAGTTGATTCCACCCACGATCCTCAAGCCCTGCTCCTCCGCCGAGTACGCCAGCACATACCGACACGGATGCCAGCTAACCACACTACTCGCCTTCTGTACACTGATCTCGTGCACCACCTCGCCCGTCTCCACGTGCGCAATTTTGACCTTCTTCTCGTCTTTGTCATCACTGCCTGCGGTGATGTAGCTCCCGTCAAAGCTGAAATCCACGCTCTTGACCGGCTCCTTTGTGAGATCGAATGTCCGTACGCAGATCCACTCTTGTGTATCCCATAGCGAGACGAGAGCGTCGCCGCCGCCCGCGGCCAGGTATTCGCCTGATGGCGACATGCTGATGGCGTAGCAGGAGGAAGTGTGTGCGTTGAGGGTCAGGGCGGGCGTGAAGGAGGGGTAGCCAACGACTTTTATGCTGCCATCACCGGAGGTGAGGTAGAGGTGTGCGCCGGACCAGTCAAAGACGCATTGGTTTGTTTGGACGGGTTGGCGGTGCTCGGAGAGTATGCGCAGAGCCGCACGGTCTACGGAGACGAGAACATTGTCCTGTAGAAATCAGTACAAGCATAGTGCGGTGTTGCAGCTCGAGAAGCAGACCTTCCGCCCTGCGACGATCTCGTTGCCGTCTGGCATCCATGCCAATGTGAACGGCTGTTCGCCAACTCTTACTTCACCCACGCTGGCTTTTGACCGGATGTCCCAGAATCTGACCATGCCGTCTGTGCTGCAGCTCGCAAGTTCGTTCTCGTTGATTGGGTGGAAGGCTACGCGTTCGAGCTGTGTGGAAGCTGGTACGCCTGGCGTGCGCAGCTCTGTCGAGTTCTTGACGTTCGTCTTCTCGGGGTTCCATATCCGTAGTGTTCGGTCTGCAGCGCCAGTCGCTATGAAGGTGCCTGAAGCATTCCAGCTCAGTGTGCGAATGTAATGCGCCGCGGAGACCGAGGCGTTGGGGCGGATGACGTCGACGTATGCGGATGTCTTGAGTCGCGAGAAGGCAGGAGAGAAGGACGACTTCCCGAGCGGTCGGGCGCGTGACGGCGGCGCCATGAGCGATTCGTGGTCGCGTGCGGGTGGAAAAAAAAATAAAAAAATTAAATAATTTGCGCGTAGGTTGGCGTGTCGTTGCTGGATGGTAAGCTGCAAGCTTTCAATGCGGCGGACCGTTGCAGATGTACAAAGCAGGGGCCATTCACTACGGTTCGCTTGTGACGTCGACCAAAGCACTACAAAGATAATTACAGACCATAATATCGCAAGTATCAAACAGACTTAGACGCGAGTACGGGAACAAGCATGCAAAGTGTGCAAATTTATCATGGTCGTTCGTCCATTCATATATCGATGATTGTCTTCAGAAAGTCTACTATGCTTCGTTAAATGCACTACTCTTCGGCTCGCTCTGGAACGCAAGAGCTGAGATGCTACCGCTAAACGCCATGCATGCTGTCGTACTTTTGAAGCCGATCAGACTTCCAATCTTCCCCGTGACCCTTTCCCATATCCTGTCATCGCCGGTTCGGATGTCTTTGGATGTCTTACGCTCTCAAAGCCAGTGCCGACCGTGCCAGATACCGCTTGCGTGAACCCTTCATATCGCACGACCGTCCTACAATCGTCCCAGCACACCTCGCACACTGCCATCAAGCACCACATTGCCCTTGACCGTAAGCTCGCCAATGCCCGTTGCAGCACCGGAGCCCTCGTTCAGCCATCTCTGCAGCAAGTCATTGCTCTCCTTGGGCTTGATGCTCTGATTCGCCGTGCCCACAGTGACGTGCGCAATCGGGTTGACAGTCTCGAAAATCAGCTCTTCGGTCGTCGTGCCGGCCTCGCTCTCGACCTGAAGCGTGCTGGAGCCATTGAGACGCACCACGAAGCACATAATGCGGTCGTCCCAGATCAAGCGCTCCATGAGTACGCCGCACTTGCCCAACTCAGGTTCCCAGGCACCTCCGTTCTCGGCTGTGGCCTGTACGGTGTCGTTGAGCTTGATTAGCTTGTCCCAGTATGGCTGGCTCTGAGCTGCTGAAGCGCGGTGGATGAGTGTGACATGGAATTCGTTCTGGATGCGGCGCTGCTGCTTCAGGTGGTTGTAGAGATGCGCAGTTTCAGGGTCCTTGCCGTTGAACATAGCATTGAGGATGGAATTGACACGAGCAGTGTCCAGCTTAACAGAGAAGTACTCCATGCGCGGTGCCTTCTTAGGCTTGGCCTCGCCCTGTGACTGTTTCCTTCCATTCGCATCTCCACCCTGGCTCTTCTGTATGTTCTGAAGAATCTGGTTGTTGTTGTACTGCTGGTTCTTCGGGCCGGCCTTCCCGCCTCGTGACAGATCCATCTTGAAGTCAGGTGTGTAGTCGTTCAGGGCCCACTGAATCGCTTCGTCCATGTCGGTGTCAGTAGGCATGTCTCTACCTTCGAACAGCGCAGGGTATGTCTCAGCCATCTTGCTGATGATTGTCTCGAGGTTCTGGCGTGAGTCAAGGACAGGGTCGATGTTGACAACAAGGTCGAAAAGGTCATCAGGAGCTTCTGAGGGGTCGAGAGGCTGGAAGCGGTGCATGAAGCCCTCCATGATCTCGATGATCTCACCCGATCCCTTGGAACCAGCCTGGATTGTCTGATGGTTGTCGCCGCGATCAAGCACACGCTTTCGTGTCGCATCCCGGATGGCGTCGTAGTTGGATCGCTCATGCACATAGTGCAGCGCGACAAAGCGAGCATCCTTCACAGATCGTGAGATGTCGTTGATGATCTGGTCTCGCTCGCGCTTCTGATGGTTGTTGCGATCAGCAATGACGACAGGGTTGGTGATGAGCATTGATGAGATGGTGTCGGCGAAGACCTGGCCTCGCCCCTTCTTTGCCTTGACGTTATCGTTCTGGAAGTGGCCCCATCCAAACAGCTTCACCAGTGCAAGGGCAACGGTCGTCTTACCACAGCCAATGGTTGCGATAGGGACGAGAACGATGTTCCTGTTCACCGACTTGCTCTCCTGTGCACCGGCGTTCAGTTCCTGCTGTATAATCTCCGCGCCAGTCGTGCCGCGGAAAGCCAGGAACTCATCGCGCAGCTTGATGATACCGTGGTTCTGGTTGTAGGCCTTTGCGAGCCCAGGGTTCTGCACGAACTTCTTGCGCGCGAAATCGCAGTACTCCTCGGTGATGGCCTTGTGCTTCTTGTAGCGTGGAGGCTTGCCAGCAATCATGGCTTTGGTGCACTCACGCCACTGCCTGTACATGAGATATGGTTCCTCGAACTTGTACTTGAAGAACCAATCCTCGTACGGCGCACCATCAGTTGCTCGTGCCTGGCATCGAATGACAAAGCCTTCGGTGTCGCGTCCGTTGTAGTTTCCAGTCTCGGCGACCTTGTCCAGGAATGTCTTGACCTCGGTGATGTCGTCCTCCATGACATAGACGACCTTCTTCATACCCCACTCGTCTGCAAACTTGTCGACCAAATGCCCAGGATATGTCGCAAACTCGGGCAGGTTGAGGTTGATGCCGTGGACGTACAGGCCAGCCTGATCGGGTGTGTATGCAAGAACGTGCTCTTCGAATTCGTCGTCACACAGCTCGGCCACCAACGTCGCGTTCATTGCCCGCAATGTCCGCGCAAGATCCTCCTTCCTTTTCCCGACTGTCGCGATGTGCCTCTCTACCCAACGCTCACCTGCCATCGCATGGCTGAGCTCGACGTCACCACGTGCGCCTGTGGAGTGCTTGCTGCAGACCAGTAGGGTGTCATCATCGAGACCAGAGACGAAGATGATGCATCCATTCTCTTTTACACTCAGCTCATATGGCCCTCTTGTGTTCTGCTCGACGTTCCTCCACTCTGTCTTCGTGACCTCACCGTGGTTGAAGAACTTGTCGTACCCTCTGACAGCAATCTCGTGCTGTCCATCAAGGTTCTTGTATGTGAAGAGGCCTCGTGCGTACGTGGGGAGGTGCTCCTTCTTGTAGTCCCAGTCGTTCATCTTCCAGGAGTCAACTGTCCGGCCACTGGGCAGAGTGAATGTGTGCTTCTTGACGGAGAAGCCACCCTTCCCCTTCTTGCCCTCATGCGCCTGCAGTGAGTGGATGAGGTTTGTGATTTCCTTTGGATCCTGAGCGACGAACGGTGCGCGGTCGCGGTGCGTCATGGTTGCGGTTGTTGTCAGATTGTTCGAAAAAAGATATGGATTGCGCGCTAGTTGTTGGGATATACGGGATGTCTGAGGCAGGCGCAGATGTAAGCTTGATGTCGCGTGCAATGCAGATGAAACAAGCAGGAGCGGGGAGAATTTATTGACAGAGGCTGCCATTCAGGGGCACGACACACGCAGTAACGATGACTCAAGCAAGGGCGGCAACTCACACTGTGTGGGCTACTGAACACGGACGCGAAGAAGGGCGCAGTCGCGTAAAATGAGTTGGGAGTCACTGCGTTGATGTTTTGGGCGCATTTTACGAGGCTATGATCTCAGAAGTGGCTGCCTGTGTGGCTGAGGCACCGCGGGGTACACCATTGTCAAAAGGCGCAGCAACATTACTACCAATTCCACAGTCTCGACCAGCGTGAATTTTCCTGCTAGACAGAGTGCCAGTAATGCTTATCGAACCGGGAACTGTGCACTGAGAAGTATGCAGACCGTATTTCTCGACGTTCACTCATCCAATACCTCCAACACCTCCATGGTCTCCTGCATTGTCGCCCTTCAACTGCTTGCATCGAGGTTGAGGTGAATCTAGATTTGGTATTCTACTCTACCAATGCCTAACGACTACCAACCATCCCTTCTCCCTGACAGCATTAAATAGTACAGCAACCCTCTTCCTCTTCAGCCCTTCTCTAGGCGCAACATCCTCAATCGCATGTTTCCCGTCCAAATGCCTCAGTAGCATCGGCCATTGCTCCTTCAGCTCCCTGCCCGAGATGCCCATCACACCATCAGAATGCTTCGGTGGACTAGGATTGCTGACTGGATATGAAGGATGTCGAGGATGGTGGTGATCGATTTCTTCGAAGGTCTTGCCGATTGCTTCAAGCCAGCGTGCTTCAACGCTGGACGCTTTCTGCGGGCTGAGGATTAGACTGGGTTTGAAGAAGTGCGGTTGCGGGATGAGGTCTTCTTCAACTGGGAGGGGTGGCGATGTAACGGCGTTGAGGGATGGTGATGTGGGCTTGAGGTGCAACGGGCTTGGTTTGTGCACTTTGTTGTTGTGAGGTAGAAGATGCGATGGTGAGTCCGGGCGACCTGCGGAGTTCAGAGCAATTGTCGTGCGCTGGCTACTGTTGCTGCCTGCATCAGACGCTGGACGGGCCGGGGAACCACGGTGATGTGTTGTTGTGCCAGTCGCTGTAATGCGAGGGCTGAGGATCGTGCTTGACTCCATCTCTTCTGAGGTGTCGGCGCTTCTGTCTCGTCGCCACTTCATTGGTGTGAGTGGTCTTGCTGTATGGTCAGACAGCAAGCTTGATCGCTTGTCAGAGAACAGCGATGCGTTTACCGAGCCATTCTCGCTCATGAGCTCCTTTCTTGCTTCTTCAGCCTTCTTGATTCGCTCTTCTCGCTCCATTTCCACGGCCACTTGGGCTTTAATCTCGGGAGTGACGCGTATCCATGCGAACGTTCTCAGTTGTGTGACCCAGCCGCCTCGCATCAGCCATGCTAGTACCTCTAGGTAGGTGTCTCTGTGCTCGTAGGTGGGGATAAAGCTCTTGTAGATGCGCGGAGTGCCTGAGAGCAGACTCAGAAACTTAGGTAACGATGGTAGAGTCGGAAACTGTCGTACAAATGAAGCTGCTGCAGCGGGCAGGTAGTTCATGTCTGCATTTGGAGACACCATGTATGTGTCTCGCTGTGACAGAGGATCGATCAGTCGAGCGCGCCGCCAATAGACCAAGTGCGAGGCAATGTACTCCATGTCATGAGCTGAAATGTTGTGTTTCTTCGAGATCTTGAGGAGAGACTTCGTGGGTACAATCCTGCGAATTAATCCAGCGATGGCTGCTCCGTTCTCAGATGACTCGCCACCCAAGTCTTTGATCAAGACTTCAGGATCCTCGAGTAAAAGAAGAGCTGCGTGCTGAGTCATGGGTGCTTCTTCCTCGTCCAGCAACACATTGGATGTTGTAAGCCACAGGCCGGGCATTTGTGGCTCAAGAGCGTTCGGCAAGTACGGCGTTGACATGGCTTGAGGTATCTGAAATGAGGTGTTGAAGGTAGCATCAAAGTGGATGTGCGCAATCTTGTCATTCGAGATGGCATCGTAGAGTATGGCTATCGATTTAGCCAATGGTGAGATGGCGAGGAGGTTCTTCCATGTCACACTGATCGACTCCCCATTCTCTTTCGCACGCTGCTTGATGTCGATGATGCGCTTCGACTCCTTCCAGACGTACTGGAATCTAGCTTGCTCGTACTTAAGAGCTTTAGCATACTTCCGCGTCACGTTGTCGTACATTTCCTTGACGCGTCGTTGATACTCCAGTGCAGGAGGGTTAAGCACGAACACGACGTTGAACATAGTCATGTCAGGACAGTCATCGTGTCCAGCGGTAGAGTTACTACGAGCCTCAGATCCTGCTTCAGAAGGCGCCACAGACCCGGGAACGGAGGGTGATTCATGGCCATAACCTGGCTCAAATCCTGGAGGGTATATCAAGGGTTCCGGTTTGATATCCTCTTCTGCGATGGATAGGCTCCCTACCAGATCGCCGTCTTTGATCTTCTGCATTCCAGACTTCTTCTTTTTCTTCCGTCTTAGCTTCTTCCATAACCCATCTTCCCTCACAAACATGGGCGCACCGACGAAGACAATGCTCTCCACACCAAGCTCGAAGCGTCGCTTGTTGTAGTCTTCGCTCGGCGTTAGTATCTTCTCGAGCGCATCAACCTTGAAGCCAAGGACCGAGTTCCAGTCGTAGTCACCGCCTCGGTGGCGCCCACTGCTGTCGTTCTCACCGTCAACATCTTCTTCGTCAATGGTTTCTTGTCTACCCCAGCCACCAATACCCAGCTTCAATCTGTCACGACTTCCATTGGGACCAGTTCGCCCTGATCCACGACCGCTTGTACGGCTGCCCACCTCCAGGTCGTCATTTTCGTCTGCTTCTGTGCTGCTGTCCCAATCGCTGTCCGAACTATGCGAGTCGACGCTTGCGGTGGAACTCTCGTTGCGGTACCAAGACGGGTCCTTGGCTGCAGCAAGAGCTGCCGCCGAGGGTGATAGCGGTGGGTAATGAAAGACGAGACGAGGACCGAGAGAGCGTGATTTAGTGATGAGGAGGATCGCGTGAAGATTCGATGATGGAGGCAGCGGCAACGCCATTGGGTGATGTGGGGATGCTCGGACAGGTGCAGGTCGGAGTGGGGAAGCCGCGAGCTGCGGAGTCGCGACGGGGGATCTAGCCACTTTGGGAAGCATATCAATCGCATCATCAAGTCTTGGAAATAACCTACTTTTCAGCTTGTTCGTGGGCTATTCAGTGCCAGAACCGTTTATTTGCAAATTCAAATGTACTGCATGGCGAACCTGCAAGTTTTGAGAGAAGTTGCTCACTTGGACGACCATCTCGACTGCTCTTGACGTGAGCATTGAGCGAATACAATCAACTTTCGTTGCTCCTCGTATCAATACTGTGTTGCCAAGATGTTAACAGTATACCCGCTTTAAATCTGGGGCTGGTAGAAAGACTTTGTTGTTGCGATGCGGAAACGATGCATGTTGCGCGTAGATGCAGGCATGGCGCGCCACAGCGGGACGCTCTGGCCATCATTCGCGCGCGACTTTATTCAGAGCTCACTCCACCAACACTCCATCACCAACTCGTCCATATCGTCTATACAGCCGCACGATTACCAACACCACCACTACTGTACCCGTCCGCACTTAACATTGACGGTATGGCTTCTTTTGGTGGCGCAGGTCTTGGACAGAAAGTCATCAAGCCCAATCCGTATGTTACTGCATTTCCCACTGCATTACGCCAAACCTACCTCTTCTCCGGGTCCTCCCTGTCTCGATCAACCTCAGCTAACTCCGGCTCCGCAGTCCTGAGCGCGGCTCGTTCCCGCTCGATCATGACGGTACGGCTCACCCATCTCCTACGCTGCCCGCAATTTCTGGCATCCCCTTTCCGCTGCACACCATTTCTCAGCAACTGACGCTACATTCCAGGCGAGTGCAAGAATATAATGCTATCCTACCTCAGGTGTATCAAATCACACCGTGGAACCAACGACTCCGAATGTCGCAATCTGTCAAAGTCATACCTATCCTGTCGGATGGATCGGTACGTACCGGATCTGCCTTCCTTTCCACACAGCCTTTGTCTAGCCACAACGATCTCCTTTTCTTTGATACGGCTCCTCTCTTTGTTGAAAGCAAGGGAGAAAAGAGGAGCTTGTCATACAGACTCGTCAAAAATTTCGAACCAGGTCGTTGAGATCATCGGGGCTTGGGGCTGCACTGAGGCAAGGGGAGATGCAGCAGTCTTCATTCCTCGTCTCTTGTTAGATCTGAAATGTCTGGGTTGTTGAATCAGCTTTTCCCAGCCTCGTCTTTCCCTCAATGCTCCGATACTGCATCTTGCGGGGTAGTTGCCCCCTCAACGATACCCACGTCTCCACATAGCACCGTCACACTGCGTCGGCAGCATCCGAACTCAGCTCATCACTACCCGATATAGACCCTCGAAGAAGACTTTACTGACTCTATCCCTGCCTACAGGAATCTCATGGCCCCTGACTCATTCAAGAACCTTGGCTTCGGAGAGGACAGCGACCGCCACAGTGCCTCTACTCCGAGTGCAACCCTAGCCCATTCATCGCAACCTCAAGGGCACGATAAACCCCGCACTTCCTAGATATGCCGACTCATTTCTGGAATGAAGGGTCTTGGTCTCCTAGTCACTGGTTCGGCACCAACCGAGCAACCGAGAAACCACGGACTCGTCCTATCTTTCTTTCTGAGCACGCCTGCCGTATCAGCCGACGCCGATGTCGTCAGCGGGTTTACAGTGGAGCCTACATGTCTAGGGCTGCAGACCCGACAGGTTACAAGCCGTTCCACTTCTATCATGGACAAGACGGACGAAGAACCGTGTTTCGGCATTAGACTGGCGTTGGGAGGAAAGGACGATGCCGAAGGAAGGAAAGGCGAGACATACACGACTGACAGATTGACATATGCTGTAGACGACAGGGTCGTTGTACCAGACTGCGCCACGACAGGCGAGCGCTCCACGGCTGTGCAGGTCGCACAACATAGGCTTGATTCACAAACGCCCTTTGATACCTGCAATAGGTACCGACTGCATCTTGCAATGTGCACCGCAATATACTTGTTTGAATCGCGATCGCTATGATGCGCCAGGTCCTGTGGCCGCTTCGTACTCAAACCTGCACTAACGGACCTTTTCCGCCAAATGCGCCGCCTTACCAATCATCTGTAATTCAACTAAGACATCTGTCATCCTCCACGGGTCAGATCTGGACGGGATCTTGCCGATCTGTAGAGGAGATGGTGCAACGTCGCACAAAAGTCCTCACTGACACTACCGAAAGACCCCTCACCCTCTTCCCTGCCCTCCTCCAACAAGGCTTCTGCTACGCAAAATTTACCAAGCTTTGCGCCTACTGTGCACTACAGGCTTGAAACAAAGAAGTCCGGATGATCCGATTAGATCCGTGACATCGGTGGCATCGCGCAAGCTAACGACGAAATGAAGTGGTACAAGATGTCGAGTGATGTTGTGCGATTGGCAGTGAGTCTTGGACGTCGATACGAGAGATCAAGGTTCGCGGCTAAGGCTGCACTGGGCTGTGTGCTAGCGGCCGTAGGCTGTCATGGTAATGCTACAATGCGATATCAGGCACGCAAGGTCGGTATCATAGCGATTGCAGTGTGTGCCGCGTATGCCAGGGACAGCGGTCGCGCTGCATAGTGTAAGGTCCTTCCGATGGGGATGATTGGCGCGCAAGCTGTGGTTGGCCTGGAAATGCCCCAGTCAGTGTACTACACTGTTGACTATGGGTATGTTGCTCAACCAGACTACGGTGGCTGTGGTCGTTGAGGATGCCGCGCAGCATGTTTCGGATAGTGACATGACAACGATGAGTACCACGAAACTATAATGACCGATGCAATCATAGAGAGGAAGGCAGATGGCATAACAGAGAACACCCCTCTGCTTGTACCGCACTCTCTCAGCGACACTACAAGCACACTTGTGCCGCGAATGACCCTACATCCATCCCAAAGGCTGCCCACATTGCGACCGACCCCCATCTTCAATGTTGTGAGTCTCGTGCCCATCCCGACCTCGTCCTCCGCGTCCTCCATCGGACAAGATTGGAACGGCCCACTTCCCATGACCCGAACCCTGACTCCACGATACCTTCTCATGACCAGATTGCACATTCGTGTGTGCCAAATTGAACATCTGAATGTGGGGGTACTGAGAATCAGGAAACTGCAGGACCCCAGCAGCTGTCACTTCCCCTTCTGTTTTTGCATGCATGATCAGTGTGTTTCGGGCAGAAAGCCACACGTCTTGCTGCGTGTCATTTTCAAAGGCAGGGATCGCGATGCTGTGCAAGCTAGAGACCTTGCACGCCAACACTGCAGAAAGTTCGAAGTGTAGGTTGCAGTTCACAGTGTCGCATAACATAGCCATCAGTGCAATGTATAGAGACGGCGATAAGCGATGGCTACACGGCTACCGCACATAACTGCGAGACACAACAGTATTCAGCGCTCGCCTATTAGCGGCCGCTGTCGTCTTGCCTCTGTAGCTGCTATTCATTTGTTCAGAGACAAGCCCGCAAGCGAGATTCGTCATCGCTGAGTTCAGTACTTCATGCCGCCGCACGCCCGTGTTCTACCAGATCCCGAGCTACTTTTGTGGCTTCGTGTAGAAGCGGGCGTAGACAGTGTTAGGTGATCGAGTTAGGCAGCTGTGTCTCTCGATACGATTGTCGGAAGGCGGCGGTGGTGGCGGGTGCCTAAGAATAAGGCACAGTGCCAAAGAATAAGGCACAGTGCCATGTCTTGGGTCTTTTTTATGCTAGAACTGACATCGAGATCTTGATGTCCGGTGAGCCGTGTTTGCATGGAAAAGCAATATTGTACGAGTCATGCTTACGATGATAGAGTTGACTTTGCAGAAATGTTTGCGACGTCCTTTGTCAGGGTGGCTTGGAGGACAGAAGTGGTAGCCTTGCACTCCTGATGAAGAAGGTGGCGAGCACGGATCACGTCACATAAGGCAAAGAGTGTTTGTTGCATAAAGATGATTATTGGTGCTAGCAAACAAATACCGTAATAGAGTGAACACTGAAACAACAGCATAAGCGCAAGAACATCCATCCGAAAAGACCATGAGCAGACAGCCACAGTCCGAAGGTTGCGAAACAACTTGTAATCTGCCCTTGTGTAGTGAAATGGCGTACCTCTAACGCCGACTCACGCCTGCCCATGCAATCTGTCAAGCCTGACATACATAATGGAGAGACGCAGAAAAGCAAATAGCGAAGAGGATAGTCGAAAGATGAGAAAGTTAAACGCCACAAGATGTGCTTGGCAGTGTCTGATGCCGGTCCATATCCAAAGCGAGGATTTCCTTCCTGCTTCGTGACGCGGGTCCGGGGGGCGATGTGTGTTGTAGACGCCGATGGGTGGAACATATTATGCAATGAAACAGGAAGCAATATGATGCAAGCTGCAGAGTGCGAGCGTCGTCCATCCTTGGCCAGCAGAGACAGGCGACATGCGTAGATCAATCAAAGGGTAGCCATGGTAGTGTCCTCGGCGGACAAACTGGCTTCCTCCGCAAGTCGGTCTAGTATGTGCATCTGCAGGATGCAGGAACGGGTGCGGGGTATCGCGGGGTATCGCGGGGTATCATGGAATCGAAAAGCCGAGAAGGAGACAATGAAAGGTGCACCGGGAAGGGATCCGAATCCGAGAGCGCTCAACCCATGTCCATGCCGTACTCGTCCTCCTCCTTGAGAGCCTGGTTCGACCAGTACTGTTGCTGGTTGGAGCCGGAGCCACTACCTGTGCTCTGCATACCGGGGCTGAGACTCTGCGGCGACAGTCCAGAAAGAGGCTCGCCAGCAAGAGTGGTGTGCTTGGGTACTCGAAGGCCAGAGCCAGGACCACGGGAGTACCTGAAAGTACCGGCACCATTCTTCTCAACGGCTTCCATGATCTCGGTCTTCATGCGCTTCTCGTCTTCGGTCATCTCGGGCCACTCTTCTCCAGTAGCCTGTCGCAGGCGGGCGGTAAGCTCCTCGTTCTCTTCCATCTTCTTGTACAACATCCACATGAGGTCACGAGTCCAGCTGACGGCTCCGTTGAGGATGTCTCCCTTGTTTGGGCCCTTGTCCTTCTCTTCCATGGGTAGCCCTTGTGTAATGTTACCAGCAGCTCGCCGGCCACTACCACCAGCCAGCAATGACGTTGCTTGTGGTGGTGACATACCAGTAGCACCCATGGTTGGTGAGAGTGGTCCGTTGTTGTTGATGTGCTTGCGGATCTTCTCATCTTCGAGACGATGCTGGGGCACTAGACGAGACAGATCGTGGATGCGCTCGTTAATGTTGTCCCTACGACGACGCTCCACAAGGTTGTGAGACTCGCGGCGACGGCGTTTCTTTGCGTCCTGAGTTTGGCCAATGTCAACCTTTGTAGGCAGGGATGCGTGCTTCCCGTGCATGACCTCGTTGATCTGTTGGTGGTGCAACGATGCAGTGTGAGGTGACTGGGTGGGTGAGTCGATCCAGGAGTGAGCGCTGCCGGGAGTACCTTCCCACTGGCCGGACACGCTCTTCTGGTGGCGATGCATGTTGGTCATGATGGGCTGAGACGCAAAGTTGCCCGAGTCAGGTGTACCAAGGTGAAGGCTGGCCATGGCTGGGGTCTTTGGTGACATTGGTGTGCGGCTGTCAGAGCCGGTCCTGCTTATAGCCATGCGGTGTCGCATCGAGTTGGTCTGCATGCTGTTCGCAAAGCCCATCCTTTGAGGTCCTGATTGGTATTGGTTGAAATCGAACCCCCCTGGGTGTACAAAGGGACTCTGGATGGGCAGATCATCTGGAGTATTGGAGTAGACCTGGTTCATATTGGCGGCGTTAGAGTTGGAGTGGAAGAAGTCTGGTTGGTTCAGGTTATCCTGGCTGAAGCCGTTGAACCCCAGTGAGTCAGCGAGTTCATCGTCTGCGATGTTTGCAGCACCGTGAACGTAGCTGGTAGACCCAAATTGGCTGTTGATGTTCATGTTTCCGCTCATGGTGAGGTTCGATGGGTCGATCGCACTTCCACCTTCATGTGCAGAGCTGAACTGCGGGTTGTTGTACTGTTGATTCATGTCGAAACCGTTGTGGTTTCCAAAGCGGCCAGAGTTGAACTGCATGTCATCGACTTCTTCTTTGATGTATGGCTGAGGCGATCCAGTACCGATCATGTTGAAGATATCAGCGTCTAGAATGTCGTCAGAGTGGGTGTCCAACCGAAGGTCCAACCGGGCGAGGGTCTTCTGAGGAGAGTAGGATGAAGGAGGAGTGAAGAGAGCGTCCGCTTGAGGGACAGTCAGTATGGACTCGTAGTACATGATGGGAAGACCGAGAAGAGAAGTGCTGTAGGGGACGAACAGGGGACGGAAGGTGCAATATATAAGGGCTGGGAGGACTGGGAGGACTGAAAGGGGTGCTCATGACAAGGAGGCTTTACTTACTTGGCATCACTAGGTTACAATGGTCGCGGGGAATGTATGTTTGAGGCCGATGGGAACTGGGCTGGTTCCCGGACTGCTGGATCTGAAACTTACTGTCTCCGACCCGGCAAGTGACTAAGGAATGCAGTGCAGTATGATTGCACCACGAGACGGTCTGTGACCCTATAAGAAGGACACTGGAAGCCGATTGCTATCTTGCGCACAAGGTCACTCAGCAAGCTAGGCAAGTCGCTTGTGGTGCTTGATAGTCGCTAACAAGCCCTCGGTGTTCTCGAGATGGACTTGTTCTCTTCTGTGGAGGAAGTGTTAGTGCCGCGTCTCGGTATGCAAAGAAGGTCCTTCTGGGAACAACTGCTCACCGGACACAGTATTACGTGCAGTAGGTAAATGTACGTACTGCCTGGCTAAACCCTGCACTGCACAGAGACAGAAACCCCGAAAGGGTGGGTGTTGACAGGTGTGAAGGGAGGAGTGGAGTTGCAAGAGGCCTATTCTGGGAGGCTCTCAGTGCAGGATACGGAGGGCGCTCGTGGCTTTGACGCTCAGATAAGGGCTAAGGGGAAATGTGTCAGCCCAAGAGCCCTTGTCAGTGAAATGTTGAGCAGTTCAAAGGTTGGTTGCATGAGTGTGGCGTACAGCCAGGTAGCGAGCAACAGAGGACGGCAGCGGTACTGCACCCTGGTACTGTGGGGACCGTAGTACAAACGACCAAAGCAGCGAACACAGTCGCACACTGCCGCAATGCCGCTCTTGAAGCCCTCTGCGGCTAGCTGTTGTTGCCGATGGGCGCGGTGGTGAGGGAAGAGAGTGGGTTGACTCACCTAGCAACGAAGGAAGGCGCAACCAAGACCAGGCTGCCACAACGATGCAGGTGCACTGGCTTCGAGGACCGTGGATGGAGGTTCGCAGCTGATTGCTGCGTGCAGCGGCCCGGCAAACTTGAGCGAGGGCGGCGCTCGGAGGTGCGGCGCTGGTGGTACAGGTTTGTTCTCCTTGAATCGACACGAGGGGTGGCAGCGCGAAGTTCGGTGAGGATTCGGCCGCGGCGTCGTCTTGCGCGATGCGAAAGGAGAGCGCGCTCTGGAGTGCTCTGTGCGACCTGGGCAGAGGATGGTGCTGGGTGTGGAATATGGAGTAGATCGTCGGTGTATGGTGGGGAGAGGTCCAAGGTGGGCTGTGGCCCCGGTCCCGGAGTTTCTTGACTAAGAGTACGCGAATATGATATGCGCTGTGCAGCTAGCTACGCGCCGTGGGAGCAGCGCGCAGTGAGGGGTGCCAGAGGGGTGCAGCAGTTCGCAGAGGAGAGAACTGGAGCAACTGAGGCGAGAGAACGGGGTCGGGCCACGGTGTGGGAGAGCCCAAAGCAGCCGGAGAAGGCGGTCAGCGCAGAGGCGAGGATCGTGTTGCTAGGCGCGTCTGCCAAGCTAAAGCACTGCGCCGGCGAATCAGACTTGTCTGGCGCAAATCGCAGCACCAGCGGGGGCGCGGTTGCCGAACTCGAAACCAGGAGGCAAAAAGAAGCGGGGTGGCTTGAAGTGTCGCACTTTGCAGCTGTTGCGTGCGTCTGCTGTGTGCAGGCGGAGATGGCGGCACCGCCTGTGGTGAGACGGGCTGGCTCTGACGTATGTGAGAGTACAATGCAATGTACTGTGAATGGGAAGCTCGGCCCGCGGTAGTCCGGACTGCTAATATATGGTGAGAGTAGACGAGTGAGCTCTGCCACAGAAACGGTGTGGAGGATGGTACAGTCTATGCGTGCATGAATCGACAGCAGAGCGGGCAAATGGGTTACTGCATCCAGACCGGACGCGGCGTTCTCTTGCACTTATATACGCTTACAGTACAGTGCGGCTCTGACTCGCCTCTCCTGCTCTGAAGGGGGGGGGGGGGCTTGCCCACATCGCATTGATCAATTACGACTACGCAGGCCTCCACTGCCCCTGGTCCTCCGGCGCTTTGGGCCTGGGAGTGATCACCCGCGGGCGCAGTGGGTGGGTGATGAACCTCATGTCTTAGATAGTTCCCAGCAGACGCGTGCAAGACCACCCCCAAGATGAAGGGCGTGCCCGATGTGACTCACCAGTGCGCTCTCAGCACAATAGTCCGACATGCACTGCAACCGTTATTGCCGTGCAAGTGCAGCGGCGAATTCAGTCTGCTGTAACGAGTGTGTGCGGTGCTCGTAGAGGTTGATGCTGCGGGAGACAATCCCGCGCTAATCGTCTAGGATCCACCGAGAAGCTCCCCATGCTGCACTAACCGACTCCAACATCGACACCTCCATCAGACCCCCCCCTAGACAGGCTTCTCCCATTGTCGGCTGCGCAATTGCCTGCGAAAACGCGTCGCTCTGCAAACGCCCCTCAGCCAATCACTCGCGCCACGGGCTTGCTTGCCGGGTGCATCGTGCCTTCCTTCGCGATAGATTCCCACGGTCGACGCCATATACAGCAGGCACACCACCCAGAGCTCGTCACAAGCCTCGCCCCACTAGCCATTGGACGTCTGCCTCTACATCGCAGTCCATCATCTGCACGAAATCCTCCGTCCCGGCCTCGCAGCGTTCTGCGTCCGACCGGTTTGAATACTCCTACTGTCGATAATCGTGGTAGCTGCCATCAGTGCACGCCGCAACGATCCGGAGCCACACCCTGCAACGGGGACTAGGCTGACAGCTGAGTCGACGAAACGCTAGGGCCCACCCTCTGCAGCTGCTACCTAGCCAGTATCAAGGCCCGTATATCTCTGTGTCGCCAGCTGCGGCTTCGCGGAAAAGCTTCTTCTGGCACCCTATTCTACGCCAGGCTTCACTGCACTAATCTCCATCTCTCTATTTCAACCACGCAAAACAGATTTCTGTCGCTCAACAAGGAGCTATAGTACCTCGTGGTCTCTTACAACCCCAGGACCAAGATGGCCTCTGCCTCATTCCGGGAGTCGATGAACTCCCTAGGGTGGAGCAGGAGAGAAGCAGATGCGCCTGTCAACACCGCATCTCCCTCTGTGATGGACAGAGTTACCAACCTGTTTGGCGCAGGTGGCTATGTTAGGCTGCCGATCTCAGAGACAAACCCTGGAGCTCCCCTCCCGGCGCCCACAAGAAGAGAAGAGGAGGAAGGTTTCTTCGCGCGTAAGTACACACATCCCATATTGTGATGATGGATTGCCGATTGCTGTCTACGCGGTTCCTTATATCACAAAGTACATCTGAAGCATTTTGTTCTCTGATATACCTTGTCCTCGTAACGCGCAGTCACTCTTGTCCTTCAGTGTTCTGTGAGCGCCACAACGAGTCGTGGGGGCCTTGTGATTGCCTCAGCAGACTCATTCGTGAGACTGGGTCCACCATGCCTGACTAGGATTGTCTAAACCCAAGAACATGGCAATGTGCAAAACAGCATGTTGCCTGGGTAATGCCTGTGGTCTCCACTCCAGGCTGTCACCAGGTCTCGGTTGCCACCGCTAGTCTGCGTGTGACTGAAGGGAGTTCCTGTATAGAGCGTTTCAAGTCTGGGAACTCGCATACCAACGTCGACTACTATCTTTTTGGATTATGCTAACAGATACATGCAGTAAGTCGATGGGACCGTTTACTCGTTTTCGGCGGACTGCTACTTGCAGCCGCGGCGATGTTTGCTACCTGCATTGGGCTCATGTTCACACCCATCTTTATTGTCAAACCTCGCAAGTTTGCCATACTGTAAGTGACCTGCGCCCCTCCCAGTCTTCCCTGTAGCCAGTTACAGCATGTCTTTCGTTTGCCTTTTACTCGATTACGGCTTCGTGTCAGGTCGACGGGCAGTAGGACATACCCCTTCAGTCCTTCGGCGCGGCTATGCGAACTCATGCATTCCTACGACATGGTATAGAATCGCTCCATTCGTTGACAGCGGAAATTCCGCCTGCACGATGGAGTTGATGTGCCATTTGACATGTCTCGCCTAGCCACCGGGCGATCGGCGTTGGACCCTCTGCAGCGATCATGCGGGACTAAGGTTCGGCGCGTTGCAGCCTGCAGATGGATCCTTCCTCAAACCGGCTCTGTCGAGATATGACTTGTTTGTAGAGCCTTAGCGCTAACCAGCTTCAGGTGGACGATGGGAAGCGTTCTGTTTCTGGCAGCCTGGAGTGTCATGATGGGCCCCATTCAGTACGGTAAGCAAGCCTCGTCGCAGTTTGGCTGCACACCTGCATATACACTACACTTGCTGACGACGCTGCAGTCCAGCATCTTATCTCTGGTCCGCGACTTCCGTTCACTGCCGCTTATTTTGGGAGTATTGCACTTACACTTTACTTCTCTCTTGGTGTAAGTTCGCCCTGCTCTAACATCCTGACCCTTACACACACTAAGCTTGCGCAACCCCTGTCAATCTACCCCACGCACCCACACCTTTCGATTGTCGTCTTAGCTCGTGTTCTTCACTGACAGTGTCCGCGTGATTAGCTCCACAGCACTATTCTCACCTTCATTGCGGTCATCGCGCAGCTGGTTTCCCTACTCTGGTTTACCGTCTCTTACTTCCCCATGGGCTCCACAGGCCTACGTTTTGGAGCACGCTTTGCAGGAAATCGCGTTGCGGCTTGGATGAACGATTAAGTTCATACGACTGCCAAGTGGGGCTGTGCTGTGCATATGGAGTGGACCAACGCGACACGCGTAAAGACAAACAGTGGCATATACACGACAATATTACACATTCTTTGAAACATACACCTCACGCTACCAGGACTGAAACAAGTTTCTCCAGCTAAGCACGTCTTGCCGTCACGCACCTCTTTCGCGATATCGGTCTTGTTATCTGATTCATCGGTGTGGCAGCGTTGTTCACATGCAACTCTCGGACGAGTTGCCACACCGTTTGACGTCAAACTTCATCTTGACGTCTAGCGCATTTCGAACTCCTTCACCACACCTTCAATGATCGCTCTTGATAACGGGCCTTTTCGCATCCTTGCAGAAGGGGACCGGAATGGCGAGTCATGGACAATCTTCGCTGAGAACGCGATACCTGCGCCCAAGTTACCTCTGGTACATCCGATGATCAGCGCAGCAGACGAAGTTCTTTCGTGACCACCAGCTGTCTTACTTCTAGCCCATCAATCTACCGTTGACTTTGCACAAAGATACTCTGATTGATGGGCCCTCCAATACAACGGCTTCCAAAGCAGCCTTGAATGAACAGTGTATTGGCTGTGGCTGGCTTACCTCAGGCGGTCTTTCGGCGCTATACGCTGGGTGAATGCGGACGTATGCAGCGTTCACCAATCGCAACTCGACCGACGATCGCAAGCAGGGTTCCGGCAACCGTCTAGACTGGTGCTCAAGACGGCTGCTAACGACTCAGGGTTAGAGCAGGGTCCGCGCTATCGCTGCATATCAACTTGCATGACATTTGTCTAGTCTACTCTCCACGTTCGTCGTCGAAGCTCGGTCGCGAATCGCGGTGAAGCAGAACAAAACGTCCTGATCTTTAAAATTCGATTAGCCAAGCGTTTTGCATCCGACCTGGAGCTTTTCGGAGCGCAAACTGATCCCATGATCGTCCGCGATATCTGAAGTGGTGTCGTGAAGTGCAGGGATGGGATTACCTTGACATTTCCCCGCACCGAAGCGCCTGTGCGCACTTCAGCCACAACGTGTGTGATGCACCCTGCTGGCCGCATGTCACGGAGACCCTTCTTCCAATATCTGGAGTCAAGTCATGACATAACCACCTTAGTCTTCGAAGATGATTGCTATTCGCTCTGGTAATGCATGCCGACTTTGAGGAAGTAAGGGTTGTCGATGACGTTTGTTGACAAACAGCAACAGGCAGGTGCGCGTTCGATTAATCAGATGTTAAGTTTCATCCTGGATAACTTGATTTCTGAAATCCGGCATCGCCGCTATCGGCTCTCTTGACGACAAGGTGAGGCTTGCCTTCTCCACAGCTTCGTATCGTACGTGTGGCGACTCTAATTTTAGCAACCCCCAGAGTATCGAAGGCGCTTGGCTTCTGACGACTCCGCAAGCACTGTCGTCTTCCATCCCTTCTTTGGGCGCACTCTGGACGGATGCGGACGGATGGTATTGTCGAGAAGCTTCGTGAGGCGTAGGCTCGACGCGTACATGTTGGTGTGGTGGGTCATGAGGTTTGTACAACTAAAATCTCAGCTCAGGATTTCTCAGCTCATCTCATCCCTCCTTCTTGCAGCGCTTTGCAATCAAACTTTCGATCTGCGCTCGTGAACGGTGGTCGTCGGACGTCCGAGTTCGCATGTAGGCGGACTCCGAAGTTGAGAAATATTGAAGGGCGTTTTGATGGCTCCGAGTGGTAGGGCTGATTCAAGGTTCTGACGCCCTTTTTCATCGGTGTGCGCGAGGTGCATACGCCCTGATATGAAGTTAGCTGACTTCAGCTCGCCTTGCTGAGGTCAGGTAAGACGACTGCTTGTGATCGTTGTTGGAGAGATTGTTGGACTGCGTCGTGATCGAACAATGTTGGGTAGTGTTGATATTGGAGGTCTGGCAGAAAGATGCTCTGCTATTCGTCCCTGGTATCGTTGACACCTTGCAAACTTGCGCCGTGACAGCAGAGCGTTTTTTCTTCCCGTTTTCATCGTCATGTCAGTCTGTGCTCGTGTCGCATTCTATCGGCTTACTTACGTCGTCTACGTTGGTGGTAGTGGAGCATCAAGAGTCCTGGCAGTTATAATGGATCAAGTGAACGCATGAGCGATCGATCGTTGTATTTATTGTGCTGAAGCTCACTGCCGCGCTATGGCGCTGAGCTGTCAATATTGTACATACATCTCAGAGCCAGAATGATTGGTGTTGCCGCACTTGAGTGGTTGTACAGATTACCCGATCTGGACGGGCTGCCAGCGCACAGCTGTGATTTAATGCATACTGCGCAGCCTCAGATGGAATAGCACGGCATTGGTAGTTGAAATATACATTTATGAAGTCTATCGTAACGTCAAGGTAGGTTCCATGGACTACGGCAAGAAAGTCTTGCTTCTTCTTTGAGTATGAATTTGAGCGCTGAGCTCTTGTATTATACAAGAGACCACTGATTACAACGAACCTGGAATCCTCATTATGTTCGCAGCTATACAGGTTCACATGCCGTTCAACGGCTTCTACGTCTTTCTTGATTCCTCTAACCTCGCGGATCCAACTCGCCATGTCTAGTCGAGAAGTAGATGCACACTGCTGGGCCTGCCAAGAATGCTATGATTCAAAGAAAGACGGCAATAATCCTCTCATTGATGGTAGAAGTCCAATAAGCGATGATACGGTCTTAGTCCTTTGGCTTATTTGCGGCCGTCTTCTCGACTTTCGATTTGGACGCTTCCGGTTCTTCGGCTTGGATGTTTTGGAATCCGTGTGATAGTGCGTAGAGTCGGTGACGATGGCCTTGATTTCGCTGAGGGCAAGTATCGGCTTTGGTTCCTCGGACTCGGAAGTCTCGAAACATCGAGGAAGTGTTGTTGGCGCTGTAGTACCGAGAAAACGTTGCTGAGTTCCAGTGTCGACACCGAAGTTGACAATGTGTAAACAGTCTGAACTATCAGATCAGCCTTGGTAGCACCTGCTCTCTTTGTTTGATCCTTCTCTTTCAAGAGAGTTGCTTTACTATCACGCTTTTCCACAGTGCTTCCCCTCACGCGGCCCTGTTCAACACTCGCCTGCTCGTTCATCATAAATATACCTTAATAGCTGCGTTCACGTTGCTGTTCCACAGTGACCAGATATGCGAACCTATCCACAACCAATAACCCACAACAGGACCCACTCTGCCCCTAGAAGCTGGCCAAGATCGACCCTCGCTTTGTCTGCCCACAGGTAGATGACAGTACGACCCTGATGGAAACAGCCTACTTCCCACTTGTAGGCCACCGGAGTGTCGTAGTTTCACCAGAAGGCGAATCGCGGGTGGTATTATGGGCTCGTGCAAGGGGAAGAGGCTTTCGAAGAGACTTTGGACCGTGTGTGTGGTGGAGGAGTGTGCATTTGTAGCCAGTGCTGCAGTCAGGCCCTTGCAGATTGTGCTTGTCAATGAGAGTAGGAAGAAGCAAGGCTGATGTAGGGCAAAGGTCACTAGTCGTTCGAAAGCAATATCGAAAAACATGTTGCGAATGTGATAAGCATCGCTGCCATTTGACATGATTGAAGGTTGATGAGGGCAAGGTGGGGATTGTTAGGAGTTGAACAGGCCACCGAAAAACTGGAGGTGATTTTCCTAGCGCCAAAGGTTAGATGTGAAGGAAGGCTACATTAGCGTCGAGCAGTAGTTTTACCGTACGTTCCACCTGAACTGAGGATCGCTGAGCAGTATATCAGGCAGATGCGGTAGTATAATGACACCATTCGAAAGGTCCCCGCAGCGCACTGTTCGAGTCGAGTCTGAGGCCTATACTAGAATGTCCGAATGACATCGTTGGTGCTGTAGCAAACGCACGAAATATGGCATGGGTTGATAGATTGTTGGGGGAGATCTGGTCCCCTGCCACATTGGTAGCCCTGCCCGCTTTGGCTCTCCTGACAAAATATCCGCTGGGGGATAGAGGAGTGACTGCTTAATTATCTTAAAGACGTTGAATTTCAATCCAGATGCCCAATACCGAAAATGATGCTAGCTCTTACATAGGCTCCCAGACTTCTGCGGTACGGGATGTGCTGACATCCGCTTCTCCAGAACTTCCTCCCACAGCAAATCCATCCTGCCCAAGTACTTGTGGAACTCACTGTATCTGACCCACACTTTGTATTGGACAGCTTTCAGAAAGCCTCGCTCGATGATACCCATCCTCCGTCCATTCATTTACAACAACAACGCCCACTTACTCCGCTTCTCCTCACCCTAACCAACCAGAAACTTGTATGCAACAAACACCGATACTGCTACCAACTCGTCATCACTGAACTGCGACTGAGTACATGCGAGGCGAAAAACGAATCAGCAAACAAAGTGCGAGAGGGATAGTCGAGGAGCTGGCGAACATGTCTGTTCTGCCAGCAACGACCTTGGATTGCTTCAGCAAACGAACAATACGCTGGCAGAGCCGTTTTGTTGTGTTACAGGGCCGGAGCTGTGACATGCTGAGAACCTTTGAGACGAGGTCGTCAACGTGTTGGATGTCATCGTGAAAGATGGAAGTCAGCGCTTTGGTTGGAGAGCGCAATATAAAAGTACCGAGTGGGGCGAGGAAAGTTGCTGAGTAGACCATATCCCTTAAGCCAAATAACAGTGCCGAAGTTTTCGCGACTGGTCTATAAGGAAGGGAGCCTATAGTATATGAGTGCGTGCAGACGTGTCCTGTCTGACTCAGAATAGTCTCATTGTATTAATACATTTTTGTCTCATAATGTAACAACAATCCAGTGACACATAGGTATGTGTATCAGGTTAGTGACCATTGTGCATAGCCTACCCTGATAGTAACATACCCTACGTATGCGCTACTCTCGCCGCCTACGATCGCCCAGCGTTTTCGACCGTCACAAGAGATCAACAGAAGGCGCTAGCTCCGGAGAGTCTCCCATCCTGTAGTCCATCTTTTCGCCATCGCTCGCTGTATACGGTGTACTGAGTCTCATGGAACTGTTGGTCCTTCACCCAAGACTTCCACTGCAAGGCCTCAAGGAAAGAGAACCCCTAGAATCGTAAGGTGTTGGCCGTAACGCTCAGGGCGGGTTCCTAGCCACTTAGCTTGCAATCCCTAAGGCCTGCAGATGCCAGTTTGAATGCAACAAGAACCCAAACACTGTGAGTATCAAGAATCTCAGGAGTATGATGTCCCACTTTACTTTCCCGGAACTTAGCGACAAGATGATTGTATACAACAGGAAGGCCTTGATAGCAGACAATCCAATACCACCATGGTAGAGAACGTGGATGAGGGCAGTGATCGTGTCGTTAGTGTTGCGTCTTCTATAGACGCTCAGGTAATCGTTCAAGTAATCGCTCAAGTGATGTCGTCGATAGGCGATTAACCCAGGTCTGAAGAGAAGCATCAGTGCACGGCCAGGTGCATTGCAGATGAAGATCGCTAGAAACGAGGCGTGTGCGAAGGTGCCCAGTGGCTACGGGTAGCGTATGCGCGTTCCAAGACGGCAGGCAGGTGCTACGATATCTTCCGGAAGAAACTCGATGTTCATGTTCTGGTATGTGTTCAGCAATCGTAAGTTGTTAACCAGGAAAGTACCTTACGCAGCGTGTATGACTGGGTCGAATACAAAATGTCTATTCGTAGCAAATGATGGGCTTGCGCAGTAGGCAATACAGATGGGAAGGGCGCCGCCGACCGTAAGCGATGGAATTCGTCTCGGGGGCTAACAATGTCCTTATACGTGGGCCGACATAGCGATTGGGGTCTCGTTCAAGATTGTTGATAGCGTCAGCGGTGGAAGCCAACAAACTTTGTGCAGAAAGTACTCACTATTTGAGCACTTCGGGAGGCGCTACGGTGAAGCACTCCTTCCTATACGTCGTTCCAGCAGCGACCGGTGACTTCATTCTTGCAGAAGCAAAGGAAGTCAATCTACAGTGTTTTGGGAGCAAGGAGCTCAATGAGCGATAGTTCCGGAGGTTTTAAGTTCATCTTCAACGTCGCCGCGAATCTCAGTTATCAACAGTCTCGTGAAGGGAGCGCGAGCGCAGAGGTTATTGTTAGTAGTCGGTGAAGTCCATTCCTACAACCGCTACAATTTCTCGTACCAGTTGATCAGCATGATCAATAAACGGGCGAGGTCGAGGTACGTTGATTGTCTTTTTGACTTGTTTGACACGGAGCCATTGGTCTTGCTTGTGTCGAGCAAGTGGTTCGTTGAAGATAGGAAGTAGCATACGGTACCGGGTATTCCCGATTAACTCAAGTCGTGTCTCGGGTCATAGCAAAGTATTTCTTCACATTGATTCATGCCGCCAGATGGGTGTTTGAAGGTGAGTTGGTCTGATGTGGGGTACCAAATGATGACACGCTAGCACGCCAGTCCACGTGGAAGAAAGAGCTCTCCGGATGATCAGCCGCGAGCGGATATGTCCACAAAAAGCAATCTTAGCCTCCTCCTGAAGAGCCTCATCTCTTGCCTTTTGATACGTATACTGCTGTACAATGCATCTCATACTGTTACTATGACCCTTCACCATGGCGCTGGAGTTTCCAAGTCCATGGGATCGTACTCGGAGATGAACCTGTGTCACAAAGCTTCCACGATCAAGCAAACTTTTCATCAACTGTAGGATTGCTTTACGTACTGCAGTGTACGACATGACAACCGAAAGCCATGAACATCAAGCCACTGCAGTTTCATTGTCAAGGATGCAGTTCCCAAAGCGGTTGGCGTAGGCACTACGGTCCACTGTAGCCTCGGTTCGTTTCCAAGAACGCATCAAGCGCCTCACCAACCCCAACATCTCCGCCGAACTAGCAAATTTACGCGCCAGCACCTGACAACTAGCAGGGGCCAGATGTGGAGGCAAACCCTTCACAAGAGCTTGATCAAGTAATTTCCGGCTTGTCCACATCAGAAGAGGCTGGTTATCGGGCGTCTCCGCGATTTATCCGCGTCTATGTCCATGTCCATGTAACGTCTCATCGGCGCAGAGGCATCCTGCTCGGCAAGTTGACAAACAGTTGGAGCAGATTTCGATCTCTGGGGTGATTCTGGCACAAACCTGGGGGCCCGCGTTCTCCACATTGATAATAATATGCGAGTCAGACGAAGCATGATGCGGGAAACTGTACATAATGCATCTGTAGCAGGTGTCGTGTGAGGGGTACATATATGATGGCGACGATCCCATGTTTCGAAGCTCATTCGTCTCGTCAACTCTCGTTGTAGTTGCTTTCCTGGGACTTTCAGCATCATGGACGCCGTTCGTAGCGCTTCGGTCACCTCTGCTCGGGCTCGCACCGATGCGGCCTTCAAGAACCGCTGGCATACTCTGCTCAAGAACCCCAAGATTCTGATCATCGCCTTCTTTGCCTCGTAAGACCACTCTTGGCTCTCAGTGAAACTCCTTTGCTGACCGTGTATAGCTTTGGTGGTTTCGAGTATGGCTACCAGCAGGGTGTCCTGGGCCAGTCTCTGGTCATGACCCGCTTCAAGGACAACTTCCCCTCCGTCGTCCAATCGGCCTCTGCCACGGGTTGGCTCACATCGATCTTGCAACTCGGAGGTATTCTTGGCTCCCTCACAGCTGGTGTTTTTGGTGAAGTCTTCTCCCGCAAGTACACCATGTTCTGCGCTTGCTGTTGGGTCGTCCTCGGTTCATACCTCTACATCGGAGCCTCGCACCACAACCCAGCTATGCTTTACGCTGGTCGATTCTTCACGGGTATTGGTGTTGGTACCTTCTCTGGTGTTGGTCCTCTCTACAACGCTGAGATCGCGCCTCCTGAGCTTCGTGGTCTGATCGTTTCGTTCTACCAATTTGCGACTATCCTCGGTATCATGCTTTCCTTCTGGATTGGCTATGGCTCGAACTACATCGGTGGTATTGGCGAGAGTCAGAGCAACATGGCGTGGATGCTGCCCTCCATCATTCAGGGTATTCCCGCCGCCATCCTCGCCATTGGAATCTGGTGGCTGCCATTCTCTCCTCGCTGGCTCATCAAGAAGGGTCGCGACGAGGAGGGTCTCAAGACGCTGTCCTACTTGCGCAAGCTGCCTCAGGATCACGAACTCATCCAAGTCGAGTTCCTCGAGATCAAGGCTGAAGCCCTTTTCGAGCGTCGCTCCTTCCAGAAGAACTTCCCCAATCTCGCAGCCAAGGAGCAAGGCAGTGTCTGGGTTCGCGAATTTGCGCAGTACTATCAGATCTTCCGCACTTGGGACAACTTTAAGCGTGTTGCCACCGCCTGGCTCGTCATGTTCTTCCAGCAGTGGAGTGGTATCGATGCTATCATCTACTACGCTTCGAACGTTTTCGAATCCGTCGGTCTTACCGGAGGCACCCAGGCCCTGCTCGCCACCGGTGTCACTGGCGTCGTCTTCTTCGTCAGCACTTTACCTGCCATGGCCATCATCGATAAAGTCGGCCGCAAGCCCATGTTGCAAGTTGGCTCCGTTGTGATGTGGATGTCCATGGTCATCGCCGGTATCCTGGTTGCCAAGTTCCAGCACGACTGGGTCACATACAGCGGTGTAGGCTGGACTGTCGTTGCCTTCATCTGGGTCTATATCGCCGCTTTTGGAGCTACCTGGGGACCAGTCTCATGGACATTGGTCTCTGAAATTTTCCCACTTTCCATCCGATCTAAGGGTGCTTCTATCGGCGCCTCGAGTAACTGGCTCAACAACTTCGCTGTTGCTTTCTACGTTCCGCCAATGCTGAAGGCATGGACGTGGGGCACATACATCTTCTTTGCTGTATTCCTCGCTGCTGGCATGGTCTGGGTCCACTTCTGTCTGCCAGAGACCAAGGGCGCGACTCTTGAGGATATGGACAAGGTGTTCGGTAGCCGTACAGGTGAGGAGGATGCTATCATGCTGGCAGAAGCAAGAGCGGAGATTGGATTAAGCATGAACCTTGAGACAGAGGCGATCAAGGCGGCGATGCATGGAGATACTACCCACAACGAGAAGGGCGCTACTCGTGTCGAGGAGGTCTAAGAGAAGAATGAGCATGCTGCTGAACATGATACTATCAATATAATTGCAGAGTTTCACTTGAAGCAGTCTCATCCAATTTGTCATATCCACCTTGGTCCGGAGAAATATGTAGTTCGCTGCAAATTTGCCGTGCATCTCGCGCCTTTACTGAGCATAACTGTCCTTCAAGTAGCAGAAAAAGTCGGATGCAAGCTGGATCCTCAGAAACATAGGAGGTACTTAGTGCTAAACCGCAAGCCATTTGCAACCTAATAAAACCTCTAAAGACTACATTGATTTCTGTATATTGTAGCAGGCTTGTTCTGCAACATGGACTGTGCGCAATCATGAAGCCTAGTAATTCGCATGAAACATTCGTCATTTCCCAGAGCTTGTGGCTCGTATCATGTGTTCACATACCACACCTGAGCAGAAAGATTGTCTCCATAAACTCGGGGTTCAGTCGCTACAAAGGGCAAAAAAAGAATGTCGCACGAATTGGCGGTACCGTGAATCGAACACGGGCTGGCGCGGATCTGGATCGGAACTCTATGAGTTCGCCAGCCACAACGCGACGTCATACCACTAGACTATTTTCTGGTCAGACGCTGCGAAAGGCAAATGGTTGGATGAAACTTACCCATACCACCTAAGTGATGATTGATGATAGCACTATCAAATCCAAACAATATATAGTGTTAAAAAAAAAAAGTGGCTAACGGCATCGTATACTGCGTTCATTCTACTGGTCGTAGAAAGTCTTTCGGACGGTCGCGGGGCATTATGTAGCCGATCGCTGCGTTGATGTCTGACTGGCTCTATGCCTGTTCGGGACTCTTCCGCATTCGATTCGCCGACACTCGGGAACCCTTCGAAAGTTTTGGTGTCGCACGCGCAACAACTTCACAGCCAAAACACAACATGGCTGAACCAGATGCGAAGGACGCAACGGCCAGTGGCGCGTCCGCAGGGCCAGCAAAGGCTCCCAAGCCTCAGAATCCTGTGTTCAGGATGATGGGTGCGCAACATCGAAACTATCTGCATATTCATCCACTGACCGCGCGCAGGCCTTCCCAACATTCGCATGAAGCTCCCCTCGCGCAACTGGTGCATATTCTGGGGCATCGTTGGATCATGGACAGCCGCAGTCCAATACGACCGTTATGAGAAGAGGCGCATACATAGGAAGTATGCGAGACTGGTAGAACACATCGCGCAAGAGCCGCTGGATGCGCAACAACTACCACGGAAACTCTCCATCTACATCTCTGCCCCGCCGGCTGATGGCCTTGTGTCTGCGCGCGAGCACTTCACAGAATACGTCAAACCCATATTGGTCGCCGCTGCGCTCGATTGGGATGCGGTCGAGGGTCGAAGGGAAGGGGATGTCAGAGCTGGACTGGCTGAGCGGATACGAAAGCTGAGATACAAGAGGGGCGAGAAGGCCAACGAGCCTATCGAACTAGGTACAGAGGACGACATCGAAGAGTTGAGGCAGAGATCCGGCGTGAAGGGCTGGGATGGGCCTGCTGGAGACATCGTTGTTGGGAGACACACATGGAAAGAATACGTCAGGGGTCTTCATGAGGGTTGGCTAGGGCCTCTCGACCCTCCTGCGCCAGCAGAATTGCCTGTTGAGCTTGCGGCGCCTGCGGTCGAATCAGCGCCAGCACCTACACCTGCACCGACCGAGGCCGCACCCGAGGCTCTTGCAGCTACCGCTACCACTGTTCACTCATCGACCACCGCTACCCCTGAGGCCCCCAAGACAGAAGAAGCCGAGAAGCCCAAGGAGGAAGAAAAGAAGGACAAGAAGAAGAAGCAACCCGCACCCTTCAACACCACCGCCGACTACGAACACTCCGCTGTTGCCCCTACATGCCCTCGCTCCCTCGGTCCTACCGCCATTGTACCTCTCCCTCACCTTCTTGGATTCTGGAACTTCCCTATCCGCATTTACCGCTACTTGAACAAGCGCGCCGTGGCAGAGGAAGTTGGCAGAGAGACAGCTGCGGCTGTGCTCGGTGCTTTCCGATCCTTTGAAGCAGCTGGAGAGGCGTCCAGCGAAGACGACAGCAGCGCACAGTGGGAACAGCAAGGAATACTTGCGCACGAAGAGTCGAATTGGCATAAGTCCACACGTGAGCGCAAGGACGACAACGGCAAGGAGCGCGTGTGGTTGGATGATATGGTACTTGACCCTCGCATTGCTGAGCGCATGAAGAGGTTTGTGCTGGAGCCTGAGGCAGAAGACCGCGCCAAGAACATCAACACTTCTTCAGACCACTCTTGGATCAAGTCCTTGTGGCCTGCGGAGAAGAAGAAGCCCATGTGGGAGGGTTTGGCTGAAGATGAGTAGGGCCGCTGCTCGAGAAACCCTTTTCGTCGTTGTGTTCTATATTTAAGACATGTAAGAGTAGATATGTAGCATGATGCATGGACGGCGCAATTGTATACCACACGATTCCAATCAAGATAATTCCTTTGAGTAGCTTTGACGCGTGAGCCCAGGTGTGGTTGTGAGCATGCAACCCCCGCGTGAAAGGTAGTGCCTGCACCCGCACCGCACGGTTGACGCGCCCCGCTAAGATCGAAGCTTCGAGTCCACAACCACAGTACCTAGATCCATTCAACACAGCACACCTCTACACTGTAACTACCATACTTTGACACGGCAACGTAGCTTCTTAGTGCACATACTTACCGAAGCTTGCCAGCCTCTCCCTTTCCATAGCCTCAATCGCCGTTATGGTGAGTTTCTACCCCGCCAGCTTAGCTACGCAAACATGTCCTAACAATTCGCAGGCAACCAACCAACAATCCAAGAAGCGTCTTGCGCTCGCAATTCTCGACTTCCTCCAGACCTCGCAGACCGATGGCTCGGTGACGCCAGACAACGCCGAGCAGCTCGAGGTCGCCGCCAACTGTATCGCCGAAGCCTTCGAGGTCGACATCGATGATGCCGCCGCAAAGAAAGACGCTCTTGGTGGCCAGAATCTGCTATCAATTTACAACGTCTACGAGAAGCTGAAGGGAAAGACCACAGCCTCGACGGAAGGCAGCTCGTCCGCCACTGAGGCTCGCCCGGCAACCCCCCAGACACCCTCCGCCACCGCTTCAGGACCCGGTGGGCCAAACAAGGACGAGGCAGAGCGCCTGAAGGGCCTTGGTAACGAGGCGATGAAGAAGAAGGACTACCCTGCCGCCGTCAAGCACTACTCCGCCGCGCTCGACGTCGTTCCCCTCAACCCCATCTACCTCTCCAACCGCGCCGCCGCACATTCCGGCATGGGCAAGCACGAGCTGGCCAAGGAGGACGCCGAAATGGCAGTCGCTGCCGACCCCAACTACTCCAAGGCATGGTCGCGTCTCGGTCTTGCAAAGTACGTTCTCGGCGACGCGAAGGGTGCCATGGAGGCTTACAAGGCGGGTATGGACGCCGAAGGCGGCGGCTCAGATGTCATGCGCAAGGGCTACGAGACAGCGAAGAAGAAATACGAAGAGGAGGGTGGCGACGTCGGCGCTCCTGAGGCTTCGCGAGGCGCGCCCAGCGCTGGCGCAGGTGGCATGCCTGATTTATCTTCGCTCGCTGGCATGCTCGGCGGCGGAGGAGGAGGCGGTGGTATGCCTGACCTCGCGGGCCTCATGCAGAACCCTATGATGAGGCAGATGGCGCAGAATCTAATGAGCAACCCCGACATGATGAACAACCTCATGTCCAACCCCAGAATAGCTGAGATGGCACAACAATTCGGTGCTGGAGGCGGCGGCGGTGCTGGTGCTGGTGCCGGTGCTGGTGCTGGTGCGGGCGCTGGACGTGGGTCCGGTGGTGGCATGCCAGATCTTGCGAGCCTCATGAACGACCCCAGCATCGCTGAGATGGCACGTAACTTCATGGGCGGAGCGGGAGGTGCTGGCCGCGGAGCACCACAGTAAGGCTTTGTTGATTCAGTGCAGCAACCCTGAACCACCTCATTCATGCATATGTGGTTCTTGCCCCTAAGATAATGATACCATGTTCACGTTCAAACTATCTTCATCGCTATGGAGTGTCTCGAGCCATATCAAGCACTGATGCTGTACGTGTGCATGCTTTTCCAACCGTCATGATCTCACACAATCTTTCTTGCTGTTACTGAAGACTGATCTTCGAAAGCCTCTATGCTCTCCACCTAGTCTCAACCTTTCCTTCAATGTCCCCTCACAGTGCCATACTCCACAGCCCATCCCCCAAATAATGCCCCGCCTCACACGCCTGTCCCTTCTTCTTCTCCCTCATCTCCCCAGTCCCCATCTTCAACACGCCCACCATACACGCCGTCTCCTTTCCCTCGGCCTCAATAACCACCACCGTCCCCGCCTCCAGATCTTCCGTCCCATACCTCTCCTGGTCTTCTGGCGACAGGTCTTTGCTCGGTAGACGACCGCCGGGAGATGTCATGCCAGGCGCCATGAGCGCGGCGCCGGAGAGAACGAAGCGGATGGCGCCCCGGTCGATTCGGAGGCGGTGGAAGGCTGTGGGGTATTTGTGCACGAGGGTTAGGTGCGGGAGGAGCGCGTCGTCCATGTGTTGGAAGAAAAGGGGTGTCGAGTTGAGGGTGTAGAGGGAGACGCGGTCTGGTCTGGTGGTTGTCAACAGAGGTTATGTTGGTTGTTGAGCTTTTGGTTGTGGTAGGTCGTTGTGGTCGTTGAGGCTATGGAGAGATTTCGATGTAACGTACAGCTTAACGAGGTCTAATTGCTCCTTCTTGGGGAGAATATCTTCGATATAGGGCTCGAGCTTGGGGTATTCCTCCAACACCTTGGAGCGAATCGCGCGCTGGGCGCTGGATTTTACTTTCGACTTCGCGCCGGCCGAAATGCTGATGGAGTCAGATTGCCAACTTATGTTATTTGGGAAGAGAACATACTCTTTCTTGAACATTTTGGCGGTTGTGTGGTGTTAATGTCGGGGAGCTCTGTTCTGAAAGTTCGCGGTTGTTGCTGGTGCAGGTGCCCCGCAGTGCGCGTGTTCGTTGTGGAGGGGCAAGCACGGTGGGGCTGAGCCTCACAACCGTGGACATCACCACTTCACTCTGCAACGTTTTTATCGTCGTCTCAAACAGGACTGTTCGGCCCAATTACAAGATGTGACTTTCCTCGTCAACACAGCTGTTTAAAGACGGAGTATCTTGTAAACAACGGATTTCGAATACCCCCAGCCTTGTGCTGGAGCAGTGCAACATGTGGTGTGATACATGTCGCGATGTGGCATGGTCCAACATTGTGAAGTACGCTCAGTACAAGAGACGTGCATAAGACGGATATAAAAGCTGTGAGGTTATCGTGGACGCATGCAATGCAGCTTACACGGAGCATGGCCTGACTGGAGAGTGGAGGGTATTGGTAAAGCCGGAATATGGTGGGAGGTTGTTGCTGTCTAGATACACTGAGGCTGAGAGCGATCTCGAGCAGTTTTATCTTCACGCACGCTCATGTGAGATGAGACCAACTCCAGCTGCATCGGCAACTGGCCTTCATAGAACCTAGGCTTACCGTACAGAGGCGAGACAGCCCATGGACGTGGCTGTCAAGTAGAAGACTCCGTAATGATAATTCTAACCAGAAGAGTGTGTCGAGTTCATCGGAAATACTATGAGTACATGCACCTCCTACCATGACGATTGCCGCAGCGTCATGCGAACGCTTGAAGATCACTCCTCAGACGATTATATGTCTACTTGACTTGTCTACGTAGGCAGAGAGAGTGACAAGGATCTACCTCTACCATGTGAACCACGAACAGGCCACAAGCCTGTCCTGAGATCCAACGCTCCATATGCATACGTCGCATTGAGTCATTGTTGGCCATTTCTACGACACGAGCCAACTATTCTACGTTCCAAACAAACGGATTTCTGTGAGAGAGTCTGCCAAAACCCTTTCGAGAAGCTATCGAGGTCATCCGTGAGTTGAATATTGATGACATTTGGATTGACGCATTATGTGTCATCCAGGACTCAGCGGGAGACTGGTCGCACGAAGCCTCTCAGATGGGCGAAATCTTTATGAACACCTTCATCACTATTGGTGCCTCCGGATCCCAAAACGGGCATCAAGGGCTCTTCAGCCATCATAAGATCCACCACGAATTGCATCGTCAACTCAAACATGACGGATCTCCCTTGAGTATAATGCTATTGAGACGGCGAGCATGGTGTTTTCAAGAAGAGTTATGTCACCTCAGTTCGTTCATTTTTGTTGCGGTATTGGTTGGTCCGTACAGTGTCTGACTATACCCCTGACCACTACCCTGGACTAGTGTGTTACAGGTCAGGTATATAGTCGTCTCCTCCTAGCTCGATAGCAATCCAGCACAGTATTCCATCGACCCGATAGTCCTACGTTATCGTTTACTGTAGCTATCAGTATTCTACAGCGGTCCACACTGCTACAATTTTACTCGTGACGAGATGGTGTGGATTTTCTGGCGAGGGAACAAGATGCGAGTGTAGCAGGCTTGTGGCATCGACGTATGCCCCAAGCTCTCTTGCGACGCAGTGACAATGGGAAACTTCAAACGTCGCCCGGCTATTTTGGGTCTTTGCCGCCGTCGTGGTCTTGGGCTTCTCCGGTAGATGTTGTTGTAAAAATGTGCAGATCCCTTGACCTTGGTACATTGATGCGTACAGTAGGTAAGTACCGTGGTTCATGAGGGCGGACAGCATTGTGAGTGGCCGTTCACCACGTTGTTGCCCTGCAGGACATGTACCAAACTGTCAATTCTGTCAACCAAGATAGAAACAGCCACTCAGAAACCTTTATTCTTACGTGACGTAAGTCTGTCGCAGTAGTGAACCAAGTTCAGCCTGTTGGTCGTCATGAGCGCTCAAAGCCATAGCCGCTCAACGGTAAGCAAGCCAAGATGTCTTGCACAGGGACCTGTTCGCAGAAATTGGAAGCCAGAGTAAGCATATCAAACCAAGGCTACAGACTGAACAGGTGAGCCATCGTATGGGAAGAGGCGGCAATCTTTTCACCAGTCCCTCACAGGATCTGCGACACTCTGCATGCTTTCGTCGATGCCATATGAATCAGATAGACTAGGTCGGTCCGAATCGTACGGAGTAGTCAACAATGTAGCGTCTTCGCCACGAGTATCCTCGAACACCTCCTAGAAGGTGCAGCAATGACAATTCATGAGATAAAAAGATCCTATCGAGTAAGCGAACTTGCAATGCTTTTTCGAGCATCCTGTATCGTCAGTGAGCACTTGTCGCAGTGTCTCAGAAAATCTTCTGACGATGAACAGAATGTAAGTGCCCCTATGTTGCACTCCCTGTACTGACGGTATGGAGATGCCGCCGCAGACAGGGAGAATGGCGTAAGTGGCACGTAGCGTAATTGACTCAAAAAATTAAAGGAAGAGGTCCTTTACTGTTTGTCGTGCTGAGAAGTGGATTTGGCGCGATATTGTGGAACAGTGTCTTAGACGCAACCGTGTAACTCCACGCAGCCCTACGAAACGAGTGGACTGTAGTACTGGAGCACCTGGAACGCCAATCTGATAACGGTCAACATAGAGACATGGCATTTGGGAACATGTTCATGAGTCTGCGATAGGGAAAGGTTGTGTTCATAATTTGGAACTGCAACGCTCCTAAATGCACACTCACATTGTCATCGGCCTTTGGAACCTCCATTGGTGCGAATCGCTGCCTGCGTCTACAGCATCTTGCCCCTCTTTTTACGATGCGCCCACCATCGCTTGCTGATGTCAACCATCATTCGGCTCCAGCTCTTCTTGATGATGTGTCCGTTCAGAGTGCCACTGAAGAAGCTGAACAAGAACAGCATCAGTAGCGAGAGGCCCAAGGTGATAGCAAAAGCCCACCAGTAACTCTTGACCTCAAACTCGGTGTTTTTGAACTGGATGCTGAAGTAGCCAGTCATCAGAGTCACAGGCGTGAAGAGAATGGTGATCTGCGCCAGAACGAGCGTGACCCACGTCAGTCGTTCCACACTGAATGACTCCTTGATAGCGATAAGGTTGAAGTTCATCATCACTAAAGAATCCTTCTGGTCGATGCACTCCTGAATCTCGCTCAAAGCATAGAGAGTAATGCGGTCTTTGAGCCTTTCGAAACGTACCCTAGCAGCCGAACTGATTGAGACACCAAGTGAACTGGCGAGTTCCGGTAGCAGTGGGTTTGGGGAATCCGTGCCGTGCACTGACGATATCATCGATTCCGCGCTAGAGATGACGTGTGAATTCTTCAGCGATGCTAGTGTAGCTTCTCGTCTCTCCAGGATGCGCTCGATGAGTAATGAGTAGCTGTGATAGACACGCCGCAGCACTGCAAGTTGACATCCGATATGGTGCAGTTGATCGACGTGGGTCAAGTCTGCCTTGACCAGCATCTCCTTACGCTATACAAAGTCAGCTCTAAGCGCACTGTCATCGGTAAGTAGGCTAACTTACAAGACGATCCAGTTCCGCGGAGTAGCCTTCTTCACTACGTGATATGAGGCTAAAGGTAGTTCCCCAATCTTCGAACAGGTAGTAGAATAGCAAACCAGGTGTATCGGTTGGTCGATGGGCTGTCTCTTCTTCACTGTGACCGATGCGATGGCGGATTGGTAGCTGAGTAAGAGCAGCGTCTGCTAGAGGCGTTGGCGCCTTGGTCAGTTGTCGAAACACGCTGACCAAATTTCGTCGGACAGTGTATAGCATCCTTAAATCCCATCCGTGCACCTCGCCGTTCGCGAAAGGAAACGGATCCTCAGAGATAGAGATCACCGTCTTGTCTTCGCACAGAAGAAGCCAGTTCCACACTCGCTTGCCATGCGGTATATCTTGATCGCGGTCGAGTCGGTGTGCGTGATGGCGGCTGTGATGCGTTTGCTTGTTGCGCACGTTGTGAAGTGTGTTATAGCCTAGGCAAAGGTCTGCGAACTGTCAATATGATGCCTCAATACCTCTGGTGGAATTTACATCGACGACCCCAGTCTACCGTGGACCAATGCCAAACATCCTCAACGATCTGGTAATGGGTAAGATCGCGCACCATCTCTAGTTGTGTCGAGTGCATCAGTTCTGTCATCCCAACACTCTCTTCTGAATCCATGGTGTCCTTGTTTGATTCCGACTTTGACCTTTCGCTGCCTGAGTTCGAATACTTGGAGCGATGAGACAATCGAGACCGGAGTGTAGAGACGCTCTTGTCCATGCTTGAAGCTCCAGAGCGGGCAGGTACGGGATCACTACACATCATACCTAGCAAGCGCGGTGAGAAATCGTAGTGTTGACCGACCAGGCGGAGCGTATCCTTTTGATTGTATGGCTGCCAGATGTTGATCCATCTCGTATGAAGATGTGGAGGCCGTGGTGATTTCAAAAGACATGAGTACGAGAATGAAGCAAGATCGAAGGCACAGAACGCCTCCTCCTCACCAAAATCCAAGCAAAAGTTGGCGGTCTTTGGGTTCCGCGTCTGCCGATCGAAGAGGTCGAAATTCTTCTCGAGATCGAAGTTCCGGAAGCAGTCTGTGATGTCAGTATCGCCCAAGTCCTGGTAGTATTGCGGCAGATCCTCTGCAGGAGACGCTGGGCGGAGTGGAGTCGCCATGTTATGAAGAGCAAAGGATTCAGCCAGGTAGTATTTCAGAAGTAGATGAGCTATAACAGTCAGATTTACCAAGCGGCAAATTTCATGGACGCATCTGTGACGTGAGCTCGTGCTCTGAGTTTTCTGTGTAGGTGTCGTGTGGGCTTCAGGTGGTTGGTCACGCGTCGCCTCCAGGCAGGCAGGTCTCACATCGTGCAAGCACCGGCGACGACTGTGCTATGATGCGCGACATAGTGAGACCGCAAGTCACGTTCCGATGAGTCGACAGTGAAGTATTGGGAGATCAAAGAAGTGGTAGGAGAGACGTTTAGATGCGTAGGATCAAGAACCTTGGGGAAGGTGCGGGTAGCTCTTGCGCGTCATTGGCTGTTCTCTCCCTGCAAAGAGACTAGGCCTCTGGAGCTTCGCACGGGTGACCAACAACTTCTCTTTGCTGGGAAATTCTCCTTGTTGAAGACTCGTGGCACGTCAATTTCATCTAGCTCCTCTCCCTGTAAGCAGTGGGACAGCGCTGGCCAACGTGCTTGAGCCTGGCGCCATGCCCGTACAAGGCAATGCCGCGAAATGTGATGCCAAGGCGTCCATGGCAAGAGCAAAGGCAACGTTCACAAGTAAGGTTGGGTACGTGGAACTGTCGGAAACAAATGCAAGATCTCACCTCCGCTTCTCTCGATGAGCCGGACGCTGTCAGGTCGCCTGTTCCTGCTACTACTCATACTGGTGTGTAGCTTGTCCGTAACTGAGGCCACTGACTCGATCAACACATCTCCCAGAGTCGTTGGAGAGCCTGCTCACGGAAGTCGTTCGAGAATCTATCGAAGTATGTTCGAAGATCTTATAGCATCTACATGTTGGTGTGAAAAACGAAATTGGCCAATGAGCGTTAGCTGACGTGTATCTAGCCACTTTTGATTAGCCTTGCCAGAACGCGTCCTGTCACCCAATCGTCAGATATCTCACGATCCTCATCTTCCTGTCTAAAACACTGGTCACAATACTGGCGTCAGTGTGGTGAGTGGAAGTCGACAAATGATGAATGGGTTTGAAGGCTAATGTGAAGAACAGACATTCTGGGTCTGATATCATGGTGCCGAGGGACTTCGTATCAACCATAGGCAGCGTGTTCGCGTGTCTGCTCTTCTGAACATCGATTACCACCACATTCGAAGGAGACAAACGACTTCATCTTAAAAGATTCGCAGCAAAGAACATCATGTCGTCCTTTTTCGAAACATACAACCCCTCAGTCCTGGCCATGATCCCGCATGGCTAGGCCATCAACGTCGCATTACAAGGCAAGATCTGCACATGGGACAACCGCAACCCGCGCAACACCGACCTGAGAGCCAAGCTGAAAGCACGTCTACCGGCGGAGACGTACGCCAAGTATGAGCGCCTGGAGGCCTGCCATACCAACAGCATGGAGAGCTTCCCGCTCTTCACAGCAGTTATCGTCCTGGGTAACATCGCTGGGCTGAAGAAGGGGGACCTGACCGGCTTCACGGCGTACTTTTTGGCTGTGAGGATTGCATATATGACTGTGTATGCTACGCACAAGACACAGGGGCCGACGGCGCTGAGAACGGGCATTTGGTATGTGGGTGTTGGATTGTGCTTCAAGACGATTGTTCAGGCTGCGAAGGCCATGGGTGGACGTACGTAACTCGATGAGGGCTTTATGGGATATGCAATCGCGGCTGTAAGATCAGTAGGGTATGTACAGTATGTTAAATCACCTCTCAATGTTTTCACGTCTATGCTTTTGATTGTAACGGGTATCTAGCGTACTCTTTGGAAGGAGACCTACTGATGGAGCAGCTTCGCTCACTTCCGGAACAGACTGTTAGAGCTGCCAACTAAAGGGTTTGGCTGGAACTCCATATCGTTTACGAACAGCGGCGCCGTGTCGTCGTCCACCCTGCTCGGCGGCATTCTGGTTTCGCCTCGGATGACTTCGATCGTGCTGATAATCGGCATCACCAGTAGCAGCAGAGGGAGCAGTTGTCCGTAGCTCCAGGACTTCTCACTTGGACCCTGAAGGTTCAGCGCTTCAGGCGGATTACCAAAAGCTTGCGACTCCATGATCACACGGATGGTAGCTCCAATGCCCATGGCCAAGAGAGCGAACAATCCTACGACCTGAACGGACTTGAGCCATGCCGGGTTGGCGCGACTGTGCAGGTACCATGTTGACAAAACGAAGACGATGGCCTGGGCGGCGATCACAGCGATGGTCCCAGCAATACTGAGCGCAGCGTTGGACGAGCTGCCGCGACTTTCCACTTCCCACACGCAGGCAATCGGCAGTCGAGGTTCGAGGTTTTTCAGTACTGTTTGAAGAATGAAGATTCCAGACAAGACACCAAGGAAGAGGTTGATGAGCATGAAGAACTGCCTGAGCCATCTCAGGACCCAGTCACGTTTGAAGTCGTTGACAAGAGCAAGAAGCGTCGCGAGATTTGTCGCCGTCGAGAGTAGCGAAAGGAGCCAGATGATGAAGAAGTGGTATGGCACCATCGACTGCATCTTGGCGAGGCCGATAGACTGGATGCCAATGCCGGTGATGATCTGCTGATCCGAGAAGGACTGTAGGAGCTTGCGGCATACTGGCGCTGATGTCGATTTGCGCAGGCCGAGAAGAATGATGATAGCGCTTAGGAACAAGGAGATGAAGTTCGTGATGATGAACGAGAGCAAGGTCTACAATATTGTCAGTACAATCCTCAAGTTCAAAGCAAAGGCAGCTTACGCCAGCACCCGCGACTCCCGCATCAGTCTGCACCGCCTTAGGGATATACGAGCAGTTTCCAGGCGCGTCAAACATCGTGTGTGGGTATCGTGGAATAGCATACAAATTGAAATAACGCAGTAAGACGTTTAGGTGGAAGAAGCGTTGCGATCACAGACGCGCCAAAGGAGACTGAAAAGAGTGAATGTAAGTGAACGTGAAGGGAAGGAGCGCACAGCTCTCTATGAAGTCATCAGCAAATATCTCACGCCTAATTTAAGGCGCGCGCATTGCTCGCCAAATCGCACGAGGCAAGGATCGCGCAAGTTGTCGCGCAAAACAAGGGGTGAATTGCAGATCAATAGATCGGCAATTGGCCAGCAATTTGTGGACCCTGAAGCGTTGCCGCCAACCGAGGCGCAGCCGCTCAACCTGCGACACAGCGAAACGCGCTGCATATCCACTCACACAACGAAGATGAAGATCTCTTTCCAGAACGCAAGGAATTCTAGGTCGCAGTTGACAGTTGTGTCTATGACACGTCTAACTAGTTGCCCGTTGTGGTAAGGCAGAACATAGGTGGCGTTTACAGAATGCTGCATTATCGCACACCTTCTACCGATATCCTGATCAAGCAATCCCACAACAACCGATTATTTATACTTCAGCCTATGAAAAGAAGACCTGAAAAAGTAATTGTGGTCTTGTCAGCTTATTATTATCGCTCTCATGCCTTGTGTGCTCATGCTGCAGCCGATGCTATTCGCCAAAGGCATTTCGCACCCTCGGGCTGGCTGTGTATCTCGGGACCAAATATAGCTTGTACATAAGGGCTTTGAGCAGGCGCAGGTGATTCAGCTGGCCTTGACTTAGGATGCTTACATATGCCATGACCGCACCTCACAGGTTCCAATCTCAGCCTTGTGTGGACGCTTGAACTCTCACACCTCTGGACATCTCGACTTCTGTCGCCACCGAATTAAGACCATGAAACCTCTTAGTGCGCTCTCAGTCGCTTCAGCTGTCATACAAATCGTGGGACTCTCAGCCAATGTTGTCGCCAAGTCTAGGGAGATCTCTGTCCGCCGAGGGCACGACAGATGAGGCTACACTGTTGAAAAACGCGACCATCAATCTCGGTGAACTTCTAAGTCAGCTTGGAGCCTCTACTATCCTACCCGGTGTGGACAGACGGGATTTGAGCGATGCAGACCACCATCTACTTGACCTCGCCGAAGAAAGTAAGGAACTGGCGACTACCTTACGCGCAACGCTCGACCGAGTGAAGCTCAATAAGCATGGCGACACAAGAAGTGTCCTCAGCCAAGGGTTGCGAGCAATGATAAAACAGAGAGAGATGCTTCTGTTGACGGAGAGACTTGACATGATCAGAAGCAGATCGATACTGTTCTCCTCGTTTCGCTCCGGTAAGTTATGTGATCCAACCTGACTACAATGACTGATCTAACGTGAGTGAACAAATTGCACGTCCCTCAATGGGCACATGGAGGACTAGACCATCAAGAAACAAGACGGAAACGACAGAACTGCTCGCCCTGCTTCGAGATCGTGATTGGCAGCCTACTAAAGAGAGCGATATCGAAGAGTTCTCTAAATTTTTGTCATCATCGGTGAAACACGATGCCAAAGCAAGGTTTGCCGGTATCGTACTGGTCCGACTGTACTTCTCTGATCTATCCACACGCTTCGAAACGATTGCAAAAGCTCATCAGGACACGTTCGGATGGATGTTCGAAGATACCCTGCGCCCGACTCAATCTCGCGATTGGGACAGTTTCACACAATGGCTGGCAGGTACCGCCCACGATGATCTGTACTGGATCACAGGCAAACCTGGTTCTGGGAAGGGTACGCTGTTGAAGTATCTTTATCAGCATAGTCGGACGTCTAGCGAGCTGCAATTATGAGCACAGGGTAGGCCACTGGTCAAGGCCGATTTCTTCTTCTGGAGCTCGGAAACCAGCATGCAGATGTCATGTATGGGACTTCTGCAAACACTTCTTCATTCCGTACTGGTCAACGAAAAAGACAGTTTTGACAGTTTCCGAATATCGATGGCGACAATTTGCGGCTTTCGGGTGTGGTCGAGAGCGTTTCTCTTGGTCCGAACTGCGGCACGCATTCCAGACTACTGTGTACACCTATATCACCAAGGGTATTCTTTCTCATGATAGATGGCCTTGACGAGTTTGACGGTGATGACCGAGAGCTGGCGAATCTGGTCACTGAAGTGGCTTCCGTACTGATATTTCTTAGTTACAGGCGTGTGTTAAATTCACCGCACACGACGAGGCAAATTCAGGACATCGTTTTCAACGTTACTGACGTGATGCATTCAATTGCGAGCAGTATTGGGCCACGTGCGCACTGGGTATTTTCAAGTCAAGCGGTATTGATCCAGACCGTAAATGGAGTCAGCTTCTTTCGTGCTTAGAAGAGGCACTACGGTTCGAAGCAAAAAACGGAGTTTGCCCAGTCGAATATCTGGACAAACTCGGCAAAGCGGCGAGACAGGTCTGCGAATTTACCAGCTTTCGAAGTTTGTCAGAGGGGCCGAATTCCAGACCTTCCTCGACTTCGCTGTGTGGGCTCAATTGGCGAGCTATGTTCGTGAGAGAGGGAAGACGGTGATAAGATCTGAACCAGTCCATAGCATTTCACCACCACAACAAAGACCGTCGAAAAAACAGATGGGAGAAGACCAAGAAAGTTTTTGGAAGCTTTGGTAGCAATCGTTACTCGGCATGACGATTGCTTGCAAGCAATAACGGCGTTTGATTCAATCTCTGGTTGTAGATAATCTGCGACAGAGCATTGACGGAATCTACCTACACATACAGAAGAAAGCCTTGTGTCTCTTGTAGACGCACGTCGTGTGTGCCCATAGAGGTTGCTTTGGCTCTTCCTTGGCGCAACATAGCATCTTGGTATGCAGTTGTCATTGTCCTGGTCGAGGGATACACAAAGCCTCAGCCGCATCTGGCTCTTCCGGAGTCTGCATGTACCTCAAATGCTGTTCCAAAGTGCATGCATTCGCAGCTTTGACCACTTCCAGAGTGTGAATCGTCCATCTCTTGCAGCCTGCAGGGTTCTGCTACTTCCTCTTTGAATTTGGAGCGAAGTTATTTGATCTTTCAATCTACCCTCTGCCTGACATTCCGCTCTCCCTGATCCGCACCAATGCCAGTGACCACCTCCTGGATGAGCTCCCTCAACTGCTGTTGCACCTCCTCAGTCTGGAAGTCCTCTCTTGCCGCCAGCTCATCAATCCTCCTTCTGATCTCTGGATCTGGCGCCTCACCAGCAGCGTCCTCTGCCATGGTACCCATGTTGATCTGCACACCATTCGGTAGCGGTGGAGGAGGGTGTACACCATCAGTAGCCACAACTCCTACGCTCGCCGGCTCACCACCCGTCCTCAGACTCCTCAAGTACTGGTACACTTCATGTCCCTCACCCTCCTCTTCGCCAATCTTCTCCTCGGCTGTCTTGCCCTCGCTATTACTTATGTTCACGTCTGCGCCCAGCTCCTCGACCAAGCATTTTGCGACTTCAGTGTTTTCTGTCGCGAACAGTGCGGTTTCGCCGTCTTCGTCGAGGATGTTGACATCTGCGGAGTACTTCTGGATCAGCTCGCGCAGGACGCTCAGCTGGTTGTATGAGGCGGCGGCGTGAACAAGCGAGTAGCCATGTGCATCGCGGGCTGAGGCGAGCTGAGGGTGCTGCGCGAGGGACTGGAGGATGGACTGGGGGCGCGTGTCGATGAGGTTTAGCAGGAGATCGATGGTCGGTGTAGGGAGTGCCATATTGAGTGTGTTGGTGGGTTGTAAGGAGCGTATTCCCACTCGGTCTCCGTATAGTTCGTTGGCAGCTGCGGTGTTTCGCACATTCACAAGCCCGCCGCCAAAAGTTTTGATATGACGTGTGCGGAGATTTCTAGTCGCTGTGCCCAGCCCCGCCATCGCCGGCAAGGGGCTCTACCCGGGGCCGATCATCTCGTTCTCGTTCATCGTCATCAACAGTTGCTGGCGATGTTGCGCTCCAAATTATACCTTCATCAGCTTGAGAAAGAGTCTTGAGATAGCAAGGAACCGCGCCTCTACGGCGCAGCGGTCAGCTCTCCTTGTGCCTATGCAACGCCGTCGGGGCGGCTAGCTGAGACGTGCCCAGCGGCGTCAACGACACAGAGCTGCCAGGGACACAGCCTCAGCCGAGCGTAATACGCGTGCTTGGCGATGGTCGTGTGCCCTTCATCACTTGCTGACACCTCGCCATCATGCTTTCCTGAATCTAGCTGACCCTTTCTCACTTACAGTTCTTGTAACATCCTTTCTGTATCTGGCAGGCGCGGCACGTCAACTTCGCCGCGCGACTACGACGACCATACCAAGCACTTATAACAAAACATAACCCCAGATCGGCCCTTCAAGCCTGATTGCGTTTGGCCAAGCCCCATGCGCTCATCTCTTTAAGCACCTTGGGATCCTTTGCGTGCTCGTTTCGTTGCTGTCTTTCAACCTTCTTTGTTACGGTTGCACAGCACACTTAACCGTCATGCCGACCTTCACAGGCCTCAGTGTACCGTCATTACGGCTGGTACTGTCGTACATCTTCGATTGGATCTGCATAATGTAAGTCAACTGTCGCGTGCACATGTTCTGTTGCACCCAAAACCCTTGTTCAGACGCTACAGAGCCATGGACCAGCAGCGCATGTCCAAACGACTACAATGGACCACGACTGACATTTGCGCAGAGCCATCGCCGCCGTTGGAGCAGGTTGGGAGTACTTGACGCCCTACAAACGACCATTCTCCCCTGTCAATCTCGACATATCTTACCCTTTCGAGGAACACGAAACCATCCCAACATGGCTCATGGCTGTCATCGGTCTCGTGATTCCCGCGGCCATCATCTTCCTGGTGTGCATCATCTTCGTACCAGGACCGACAGCCAGCCGGGGCACACCGAAGTTGCTCATCTGGAGAAGGAAGCTGTGGGAATGGAACACAGGCTGGATGGGATTGGCGTTGTCTCTCGCGACTGCTTTCATGGTCACCCAGGGCATGAAGCTCCTGTTTGGAAAGCCGCGACCAGATCTGCTGTCTCGCTGCCGACCAGACCTTGGTCGCCTCGCACAGGCAGCCGTCGGCAACTATGTTGGCGGCGGAGCTGGCGACAATGAACTGAATCCTGCATGGGTTATGGTTACAGATGCCATCTGCCAGAACACGAACGAGGACATCATGAAAGACGGATTCAAGTCTTTCCCCAGTGGACACGCCAGCTGTATGCCTCACCTTAGAACACGTGTTTCTCACAAATGCTAACCTTGTGTAGTCTCTTGGGCTGGCCTGCTCTACCTCACACTCTTCCTCGCTTCCAAGTTCTCTGTCGCAATTCCGTTTCTCGCACCCCGCCCCTTCTCCACAAACCCAGCATACACCTCCGCCATTACGCCCTCGAATCTCAAGTCGCGCGCCTCGACCGACCGATCGATCCTTCCCGTCCACAAACAGGAGTCGAGCCTCACTGCTCCTGGTTACTCCGAGAACGATGCCGTAGTGCCCATCCGCTATCAGTCTGCCGCGCCGCCAGTGTACACGCTTGTCTTGATCTTAACACCAGTTGGAACCGCAATCTATGTTGCGAGCACACGATTCACAGACTTCAGGCACTTTGGCTTCGACCTGCTCTTCGGCAGTTTGATTGGTATCACAACGGCCTGGTTCTCGTTCCGCTGGTACCACCTACCCATCACACGTGGAGCAGGTTGGGCATGGGGTCCCAGAAGCTATCAGCGCGCCTGGGGCATCGGTGTTGGTGTTGGAAGCTACGTTGGGACTGAGGGATGGAGTCGCCAGGGGAAGAGCGAGACGCAGAGGAATGGTCCGAACACGAATGGTGTACATCACCAGGGGTATGCAGCGGAGGCGACGAGCCAGGACGGGATTATCGAGATGGAAAGGAGAGATGGTTTGAGGGGCAGGAACGATGGCACAGCGGCGGGTCAGCCGATATATGTGTCGCATGCCCAGGGTGCGCATGTCGTTTAGCTTGGTTCCTCCTGCGGGGGATTGTACAAACGATTTTGAGTTTTAGCTGTTCTGTACTACTGCAAACTTGACGAGCAAGTTGGTTGACTATCTTTTAGAAAGACCATGTGAGTCTACGATGGCAATCAGTAATATGTTCAACATTCAATCTGCTCTTGTCATGTGCACAAGACAGGCCGAAGTAGTGGGTATCATAAATTGATGCTTTTGTCCCATCAGGAAAACTCCAGTACAATGCCAAAGTGCGTAATAACTACAGCTTCTCAAGCAATATCCTCGCACCAGCATTGCCCCTCGGCGCATCATCCTTCTTCTCGCCCTTCTTCCCCTTCTTCCCCTTCACATCATCCTTACTCTTCGCCGGCCCAGCAGCAGCCTCCAGCTTCTTCCTATCCTTCTTCAGCGCCTTCAACACCTCGCTCTTCTTCTCGAAGCCCTCGGCCTCAGTCAGTGCAACAATCACAAACGAGCCCTCGCCGGTCGCCCAGTCAATGACGTTGTTCTTGATCTCTGCCCACAGCATGTCTGCGAACCCAAGGGCTGGGGTCACAGGCACGACCTTCTTGGTCTTGGGGTCGAATTTGCCGCCCTGAACGAGCGTCTTCAGCATGTTCTTGCCGTGGCTGGTGGCCTTGTTGTCTCCAGCGCTAGCGGGCAACGAAGCGTCGAGGATTGATTGCGACAAGCGAGCAACCTCGCTGAGTGCCTCCTTGCGTGTCTTGGGCTCGACTTCGGGCGCGCCGACCAGGATCTCGCCCATGAACTGCAGACCAAACGTGAAGGATGCGAAGTCAGCGGCACGCGCGGTGATGGCGTTGAGCAGGGGCGCTTCGATGCTCTTTGTGATCTCTTGCAGACGCGTGTTGGGGTCCTTCTTCGATGTTGTTTGGCGGATGGTGTAGACCTCCGTGAGACGATCGCGTGTGTTGTCGTCGAGGAACCATTTGGCGTCGGCGGCGAAGGGGTAGAGGAGAACGGTACGGGCGCGGGCGTCATTGCAGAGGTTAAGGACCTTCTCTGGGAGGGCATCGTTGCTGGGCAGGAGCTCACTGTATATCGACTTCGAAGAGAGCTTGGTGTCGTCGGTGACAGCCAAGGCGGCAAGAAGCACGTGGTGCGCATGCTGGTCGAATGCCATGGTCTCGATGGTGTCCTTGTATGGTCGCAGGAACAGCTTGCGGTCCTTTGCTGAGCCGTATGCAAAACAAAGCGATACGAGTCGCGAACCTGACTTTGTGAATGCAAGGTTCTTCATCAAGTCCACATTGTCGGCCTCCTCTCCTTCTTTCAGTGTTGGGTCAGGCTTGAGGTGCTCGAGGAAGTCGTTCGCTTGCTCTGTGCCTGGTTCGCAGACCAGGAAGTATTGCAACATCGCATCGTGCAGCATGGTGAAGCCGTTGAGCTTCTTCTGGATGAGCGAGTTGATTTGGTTCTCGAGATAGCTCATGATGGGTTTCCTCTTCTCTGGCGACTCCTCGAGGATGGTGGCCAGGTCGGCGGTATCTGTGCCTTGCGGTCCAAGGCCCTTGATGGAGAACTCTGCTCCATACCACTCACGCAAAAGACGGTTCTTTTGCTCTGATGTTGCAACTGCTCTGTAGATATCGTCCAGTATCCATGCTGCCTCGGGGTGGTTGATCATGCGCTTGACGTGTCCGTAGAACTCGGTAATGATGAGATCACGAATCTCGGGGTCACTATAACGTCGTTAGTCACTGTAGCTACGCCATGTAACCAGTGTACTCACCCCTTCTCGACCAACTTGGCGATCAAAAACTTCGAGTACTTGCCCTCAGACAAGACTTTGAACTCGCCCTTCAGTTCGCGCGCAATCATCCTCCTTTGTTCCATGGTCGAGTACTTGATTGCTGTCTGAATGACGCGTACGGAGTCGTGCTTGAACACAAAATCCTTCACTCGGCCAGTAATGATCTCGAACAGCTCTTTGATGAGCTCTTTCCTCTCATCCTTCTCGACGTGCGACTTCAGACGCAACTTCTCCCACAGCTTCTTGGATCGCTCGATAACGTCGGCGTTGGGCTTAGCGTTCTTTCGTTCTTTGGCGAGGGCCTTCTGCTTTGCGTGTGCTTCGCGGGAGTTGCTGGCTATGAGTTGATTAGTTGGGGTCCAGAATTACACAGAAAGCCGGGTACCTACCATGCATATCGGCAAGCTTGGAAGAGATCTCCTTCGGTGTCTCGTACTTAGACTTCTTCTTCTTCTCTGTGGGCCCATCCTCCGCTTTGCGCTTCTGCGTCTTAGACTTTGGCTGCTCCTCCGAATCGCCATCTGCCATTTCAACGTCTGGGTTCGCAGAAAAGCCGTTGTAACCGTTCTCCTGCTCGCTGGTATCCGATTCTTCGAGATCTTCAGCGACCTTTTTGCTCTTCTTCGCAGGCTTTACAGCATGCTTGGAATCGCTCATTGACGATTTCTTCTCTGACTTGTCCTTTTTGCTTTTCGCAGGCGCGGCAGCAGCCGTAGATTCGCGCTTAATTCCGGCCATTGTGTTGCGTTGCTGTAAATTCGCCGTTGTGCAAAGCTCACACCTCGAACAGCGATCTGATCTGAACTTTTCGGTGGGTCCGCTCCGCTTGGCGACGCTAGTGAGGGCACATGTGGGGCAGCATCTCTATCTATCAACCACCCCCAATACAGCATCAGAGCAGTGTTCTGTTATCGCATTCGTTTCAAATTACTACAGAAGACTGGCTGATATCTTGGTCCCGAACACAGAGATTGATAACCAATACTCGAGCTTTCCAAACACCTATACTCCGTCCGCTAGCAGATACCTACTGAGGGCACACTTCTTCCGCCTGGTCGTTTACACCCTCCTCCACCGGCTGCGCTTGCGGCTTTCTAGACCCCAAGGCTGAAAGAGCAGTGTCGAGGCTGGTTGCTTCTTTGATCTGCTCACAGCCACTTCCTTGTCACCAGCGTCACCTCGATCTACCTCGAATGCGGGGAATGCATGGGAGCAACATCTTGCTTATGTCTCGACTGTGGATGCTCGGCAAGTCAGCATCTCATCCGACGGCACGTTCCTGAGGTCGCCGTATTTGATGTCGTCGACGTTGACGCATTAGCTCCCGCTGCGAGGCCGCGTCCTCCATGCATGGTGCATTCCGGAGCTTTGGAACATCAAGATCGTCACTATCCGCCGCACTACGCATGCGTCTCCGGAGTTCAGCTGTCCACATAACTCCCTGGTTTCTAGCAATTAGGTAACAGATTCAACAGGTACACTCACTTGTGTTTCCAGGTACGATCGTCCCGGCATGCAGTGCCTGCCTAATTCGCTGCAAGACCAAGCCGTAGCCTTGCATTGTCAACCATCTTGCATCAATCCTCATCAAAGCCATTTTTCAAGACTATCAGGGAAGTTTCTGGGATCATGTTTCACTTTTGCCCGCTCTGAACGCGACGAATGACGTTCTTGGACGGCGTTGCGGTTTACAGTCCATACCGATAACCTGTGGATTAGAATCTTTTCGAAAATGGGAGCTTTCACAGACATTTGTCACGACAGACTGCAATTGGTTCCAATTTTGCTCCGCGAGTAAATTTGAATTAACGATCTTGACTGTTGAGAGCACATCACCAGTCGGCGTCTGGCCTAGGCTCAGCTCCAGTTAGCACTCAGCACAGCATCGTCATAAGGCTGCAGAGTGACTCTAGATTGCAACACCACTTTTGAACTTCAGAGTGACTTCTCTACTGACAGGGCCCAAAGTTACACTACGGGTCTCCTCTAACATATGTCCGAGTGTTCGTCGCAGCGCCTACACGACGAAATTGACCATTCGCATCCGCGCAGATCTCCACACTCTCCATCTTTGAGCCCGGACAGACGAACACGTAAAAGGCGGATTCTGAAGACTACTTTTGGGGCGCCAGCATGGTTCTGGGGGAAATGGATGCTTGAGCCGTGTAGTGTCGGCATCTCCATCGTCAACAGCGTCATGGTTGGCATTGACCATTCGAAGGTTCGAAATCCACCTATATAAGGAGGCTCTGGAGGTCCTCAAAGCTCCATCAACACTCATCCACATTCACACATTCGTTCTTGAGCTAAAGCCGCCAATATGAAGCTCGCAACCGCACTCTGCATTATTAGCTTTGCTAAGTCAGTTCATTGACTGCCTCCAACTGACCATTCACTAACATCTACAGTGCCGTACCAAGCCAGATGACTCCAAAGATGTCGGCTCTCCCGACACAGAGTCATATGGCGGGTGGAAGCCTCATGGCAATGGTTACCCTCAGGGCCTGCCAGAGCAGTCAGGGCAGCCCTCAGGAGGTGCTGGAAAGCCTTCAGGTGGAGCACCAGCTTCAATTCCAGCTGGTGGCAACAGCACTCCTGCTGCACCTGAGTCAACGCGAGCTGGAGGTAGACCTTCTGGAGGTAAACCCTCGGGCGGATACCTTACTTCGACACCCGCTGGCGGTAGCTCTACTCCCGCTGCTTCAGCGTCAACTCCCGCTGGAGGTCGACCCTCAGGTGGTTACTCAGCTTCGACCTCAGCTACTAGCAAGCCCACGCCTATTACCAGCAAGTCGACACCTACTGGCGGTAACTCTACTCCTGCTGCTAGCAGGTCATCACCTGCTGGTGGTAATTCCACCCCTGCTGTCAGCAAGTCAACCCCGGCTGCTAGCAAGTCTACTCCCGCTGCGTCTGCTTCTACCCAGCTGGGAGACCATCAGGCTCTTCTTCGAGCCCAGTTGCCAGCAGGTCAAATCCTACCGCTTCTAGGTCTTCTGCTGTAGCTTCGCAGTCTTCAGGGTACGTAGTTTCCTTGATACCTCCAGAGTAAGACTGACTGTCATTAGATACCCAGTTCTTCCGGTTCCAACACCTGGCCAGTCCTCGGCTGCCATCTCCTTTGTGATCTCGGTTCGCCCCGCTCCTTCCGCGAGCCAGTCCGGTGCTGTTCTATCTGCTTCTGGTGGACAGCCATCCGTTTCTGCCTCTGGTGGTCAACCTAAGCCCTCCGCCGCCGAGCCAGGTGCTGGCGGCAAGCCCAAGCCTACTGCTCAGGGCGGCGAGGGTGGTGGTCAGGGTGGCGGTAAGGGACGAGGAGGACAGGGCGGTGGCCAAGGAGAAGGTCAAGGAGGCGGTAATGGAAAGGGCCAGGGCGGTTGGGGCCAGGGAGGCAACGGAAAGGGTCAAGGAGGAGGTCAACAAGGCGGTAGAAAGGGTCAGGGCGGAGACCAGCAGAAGGGAGAAGGTCAGTCTGACAGCAACGAATTTGGCAACTACCAGGGCTATGGTTGGGGCGGTCAGGGAGGTCACGGCAAGGGACAAGGCGGTGGCCAAGGTCAAGGTGGAAAGGGCCAGGGCGGTGGTGAGTCTAAGAGCTCGGAGTAAGAGACGGACTTAATTTGATCGAGCATCAAAGATGATGACTCGGACACAAGGCACATTGGGATGTCAGCGAGCTGTCTGTTACGAATGGCAAACCACTCCTTTGGTTTACACGATCCTTGTTATCGATCTCAAATGCGACAGTGTTAGCTGCACGTCTCATGGAGTTGCTGTATGATTTCGGTAGCTTAATAATTCACTGTCCTTCTAAACACCATCGCTCGATCCTTCACCAGCGCATCGTTCTTCAGCACCCAGAAGCTCTTCTCTTAATCGATTCCGTTCACACCATCGTTTTTAGCACACTGGAGGGTGCTTTTCTTCTTATCGTTGACCGATGCATCGATCTGTTCCCACCGTATGCCACAGACGGATCTCTTAGCTTATATCTGCCAAACAACCCCAACATAACAACCTCCCAGGCTTATTCCCAATCTTAAACAGCGAAGGAAATTGCATTGTGATGCCTTCAAAAGCAGCCCAGAAATTCCGCTCGAAAGCTCATAGTGTGATGAAAGGCTCCATCACCATTCGACGCCCAAAATCGCTTCCATCATGCCTTTACAAAGACGCCCAACAGACATTCTAGAAGACTTTACATGTCCTATTCCTCGACCCAGTGCACTGGGAGTCCTTTTTGTTCCACGCCGCGGAGCCAACATCAGATCCCGCAAACCCCCGGCCCATGGCTTAGCTTACACGCAAATTGCACTCTGTATCACCCTCACGCCTCACGGGTGTCGATACAGCCTTCCTTGTCGTCCTCGTCCTCGTCCCCGGCATCCCGAACGAAAATCGACAGCGCTTGCCTGCGGGATCTTATGGAAGCGAGCGCGATCTTCTTCGTGTTGTCGTCACGATACGCCTGCGCGGCACTACTAACAACACTGACTGACTGGGTACTCGACCCACTTATACATGTACTATAAGTGTATGCAGGCCTGCTCGCCCTGACGCTTGATGCAATGTAGATGCAGGCACGGCAGTACCTTTTCAACCCACCTTGCCTCACCTTCAACATCAGCGCCTCGCTTTGACAACGCACGTACCCCTCTTTTGCCTCTTCCATGCTCGAGATGCAGAGAGCTGTGCAGGCAAAGCTGCTGCCTTGCTCGAACAGGCACGGAGATGCAAGCCTCGCGGTGCAAGGCCTGCGAGAGACCTAGCTTGTCGTGATGAGATCATTCTCAAAGCTAGATTGAGCATTCGCCCTATTGACTACATGTCGGTACATGTCTTTGAACATGGTACTTGCATATGCATATGAAATCCAGACCTGAACATAAGCTGTGAAGGACTGCACCGCCTGCGCAGATCGAGCAAGGCTCAGCTTACTCACAACTTCTAGACGTGAAAGACCCTCGATACAGCATGCCCAGCTTCCTTCTCGTACCTAGGCAAGGCCGCATGTGTTCGGTCGGTACCGGTACATGCATCGGTGAGCAAGGCTGCACTTCAGCCCGCTGACAGCAATTTCTGAACTCACCCTCGCTTCGCATGTAGCAAGCGGGTGTAAGCACGCGGGCGCCCAGGTTGCACAAAACTTACTCAACCTTACGCCTGCCAAGATGCTGTGAAGTCTTCTATGCTGGATTTGATGCTTCATCTCCACATGAACGCGCCACACAAATTATCGATAGACGGCTGGCAAGTTCAAGCGCCACAGGGTCTGTTCGCAATCCGGCTTTCAAAATGCACGAAAAGCAGGAAAAAAAGAGTTCCAGAAGCCGAACGTTAGGCAAACTTCTTTATCGATTGTCGATGGGGCCAGAGAAATGGTGAGTCTTGGCGCGTACAAGTGTGGAGATGTTGAGTCGCGGGCGGACCCAGCGAACTATACCACGCGTGCCTTGCCGTGGCTTCCGTCAGTGCCTGTGCCTTGTTTCGAGTCAAGTCTGATCGCCGCGGTCGCGGGCGTGCCTTCCCATCCGTTCGCTGCTCGCCTGTCGCCGTCTGGGACGAGACCACGCCTCAATGCCGCTCTCGCTGTTCGCCAGCGAGCCTTGCACGTCAGGCTGCCAGCAAAAGCATGGCAATAAACACAATCATGTTCAGCCCTCAGGCATTCAAAAAATGCCTGACAAGACTGAAGACTTCCCCGTACGATCGGCCAATCACAAACACTCACCTTCCCCTTTCAACAATAGCCTCTCCTAGCCTCGACCAGGATCAAACTTCGCCCAAGCACCGCCGGCAAAAAAGACGCCTCCAGGAACGAGCACACCCTAATCAACTCTGAATGGTTGAAAACTCCAGCAGTTGCAATTGATTCGTGGGAACGGCGCACCGTCGAACGGCCCAGCAGCAGCTTTCCACAAGTGCTGACTTGACCCATGGATCCGCTCTGACATCGGTCAGAACGCAACAGGGCTTGTCACCAATGGGCGCAGAACCTTATTTCTGCCTTGCTACTTGGCAATTATTCCGACATCATGCGAAGATGACAAGGTGCTGTGAGATGGCGCGGGATGGTGCTAAGTAGGCTTATGGTAGCTTGTCGGGGTATGGTGAGAGAACCAAAAGGTCGATCCTGGAACTCAAATCTTTGTTTCATGTTTGTGCACGACAGTGCAGTTCGATGTTAGCATGAAGACTAGTGTTGCACAATGTCGGCTGGGAAGAATTCACTTGCAGTAAGAGAGTTTCAGATGCGGGTAGATGTGGTGTGCATTCTTGTGCCGATGATGGAACGGCTATGTACTCATCATTATATCGTCATTAAACCAGTGTATGCTCTATAACACCGTAGATAATGAGTGGGTGCAGCCTCTGTGCCCCTTTTGTGCGGCAGTCCAGTGCGCGATCGTTGACAGTGATGGTCTCGCCAACGTACATGCAGTCCATCAGAATGCCAGAATAGCCCCAAGATCCAGTTGGTACATGATGAAAGACGCTCAGAAACTCCAATACAGTGATAGGTGCCAACGCATTCTGAGACCTAGCGCAGAATGTCGATCCATGAAGGTTGTACAAAGCCGTAAGACCCAGGATGGCGGTCGCGACGTGTACGCAATGACCCAGCGCCGTGGGACGTGCTAAGACAACGACATGTTGTCAAAGCAAGGGATTTAGACCTGCTCTGTGAAGGCAGATTTCCTTGATTCCCCAGACGAGCGGCGCTTCTTCTGGAGCTTCCTTCCGGTGGATTGTCTCCTCTCGCTCCTGTCTGTCATCTCCATCGCTTCTGGGGATGGCGGGGCAAATGTGCCTGGCTTCAGCACTTGAAAGCCAGGGTTGACGCTGCGGAGGACCTGGGACTCAGGACGCTGGTTGTTCTGCATTGTCTGAACTTCGTATGGAACCTCATCGTACGACAACTGGTGCTGGGGGCCGCGGACTTGGTATGTGTCAGGGTAGTAGGGAGCGTTCGGTGCGTACGACTCCTGTAGCGGGACGCCCTGGCTAGTCTGGCTCTGGTACTGGTCCTGGGGCTGTGAGGCCGGGACATGACTGGACGCGTAGCCTGCGGCATCTTCTTGCGGATCGACGATAGGAGGCAGAGGAGGAGAAGAAGTCTTCTGAGGCATGAAATAGTTAACACCATTGTGCGTAGCAACCTGGTTATCCGCCACGCTGGCCCACTCGCCGCTATTACCTGGTCTACGAACTCGTGGTGTGAGCTGGCCAGTCTCGGCGACGTGGGACATGCGGTGGCTTTGGAGGAGATCAAGGTCGGTGCGGGGGTCAATGGGGCTCAGGCCAGAGGCGGGCCTCATGTATGCTGTCTCGTATGCGCGAACGTCTTGTCCAATAGCCATGTAATCAGACTCATCACTGGTGCGGCGGCTAGACTTCTTGGAGGAGCCACTGGACTCTCCAGACTGACCATTGCGGGCTGTCAATGTGTTAGCATATTCTTGGGCGTTCAGTCACTGTCAAGACTCACGAGAAGGAGGTCCTGAGCGGGCCTGTTCGAGGTTCTGCAGTGCGGCCGAGTTGCGAGCGAGGTTGGACTGGCTGTAGCGGGCAGACGAAGGGCCAGGTCGGCTCTGGTAGACCTGGTTGGGCGGCGATCCTGAACGGGAGTCGTTGGTAGGAAGCCTCTCAGCAGAAACGGCGCGGTCAAAGGAGCTGGGCGCGGCAGAACTACCACGGCTCGAAGCGTACGACATCTGAGGAAGCTCGAGGGCAGAGTTGTTGAAGCTGCGAGGCAGCCTGTTCTCGGAGATTATCGAGGCACGGCTGCTACCAACGGGCGTGTTGGAGCGCGAAATCCAGACACCGTCAACCTCAATTCCACTCTCAATGGCGCGGACACCGAAGGGAATGTCATCCTTCATCTCCTCTGCATGCACCTGCTGTACAGGCTGCGACTCGAGCATTTCCGGCGTCGCCGCCTTCTTTCCCTTTTCGACCTTGCTGTACTTGCGAATCTTGCTGCGGTCATACCAAAGTTTGCAGAAACCAAGGAAGATTGTGACTACGATTCCACAAGCCAATACCTGGATGATGTCAGCGATGGTCCCTTTATCGTTCGCTACCGCAGCCACTCACAAAGGTCATCTTCTGCCACAATGCCCACGAGCTGAAGAACTCATTGCCGTCTGATTGCCCGAAAGCCATTTTGACGATTGTAGTAATGCGAAATTAGGTGCTCAGGGTAAGAATAGCGGGTGGTCGCACTTGTAAACAGGATTTGCGAGATCCAGGAAGGTGCAACAAGACGTCGATGCTCGGCAGGAACAACGCTAGCAACAAAGCACCAAACAAGAGAATATGCAAGACAATGACGGTCCCCTTCTCAATGACGAGGAGGCTGGCAGCTATCTCAACGCAGGTCGGCGAGAGACAGGTCAAAGGGGTCTTGGGTAGTGATTGTATTGATGATCGTGGGAGTATCAGATTTGGTCCTACGGGGCCCGGTCCGAACAATGTCCAGTAACGGCAGGTAGCGAGTGAAAAGAATCCAGGAGAGGGAGCGTGGGAGGACGGGTGAGGTTGTTCAGGCCACGCTGGGGTACAACGCGGGGTTTTGAGGTCGACCCTTGGGAGAGCAGCGGTAGTGGAAACGAGTGTGGAACGTCCAGTTGGCAGCGAGGGAACGGGTGTCACTAGTAAATCATACAAATATGTACAACCAGCCAGGTAGCAGCACGCAGAAACCTCGTGCACGTCTTTTGGCTTTGGGGAGAGTGACTTCCAAGAGTGGTTCCTGGGGTCGTCGGTAGGGGATGGTCTTGAGGGTCGATTACAGCAAGCGCGAGAGCATGGAGAAGAGGTGAGTTATATTGCAGAGGAGATCTGCGCCTAACTAGGACCCGCCGCCGATGCGCAGGAAACGACGATACTTTGCTGTGGAGGGCAAAGTTCTGCATCCTTGCGCTTCCAAGGCGCGCTCCTTCGTGCCATGCCTGCATCCCGTCTGCTGGCTTCGCGCCACCGCAAGGGCGGCAGGGGTTGCGCTCATGACAGGGGTAGATGCATGCACTGGTGACGGCGACACGGCAAAACTGGCGCCCCGAAATAGAAAGTGACGATGGCGCGACTGTTGGAACTCGACAGACTGTGGATCGGCACGGTGGGCGTCGAGGAATACGGGCCCAAGTTGCAATGCGTGGGGCGATGGCTGGCCAATAATGCAACAGCAGGCGAACAATGGACATTTGGAGCTGGCCTCGTGAAGAGCACGCTGTGTGACAATGCATTCTCAGCGCGTCCACCACAGTCACCGAGCGCTGTCTTCTCTTGAGGGCTGATGGCAGCCGCAATGAAGAACAGGTCCCGAAGAGCCCCTGGTGTGCCCAGCCGTAGCGAACGCCTCTGCCTTGTTTCTGGACGGGCAGCGTTAGACCAGCTCACCCGCAAGGGTTCCCCCAAGATCCCAATCACGCTGCTCCAATCCTTTCACCACGCAAAAAAGAATCTCCGAGCCATTCACTATTCTTGGAGGCCTCCGGCAGCAGGGTGTTTCGTGACTGTGTAGATCACTGGCAGCTTGTCTGGCAGTCGTCACAGAATGCTTCGTGTTCTTGGACGCACTGGCTGTTATCATCTTTATAGCTATTGCGAACTGCAAAATGTGCGCAAATTCTCATTACTAGGACGACCACTAGGTAGAGTTATACGGGTTTGCGCTCAGTGCAGTGCCAAATGACGCAACTATTCTGCTCCTCGCAAAGGAGGGCTCTCATCAGCCACTACGGCCCATCGTCACTCTCAACAATCAGGCGTGCAATTTCCCACTCACTCACTAACATCTCCCCAAGCGAGAGACCCAAAACACTCCGCATCCACATGGTCCAATACATGGAGAGGACCCGTTGCGCCGTTTGCTGTCTGGGAGAAGAAGGTTTCATAGCTCTTACCTAAGATACCAGAGAGTCATGTACAGCAGACTACAGGACGGTTTGCCGGTTACGATGCCACCCGTGTCCCACTCCGCCATCGCGATGCAAGTGTGCAGGACTTGCAACCTTCTCCACCATGATGGAAGCCCAGCATGACGGCCTTGCTGTCCATGCTACCGCATGAGAACCGATATTGATGCCACCGAGCACAACATTTGTGTAACTGCTACAAACCCAGCACACACCGCTTCAGCTGCACCCACTCGAGAGAGGCAATGCATTGCCCACGGATTTGGGTTTCGGGAGACATTTTTCGATATGACTGAGGTCCCGCATTTCCAATACTAGCGGCAGCTCCCAAAAATGGTATGGATTGGACAACGCATCCAGCGAAGTCAGACTTTCGATCCAGCTAGTGGACGCCTTGCAGCACTCTGAATCCTAGTTTGCGTCGAGCTTCTGCGAAGTAGCAGATTCTTCCATGCAGTCCTTCGCTTGCCAGGCGCCAGAGCTGTTCTGCCGGCCCGTAGAAACCGAGCTCTGACGACTTCATGATTTGGATCTGGTGTTGGTCTTCAGCCTCGGATGGGCGCGCATCACGACTAGGATTCGTACACTAAGCAGACGATAATTGACTCAACAGGTCATCGGTACTCGTATCCGCGAACTGAGTCGTAGGCGCACATGAAGCGAGGCTGTCACATCTGTCTTTGATTTGGATCTTCATGTTCCAAACAGATGACGTTCAGTCAGCTTGAACGGCGTCAACTGATGCACAGTTCGCGCCATGAGACATCCTGCTTGCGTACGTCCAATCTATGAACACGGCAGAACGGGCGAGCATGCTCCGCAGAGTAGGTTGTATGCGCTCCGTCAGTACCTATCCCCTCGAATAGGTATTGGTGAAGGACGTCGCCACTCAATGTTTTGCTAGACACCTGTCCTGCAGTCACCGCTGCAGCTTCAATCCTGAATTGTACCCTGCAGTTGTTCACAGCCACGGCCAGACGATCATCGACCAGGACCAACATGCAGAGAGTAAGCACGTTCAGGGTATGTGTTTAACCCAAGACTCGTCAGCTAGGCTGTCATATATTGATTGCTCTTGACCATGCTCAGGCGGAACAATTCACTCGTGGGACTCCATCATCGGTCGTAAGCACGGGATGGTACAGCATCGGAGCATACTGATCTTCCAGCTTGAATGACCTTCGATCTCACGAACTATCTGAACACGTACGCTAGCAAGGCTTCACAGCATTGATCGTATTTGGAAGTCAGGTTTAGATTCCACCGAGATTCTTGCGGCTCGTATATCAGATTGTTGTAATCTGGTATGACCAGCGCATGGTACGCAGCATGACCAGAACACCACGTGAAGTGGTGTGCTCCAAGAAAACGTTGCGACGTGCAACTTGTTTTTCGAGTTCAAGTCGTACGCCCCTCGAGATTGCAGTTCGATTACTGCTAATACGCAAGGGCATCAGGGTCCATCCTCAACGGCATCAACGTGCGTTTTGAGTTTCGCTGACAGTCGCTGCGTCGCAAATCTGCGGTCTGGCAGACCCTGAACCTGAATTGCACTGTTGAAGCCGCACAATGAGAACCAGAACACTCAACATTTACCGATACTTTGCGCTCAGGCAGAAGAGGGGCGTGTTGCAGACGGGTGGATGCTGCATGCATCTCATCAGGCCTCGAATCTGGTGATCATCAGGTGTACCTGGGCAAAGCCAGGATCCCAATCTACACGATGCAGGTGCGCACAGATTCGACGAAGCAGCTACAGTCTGAGGCGCCGAGCCTCACGATAATTGATCCCAAGCCTCGAAGTTGAAGAGGCGTCTGTTTTTAGCATGCGGCTCAGGGCTGGCTGCTGAGACGCCTCGGTGCTACGTTGAACGTTTGGTGCCTGTCTCCAGATCTCACAGATGCAGGGTCCTGGGGGTCACCGGTTGCAGGTGTCCCTTGCGGCTCTCCGAACAACGTCCATGGCTCAACCCAGATCCGTCGCTGAGGTGACTGGGGGTTTTCGAGGCCAAATAAACATACCTGATCGTAGACAGAATTGCTCTCGCACCAGTTACCCCCGGAAGATGATGTTGCCGAGTCCCTTGTTACCGGCGTGGCTTCCCAACCTGTCAGTAATGACATCGTCGCGCCCGACGAGTCCGACCACCACCAACTTTGTGCTCTTGTCCTCAACAACACTGCTCTGAAACTGAAACACCCCACATTCTGCTCGTATCGCCTTGTTTCGCCCTTAGTGCCTGATCGCAATGCCTATCCGCAACCCATTCCGTCGTGCGCCTGGCGCTGAAGCCACCGATGAGGCGCAACGCAATGCGACCGATAATGGATTCAAGAACACAGCGGTCTCTGGAGCGCAACCGCTGCAGATCCAAGATACAACTGAGTACAAATTGAGTGGTAAGACGTTCCGCGTACTTCCGCAAATGTGGTCGCAAGAAGCGCTTCATATGTACGAGCGCTTACTGTAGCATTAGAAATCAACGACAGCGGAGTGTACCTGCCCGTAAGATGCTCCCTTAAGACCTGAAGAGTTGCGATCGCAATGCGACAATATGATCCTCCTCAGTTTGAGCCTTGAATTGACACTTGCGCCAGCCGTCCCCGCAGCAGGAGAAGCCCACCTTCTGGCATTCCAAATCCAATACCTCTACCACATCCTCGAATCACCGAAGCCTGCTGGCCGAGACTGAGCCGTTCAACATTTCGCGCGAGAGCTTCGACTCCTACAGGCGATCATTCGTACGTTCGCAATAAAATGATCTTACCCTGAATACCCCCGCTTACAGGCGCAGGACATCTCCGCACGATCACCTATTACAGACATAACCGCCGAGACATACCCGCGACAGTCACTCGATGCACGACGATCAATGGACACGAGGCGTTCTCTTGACGTCCGCCGTTCACGAGCAACACCTCGATCATCTATGCAACAAGGACGTCCTAGCGAAAGCACAGACCGAGTGCCAGAGGAGGGGTTCGAGGACGTGGGATTGAATGACGAGCCCAAGCCAGCGCCAGCGAAGAAGCGTGGTATCTTCTCACGATTCGGCGACAACAGCAATGCGGATAGCAAGCAGGAAGAACGACCATCGTCTGGTCACCATTTCTCTTTAACCGGACGAAAGCGCGCCGAGAGTGGAAAAGGCGAAGAGCTGAAGCCTATGGGACGACAGTCTGTTGATGTGTCGGTCGAGACACGGTAGATACGAAGGGAAGATGTTTGGACGATACAGGGAGGAGTACACTAAAATTACCCTCAGCATTTGGGTATAGGCGAGGACTGGGTGTAACGAGACGTTTAGGAGTTGGTTTGGCAGCATCACCCACACAGCATTGGGTCGGGACATTGGCTGCATTACAATCGCTACATCACAACTGAGGAAGGGCAACATGATAACGACAACATCTAATAATGAATTCTAATCTTCAAGTCCCCCAGCTCCAGACTAAGACCAGAGCCACGGCAACGGCACTCAGATGTAACACCGCAAACTGTGCCGTTCCCCTTGACAATCACAAAAGCAGCACCAGCACTCCCGCACCGGCACGCAACACTTTTCTGATCAGTAACGAGCCGAGCGTCTCGAGGGTGCGAGCAAAGTGCGATGTGCGAAGTGGCGCGCGGTTGTTGGTTTGGTGTCGTCATAGGGCAGTAGTGGCTGAGGTAGATACAGCCTATCAGCGCTAGGTATGCGGCATGTGCCACCTCGGCCGGCACGGCCGAGGTGGAGTTCGACGACAATGATGTGCTCAAGTTGAAGTTAAAGTTGTGAGGTGCAGAATGCATTTGAATTGGGGTTTGGCGACGCGGGCTGCTGATGGGCGCTGATGAATGCCGCAGGCGTGTTGTTTCTGGCTGCCCGTATGCACACAGCTGGCAGAATGCAGTCCTCCGTTTCGAGAAGCGCAGCGTCGAGCACCCTGCATGGCACATCTACCCATACAGAGCAATGCTGTCTCATGCGTCCAGAGCATCTGGAAGGTGCATACATAATGTTCCGTCGAGGATGCTGTGCCTAGCCTGGAGTATGGCAAGAGCGAGGATGGTGTCAATGTTCCCACTTAACCTTCTGATGCACGCCGCACTCAACGACGCCACACCCGACCCCGATAAGGGCTGTGGAGATTCGCATGAGTGAGGCCTCGGGTTGTAGGCTATTAGGTTCGATGGCGACAGTTTAGAAGAGTTGCGCATATGAGAAACGAGCAGAAACTACCCCAAACGAATTAGCCACTTGATGGATTCCCGAGCGACGATTGCGCTCGTCGATGCTTTCGACACAACTACCCACAATGTGAAAGAGCTTGGATGTCAATGTCAGGCTATGTCATTGCCTATCATGCGGTTAACATGCAGGTTGGCTGTACCTGCCCGTGCCGCAGGGCTGTTCAACCTCATCAACACCTTGGTTGTCGCCATCCAAGGCAATGCACGGAACACCGCAGAACAACGACCATACAAAGCGCTCGAACATATCAAACATGTTGCTGCCTGCCAGGTTCCTGCAGTGGTGGCGCTGCGGCATCTTTGCTCATGGTTGCGCAGAGGTGAAGAGGCACTTCACGGTGAAGGTGAGCGTTTGTTTGCGGTACCTATCTGGCACAACATCACACGAAAACTTTTCTCACGCCCGCTCAAAACCTTTTGTCACCTTTTGGACAGTTTCGCTTTCGCCCTGCATTTTACTTCTACGACCACACCCACGCTGTCCGCTCAGCTTGTGTCTTGTGTATTTTGGATACTCTTGAAACGAGCAGCAGGAAGTTGTTAAACTCCAGTCTGAGAGCGATAGTGTACGTCCCATCCTTCTAGAGCTGGTCAACCGAAAGTAAGCGCGTTGTTTTAACCATGAATCACAGATCTCTGCTCAAACGGGAAAATGGCTCTCTCTGGTGGGCAATGCCCATCGGCAGCAGCAACATCTTATCTAGTCCACCATGTTGCGCTGCCGCCGAAGCTACCTCAAGCTGATGACTTTGACGCCGGACATGAGCGCTGCCTCCTGGACACGAACCTCAACGCGCTATATGCTCTCAAGCCTTTCGTCACGAGCCAACACGATAGCACAGTCACCCACGCCATTGCGACCATCGAGAACCTCCGGCGAAGTCAAGACCCGCACGGCAACGTTAGCGAGATTCAGTTACGCAAGCTGCTCGAGGAGCTTGCCAGTGGCCAGAACAAAGGCTCTATACCACTGGAGATCAAGGCACAGAATGCGGGTGTCCTTATCAGCTCCGATGGCGACCAGGTTACGTTCGAGTTCCTTGAGCTTTCTCCTGACAACAAGAGTACCATGCTCAATGGTCGCCTGGTCCGTAGCTTCCCAGGTCATGCTGCGAGTATTCCAATCTCCAAGCTGCAAGAAGAAGGCTTACAGAACATGCTGGCCGACACAGTGGCGAAGATGAGCACTCAAGCCGCTCCTGGCTTTCAACCTGTAGCACGCAAAGCTGGCCGGGATCATGACGAGGACCGCGACACGACTCACCCTGGAATGGTGACCGACTATCTCTTCAACATTGTCGCTGCTCTTGGTAAGACGACCGCTGTCACTCGCATAACCAAATATACTCGTGAAGAGGTTTTGTGGGACAACTGCAAGATGCCCTGGCGACGCTCTCCCATGTGGCTTCTCGTTCGAGTCACCCTTCAGCTGCTCCTCACTCGGCGAGGGCCCAAGTCGTCGATCCCTGATAGCCTATACAAGGTATTCATGGTACACCTTCAGTCCTTGATCCTAGCACATGTCCAAGTCTACTGGAACCTGTTTGGCAGTGATTATATCTACGTTCTCAATGCCAAAATGCTTCGTCGACTACGCAAGCTTGAGGCTCTGTCACAGCTCGACTGCGTCCTGCCCTCTTGGATGGACTATATCCGGACATGTATGGTTGACGCTTTTGGATTCATGGACAAGAAGTGGATGGCTGAGGCTCAGAATACCCGAGCAAACCTCCAGGCTGCCAACCTTAAGTCTTTGCGACCCGAGGACGCCCTTGACATGCACCTACCCGAGCTCGACACTTTCCTAGCAAGTGTGCATGGCAGAAAGGCCACCGCCGCTTGCTCCGACTTCAAACCAGGCCTTTCATACCCCACCTTTGCTAAGAGTAATCTGCCCGAGGGCTTCAGTAAAGCCGACGAGTATCGAAACTTCCGTTTAGCTGCGGTAGAGAGCTGGGTCCAAGATTTTCTCCAGTCCTGGAGCGAATCGCATCGCAGCGATCAAACAACCTGTGGGCAACTTTACAATCTGATGAAGAACTATCATAGCAGTGCCAGTGTTGCGTATCAAGGTCTCCCGTCAAGCATGTCGGTCATGTATCTGACTATTCTCGAAATTTGGGTCGCTTGCGACAAGTCAGCATGTAGCTTGTTCGCCCTTCTATCCACGTACGATCCTGAAGTTCGACTAGTCGAGTTGCAATGCTTGACGCTGCCTCTCCGAAGCCAAATGCAGCGGCTACGGGCAGTGGAGTTATATGTTCAGTCACGAGAACGATCAGCTTCTAACGAGACATCACTCTACCGCAACTTCGGCGATGGGTTGTCATTTGCTGTCAAGTACTTTGACAATAGCACTCATCTTCAAAACATTCTGCTGCAGATCAAACAAAATGCGGCGACGAAACGTGCAGAGAAATGTAAAGAACTGGCCCGACTGAAGTCACAATACAAGAAACTAATGGATCAGTACAACGCCGCACAATGCGAGTATGTACCGATCGTCACCAATCGTTATCATAGATACATCAAGACTATACACTCCAACCACTGTAACCGATGCTCTCTGAAGGATCAAGCAGATGGTCTCGACATTGATATCTATGAGTGGCCACTCTCTCCCTACCAGCCTATTGCTAAAGCAACTGTCTTTGAGCTGAAAATTCCAGGGTCATTCAGCGCATGGCGAGACGCATCAACCTTCGTCATCATCAGTGTTCTTGGCTGTAAGAGTAGCAACGCCGAGAAGCCCCAGCACTCATACATCCTGAGCGGTCATCGCGACTTATCTCACATGCTGGACTCACAATACCATTTGCGACGCATTGTTCCGTTGTCATCAATAAAACCCCATTCGGTAACTCATCGCAACAGTAAGAAGGTTGTTCCACACCTGAAAGAGGACGACGTCTGTCTGCAGAACGGTCTACGCTATCAGTACTTTGACACAACTACGGGTGCGTGGACTGCAGCGCAGACACCAAGTGGGGATTTGCCACAGAAGTGCATGTATCAGATGCCTGCCCGCTCAAAAGCTCTTGAGCATTACCTGCACAAGCCGCCTTCGGCGCCTGATGGAGTCCAGCCGAACGAGGTAATAGCCAGCCTGTCAGATTGTCCGCCACATCTATCCATCGAGGAGTACAAGGCTTTTGGAGCTCTTCCGCTGGGTCGCAATATCTTCTATTCGAACATACTCATGCAACTCGCTATTCCGACGCTAGACTTTTCCAAGGTCGAGACCCAGTGTCTGATGTCGCAGACGGTGACCCAAGTCGGCCTTCCTAATGGTGATGTTGAGCGCACAAGCCACCGCATTCTCACGGACTCGACCTTTGGATCCACGTTGATAGCGCATCTTGAAATCGCTGCGCAACGAGTGGAAGAGAATTGGGAGTCTTGGAGAGCGATGGCTACCTTCGTCCAGCTTGCTTGCCGTGTCACGAACCTTACGAAGTCCACAGAAGTTCGTCAACGCTGCTTGCAGTTCCTGCACAAGGCCCGAAGGATCTCGATCACATGGCTCCACCGTCTTAAAGCTAGAGCAGCTTCCTCTACCAACGACGAACAGCGAACCGAGCTTTTTTCCAGAGCGACAGAGATTGCATTGCTTGGTACTACTACTTTCGATGTCGAGGACGAATTCGTCAACGTCGTTTTGCAACAGCAAGATGCAGTATCTTCGCTTCTGCAATGCTCGATTGCTGTGCAAGAGAACAAAGATCTGATCTCAGGTACAGAAGGTCTTCAGAATTCTGCACTGCAGACATGGCGTTCATTGATGTATCGCGTCTTCTCAAAGCTGCGGAAAGTAATTTTGTGCGATTGTACTGGCCTCAATCAAGCAGTGCTCGAGTGTTGGACAGCCTTTCAGCCTGCGACGAACGCCACCTGGAGGATCCTTGATGATCCTCACCACCACTGGCTTCATATCGCCTCAGGGAAACTGCCGGTTCATATCAATCTATTGACCGGCGAACTCCTGGTCAATGGGTTGCCACTCACACGCCTACCATCCGAATTTCTAGCACATCCCATGTACAAACTGTTATTCTCAGCATCTACACTTGAAGTCGTTCCTACTGATGAGCCTGGAATGCGATTTTCTGCTAAGACGACGTATCATGACCATGAGCTTCACTTTGGTATGGCTGCAGCAGACATGCTGGTAGTCGCAATTGGCAAGGACAAGAAGTAAGTGACTACTTTCACGCAAACGCTTGTATGCATTGACTTACGCTAATTTACCATAGGTTTGATCTAACACCAGCACGTGTGTTTGAAAATCGAATGCCTCAGGCGTTTGTGACATCTTACATTCATTGGTACAATCATGATACCGAAGAGATCGTGTTTCGACCGCAACACAGCCCTTGGCGGTCTTCCGATGTCCACCAGTGGCACCTTCGACGTCACGGCAATTCATGGCGCCTCCATAAGAGTAGCCAGGCTCTGATGAATATGAAGAGCAAAGATACGCAGATGATATCGTCTCTGCTTAAGTCGGTAGAAGACGAGTCGCACATTCACGTCTTGCAGGACACGGATTCTCACTCGATCGAGATTGAGGTCCCACGGCTCAAACTCGACTTCCACATTGTCAGTGGTGATCATCAACTCCAATCGCGCCAGTACCGAGGAATGATCCTTGATAACGACCAGAGGATCGGAACACTGATTGGCTTGACTAGCAAGTTGGTTCTACGACGCGCACAGTCTGCGAATGATCGGCTTGTACTCATACCCGAAGGTGCCGTGAGATATCACAAAACCTTGAGTCACCACTCTTCCGTCACTATCGGAAGGCAGGAGAGAAGTACCGTTCATGCCTACCAGCTAGATCCAACACTGGGACGTGTATTGGACAATGGAGCGATGCAGAGCAAGCTGATGCTGTGTTATTTGCATGCGCTCACATCACACTGGCTGCCAGATCCGCTCACACGCTACACCGGAACTGAAGCGGCACTGACCATCCTGAGGTCGTCAGCTGTTCGCTCTTTTGATGCATTGTCCCTCGAAAACGCAATGCTTCTGAACAAATTAGCTACTCTGTCACCGCAACGTAAATTCTACCCTTCACACGAGCGAGTAATGCAGCGGATTGAATGGGACCCGAATCTCTCCTTTCAATCACAGCATGGCGACTTTCAAGTACTTGTCAGAGAGATCTTCGATCACGAGAAGAAGATGTCGTTGTTCCACTCGAAAAACATCTTCGAAGCTTTGAGTCGCAGTGACACCGCGTGGATATCTGCGATCAACTCTGATCTTCACGAGCGGGCCTCCATTCGATCATCTACCTTTCAGGTTGCAGGTTTTGGAGCCGAGTACTTCAAGACCAACGTCGATAGAGCTTATGACGCACGAGACCGGCAAGCAAATTCGGAACGCGGCCGTAGAGCTTTCCTAGCTGTATCGATGTTTGTCCGAGATCAAGCTTTGCTCGACGAATCCATCTCGAACCTCAGAGTCTATCAGAATCATTTCTACAATACGGAAGTCAAGGGATTCGTAAGTGCACACGATCCGCCTGTCCTGCGTTATGACTCGAAGTGGTTGGGTCCTCCTTCGCCTCTGATGCAAGAGCTTTGGTGTACGCTTCATCATTCTCTGGCCACAAAGTCTACCATCAGCAATAAGTTTGATGTTCTGATATGGCTATCGACCATGGCATACGCCACTAAAGCAGACATGAATGTCATCCGAGCCCTTGTGGCATTCTATCGAATGCCGCAGTTGGCCTCAACCCAGATTCCGACAAAGCCTCTATTCCGCTTATCGCACGGGAGTACATTCAATATTTTCGAAGTGCAACATGCAGCTGAACGCGCTGCACGGTCTTACGAAAGCTCTTCTGAAGCGCAATTGTGCAAACAAGGATCTGAATCAGACGATCAGCATCTGAGGAGAATCGAGTCCCTTTTCGAGAACCAGAAGGGCGAAGCTGTGCAGACTTTTGTTGCTGCGTTACAGACTCAATGGCCTCGGGAGCATCCCAATACACCGTTCTCAAGTCACATGAATAAGTACCTGGATACGGCCCCTGCAATGGACACCATCAGAGCCTTGTTTCAATCATGGTACGACAATCGGGCCTTCGAGCAATACATTAGAACGATATCGAGTGTTATCGAGCGTTTACCCGCTGCGTCCATCGCAACACCACGCTTCGATGTACCGGCGCCGTCCAAGAAGACAGAATTAGGACCTGATGGTCGATACTGCCATCCAGCGACGATATTTACTTCGAGACCGCCGAACATTGCATGCGGTTCGTCAAATACGGATGATTCCTCCCTTTTGATCGCCCCACAGGAGCCAAAATTGACCGCTGTACCGAAGTCCCTTGTCTCAACCGAGACCGAAGTAAAGGACCGACTGGACGACTTCTGCCAGACGTTAAGTGCATGCGCCAAAACCACGTGTGAGCAGAATTATGTCGACAGCTTGCGCACTAGTTCTGCCTCACTCCACAAGCACGAGGACGAAATGGACGTTCAGATCTTTTCGGTGGACGATCATGCGCAAGGATTACTTCGACAGTATCTTTCGGCATGTGAAGAGTACTTCACGACGTTCGGTCGCAGACTTGAAGGAGTCCTCGAGATTGGATCTACTCACAGCAGTGGAATTGCATCTTCCATCAAACTGTCACCTCGTCTTTCGCCGTCATTCTGGTTGAGCCAACTCAATCACGACCATTACAATTCTCTTTCAGCAGAGTGGCGGGCTGTGATGGTAGAGTTTGGTTTAGCTATCACCAACCTACACCGAGCTCAGAGGCTGGTCGCGCTCTTGGATAAACCTGTTGAACTCAACGAAGAACTTCAGCACGTCAGCCATACGAACTGGAATCCAAGCAAATTCCCGGAAACCTTGCTCCTCGAAGCTGAGAGCGGCATTCTGGTACGCAAAGTACAAGCGACGATTGCTGCAGAGATGATGGAGCCGCTGGACGCTCAAAACACCGTGATGCAATTGAACATGGGAGAAGGAAAGTCGTCCACGATTGTGCCCATCGTTGCGGCAGCTCTAGCGGATAGGAAGAAGTAAGTTCCGAACTTTCGAACAATATTCAGTTGCAATCACTGACCATCAACATCAGATTAGTCCGGGTCGTCGTGGCAAAGCCCCAGAGTAAGCAAATGCTCCAGATGCTTGTAGCCAAACTCGGCGGCCTGCTCAATCGCCGCATCTACCACATGCCGTTTTCAAGAGACCTTCAATTGAAGGAAGCGGACGTTCGGGCTATACGCGAGATGTATCAGGATTGCATGGCTCACCGAGGAGTCCTCCTGATCCAACCAGAACACATCCTCTCATTCAAACTCATGGGCATTGAGTGCCTTCTTACAGACAAGCCGGGAGTGGCTCGTCTACTTCTGGACACTGGAAGATGGTTTGATGACGTTTCTCGTGACATCGTGGACGAGAGCGATGAGAACTTCAGCGTCAAGTTCGAATTGATCTACACCATGGGATCTCAACGATCTATTGGGTTTGCTCCGGACCGCTGGATTCTCATCCAAGAAGTCATGGGATTGATTCCAAGGCTTGCTGCTCAAGTCAAAGCCATGTTACCGCTCTCAATCGAGGTTCAGCATGAGGCCAATGGCAGGTACCCTCGAGTACGGATATTGCGCGATGATGGAGCCAAAGCCTTGCTCGCTTTGCTTACAGAACATATCATTAAGAACGGTCTGACTGGTCTCCCGATTTGCAATCAGCGAGAAGGAACTCGGGAAGCGATCATGCAGTACATCTCGACTGCTGACCTGATCGCGAAGCAAATCCATGCCGTGGAACAGAGCAGATTCTGGACTGTCGCGACTAAGGAGCCATTGTTACTCATGCGAGGCCTTATCGCAGGCGGCGTGTTGCGCTTTTCTTTAACCCAGAAACGCTGGCGTGTGAACTATGGTCTGGATCCCACTCGCATTCCAAGCACACAACTTGCAGTGCCATACAAAGCTAAAGACTCGCCGTCGCCACGATCGGAGTTCTCTCACCCGGACGTTGTTATTCTTCTGACACTTCTGAGTTACTACTATGGAGGTCTTCAAGATGACGACCTCTTTGACTCCTTCGTTCACCTCCTGAAATCTGATCAAGCCACCATTCACTATGACGAGTGGGTACGCACTGCAGCTCCTGAGTTACCTGCCGCATTTCGACAGTTGTCTGGAGTCAGCATCAAGGACCGCGTCATGTGCATTCAACAGATCTTTCCCCACTTGCGATACTCTAGGGCCGCCATCAACTATTACCTCACATTTATCGTCTTCCCGAAGGCGATGAAGGAGTTTCCTTCAAAACTGTCCGCATCAGGCTGGGACCTCGGTGCTGTCAAGAAGCACCCAACCACCGGCTTCAGTGGCACCAACGACACCTTGCATGTCTTGCCCCTTGCAGTCAAGCATCTTGATCTGCCAAGTCAGAGTCACACCAATGCCTTGGTCCTTGGGTATCTTTTGCAGCGTGAGACATCAGTCGAAAAGCTTCCAGCTCGGTCGGCGGGAACTGATGCTGAGCACCTCCTCATTTTCATCAACAACCTGAAGCCTGAGGTTCGTGTAGTACTTGACGTTGGCGCACAGATACTGGAGATGAACAACACCCAAGTCGCTCAATGCTGGCTCTCCATGCGCAAGGATGATCGAACAGAGGCAGTGGTGTTCTTCAAAGACGAGGAGTTATCGGTGCTCGATGTGAGTGGGCGCATTGAGTCTTTTCAGACATCACCGCTTGCAAAGCAGCTTGACCGGTGTCTCATCTATCTTGATGAAGCACACACTCGTGGGACGGATCTCAAGCTTCCACGCAACAACAGGGCTGCTGTGACTTTGGGTGCAAATCTGACCAAAGATCGCTTGGTGCAGGGTAAGGACTAATCCCATCTATAAGATTTCGTACATACTAACAGCGTTTCAGCTTGTATGCGCCTTCGTAAGCTCGGTAAAGGCCAGTCTGTCGTATTCATGGCTACCCAAGAAATATGCACAAAGATCTACGAGCGAACGAAGCAGGATCCCGATAAGCCCATCACAGTCATCAACGTGTTGTGCTGGAGCATTGGCGAGACTTGGCTCGATCTGTCGAGGAGTATGCCACTTTGGGCTGTACAGGGTCACCGCTACGAAACACACAAGCACCTTCTGAATGGTGCAAGCACGACCTTGTCACAAGCCCAAGCATTCCTCGAAGATGAAGCCCAGAGCATCGAAGACCGATATGCGCCAGTCACAAAGAGCACCGGTCAATCCATACTACGAGATCTGACTAATCCCAGCATCAAGCAGATTCACTCGCGTTGTGTTGAATTTCAGGCAGTGGATTTCAACTCCGCCATGTTGCACGAAGAACAAGAAGTGAGTTAGGGAATCAACAAGATTCATGTGCAGAGCTAATCTATCGTAGCGTGAGCTGAGCCCTGAGATTGAAGAGGAACGTCAAATCGAACGTCCACCCAAGATGATCGCCGAGAAGCACCGTCTCCATCCAGACCTCGCACATCTTGCGCGCTCTGGAGAGTTTCCCAGCGCGTCATCAGCGTTTGAGCCCGCTTTCCAAGCTCTCAAGTCGACCAGTGCTGCTGAGCACTACGATCTTACTCAATTTCCAAAGCACCTCCTTGTCACAAAGGACTTCATGCGGACAGTTAAGATTCCTGCAGTCTCCAGCTTTGTCTCAGACTCCTACCAGAGACCGGTTCAGTGGATTCTCTCAGTTGTCGATCAGGCCCACTCAAACGTCTTCAAGCACCTGATTGTTCTCAGCCCATTCGAAGCGAATCAGCTGCTGTCAACAATCGCCAAGCACAAGAAGGTAACCTTGCACCTTTACGCGCCGCGCTTCAACGCCAGCTTCGCACCGCTCGACAAGCTAAAGCTGCTCAACATTGGCCGCAACTTTGATGAGGGTCGAGTTCCACAGTCGCTCACAGTGCAGCTGAACCTCTTTGCTGGAAGTCTTTACCTTCGCTCTTTCGCCGAGTATGAAGCTGTCTGCGACTTCCTGGGTCTCCTGCGAGGCACAGCTGGCCCTGATCAGCAAGTCTTCGCCGATGGCTTCATCGATCCTCCTAGTGGAGAGTGGGGTCTGAAGACTTCCCCGGTGCAGTTCTTGCGCGCTTTGCTGATGAAGATTCGGAAGGAGGGAGAGGGTGTCGAAAAGACGCACATGGGCAGATTGTTAGGTGGCATTCGGTTGGAGGAATGTGACTTCGAGACAGAAGTTCCGCAGAATCAGGGTAAAACCTGACCTGGGACACCGGTGTCTGTGGTTCTGAGATAAATAGAGGTGGATCAAGGTGGTAAGAATGAGTTTTCGGATACGCTTGTGATCTGGCTCGCTTGCTGTCAGTCAATGTCAGATGTTGGTGGTGCTAAATCTTAAAAAAGGGTGCATGACGGACAACGCATCGAGAGATCCGAGGCAAATGAAAAGATGGAGCAGAATCGGATTTTCAACGAGTCAAAGCAAGATCGTGTGATCATTGAGATGTATGGAAAGTGCTTTCCATTGTTTTTCTGTGCTCATACATAGTCTAATCCAAATTCTCCACAAGAAAAGAATGACGCCCAGCGCGTTGAAGTCAAGTCACCAACTTTTCGCTTGCCATGAGCCAAACGCCCATTTGCTCGACCTTCGAAGCGATCAGCTTAGCAAGAAGCCACAGTGCTGAATACGCAGGTATCGGAAGCACCAGTGGAGACGGACTCGGGCTCGTTGCCGGGAGTGGTACCCTCGAACTCCTCGCAGATCTCCTTGACGTCGGTAGCGCAGGTAGCACTATCGATGGTGGCGGTGTCGCCGAAGTTGGGGTTGATGCCGACGAGGAGCTTGCCGCTGTACGCCTTGACGTTCTTGACGACAACGTGACGCTCGGCGCTCTCCTTGCAGTTTCCGCAGGAGCGGTAGAGCTTGCCGAAGTCGGCGACCTCGAAGCCGTCAATGGTAACGGTACCGGCACCGTTGTGCTGGATGACCTTGTCCTCGGCGCCAGTGGCACCTCCACCGGTGATGGTGGCGTCACCGTCCTTCTTCAGAGTGAGAGCATCTGCGCGATTGTTAGCATATGTGAAGTCAGCAATGGATTTTGGTGGTGCGTACCCTCGCAGACTGCGGCCCACCAGACGTTCTCGAGAGTGCAGGAACCCTGGCAGTGGATACCCTCAATCTGGTCCTCGCCGATGATGACGTTCTTGAGAGTGGCACCGTCAGCGAGCGAGAAGACGGCGTCAGAGTCACCGCCCTCGGCCTGACCAGTGCAGCTGACACCACGGCCGTAGGTCTTGAGGCCACCGTCGAAGGAGCCAGTGACCTCCTGGGTCTCGCTGAGGGTCTCAGTGCCCTGGGAGGAAGGGATGGAGATAGTGGCGCGCTTGGTAAGGCTGGAGAAGCTGGTGGGAGCCTTGTAGGAGGGGCCAGCAGCGGCGGCGGCGGCGAAAGCCAAGATGGAAGCAGCGACGGAAGCCTTCATGTTGATGGTGGTTGGGTGGAAGTAGGTGATAAAAATCGAAAGATTCAACGAGTGTTGGTGGTTTGAGCAGCGAAAGTGTGCGTCAAGCAACTGTAGAGAAGAGAAGTGAAGAAACTGTGAAGTTGAAGAGACTGTTGATGGCTCGATGATGAGTGCAGAAACTGATGGGTGCGGTTACCGCTCCATCTTATACTCATGCAGTCCATCTTGGTGGACCCATATCTCGGTCTTCTCGAATGCAGTCAAAGCCAGCGCGAAGGGAATAAGCGCATGCGCTTGGGCCACAGATAGAGTGAGCATTGGACATAACAGCGCTTCCGCGATGCCAAGAGAGACTTGAAACCGTCTACCGCACCCAAGAAGGGAAAGGTGGAGGTTGGTTATCGGGATGTAGGAGGTTTTCTGGCGCGAAACCGTGCTCATCTCTTTCGAAACTAGACACGCCGGGGTAGCCCAAGCCTCGCGAATCGGTAGTTGTTATCCGTAGTTCCAGATGGGGGATAGAGCCCGTCAACGATTCGTTTCAGGCTACCGACCCATAGTTTGCTCCAGTGAAGAGGCAGTGTTCGTTCACTGGGATGGGCTGACAATCTGCCAAACCTTGTTGAACATGTCGTGCATGACAATGTCAGCGGCTGTGATGCTGTAGCGATGTCCTGTCAACTGGTCTTCATGCCATCATCAAACCGCGGATTGGTAGACAGTTTGAACCACCATCAACTGCATGAACAGATGGCATGAGCATGGTTATTCGATCATAGTGCCCTTGCAATATCTTCACGTTCTCCCGGTTCGCGTTCCGAGGATCATGAAACCGTCAAGCAGGGTGTTTGAACGGTGGAAGAAACGATTGCAGGATCGACTGATTCAATGAGCAGGGAGCGTTCATCGGATTGGGATCAGCGTCGTCATGCTCCGCTAGCAACTGGGATGCAGCTCCAGCAGGCAAAGATAGCCAAGTCGAACTCTTGTTTACGATGCAGCGCGAGGCGAGCCCCCGTTCTCTGTGGTAGCAAACAATGCGCTGTTTCTCCGAGGCCACTGCAGGGTCAAAGCACTGTTTCGATCAGGCTGGTGAGAAGTTTGGTCGTGCAACAAATCGCTCAGGAGATGGAGATGTGGGTAACATACGTCGCAAAGTAAGGTGCCAAGGTCTTGGCCCCCCACAGTCGCCGGCGCAGAAGATGCTTGTTATCCCTCCGCCCTGGTCTTCACCACCAATCTGACTCGACACGACCCCGCCTTATCGGTCAATTTCATTTCGCCTGATGTCTGCTCTACGCGTCCTCATCTATAGTGTGGCGTCGAATGCTGCCTCGACTAAAAGCGGCGCCTCGTGCTATGGTCCAAATATCAGACGTCACGTTGGGAGTGAATGGAAGGACTAGATCTATTTCTATATGCCCTGATGACGCGGACTCATTTTGAGGATGGAGAACGGCTGTGCAGGGCCATCGCCACCGCGTGAGCCGCTGTGGGAAGGAGTGCTCTCGCCGTGGAAGTGGGAGGGGACACTGACCTCATGAGCCGTCGACACAATGACTTGAACGAGGCGAAACTACAGCAACAATGCTCTGAACAGGTGCGGTATTGCTCGCCGGATTTTCGCCTTTTCGCGACGTCGTGAAACTTCTTGACAATGCGTGTGGTAGTGGTGGCTGAGGAGTGGCACAGTAACAAGCCACTCTTGGCTGTATGCCAACATTTCCCCGGGCGAACGTCCCTTACACACACCACCACTACACTCCGGACTTGATTTCTTTTGCAATCGTGTGCATCTTTCGCAATGTCGACACCGTTATTCCTTCCACGTCGAAGATAGTCCTGTGGCCGGCACTGATTGGGTCGAACGGGGGAGCCAACCTGACAGCGCTGAGTCCGTCGAGTATCCTAGTCCATCTCTTTCGTGTCGGCTGTACATCTCATTGGAGTCATCACATCGTTGAGCGTCGTTCGTACGCCGCGCTGGTGAGACAAATGGGAGCTCGTGGAGGTGCTCATCTACGCACAGAGATCTGAGGACCCATCCTCGATCTTCGGGCAAGTCGACGACCCCGATGCTGTTCAAGGCCTACAAAATCCCTTGAACGTAGATATGCACTGTTATCAGTGATATGAAAAATAAATCCGGACTGATTGAAGATGTCTTGCAGGTTTATTGACTGTTGACGTTCTTTTAGAGTTGCCGACCGAGCCGTCCCCATCAAAGCGAAGCATAGACGAAGACGTCGAGATAGGCTTGCCGAAACAACCGTAGCGCAACGTATGCTGAAGCTGGCAAGGGTACAAAACGTCCTCACGAACCTGTGGAGCGTTCATGATAGGCAATTTAGCCTATGCGGATGTTATCACAGTTTGATGAACAGGAGGTGTAGTGCCAGAGGTTTGCCATGTACCTGGATAGATACATGGCGTGATTAGGTCAGGACTTGGTCTCTTCGTATGGTATAAGATGCTGCTCCAACCCGAACGACACAACAAGTCAGACTGGAAGCATCTGCTTCGAGACTACCCTTAAAGTGCTGATGTTTACGAGCCGTCCAATGTTCCCAGTGTGCAATGTCACCCACGAATGCTGCGCAGGAGGTGCAGCGATTCGATCTCATGACGACAATGCAGGCTTAGAGACGTTAGTTTTGTTTCCTGCGCCTTCAAAAACAGGACAGATGGAGTCATGTTAAGAGTCAGTGTGCAAGGCGAGATAATACATATCTGTTATCGATAGCAGTTCAGCCCTACGCGAGTCATAGCTCCAAAGTTCGTGCTCTTGAATTCTCCGCGACTGAAACACCAAAGCCTCATTCACAGTCGCCATGGCTGACGCGGATGAAGACGTCTCGCATTTGGGCGCGCAAGAAGGAGCAGAGAATGACCCTACCGAAGAAGCGCAAGACTTCCGCTTTCTCGACAAGCTCATGTGCGCTTCCACACACTTCTTGTATAGCATGAAAGCTAATTTGCCTGTGATAGAGGAGGCCACGATGTAGCGCATCTATCTCTTCCCAAGCGTGGAGAGAAAGACTTCGAATCGCACTCAACGAACCTACAACTCGACACACTCGAAGCCTCGCGGCGGGCCATGCACGGCGTACTGTCCTGGCAGCGAACGCATACACAGAAGAACCACATCTTGGCGCAATACCACCCAGAGACAAACACAGTCTGCGTAGACAAAGTCAAGTCGCAACACTTCCAGACGATCGGACGGTCGAGAGGCGGGAAGGAATGGTTGCTGCCCGAAGAAGCGCTGTTTATGATCGAGAGAGGAAGCCTGGACTGCAGATGGCCTGTCAAGAAAAAGGAGGGAGACGAGCAAAGCTACAAGACAGAGGATGGCGCGCCAATGAGCTTACAAGCAGCTTATGCGGCGTTCATCGGCTACGAAGAAGGCGTGGGCGGGAAGTTGACATTGGAGATGTATAACGTGTACGCAGGACTGAAGAGGTCTGGGTACGTGGTGTTCCGCACAGGCACATGGAATGAGGATCGGGGAGACCTATTGATCAACTACTCAAATTCGCAGGTCGAAGGCAGACTTGGATCGAACATCTTCACTCGCTTCTTCTCCGAGATCTGGCGGCGAATAAGCCAGCCATCCTACACGATCGCACCCGCAAACCTTTCATTTGGCCCGCTCATCAAGCCCGGGCTCTATCAAAGCTACAGTGACGTATTCCGCCTCATGCAGATCATTCCTACGCACGATCGCAAGACGCCACCATCTTTCACCCTCCCTCCAGCCGCCGAGAACCCCTTCCGTGTACACTTCGACGTCTACAGAACCACATCAGGTTTCCGCAAGACTGCACGTGGAACTCCTGACTTCCGCATCTGCGTCATCAACGCGCGCGAAACACCTATCCCAACAGGCGCACAACTGAACGATCTGTTTGCACAGGTGCCGGAAGACAGACCGAAAGCTGGCACACAGCACTACCAAAAGCTGAAGCATGGATGCAGGAATGTACTCCTGGCTGTTGTTGACAACGGAGTGCCTAGCTACATCAGAGTAGCTGATGCGCCGTTCGACGAGGTCAAGATCTATGAGCGCACATGGACTGGGCCAAGAGGCAAGGGCGGGAGAGGAAGAGGCGGTGGCAGGGGTCGAGGCAGAGGCAGGGGAAGATGAAGATCGATGACTTTGCGGCAATCCAAGTTATCGGGCACCGTCTTTGACGTCTAACGCAAGAGATCACATTGGAAGGTTCGACTGCATAGAAACCCGGCGTATCCTGTCGATGCTTTCTTAATCGTCTCAGACCCGTACCTTGCGCGGACTATCGATAGTACTCGTCTGAAATACAAACAGCAGCCACAGGAGATGAATGACTGTCACAGCGTTTGACGTAGGGACGGTTCACTGCTTCGCTACGCATCCCGGAGAGGGATTAAAGGATGCGTGCCACACCAGGAGTACGATATAAAATGTCAGGAAGTACAATGGCACAACTACTTCCAACTTCTGTGCTGAAGGAGCAAATATCGTCCATTGTTCATTGCGTACTAACCGATGGAGCAAACGTTAGCGAACCATTCATATCGCTCCTTAGGCTTCAGGTCTGAAGTGAAAGAGACATACGGTACCGGAACCAGCAAATTCTCAACACTCATTGATCACGGCAAGAAGCGAAGTGAGAGCTGTCAACTTGCCCAAAAGAGTAATTTTAAAATGTGTCGAATACGGCACCTCGTGGAGTGAAGGTCAACCCTGTCCAATGGGCGTTGTGAGCGTGAGCCCCACCGAAAACGAGCCGAGGCATCTTCCCCAGCTTTTGACAACCTCCGCGAACTCCGCAATTCGACAACCGTCACACCTCAGTTCGCTCTCCAACCCCATAAACCTGACATGACCGCTCCTTACAGACCAACCTGAAGATATTAGAGCACCGTAATTCGCAATGCCTACAGCAGCACCCAAAGTCAAGCCAGCAGCGCTCAGCAAAGAGCTCTCCGAACCTCTCCCCGAACCGCCATCCTTCGAGGGCAAGCCCGGTGTTCGAAGCATAGCCGGCGACCTTGCTGACCAGTCCGTCTCCCCTCCATGCTTTCTGAAAGCACATTGCTAACACGCTACAGACGTGTCAAAGGCAAAGTCATCATCGTCACCGGCGCCAACTCCCTCATCGGCATCGGCCGCGCCAGCGCCCACCAATTCGCGCGCCATGGCGCCCGCGCTTTGTACCTCTGCGACTACGACTCGTCCAACCTCGACCTACACAAGCGTGAACTCGCATCGCTGTACCCCCGGGTAGAAGTGCACACACGCCAATTCGACGCCGCCGACGAAGCCGCCGTGAAAGTCGTAGTCCAAGACGCCATCGACAAGTACGGACGTCTCGATGTCTTCTTCGCTAACGCAGGGATAAGCAGCGGAAAAGTGTTCTGGGAAGAAGACTCGGAAGGGTTCATGAAAGTCATGCGCACGAACGCTTTGTCCGTCTTCCTAGCAGCCAAATACGGCAGTCTTGCCATGCGCAAGACCAGCGCCGAGAAACCGTACCCCGGCGGGAGTATCATTGGGACTGCGTCTGTTGCCGGGCTGAAGAGTAATGCTGGCCCGACGGACTATTCGGCTAGTAAGGCGGCGGTGATTAGTCTGATGCAGACATGTGCGTATCAGCTTGTTGGTAGCGGGATACGGTGTAATGCCGTCTGCCCAGGGCTTATTGAGACGGGTATGACCAAGATCACGTATGACGCGGCGCGAGCTAGGGGCAGTGAGAAGAAGATTGGGCAGTTGAATCCGTTGAGGAGGGGTGGGCAGCCGGATGAGATTGCGCGCGCGGTGTTGTTCTTGGCGAGCGACGAGAGCAGCTATGTTAATGCGCAGGCGTGGGCTGTGGATGGCGGATTGAGCGGGGGAATGCCGTTTGTGCCCGGGAAGTTGGCGTAGGCGTCGTCGAGTCGGATTCAATTTTCATGGATGAAAAGTGGTGTGGGGGTCCTCTGTAGTATGTACATCCAGTGGTACACTTTTGGTCTATGCGTCACTCCGCCTCCGTCTTCTTGCTCTCTCGCTTCGGTCTGGTGCTTACCAACCACAGTCCACAGCAGTCTAGGGTCCGGGATGCCAGTGTTCCCCGTGCCATCTTCCTCTGTCTTCGTCGGTTCTCCTTCAAGAAATGTATATCTTTCTGAAGTGTAGGAGAGTGATAACCATCTCGCACCAGGCTTTGTTACGAGCGCCAGGTGTACGGCCATGAGTTCCAATGGATGGACTGGTATCTCTTTCAGCTCGACCTCAACCATTCTATCGGTCGATTCACGCTGTTTGGAGGAGACGGCGTATGGTAGCGAGCAAAGCACATCTTCGGCACACGAGATCGCGTCAGAAGTCGACTTGTCGATTACGACCGAGTACTTGCTGAGGTCGCAGGCTCCGATGAGCGATGTGTAATCCAGGAGATCTACAGCGCTCCATCTTGTGCAAGCGACTACGTTACCATTCATCGACATCATTTCGCGCAGTTCCTCCGCTTCGATAACAACCCTAGAGTAATCCACATTATGCACCTGCTGAGCACGTCTTACATGTGTCTTCAGATGCTGTGATAGCAACGACGATCCACAGCCTATGTGCAGTATCTCCGGTGCCGCATCGTCTATGGAACCGAGTGCTTCAGTGATCACGGGATCCAGAGCCTCCGGCGCGGAGAGCCAATCGAATGGTGCCGTGTTGGTGGTGAAGCGTTGGTCCCAGTAGTCCTGCGATCCGAACGATGGTGCCTTTGCCTTGGGTGGCATCTCGATATTCTGAGGACAGCGGTTGTTGAGCGGACCTGATCTTCAAGAACAGATACTAGAGCAGTGCCGGGAGGTATTCGCGATATTTTCGATCTGCTAAGGCTTGATCTGATGTCCGGATGTCCAAGTTGCGAGCGATCGATATAAGCTGCGCAAGAAGGAAAGATTTGACAATCTTGTGGCCAAAAACGAGAAACAAGGAAGGGTGAAGCGTACACTTTCTACCTAACCCATGGTTCGTTCAAGTAAAAAGATTGGAAAAGACCCACAACGGGCCGAGTCTATATTCACGAATCAGAGTAGACATTTTTGTCTTTTACACGTTCATTACTGAAGGCTGACAGCGCGTGGCCCTCATGGCCCTCAACGCGCGATCACGCCTCGGCCCCTCGGCGCTTTTCTCCCGAACAACTTCCATCTTTCCCATCGGACCTCCGCACCTTCCAATTCGCAGCACACGGCCGTGTCTCCCCTTCCACCACCATGGCCTCGCTGCACTCAATACCGCGCTTCCTGCTGCCACGGCAGCCCCTGCTCCGCCCCAACCGCTTCACGCAATCTCTCCTCCCAACATCCTCCGTCCGCCATGTATCCAATGCGCGCCAGCTCTCCGCAGAATTCGAGCGCCGCCGCGCCGCCGCCGCCAGCACAAAACAACACGTCATCCCCCAGCCAGACAAGTACAGGCCGCCTTCGCACGGCAAGACACTGCCGCGACGCTCGGATCCGGGCGTGGGGAAGGTGTATGGGCCGAAGCTGAGCGAGGAAGATAAGAAAAGGATGGCGACGAAGAAGTATCCGAATATGATGAGTCCCGAGGGCACGTTTAGTCATTGGTTTTTGAATAATCGGGCTATTCATTTGTGGATTACCATGGTGCGTCTCGACCTCACGCCCATCCAAACCCAGCTGAAATGAAACGGGATGGATGGTGAATGATGGATGGAGGATTTGCTGACTGTGATATGCTGTAGGGCATCCTCGTCTCCCTGGCTGTAGCAGCATGGTACATGGACTTCATGTCCAAGACCATCTACGCCGAGCTTCTCCCCGACCGCCGCGAGTTCCTACGCCACCCCATCCAGAGCTCGAAGCGCTTCATTGAAGTGTACAAGATGCACATGGCGCATACGAGCCAGGTGTACTCGGAGCAGAGGCTCAAGAAGGCAGAGGATATTGAGAAGAGGAAGCAGTATAGACTGGAGAGGCAGAGGGAGGCTGAGGAGAAGGGCGAGGAGTACGTTGAGGATCCAAGGTACTATGTTGGTGAGGATGGTGTGAGGAGGAGGAGGGTCAAGAGGTGGTTCGGTATCTGGGAGTAGACCCTGGAAGAGCGGGGAGTTCCAGCCAAGCTTGTTGGGTGAGGGAGTCATGCGGCGAAGGGGAGGTTTTGAAGAGGAGGAACGTGTGTACGATAAGTGGGACGAACAGGGTAGGGCGCACTGGCCGCAGTGTGTGAAGGGTCACGTTGGAGGAGAAGAAGTTTAAAGATTGGGCATCTGAAAGGGTCTCAATAGCAGACGATTTTAGTTCGTTCCGAAGCGGGCAAGCAGTCGATCACATTCTGCATAGAGCGACGAGAGTAGCATGTACAAGTCATGTACAGAACCATGTATACGTATATATACCACACAACAACACTTACACCTCGTCTATCAGCTGTATATACCCGCAGCCCAACTTTTCCTGCTCTCTCTGCTGTCTCTTCCGTAAAAGAGGATATCTACTTGATGCGGACCACCATCCTTGCCCTCACGGTAACTGTACTGGATCTTCTCATATCGGAGCTTGGTGTCTTGCTTGATTTCATCTCCACTCATGTTCATTCTTCCGCTGTCCTTGCCGATGCGGCCAATGACGGGACTCAACAGCATCGCCATACTGAAGTAACTTTCGTCTCTGATGATTGTGCGGTTCGCGAACAGTACTAGGCAGCAGAATGCAGCAAATTGCATGAAGCAAATCCCGCCCAATATGCTTAGCATGTAAGACCAATCGACGTTGAGCTGCTGGCCTTGTGCTGGGACAGTGCCCGTGATATTGTGCCGGACGCCGTGGTCGTCAAATGCAGCGATTGCGCCAATGGTAAAGCGCATCAGTATATCGGCTACTGAGGACTCGTTCATGACGCTCACAGGAGACCACTTGGAGCCCTGTGTGTAGGTTCGCCATTGTATGTCCTCCCAGCCTATTGTCGGTATGCCTGTCCAGCCTATGGATCCTGAAGCTGTGCGCGCCCAGTCATCGCTGCCAAAAGCGGCAAATGCATCCGTATCATTGCCTATCCCGATGTCGGGCCCGTCAACACCCCATTCCACCATGGAAACGGTACTGTTGCAAAGAAAGAGTGATGTTTCAGTGATGTTGTAGCTCTTTAGTGCTGGCTGCACAACAGTGAAGTTTGTGCAGCGTGCACCACAATACTCCGGTACAGAAGCCATCCAAGTGAGGGCTCCACCAGCGTACTCGGGCAGATAATACTTGGTCCAGTTTGTTGCGGTGGGTAGTTTCCCCTCGATACTGAAGGTGCTGTCATCATCTACAATCCCTTCCTTTACGTCGAGCTCGTCACATGTCGCCCTAGCGTATATGATGCGATTGCTGAGGAAATAATCAGAATACTGGTGGATAGGGTTACGATTGAAGAAGCGATATCCGTAGGAGTCCTCATATTTGTACAGCGGTGTACCTGAGAGGATGGAGAGATCTTTCTGTGTGTCATTGGGCATATAGTCAGTATAAGCAATGGCCTCCATGCCGAGCATCCATGCCTTCTCAAAGTCCAGAGATTGCTTAGTCTCCGGGTCCTCAACGGGCTGCCATCGCGTTAGGTCTGCAATGACAACACTGCCGTGAGTGAGTAGCGGAGATATAGATGCGTCCATTGGATAGAAGAGACTCGAGAGGGCAATGAGCACCTGCGAGCCAATGTTGATGCCCAGCCAAATCAGACATACGAGCCACGTCCATCTGGAACCATCTTGCCGCACAACTTTGAACCAACCAAATCTTTGCAGATATTTCCAACGCCGGACCAAAGGCAGAGAGATGACCATCAGTTTGACAACATTGCTCAGTTTCTCTAGGCCGAGAATAAGATCGAATGTCTCCAAGGACACATATCGCCGACTCAGCAAAGACCAACGAAGAATACCGGCATAGTTTTCGAGCGATCCGAGGAGGTTGAGACCCAAGCAGAGGGAAAGAGCAATCATGAGAGAGTTGAAAATCCTGATGTCCTTTTTGGATAGTACGAGAGGTCCGTGGAACCCTTCCCAAGCTTTCAGCGTGATACACATCAGCACGCTAAAGAGGATCGTGACCAAAAGCCTGTAGCCTCCTGTCTTGAACAAGTGCTTTCGCGCCTGGTTATGATCGAAATGTTTGGTGTGTGGGCGACGGCTGTGGTGACTCAGTAAAGATTGGTTGTCTGGATCGTGCTTGCCGAGAGGGCCGTTGAGCGACATGTAAGACCCGCTTTTGTCGCCGTGAGTGAACGCATCTGGTGATGACACGGGCGAAGCGTATATGTTCTCCATCGCAATGTCTCCGGCATTGTAGGTGTCTGGCTCATCGTATGGCAAGACCGGTGTGGTTGGAGATGGGCTCGATTTGGATCCTGATTCTGTTCGCGGGGATAAAAGGGTTGGTCCCTGGTTCATGACGGCAGTCATGTCTGCACTGCGTTCGTAACGGCCCATGGAGGACAATCTGGCGAAGCAACAGAATGTTGGATTTGCAACAAGGCGAAAGAAGTGTTTGCCAAATGTTGGTTCAGGACGTGAAGAGTATGCGCATCACGAAGTGACGAAGCGAAGAATCTAGGGCAGCGCAATTCGACCTGGGTGTAAGATAGATGAAAGTCAGGTATACTCAAAAGCCGCAGGGCTGAGCGGACTCCTTGTTATGTGTGCCCTGCCGTCCCTACACACCCACTTGCTCATGGTTGTTTCGATTGGCCGGGATCTTGGGGGCTAGAACGTAAGGCTGCGTCCACCATCTGGGCTGGAGGAGCTTCTGTGCTCGACCCGAAGGCGGGTTTAGTCTTTAACATCAGTAGATCAGTCTCAAAGATCTGTCTATACAACGGCAGGTCCAAATAGCTATGACTGTGCCGGTTGGAGCATGAAGATCTACAAACACTCTGCAAGAGGTTGGGCGCCCTATCTTCAACAGTTCTGCAGGAAGATGCGATCGTCAAGGGTTGCTATTTCAAGCGAGCCTAGTTCGTTTTCTGGCAAGCCAATGAAGGATGCCATTCGCTTGGGTTCGTCCTGTACTCGTTGTGTCGTTATCCAAGCTGGATGAGGCTAGATCACCAAAGACAATTTGGGGGCTGAAAACTGTCCGTAAGCGCGAACGCTGCGGGCGCCTTCCGTCTCTCATCGTTCCGGGCGGGCCGCAGCACGTGGGGTGAACGATGGAAACGACCTGACTAATCAAAGGCATGGTTCAGGCGGATATCGTGATGCAGTTTGTGTTTTCAAAAGTGCCTGCGGTTGTTGCAGCCTAAGAGGTGAGGTGTGGAGAAGCGGGGTGGGGAAACAGACCCCTCGCGCCTTCCTTCGACATATCGTCGCAGCAAATGGCTTCAACGCAGCTCTGTCATCTTGAATGTTGACATCTTGAGGTCTCTGCATGCCTTCGAGTCCCCAACTGGCGTTTGGTCACTTGTATTAACCCATACCAATTGCCTCACCAATCGAAATCCCGAAGGTACGAGGTGAGCGCGGCATGATTACGCGCTTTGGCGTAGTCTACACATCTTGGCATACTGTTGTGGACCCTCGGCCTCAACGCCCTCGCAACAACGGATGACAAATGTGAGGTCGTTGTGCAATCCTCACAGTGCGTGACACTGTTCTGCCGTCGATATAACTCTCAAGAACCTACAAACCAGGAAGCACAGTGACCAAGCAGAGAAAGCCTCACTCAGTTCCCACAGTCTCTACTCAAGCATTGAACATACCAGCCTCCCAGACACAATGTCAGCTCAAACCATCTTGTATGACCTACCCTCCCAACAGGGTACAGCTTGGTCCCTCAACCCTTGGAAGAGTAAGCAATGCCCTCAACAGAGACGTTCTGGTGCTAACAAGGCCAGCACGTTTGATATTGAACTACAAGGGCATCGACTACAAGACAGAATGGGTCGAGTTTCCAGATATCGAAGCCAAAATGAAGTCATTGTGAGTACCAACCCACGCTAAACACGAGACTAGACAACTGACACCAGACAGGGGACTATCACCAAACCCGAAAGATGCGCTTGGCTATTTCACGGACTACAGTATCCCAGCAATCAAATACGAAGACGGTAGCTACCAAATGGACTCGTGGCCCATTGCACAGGAGCTTGAGAAGCGTTATCCCTGTCCATCTCTCCACCTGGACGATCCTATCAATGTCAAGATCCGTGACCAGATCTCCACGATCCTGGGTCCAGTCATTATGCAGTTCCTGCCCTACATTCCCAATCTACTGTCCGAGAGATCGCAGGAGTACTTCTACAGGACTCGCGAAGCAGAATTTGGCAAGCCACTCTCGGAAGTCCACAAGGAAGCTCTGGCGAATGCGGAAGAGGGCTGGAAGAAGACGCAGGAGCCGTTGAAGGAGACAGCTGATTTGCTGAAGAAGCACGACGGACCTTTCTTCTTGGGAGAGTCGGTCTCATACGCAGATTTCATCTTTGTTGCGATGTTGTACTTCGTCAAGTGTCTCGACGAGCAGGCGTTCCAAAGGATCCTGTCGTTCGACGCGGCGTTCTCCAAGGTACATGAAGCGTCCAGGCAGTGGTTCACAAAGAACAACTAAGCTCTCTCTCAGTAGGATATCAACTCTTCTCTGTTCAGGAAATTAATTTGTTACCACAAATCCAAACATGAGACTCACGGTTTGAGGAAGTTCAGATGCATCTGCCAAAACTCTGTTGTGTTGATGATCTCAACGCCTTCCTGAGCACCTCTCGATCCGACTCAAAATGCAACTTCTGCACTGCGTCGTCGGCTGTGAAGAACCCTGGCTTAAACTACTCTTCTCCAGGCCCTCTCCGACTATACGCATCATACTCTAGCACCACGATATACCACCAAACCAGCTTCGCCCCATTTCCCTTCGGCAGCTCCCTGGCTGTACACATGAATGGCTCGCTGAAGCCTATCTAATACAAGCTTCATCCGGGACGTCAGGGAGATCGACAGCAGTGAAAGCTCTTGTAGCCATCATGACAGGTAGGAGTCGACGTGGAAGGCCCGTCTCTTCTGCCACCTCTCGCACCGCAGCTTCCTTCCGTAACTCGCCAATACTTCGACGCCCTTTGGGCAGCATCCACTCATTCGTGCTTAGAAGGTTTACCAGGCAGACTTTGGCATTTGCTGTGACCAAACTCGATTCAGCCATGCTGCGATGAAGTGTAATGTTGATGAGTGAGTGCAGCTTGCTTGACGTCCCCTCATCGCGTGTTCACGTGGAGCGTGTTAGTCGTGCTTATCCCCGCACGTCACTCCACTTCGTATCCTCTCATCGTCCTCTCGTCAGAAAGACCGTCATCTCTGATCTGGAGAGCCACACTCCCATTTCGCGGTTTTCCATTATGTCCGTCCAATCTCCGCCTACTGCTGATCGACGACGTTCGATCCACCAGGAGCGCGTTCCGACACCTTGATGGCACTGCCGTGGCCCCTTATGATATCATCATCTGGACTGCGGACTACCGCCCGTCAAACGTCGCCACGACGGTGCTTGGAGTACCTCACTTACTTCTCCGCATCTGCACTTTTAGGTTACAGTCGCAGCTCAAAATGTTCGTCTCCGTTACTCAATCGCTCCGCACAAGCACAGCAGCAACCAGACTATCACAAATCACACGGCAATTCACCACTACGTCCAGAATGGCTTACAACGGAACACAATTGACACTCAACACGGGCGCAAAAATTCCCGCCATTGGCTTCGGCACTTGGCAGGACAAGGACGCTCAGGAACCGTAGGCGCTTTCACTATCATCTGTATTCGGCGCGGCTACTAACACATACACAGAGCTGTCACTCACGCATTGAAGGCCGGCTACCGCCACATCGACACAGCACGCATCTACGGCACGGAGCCCGCAGTCGGCAACGCCATCAAGAAGTCTGGCATCCCGCGCTCAGAAATCTTCCTCACAACCAAGCTCTGGAACAACTCGCACCACCCCGACGATGTCGAGGCCGCCCTCGATGCCTCCCTGAAGGATTTGGGCACAGACTACGTCGACCTGTACCTGATGCACTGGCCCTCGCCCTTTGCGCGCAGTTCGGAAATGTTCCCCAAAGACGACAACGGCAAGACCAAGACCGGCGACACGGACTACGTCGACACCTACAGGGCGATGGAGAAGTGCTTCAAATCAGGCAAAGCGCGCGCGATCGGGGTGTCGAACTTCAGCAAAGCGGAGCTCGAGCGGCTATCCACAGAGACGAGCGTCGTCCCCGCCGCGCACCAGATCGAGTGCCATCCGTATCTGCAGCAGCCCGGTTTTACAAAGTGGCACAAGGAGCAGGGCATCCACGTGACGCACTACTCGCCATTCGGAAACCAGAACGAGATCTACGACTCGGGCAAGGGGCTTGGGAAGTTGATGGACGACCCTGTGCTTGTGGAGATTGGCAAGAAGCATGGCAAGAGCGGTGCGCATGTGGCGCTGGCGTGGGGCATTGCGCAGGGGCATAGTGTGATTCCCAAGTCCAAGACGGAGAGCAGGATTACGCATAACCTTGAGGGTGATTTTGAGTTGCCCGAGGAGGATGTGGAGAAGATTGCGGGGATTGATAAGAAGATGCGGTTCAACGATCCGTCGAAGAACTTTGGGTGGGACTTTTACAAGGATCTTGATGGCAAGAAGCACTAAACGCGTTCCCGGACCAGCGATGCTGTAGGATCTGCACGAGCAAACGAGAACAATGAACATGGACCTGTTTCGTCTCCATCGTTGCGATTTACGGGGCTGGCACCCCAACGCCGTACTCCATTTTGATGACTACATGTAACCCAACGCCTCGAGAGGTATCTTGAAAATGCAAAAGTGAGCAAGAAAATGCAAGATGACCGAAGTCGAGACACCTCAATGCTGAACAATAGGAGAAGAGAATGTTGCGGCCGTGAGGTGCAATGCCCAATAACGCCTTCCCTTGACCAACCCAGTCCCCCTAACCGTCTACCCTTCTTTCATGCATACCCTTCTTTCATGCAATGTGTGAGCACGCAAGTGCACCTATGATGACCAACAGGCTCTCCGGCTCAGCTGAGCCTGGTCGACCTCCTGACGCCCTTCCTCTTCTGACTGACCACCCTCCTCACTGGACGTGTGGTTCCTCGCTTCAGTCCTCGCTCACTTCTCGTGCTCGCCGAGAACTTGGGTGTGAACCTGGTAAACGCACAGATCGTGCAAGGCTTGCCGAGCTGATCGACGTGCGCAGCATGGAAGGCACGCGTGCCGTAAAGCCGAAAAGCCATAGCTTCGACATCGATGCGCAGGACCCACGGCGAATTGGGGCCGGGGCCGCGGATCAAGGGCGAGGACAGGACGGTGGAGATTGAGATGTGGTACTGGCGCTCTACTTCGTCGACGGTCTGCAAGCCACGTTAGTCCACATGCACGCAAGGACGAGAATGCATGATGGCGTACCAAGGTCTGTCTGTAGAAGCAATCCTCGCACGCTGCAATCAGCCGCTTCACCAGAGGGAACGGATAGCAGTCTAGGCCGACATGACAGTAGATACACAGTCTCGGCGCGTGCTGCAACCACAGCCTCCTGTACACGATCTGGCTCAAGTCCGGGTACACACATGCCGCACCGTACCTGTCGTAGTGTGCGAACGGCAGGTTGAACATATTGCACGTCCGCACCAGGTGCCCGCAGTAGCTTTCGACGAACTCATGGAGGCGCTTCGAGGTCAGCGAGAGGACGTGGAAGGGGTGGCGCAGCGAGTGGAAGTCGAAGATGTCGGCGGCCCAGCGCTGCGAGTCGGGGAGGGTGGTGAGGTCTTCGCGGTTCTTGATCTCGAGCTTCGTGTGGCGGGGGAAGTTGTGGGCGCTTTGGGCCTGGGTGAGCCCGGGCAGGCGCGAGCGGGGGTGGATGAGATGGGAGAGTATCTGGTTGATGATTTCTACGGGCAACTTCTCCAGGCAACTTTTTGGATCTGGTGATGTAGCAATTGCAAGTCTCTGACAACTACTGGGCTGGTGTAGTTGCTGCACGGCCTGCAAGAAGTCTATGTGCAGCGACGAAGATGGTTGCACAAACTCGTTGTCACGGGCCAGCCGGGAGGAGGGAAGGGGAGGAATCTGGGCTATCGATAACTCGGCTGGCGAGAGGACGGCGGCCATTGAAGGAACGAGCGGCGCACAGCACACAGAGCAGAGGCAGAGGACGGGAGGCAGGCAGATCTTGTATGCAGACGCCCGGGGCAGGGCGTGCCTTATACTGGCCTGGTGGAGCAGCCTGGTGGAGCGGCCTGCTGGAGCAGCCTGCTGGATGCAGTGCGCGAAGAAATGACAAGGAGACGAGCGGCGGCACAGCAGTCCAACAGCGCAGCGCTCTCGGGATGCCGAAGGGCCCTGCGAGCACTGCACCCAGCGCTGCAACGAATACTGTACCCAGGAATGCACTCAGGACGGCACCCAACGCCGCACCCAGCACCGCACCACACCGCACCGCACCGCACCGCACTGCACCGCACTGCACCGAGCACTGCACCTAGGACTGCCCCTTCACTGTGAGTGGCTCGAGGGCGTCCTCGCTGGCTGGTTGCGGCATAGCAGCGGGAGTTGGCCGCCGGGGCTGCATGCCAGATCACGCACTGATCGGGATCGGTGCTGGGTGAGGCCATGGGCAGATTGGCGAGCCTGCCATTGTCTGCACAGCGAGGTGACTTGTCGTCTTCTCGCAGGGGGCCTTGCGCGCAACTCCGCGTCGCCCGCCAATCACAGTCGACTCACCTCCCGAGCGCCCAACGTCCCCGGCGGCCTGGCCCTCGGCCAATGACCTCGCATACACTCCGGGACATCGCGTCTTTTTGCGTCTCCCTGCGCAGACCGCCGAGCAGATAGCATGGCTGCTCAGGCCCACACAGGAGCACGCGTGGCCCACGAAGGCGGCGCCCTGCCGGAGAGGAGGGTCAAGGCCGAGGCAGCAGGCGGTGATGGTCGTGCGCCGCGGCCAAGCGCGCAGGAGGTCGACGACGGTGCGCCAGCGACCAAGGGCGACAACGGCAACGACAACAACTACAACAACAACAACAACTACAACAACACCAACAACGACGACGATGACGACGACGACGACGACGAGGTCGAGGGCGCCGTGTGGGAGACGGCCTCGCTGTTCGAAGAGATCCTCGACGATGTGGCCGCCTTCGAGTACTCGAGCAACAGTATGCACCACACTGTCCCACCGGCTGCACAAGGCTAACAGCGCCAGACAGCGACACATGCACGGCCGACGAGGCTCGCCAGCTGCGGCTGCGGCTTCACGCGGTCGGCGCGAGCCAGTTCGTCATGGAAAACATCACCTCGGAGAAGATGACGGCCCGCAAGCTGTGCACCGCCTTCAACGTCAGGATCCCCCGCTTCCTCGACGACGCCCCCGACGAGAACTTCTACCAGCTGCTCGGCCTCGCCATCAACCGCGAGCTGAACAAGCGCCCGCGCCTCGTCCAGTACAAGACCATCGACGACGCCGCCAAACTGCTGCAGGACCGCCAGAACATCATGGTCATCACCGGCGCCGGCATCTCAACCAGCCTCGGCATACCTGACTTCCGTTCCAAGAACACCGGTTTCTACTCGCGCCTGCGGTCCATGGGCTACGACGAGCCCGAGCAAGTGTTCGACATCCACAACTTCGACGAGGACCCGCGCATCTTCTACCAGCTCGCTGGCGACATCGTGCCCGACCTGAAGAAGTGGACGCCCACGCACGAGTTCATCAAGCTGCTGCAGGACAAGGACAAGCTGCTCACAAACTACACCCAGAACATCGATAACGTCGAGGCAAACGCGGGCATCCGCAAGGAGAAGCTGATCCAGTGTCACGGCTCGTGGGCGACAGCGACGTGCAGGAAGTGCAAACACAACGTCCCCGGCGAAGCCATCTTCGACTCTGTGCGCGCGATGAAGCCTGCAGAGTGCAAGCGCTGTGTGGAGGAGATCGCCAGTCAGAAGCCGGGCATGAAGCGGAAACGAACCTCAAACGGGCACGGGGCCAGGAAGAAGCGCTCGAGCGACGAAGACTCGGAATCAGACGGCGCCTTCGACATTCCGCAGCCTGGCATCATGAAGCCGGATATCACCTTCTTCGGCGAAGCGCTGCCGAACGACTTCTTCGACCGCCTCAAGGATGTCGACAAGGATAAGGTGGATCTGGTGATCGTCATGGGCACGAGCATGAAGGTTGCGCCCGTGTCCGAGATCCCGAACTTCTTGCCGCGCGATGTGCCGCAGATCTTCATATCGCGAGACGTAAGTGTGCTAGAGCCACATTGCACAAGCACAACACCGCACTAACATCTGCAGCCCATCCACCACATCAATTTCGACATTCAACTCCTCGGCGACTGCGATGTCATTGTCACCGAACTCGCGCGCCGCGCAGGTTGGAAGCTGAACCACGACATGCTACCCGACGATCAGACGGTAGACGTTGTACCTATCGACGAAGAAGAGCACGAGTACGGCGTCAAATTACAAAACTCAAAGCCGGTCGTTGAACCACAGACGGAGCTCAAACTGGAGGCTGTCAAGAAAGTTGAGCTTGAGGCCGGATCCAAGGGTGCAGATGAAAAGGGCGAGGGCGAGGGCGAGGGCGAGGACGGGAGAGTCGAACGGGAAAAGGCTGAGGCCGAGTAGTATGTGGCATCGAGCGATTGCGCCTGGAAGACGGCAACGACGAGGATCGACATTAGATCGTTATTGGCGTTACGAGTGGCATTTCTGCAAGGCGTTCATCAGGTGTCTGGGCATTCCGGGATCTGCACAATGGCAAAGAGGATGATGCAGAATTGGGCATGGGAGACGGTGTTCATGAACAGGCAGGAAAGATGGATACCAGAGGACGTGGGCTACCCTACCCTACCCTACTACCCCGCATGTTGCGATGCTTTCGTAGACCACTGCTTGTTCATTGCTTCCTTTTTCCATGTTACATCTCATACTACAAAAGCAAAAATAGTCACCTAATTGTATACTCGTTCAAACGCCGAGTCTTTCGCATGGCAGCAACGTTCGTAGGGCTGAGGCATGTGCCCACGCGACTGCCCCACACGGGACGACGCGCCGCGCTAGCGAAAGCTTTGGAGAGCTTCGACTCAAGCCCCAACTCTCTCCGCAACGTCAATTTTCAAAACGACCCCAAAGACGGTCCGAAACCGCGCAGGCCGACATTCCACGAGTATCGAAATATCGCGCTCGCTTCCATCCGCCATGCTAGACCTCCACAAACCCGATCCCTCCAGCGACACAAAAACCTACTTCTCGCACAGTATCCTGCCCTCCTACATCGACCCGCTCAACACGTCCACCAAGAAAAAGCCCTTCACCACCTTCAGCGCCCAATCGCATAGCCACACGCTCGATCTCATCCTCCCCGCCGAACTGTGGGACCTCGTGCGCACACACCTCTCCGCTCATAGCGAACGCGTATATGCGCGCGCATTCCTCAAATTGTCCGACATCCTCGAGGAAGACTTTCTGGACGCGTACATACGGAATGGCTCAGTAAGTATGCTCAGCGCCGGACGGCCGCTAGTGGACACACGCTTCGAGATCGTGGAGGGCGTGCTGAGGATGGAGATGGATCGGCCGACGTACGAAAGAGCGGGGCTGGTAGGCGTTCCTGTTGAGGATGGCGGAAAGAAACATCAAAGGAACAGGTGGAGAGTGGAGTACGATTTGAAGCAGGCGAGTATGAAGAAGGGGAAGAGGGGGTTTGAGAGGTTGCGGTGGGCGGCGAAGAACGTACAAAATGAGAGTAAGAGCTGGTTGTTCTGGAGCGGGAATCCGTCGTTTGCGGAGAGTGTGAGGGAGGGGAGGGAGGTGCTAAGTAGGCATGCGCCAAAGGTTTTTGTGCTGGAGCCGGAGGTCACGACGATGAAGGGAGTGGTTGTGCCGAAGCTTGACGTGAAGGGGAATGGACTGTCGGGGCTGTACGATCAGGATGAAGCGTTGGCATTGCTGGAGTGGCTGGATATGCTCAACCTCGGGTCATCGAGAGTTGAAGAGGGCAACGAAGTGGATAGCCATCTGTGCCGATACGATGTGCCTGACTTCGGCCATGGTGTGGAAACGGGTGAGCTCGTAAGAGTGCGATGGAGTGGCTTCATCACTCCAGGGTTCGTCAAAGATCTGTTCTTGGAGGTGTGGAAGGCTGGGTTCAAGGGCAAGCGGGAGCCTAAGAGAAGGAAAGGAAACGGTGCTCCAGGCAATCAAGATGAAGATGTTACGATGGATGGTACGCAAGACGAAGCTGATGCGGGGAAGTGGTTCGCGATGAGTACTCAGGCGTTTGGAGGCAAGAACGCGTGGTCGCTCATGCAGTTTGCGAATCGGGAGACGCTGGTTTGGGAAGTTGAGAGCTGAGTGCGAACCGCCTACTACACAATTGGCGTAGTGAGGTTCCAGCCCTTACCGTCTTCATGTACGGAGACTCCGCAGAGATAGTTTCTGTGCCAGCACTGGCAGCGCCTCGTAAGAGGGAGGTGTAATTGCAAGGCCTTTAGTCGCTGTGTCAAGAACTGGTTGCGCTAATCTATAAGGGTCTGCACCAAGGCACCGCGACTCCAATGTTCAAAGAGTTGCGCTTTTCGTTCAAACCTTGGACGTGCTATTGCGCAAAACGACACTCGTGGAGGCCAAGAACCGTGGTCGTTCATACACTGCGCACATCGGGGACACTGGTTCGCTGAAAGCTGCATTTGTTGGTGGGTTGCTTGACAAAGAGGGCAAGAATTCTTCCGGCTAGATTGCTGGTTGCCGGGTTGTACTTGGGAAGGGCTTACGATCGATGTCGAGGTCTTCCTGGAGGCTCTATGAGGCCGAAACGCTGCAAGGCTGGTGGCGTTGCTTGCTGAACCCTGCGCTTCGAGATTCTGTATCTTACACTGTGTCACTTTGCCGCTTCCGCTGATGCAGAAGGAGGTGATGGATCCTTTGTCGAAAGACAATCCTTCACCTTTCGACCCCGGATACGGTCAGACAAAATGGAACCACCATCGCAACGGCACTTACTTCTGGGCTTTGGAAGAGCAGCTGTGATACCCGCTCTCCATGGCCGAGACTACGTTCCAGAGTCGTGGCTGGATCTTGCAAGAAGGTTGCTTTTCGTCGCGAACAATCCGTTTTACAGACACGCAGCTCTACTGGGAATGTCGTCTTGGATCTGGAGCTGAGACATGGCCATGCCACATCCCTGACTTTATCGTGGCTCCGTCCATGACTCGACAAACATACTCCTTTGCGTCGCAGGTTAACCAGGGAGCTACCGAACAAGAGATTCTGTGGAGATGGATGGTGCTAGTCAACCGCTACACGAGCTGCCTTCTCACGCGCGAAAGCGACAGGCTCTTTGCTTTCTCAGCCATGGCACGAGAGTTCGCACTGATCCTCAACGATACATACATAGCCGGGCTATGGAAGTGAAATTTTGTATCGCAGCTCAACTGGGCAGTACCATGTTTCGACCGGAAGAAGAGCCCCCAGGTGTCTATACCGCTCCTTCATGGTCCTGGGCTGCTGTTGGAACGCTTGCACAGTTCGCATATCGATTCGAGATGCGGAAAACAGGCCTCCCAGAGACGATGGATCTAATTGAAATAATTGACGCTTCTGTCATCCCCAAGTTTGATGGGTAGGGTGCAGTGCGAGACGGATGCTTGGCTATGCGCGAAATTCAGAGAGAACTGGAAAGGATAGAAGCCACAGACGTTGCGAGCGGACCAAACTATTTTCAGATCCGGCAATCGTACAGCTTGTTGGCTGCACCTGAACCCATAGCATCAGATGTAGCCAGTCTGGAGCCGACTTTCGTGTTCTCGATAGACTATGTTATGTTCGAGCCGCGCCGGCAGATTAGGTCATCTACTTGCCCACGCTGGTCACGAAACAGCCACGCGAGTCCCGCGTCGTCGGCATTGCGCTAGAACCAGTTCCAGGACGGGCCAACGTCTTCACTCGAGTTGGGCGCTTTGACTTTCTAGTCGAGTTCTGGGACAACCAATCCAGCGGAAGCTCAGATGTGGATATGGGGAGAAGATGAGGATGATGCTAATGATGACGAGGTGTCTGAAAGCCTCGGGCTTGATGACCCAACCGAAAGGCTTCACTTATTTTGGGAGTGAGATATGCTGTCCCGTGCTTTCCTAGGAGATGATCGGCCTTTGTTCGAGATCAACGCTGAGACGCAAGGATATGGTCTTGTGAGTTTTGATGGGCTTCCAAAGATCACTATAATCTAAATTCAGCTCTCGAATCATGAGCGATATCATCATTTGTCTTGAGCATTTCGTCAGAACCCAAATGCTTTCATCATCACGTCTTCTCACGATTCCCATGTGCACCGTCTTCCACCGAAGGTTCGAGCGGTACGTCTCCTATGATGCCGAGTCCCAGATCAACATCCGAGTTCTCCTCGCGTAAGGGTTACCATGCCTCCAACCCGCTGCAGAAGAACAGGTTGAATCATGTCTGCTTTATCCACTCATACGCATGAGTCGATGCTCGTTTGGACTTATGCCAAGGCGATTCTCAGGTCAAAGTGGTCCCTCTGAAAAGAGTGGATGGTTTGGAACTTCCTTGCGAACGTATAATCCTGATAAGATAGACAAGAATAGTAGCGACAAGGGTGAGTCGTTTGATAATTCGGGCATTAAGAGATTTCATGCACAATCTTCGCATGTTTTGAGAGTGATGTCGTTCGTCTGATACTTGTCCGGAGACGACGGGTTCTGGTTTTAGGTCAACGCTGGGATGCAAAAGTATCGCCTTATCCAGGTAGGAAGCTGGGCCAATGTCCTATCCTCAAGGTCGTTCGATTCGACGTTATGCTTGGCCTGCGGATTTTCTTCACAAGAAATGCAGTTAGAGCCCTGTAAGTAGTGTTCTGTTATGGTAGGATGATCAGTAGAGGCAGTCCCGGTTATGGCAATCAGGTGCAGCGTCAGAGCACCTGATTTGTGGGCAGGCAAGCAATTGCAGGCACGAGCAGACAAGAGCAAATCTGAAATTGACACTCGTGGTAGGCGCAAAGCATACGGGTGAGCCGCTCGTTGCATTCATCGCTTCTGATAAGCTTAGGGAGCAGGTGTCGTGGTTGCCATAGAGTGATAGGAAGGTGAGTTGTGGAAGGAGCACTGCGGAAGGAGCGTGAAGGGAGGAGGAGGAGCGTACGAGCACACCATATCAGGAGTATCAAGAATAAGCGTTGCAGTGTAAGGCACTGATGCTGACTGTGAGCGACGAAAACTCGAGAGCAAATCCTGCCGCAAAAGCGACTTCAGTCATAAAACCACAGGTCTCTTTATGCCTGACAGATTCACGTTATCCTTCTTCCATTGATGGAATCAACCTTGAACTCGCTCTCGCACTGGTCTGTAATCGCTTGTGTGCCGCCACACCGTACACAGCTGTACCTGTTCATTGGAAAAGCTTAGGGTCAGGGATTCCACCGATTCAGCTTGAGCAGAGCCTGGAGACCAGTCGAGCTTGGCTGCGAACCACGAAAATTTTACAGGCCGATTGGGACGTCCATGATCGCTGTACACACGTTGCTCATTGTGAGACGATGATGGTATAGGCAACAGCAAGGACGTGAGGGCGCGCACGTGTTGAATTTGTCAGGACTCGACTTGGTGCCGACAACCCAACCAACCTGGAGACTGTTCTTTGTTCTTCGATCCAAAGTACAGTTACTGGACGTGTCCATGGCTCCTGTGGTATATGATGGTCAGTGTCACATATGTCGCGGCAGTTGGACACACCGGCTCCAAATCTTGGGTACATGCTTACTAAAGCCATCTTGCATTTTGACACTGATATGCCGACTCTTACGCATGTAGTTTGAACTTACCACTGTACTCAGCCGGGCACATGGAACAGATCAGAGTGTGAGCTAGGTTCCTCAGTGCCAGTATCGGCATTTGAGATGCAGCTGCTTCCTAGTCAGTCATGCGAGCCTCCGCGATCTATTTTGGTATGACAGAAGGCGACCCTAGCCCCAAGATCAATACCGAAGTCGCGTAGGAGTCTGACCGGACATCTTGGCAGACCGGTGAGGTGGTAGGTTCAAGGCGAACTCTCATCGCATTATTGACTGTTCATAGAGTGATAGTGTGAATGAGCTCTATAGGGTTCGTATGACACACCTGGGCTGGGGGTAGACGTTCCTCTGACCACGCGTTGTCTTCAGGGTAGAGACAGAGCCAGGGTAGAGGCAAAAACAGGCAGCCTTCATGCGTGCATGAGGGCGAGTACTTTTCTGTGGCAGGCCGTCTCGTCGAGTGCCGTCTGACAGGCACCACTGTGGCCAAGAAACCAAGATACATGTGCATGCGTTCAGCGCTGTGCTAGACCCTGCCAAATTCTCAATTAGACATGCATACTTAGTTGAAGCTTTTTGTTCGCTCTCCCGACTCTGTCCTGATGCTGTCGGCCATTTTGACCCACTGAAGCTTTTCACGGGCGATCTTGATTCCATAGCTTGTCGCTTATGTCGGCGGCAGGGCTTACTATCAATAGTCCGAGCATTGTTGGATCACCGCTCGTGACGAGTCAGTGAAGTCCATGTACCAAGGCTCACCTGATGCTGATGAGTGAGCTGTACATTCTCCTCTTTCGATTTGGAGATGCTGGCAAGGCCGCCTTCTTCGCCGTTCCGTAAGTGGACATGTATTCAATAATTCTACGCTAGCTGTGCTGCGCGTTGCAGGGCCAAAATGTCCGCGAAATCCTGTTTGCTGGAAAACCCAACCTATCGTAGGTCCGGATGCTGCAAAAAGTCCGCTGACGTGTTACGCGTCAGAAGTCAGCTTGGCGAAAGGCTGCGCGATGTTGCGAAGACAGCGATAAGCGGGCGAGGCGGGCGCTGTTCAAAACAAGGCTCACTCAACCGACTCGTGCTGTTGGTGGAGACTTCCTACGTGCACTGTGCGCGGGCCACTTCTCAAAACAATCGGTCGGTATCTCGAGCGTACGCGTTCAATATTGATGCCATCGGTAAACCCGCCGTGCAGCAGCAGCAGACGATACTGCAGTTCGGAGGAGCTCACAGTGAACTGGAAGCATCATTACATGTCCAGCCTCGTATCCCACTCAACAAATACCGTTGTGAGGACGACCAGTGATGGAAAAGATGAGAAAGCTTGAGTTGACCCCTCGTGTTGACGTCGGGTAAACGCTCCGCTTCCGAGGGGAGGCCTGAACTCGTCTCCGCAGTTTAGCCCCATCATTATTGCAATCTCGATTTGACTACTTCGCACTAACCTCCACGTACGCAGCCCAACAAAATATACTTTCCAATTGTGTCTGCGAGGCTTGACTGTGGCCTTGCTGCATGCGCTGTGAGTGCATCCTGTACTTGACAGGTGGTCGCATGCCTGAAGCTGCATCGAATGATAAGCAGGCGACTGGGAAATGCGTTGAAGTAAGCGCTATGCTTGAGCAGGGATGCCTCCGAAATTCTGGTAGTCGGTAGCGAGAGCCTGGAATTGTTTACGTGGAACATATCTGAGTTCAGACATATACAGACTTTTCGGATGCTGTTCTCCCAGAATACGAGAGTCGCATCTTCCCCTGGGCCAGCCAAGCACTTCAGGCACACCAACGGTGAGGACTACCGAGCTTACTGAGACTAGGCAATGGAATCGCCGCTGACGCTGCAAGCAATTCTCCCGAACATTGCAGTACCTGTCATCAAATAGCGAACCAAGGGTCAAGTTTGTGGACCTGTGAATGAAGACTTTCGAAGCGGCACAGCGCTCCGTCGTGCCACTATCAATTACCTCGACGTTGTCTGCGGTAGTACCAGCGCTAGCTTAAGCATTTTCGGACATTGATTGAGGAGATCCATACCCTGTGGCGATCAGATACGCGCCGGCTGCGGTTACGTTATCGTCGGCGTGCCGCGAAACTGCACTGCAATGGCACGCTACCACCCGTGTAACAGAGAGCCTCGTGTTTCCTTCTCGCTGTGGTTCGAGTCTAGAGAGCGTATCACGTTTGAATGACGAGCAGTGAAAGGGCACAAGAAACTGCACGTAAGTTAAGCAAGTAAGACTAAGCATGACAGGGGTTATCGACAGGGGCCAAGGGTAGGTGCATGCAGCCTGCGGAGCCCTGTGCTGTGGCGCAGTAGGATTGTGTTTTCGCAGCAGATGTGTGTGGGCGAGGACATCTTTGTGCATGCGGTGTAGGAGTGTGGGTGTATTGCTCTCAGGATCCTAGAGTGACAGCAGGATCGTAGACATCATGACACCGCAATAGGATTAACAGGAATTATGACATCCTGACAGTTGATGTATGACAGGGGCACATATGCAGGGTTGATGATTTGATGGAGAGATTCATGGATAGTTGCTACGTGTCTATGCAATGCTGTCTTGTGGTATTGACCAAGAAATGAAACGCTGAATCGAGGAATAGTCATGATATCGAAGCGTGGAGCGCCGATTGCAAAAGTCTGTTAACTTCTCTAGAAGTGACCACCGGCCTTCTTGCAAGCCGAGACTGACGCTGCTGGAGTGACAGTAGTGTGCCTCGTGAAAGTAGCCCCCCATGTGATAGTCTTCGTGGTAGTAGCCCAGCCAATTCTGAGGCGAGTCTTCGTTGGTGTCGGCAGCGTAGTTGTGTAAGTAAAGACGCCCGAGTAAACAGTGGCTGGTGGTAGCTCGGATGTGCTAGTCTGAGTTTCCAGAACGGTTTCCGTAGTAGTGGTCGCGTCAGCGGTAACAGTAGTGGTCGTCGTGACCGGAGTCGCGGCTGTGAGAGTCGTGGTCTCCTCATCTGGAGCACGGCGCTGGAGACCCTGAGCCTGTGCGTTGCGCCTCTGCTTGGCTGCTTCAACACGCGCACGTGCCCATTCGTAATCAACAACACGATCTGAACGGCGCATGTAGCGGTTCTTGGAAATTTGGGTAGGCGTGGCCAGGGCAGCGGGGTGGAGAAGTGTTGGAGTGTAGCGGCAAGGCTTATCCGGCTGAGGACGGCCGGGCAGTGTGCAGGTGGCGGTGGCTGTCTGTGTAGTAGTAACAAACACTCGAGTAGCATCCAGTCTGGTCTTCGTCAAGGTCTTAGTGGAGGTAGTTGTGACAGCTTTAGGCGTGATTGTCTTGGTCCTCTTGGCTGTCGCGCTTGGAATGGTAAAGGTTGTGAACGGGCCAACCTCGGTCACGAGCAGAGACGTTGTAGTCGTCGTCTTGGTCGTGATGGGAATAATAGTCGTGCTGGCCGTCATTGTTGGTGTGTATGTGCTTGTTACTTGTGGGCCCAATGTAAGGTAGAGGTCTGGAACTGTTAATGTGGAAACTTGAAGCCAGTTGAGAGCCTACGTACCTCGCTGCCATGCAAATGGCTGAGCTGGATAAGCACCGTTGTTACCCAGGATGAGAAGAAGCCAGTGCCCAGAAGACATCTGATTCTTCTGAATCGGACATTTCGACAACTGCTTTGTATCGGCTGGGGTAGTAGGGATCTCGTCGCAAAGATATTCGATGTTATTAGGGTCGATGAGTACGATATCCGCCACATCTGTATTACACCCCTTGAAAGTGGAAACACTAGTGAAGGGATCGGTAGAAAGCGAGTTGATGAAGTAGTTCCCCTCATCGACAAAGTCTACACCGTAGGAGTAGCAGATGGAGTCGGGATTGTATACATCATCTGAGATGACTAACGAGAGCAGAGCAGCGAGAGCTGTCACAGAGAGATAGCGAGAGACAGGCATGACGAACTAAGATAGTTCAAGACAACAGCCAAAGAATGATGGGGAGATTATAGTGTATACTTAGGCCAGTGAGCGCGGGCAGTGTCGTCTTTTGTACTTTACCATAGGCACCAAGTCAACGAGCTAGGTAATCCTACCATTGTCTTTTCTGGTGGCCTGCGTGCTGGATACGAATGTTGACCGAGCAGAATCTTGGTCAGACGGCTTGACGAACTGCAAATAGCTATCCGCAAGTGCCATCTCTAGCGGTCGAGTGGAATCAATACATGAGCGGGCTGAGAGGGTACTGGGCATATTGGCGGACGCCCCACGGTAAGCTCACAGGCAGTATCGCCTGCCTGCATCTGCAACTAATCGAGATATGGACCGTGTCTGCGTAGTGACAGTCTGGTGAGGCCGAAGTTCTGCGTTGTGGAGCAAGCAAGGCGAATGCGACCTGCTGCAAAGCCACTCGGAACCTCGTTACAATCGCGGCCGGAAGCCCGTGCACGATTGGCGTCAAGGGCCCCGACCCCAATTTTAGGCTTCACGTCACCACCTCCTCCACATCCACCTGCATGTACTTACACCCGATCTGACCCGGCAAACACGATGTTGTCGTTGTTGACAGGCATTGCGATAATGGAGCCTTGATGGTTGAGCCTCAGCCAGACTCTCGCCATGCCAAGGCACACACCATCGACCTCGCTACTTGAACCTCAACATCACGTATACCATGCAGCCCGTATCTACGCCATGAAGCCCGGGTACCCGGTTTTGGAGTCCTTCGCTTTCAATGCTCCGGATGATATTCGGATCATTCGTCAGCCCGATCTGTCACTAGCGCCCTGCGACTGCATGAACAAGCACCCCGACCTCGGTTTTCAGGGTCTTGTAGCTCGAGCTGTACAACAGTTCCAAAAAGCAAGCCATGCCATGTTCTGCGTGACAACAGAGTACAAGCAATTCCAGCCATGCGGGTCCTGGAACCCCTGCCAGCTGAGCCTTACGGAGCTGGGTTGGAAATGTGCAACGTCAGGGAAGATGGTCAATCAGCTTCGAGAGTTCACGGTAAGCAACAAAAGGGACTGTTCTGAGCTAGCTCGTCAGCCTTATTGTGCTTCCGTGTCTTAGAGTCATCCACCAGGTACACACGAATGAGGAGAAACCTAATCAACACTTTGGTACTGCTACTGTATACTTTCTTAGCGGCGGAGACCGGCATGCTCTAGTCTATCCTCACAGGCTTTCTAGCGTTTCGCGAAATCCTTCCAATCAGCATTTCCAGGCTATATGGTCATTCGCTCGGTATAGACGCATTCTTTCAGCCAGAATATGTACAGAATCCGGATGCCCTCCGCTCTGCTTCCGTATGCCTCTGCCGTCACGAGGAACAAGCGAAGTGGCGCTGTCGCTAGCCTGTTAGTATCAACTGATCTCAAAGAATTCTTGGTGATGGAGCCTCCAACGACAATCATTCAATAGATCATGCATGGTCTGACGCGAGATTCCAGCAGACCCACCACCTGGGACCAGGCGAGCATCCTTGCGGATGTTTATGGAGCGTGACTGGGTTCAGCTGTCCATGACAGTCGGGAAAGTGCTTAGCATTTTCCCCAGAAGCAGTAATTTAGTGCACTGTCAGCAATCTTTAGCTGACCTCGAACCTCTAGCGTTGCTGCGCTCACAGCTGCCGACATTCTCGTACTCATCCCGCGCACCATCTAGCCTATCACGTAGATTGTCAGTCGGCTGTCGACCTGAAATTAGACGCTCCGTCCTTTTCACACGATTAGGCTTGTGGTATGGCAATGTATCGCTCCATCGTCATGCGTTAGGCCGTCGATTGTCAGATTTGGCTCGGCGGTCAGTACCCTGAGCTTCCTTCTCGCCTACATGTCGTGGCAAAGCCATCGAAGATTGGCGCAGCTGTACGGACGCTCCAGCCTTGATATTCCCCTGAATGTACCACGCCAGACGAGCAAGCTTAGCGCCCATCGAACATCGCCACGACCACCTTTGACGGCTGAACGTAGAATCCTTCCCTGTATAAATGCAGCTTCGACCTTCCCTTGTTTACTCTCTAGCCAAGTCGACCAAGGTTCTCACTCTTTCCTTAGCCTGATTGAGTCGCCCTACTCCTATATACATCATTCGTTCTTTGACCACCTTCTCGTGGTCCCTCAACAGCAATTATGTTGTTTCAGTCCTTAGCCTACTGGCTATTTGCTGGCTCACTCGCATTTGCTAGTGCCATTCCAGCTTCTCTTATCGAGAGACAAGACGGTGCTTGCACGAACACGGCTCGAACACGCCAATGCTGGAGTGATGGATACAGTATTTCCACAGACTTCGATGCCAAAGCTCCTCCAGCTGGTACGACCGTCACTGTATGTTCATATGACTCTACTTCTGCCCTGTATGCTAACAACCATCAGTACAATCTCGAGATTACAAACGTGACGAAACCACACCTGGACGGAACTCCCGGGAATCGAGAGTTTCAACTTATCAATGGCCAATATCCTGGACCAACAATTCGAGCAAAGTGGGGTGACACGATTGTCGTCAACGTCAAGAACAGCATGCAAGACAATGGTACCGGCATCCACTGGCACGGCATTCGTCAACTCAACAGTTGTCAGCACGACGGAGTGCCCGGAGTTACAGAATGCCCAATTGCTCCAGGGAAGACTCGTCAATACAGATTCAAAGCTACCCAGTTCGGCACGACCTGGTACCACTCTCATTGGTCTGCCCAGTACGGTGACGGTGTGCTTGGGACTATGATTATCGATGGACCTGCCACAGCCAACTATGACGAGGACCTAGGTGTTCTGCCAATCACAGACTACTACCACACCCCAGCATTCACGCTCAACGAAGTAGCACAGCACTCGCAAGGAGGTCCTCCTCTTCCTGACAACATCCTCGTCAACGGTACCCATATCAATGCAAACGGCGGAGGCAAGTACGCCAAGATGTCTGTCACAAAGGGCAAGAAGTATCGCATCAGGATCATCAACACCTCGGTGGACAGCACTTTCAGTGTTTCACTTGATGGACACCCCTTCACTGTCATGACTGCCGACTTTGTTCCTATCAAGACTTACGTCGCCACTCAATTAACGCTTGCTATCGGCCAACGGTACGATGTGATGATCGAAGCGAACCAGACTGTGGACAACTATTGGTTCCGCGTAGGCTATGGAACAGCCTGCGGAGGAAACAACATTCTCTCGTCTGGCATCCAGTTAGGCGCCATTCTTTCGTACTCCGGCGCCTCCAACAACAACCCCACAACTACCGGTGTCGCCTTGCGAACAACCTGCGTCGACGAAGACAGGTTCAGCCTCGTCCCGTTCGTCCCCAACACAGTGCCCTCGTCTGTAGTTGGTACCGCTGGCAAAATCGATCTCAAACTCCAGACAGGAAACGTCGTCCGTTGGCTTCTCGATGGTACGCCGATGATCGTCGATTGGAACAACCCCACTCTCGAGACAACGCTTGCTGGATCGAGCAATTTCTATCCCAACAACAACATTCATGAGATGTCGACCAGCAACTGGTACATATGGTATATCGAGTCAACGGATGGTTTCCAGCTGCCGCATCCTATCCATCTTCACGGGCACGACTTCTACGTTGTCGGCGAGGGTTCTGGGCAATGGGACGGTTCGGTTAGCAGTTTAAACTTGAACAACCCTCTACGCCGTGATACTACGACGATGCCAGTGGGCGGTTATTTGGTGCTTGCGTTCCCTGCCGACAATCCGGGAACTTGGGTGGTGAGTACTGCGTATATACATCAGGAAAACGGTTTGCTAACAGATTCTTCTAGATGCATTGCCACATTGCATGGCACGCAAGTCAGGGACTGGCGTTGCAGTTTCTGGAGCGCAAGGGTGAGATTCAGAGCGTTATTGGAAGTACAGCAGACTTCAAGCAGGGGTGCGATGAGTGGGATGGGTACTGGTTCCCCGGAAACCACCCGTACAACATGACCGACTCTGGAATTTAGAGGACCACGGTCCGGTTCTGTCTTCTCTTTGTTACTTTGAGCTCTTGGCTCCGCAGGCTTCGAGCTGATATACGAAGCCTTCTATTTTCTTTTCTTCACAAACATATTGCGTAACAACATACCCCTTGGCGATTGGAGCAGAATATATGTCCTTTCCAACCTTGCCATACAACTTTATACCAGATATGCCTACGTCTTTGCCAATATTCGACTCTGTCTCACAAGAAACTTAACAGTCGGCTCATCAACCTCAGGGTAGCTCAAGTTCAGGCCATCCAAGTCATCATTGATTGGCGGTATCGTCTCAGCTTCTGCCAGGATCCCAGTCTTGTAGTCGTAATTCCAGTGTTCATGCACGCCGTACGAGTTGCGGAGTGTTTGTATCATCAGCACTTCGACGGAGCACCATGCTCTGGACAGGTACTCAGAATCGAGGATACTGATCAAGGCGTTGCATTGGGCGACAACCAAGGGTAACGCATTGATACCGCGTTGTTTGACTTCTAGATCGACCTGGTCAATGCATACGACATCCTACGCGTCATCGTGTTAGCATTTCTACTCAGAAGATATAGGTGGGATTGGTGACTTACAAGCCAGACTGATACTCGATCTTGATCTAACCAAGGGTGCATTCTGAGATATAGGTCCAATGCGTCAAGCATGCGCTGGTACTGCGTATTTGTTCTATCATCCGGCGAGCCTTTGCCGAGCCACCGGTAAGACAGGAATACCAGGAACTCAGGTTGTGTGTCTTTCTCCTTCATGTCTGTAACATCACGTAATGCTGAGTACTGCCGACGAAGGTGCATCACCTCCTGCATATCGTCTCCAGAATGCGGTCTAGGCAAACGCGTCATCTCTTCCTTGAAGTCGCGGTAACGGAGCATTACAAGCCTGTCAAACAAGCTGCATGTCTCTGAACTCATATCTCGTTGTCTCAGATACCCTTGCCTCAAACTGTCTATACCTTCCTGGCGGTGAGCATGTCCCTTGATATACACCTCATCATCTGATAGCCCGAGAGGAAGTGACACAGCACTGAGGACTGAGCGTAGCCATACATGTGTAAAAGACCAGCCTGAGATCTGACGGTATGACAAACCCGTGAATTGGTGATCGAGAGACAGTTTATTCAAGATGGGCCGCAACGTTAGTTGAAACGTCTCTCTATATTTCTTTCGACGTTGAGTCTCAACAAGCAGGTTCGCAATTCGTTCCTCGATCCTGGACATCTCTAAAGTAAGACCATTGTCATCAGGATGACTGAATTCTCGTCGAAGGCCCTCGATCGCAACAGTTTTGAGACGCTCATTGTCGCCTAGGAAGCTATAATCTAGAACGCTTAGGCCGTATTCGTCGTGGTGACTGAAACGCACTTCATGCTTTGCCAGTATTCGCAGATGTTCTATATTTTCTGTGGTTGGGTCCTTGGAAAGTGCTATTGCTGCAGTGCAGCTGTCATGCTTTCCAGTTTGCTGCCAGATTTCGATGGCCTCCTCAGGTCGACCACTGTGATGAAGAGCCAGTCCGTAGTAGAACCTGGACAAGGCGCGCACGGTAGGATCGGGCTGCTGTGTAGACATAGCAATTGACCTCCGGCCATACTCCAATGCTGTCCCAACATCGTGAAGCGCAAGATGGCATAGCATCAGGCGGTCCAGCGCTGTTGACTGCCAAGTTGTTGTCATATTCCGAAAATCCGATGCCTCGGTTTCGCCAATGACCACCTCTGCCCAAAACCTGCCTCCATATTTCTCCTTGAGATTCATTGCACGCTCAACACAATCTTCCAGCAGTGTGACGATTGAGTAAAGCTGAGCTCTGTCTATTTTCTCAGGGCCATCGAGCCCTGGAGCAGCTAATTGATAGAGGGCGAGCGCTCTGTTCCCAACGGCGCTGCATGCATGGGCCAGCAACCTCCTCGATGCAACAGTATGCTGCTCCCAGGGGTTGTCGAACTTGTAAGCGACAGCTTCTGCAAGGGTGTATTGCTGTTCGAATATCTCGCTAGCCTGTGCAAAAGCGTCTTGTCGATGCAAAGCCGTGCCTAATTCGCCAAGAGCCTCAAGGTGCTCACTCGTCACCTTGTCGTTGTTGACGTGTAGTAACGCTTGTCGAAAGATGTCAGTCGCTCGCTCGTAGTTGCCCTGTCTGCGCTCCAATATCCCGCGCTGTAGTAGAACCCGCAATTCGACCTCGTTCATTGGAAGCTGCGGAAAATCAGCTCGTTGTGTGAGCAACTCAGCTTGCTCAATCGCCTTGAGCGCATCTTCCCAGGCCGTCTCTTTGGAGTGTTTGCTGGCAGCCTGCAGACGCAATTCGAATAGCGTGACAACACCTGGTGGTATGTAAGGGCGCATTGCACTCCAAGGTGTATTTCGCGACGATGTCGAGATTCAGGTAGCAGGAATGTTGCGGTGCAGTTAATGAACATGGCCGCGAGGTGCTGATCTGCCAAGACGGCTCGGCCACATGAAGTTGTACCGTGTCTGTGCGCACAACGATCATGTTGGTAAAACGACCGCGCTAGCGCCTTCACAGGCACCCACAAATGAAGCTGTACAACCACATACAATATATATTATTGTGAGATTTTTTGGTGTTGTAATCTGTAGACTCAGGCAACTGTTTTGGCTATCGATACTTGTGTGGGAGTTGCATGTTGCGGCCACGCAAGGTGGCTTTTGGTGGAGGGCTTGAGGCGCCCACCGTTGTGGCCACACCACCCACAGCACCACCCACACGCCTCTGTTTTTTGCAAGGGTTTGCAGGAAGACTCTGTGAGGCCTTGCGCTCGCCAGATTGGGACAGTTGTATAGCTGTGGCAGTGTTGCGAGCTGCCTTCTGCCGTTGTTTCTCAGCTGCCTTCTCAGCTCTCTCCTTCTCCCTGTCACGGTATCCTCTCCAGATCCCCTGACAATATCCGGATCCGCTCTGTACTGTCCCTGACCGTACGCACCAAATCCCCAGCATCCTTACACGCCTCCAAAGCGGATGTACAACCTCCAGTCACCTCTGGAGCGGACCTGCAACCTCTGAAGCAGGAGTATTAGAATTCTGCAAGCCCCGCTCTGGGACTTGCAACCCCGATACCTATCCAACTCAGTTCTGATTATTAACCGGTAACCGAACAAACCCACACGTAAGTATATAGACTATTGCTGGTAGAGTTCTGTTCAGTACACAACATCTTGTACCTACTTAGATACCGTATGTAGTAATTGATTTAGACTCCTAGCGAGTCCTAAAGGGCCTACTCGTAGCATCTTCGTGACACTCCCGCACCTTCTTGGCTTCCTCTCGCGCCACACGCTTCTCCTGTTGTAGCTGTTCTTGGAGTATCTTGTTTTGGTTTTGTATCTGCCGTTGCTCAATAATTGCTGCCGCTTTGTCACATTTCTGTTGTTGCGTGGCTTGCTTGCGATTGCAAGCTTCTTGTACCTTGCGCGGCAAGAAGAAGAGAGGATTGTGCTCATACTGCTGCTCTTGTTGTAGGGTTAGCGGCTTGCCCTTGTTCTTGCGCTTCTTCTTAGTAGTAACTGCAAGGCGAAGCTGCTGGTTTTCAAGAGTAAGTAGCTTGTTTTGAGCTGCAAGCCGGTGAATTGAGCGCTGCAATGCGCGAGCATCCCAAGCATTGTTATTGATAATTGCAGAGTCAAGAAGCCTGTCAAGCTCATCGGCCAATGCCTCGATTGATTGATTGATTGATTGATTGGTTTAACGTCCTATCTGAGTCTAAGACTATGGAAGACGAGAGGGCATAGCTCCTCTGGTAATGCAAAGATTTAGTTACAGGAGTGTGAGGTCAATAGGGGTACAAGGGATGGTGAGGGCTCAGGCCCAGAGCAGAGTTGCTTGAAACAAAACAGGTGTAAAACAAACAAACAAAGGAAACAGAGGGTGTTGTGGCATCACTATGCCTGGTCTTCAGATGATTGCCCAAGATGCCACCTCCTTGTGCCAACCTTGGTCCTGCTGATGAAGTCTAAGGTGGCCTTGACACCTTGCTTGGTGTGGAGGAGGAGAGGGAGAGTAAGCTGTACCTTCCCAAGACTGTGCTGCAGTATTTTCCGGTCTGTGTTCAGCCACTTGCAGCTCAGGAGCAGGTGCTCAGGAGTCTGCTTGGCTCCACAGCTGCAGAAAGGGTGGTTAGTCTTGCCAATCCTGAATAGATAGGCCTTGTTGTATCCATGGCCAAGCTTCAGCTGATAGAAGGCACTGGCAGTCTCTCTCCTGGTCCCTGGGGGAATCCTCAGTCTCTTCCCAATCCTCCAACTGTACTGGGCAGCATAGGTGAAGGGATTGCAGTTGACAGCTCCAATACTGTAGCTCCTCAAGGCCTTGTCCCATTCCAGAGTTGCCATGCTCTTAATCTTGATGCCAGTCATGGCCAGACTGGTGGTGTAAGTAGAGGGTCTTTTCTTGGCTGCTAGCTTGGCCAGCCTGTCAGCTCTCTCATTACCATGTACATCCTGGTGTCCAGGGACCCAGTGGATGGAGACAGTGGCTCCTTTGCTGACAATCTGCTGTGCTGCCTGGATGCATCTGAGCTGCCATGCCTGGCCAGGCTTGTTAGAGGGGGTCTGCAGTCTGTAGATGGCTGCCTGGTTGTCTGCATGGATCCTGATCTCCTGGAAGGGGGAGGCCACTGTGGCAGCATACTCAAAAGCTCTGGTGATGCCTTCCAGCTCTCCATTGTACACAATCTGGCCCTTGCCAATGTTGAGTGTCTCCTGGTAGACTTCACTGGCACCCTGAGCA